AACCAAACCAAACCCAAACCCAAACCCAAACCCAAACCCAAACCCAAACCCAAACCCAAACCCAAACCCAAACCCAAACCCAAACCCAAACCCAAACCCAAACCCAAACCCAAACCCAAACCCAAACCCAAACCCAAACCCAAACCCAAACCCAAACCCAAACCCAAACCCAAACCCAAACCCAAACCCAAACCCAAACCCAAACCCAAACCCAAACCCAAACCCAAACCCAAACCAAACCCAAACCCAAACCCAAACCCAAACCCAAACCCAAACCCAAACCCAAACCCAAACCCAAACCCAAACCCAAACCCAAACCCAAACCCAAACCCAAACCCAAACCCAAACCCAAACCCAAACCCAAAGAGTAAACCCAAAGAGTAAACCCAAAGAGTAAACCCAAAGAGTAGAATTTTTATCAAACCCATGTAAAGAGACTAAGACCATATTTTTCCAAACACTCCAAAGTTAACATTTATCAATTATCTCAGCAAGTATCAATATACATTCAATAATACTTCATAGATATGATGTCATATACATGATATACATGTTTTATCAATTTCATAAAGAGTAGTGAATATCATCACAACATATAAAGAAAATGTCAAAATTTTTTCAACGTTTCATATCACACCATGAACACAACAATACACAACACTACAAAATGATAAGACTCACATTGTGACATGACTACTATATGATAATGATATAATATATAACATTCACAAATAAGATCTTATCCATCATAACGTCAAACTGTATTCAAATAATGAAAGCATTACTCGACAAATACAAAAGATGGATCAACACAATCACTATCATGAGATTACACCCTCATACCAAGCATGTTTCTCCAATAGAATGAACATTCATACAATCACATTTCATCTCATTTCTCTTCAATAACAACTTTGAACGCTCAGAGGTTGAGTGATAGCAATGAACATGATACAACACTTCAAAATGATAGAACTCACATTATGACATGATTAATACATGATCATGAAAGAATATTTAACATCCATAATAAAAAATATCATAAACCAAAACATCAAACTTTAATTAAATGATTGAAGAATTATTCAATGAATACAATTAATTAATCAATATAATCTCTATCATGTGATCACATTATCATGATGAACATAAGGATCAACTTTAAAGATCTATAATACAACTAATTTTCATCACAATACTCCTCTCGAATAATTAACAACATTATAAAAAAGCAACAATTATACTCCACATCATCACAAAGTCATAAAATTATAATCAATTTAAATTTTATTAACAATCATTGCAATGATATCCTATCACTACAAAAACACTTCCAACATCAATTCAACGTCAAATAAGAAAAGTGTACAGAATTTTAAAAAAAATTTTTAATTCGTCCAATTTTCAAATATACAAACAATTAAATACTTCTAATATCACCAATCGATAGGAAATTTAATCTAGATTCAAAATTTATCATTAAAAATCAAAAATTTAAAAATTCAATATGAAAATTTTTGAGGGGTAGGTTAAAATCCGCCTTAACCAAACCCAACCCACCCTGCTTCTCTCTGGTTTTACAGTTTGAAATACCAGTCCGATAATAAATAATCATCCTCTCTTCATTTACAACATTAAATTTTTTTTTGGGCCAATTTACCTTCAAAATTCAGAGTGAAATAACTCAACAACCACTTCACATCTCTTAGAAATTTCAACACCATTAGAAAGCAAATGAAAAATAGCCTAGGATTTGAGTATATCTCGTCCTCAGCAGTTAACTTCGGACCGTGGACAGGACTTATTGAAATCAAAATTTTTTTTTGATAGTAAAGTCGTTAAAATGGCTCAAAAAAAAGAGTAGGTGGAGCCAAACCTAATGACTCTTCCAAACACTACATTACGGTACAGGAGGAAAGAATTTGGCCTTGATGATTTCTTGAAATCAATCCTGTTTTTTCAATCCTGATAGTTTTTGAAGTGCTTCAAGATTCTTGTCTCCCAAAAAATCTGAAATCTCTTCTTCAGTTAGAATAATTACAGATGTATGTCGATGTAATGGAATTCCTCCAATAGTGGTTCCACCAAGATAATGTCCTGAGAACTTGGCATTTCCTCTCACCATAAATACCATTATTAATTTAGTTTCAATGGTCTCATCGAGTGCCTTTCTAATTTTTTCATTCTTGTCAATTTCCTCACGCAATTTAGAAATGGATAATTCTCCAACATTCTTATCTTGAATCATAATAAAAATCTTCTTTGATCCCAAATTGATTTGCCAAATCTTGTCAGGTGAATGTGAATGATCATAGAAACATCCAAGTTTTCCTCCATCCAACATAGCAATAACCTTCTTCCAACTGTTCAAGTTACTTGTTTCATTGGTCATCAATTTCATTCGTAAGTTTACCACTTCCAAAGGCTTGCAAGGAATATTTTCAACACACGTATTCTTTAAGAATGGAAAGACTTCTCCAATACTTAGCCGTTGAATTGACCCCCAGTTCATTCTAAACCTAAAGTTGACAAGTGTTAGATGCTCCATAATGTTTCCAAGAGAAAGGACTGGACCATATTCTTCAACAATATGTGAAATCGCAAACATGTTTGAAGAAGCTGCAGGTGATTTTACATATTGATCAATGATTGCCTTTGGAAATAAGAGACGATATCTATTGTCCTTCACTGGTTGTAGAAAACAATTCAACATTGTTGCAATATCATAAGTACTGAGGGTAGTGACGCCTTCAAATTCTGTTCCGTTTGTAGTAAATTCACCCATGTTAAATGCTTCGGTAGCTTCAAGTTTCGAAATACCAGCAAAGAGTAAATATTGATAGACTTTCATCAAGATTGGATGGTTAGAGAATTGTTCGAATGGAGCTTTGAAAGAAGTGGAAAGTGTTGAACGAATTTGGACAAGTGCCTGATCAATATTTTCTTTTGTTTTGCAGTTCAATAGCAGTTTACGGTTATTGAAAACGTAATGAACTACATAGTTGGGAACTCCTTGAGTTTCTTCTTGTATCTGGTCAAGGAAATAGTCAAACAAATTCAATTCTTTAAAGTGTGAAACGAGGGATCCAACAAAATCAGAGTTAACAATTCCTGATTCAATATGTTTTCTTGAGAGCGCTTCCAAATGAACCTCCTTCATAAGTGTTTGTGGAGGTAATGTTGGGCGAAGTTTACATTGTCCAATAATGTCTAAAAAAGCTCCCTTTCCACACACATACAAACTAACGGTAGATATTTTTTGAAAGGGGAAAATAAATTCGTTCAAAATGTCATACATGGCGCAAAAGTAACGATGAATGTTGGGCCTTCGTAGTGGCTCATAATAGTATAGCCAAGAGCCTATTTCATCAATTATGATATAACAAGGAGTACTTGTAATACTACCTCCAATATATCTTTCTATATCATCTCTCAGTTTCGTAAATGTCTCTTGCAAGTTGTTGTTAATGATACGATACGTTCTACAGTTAACGTATATCACTTTGGATTTTTCTAATTGCTCTACTGCTGCTTTAGAATAATCGACTTCAAATTTTTTTCTCATCTCCGGATGTTTTGACATTTGCTTTTTCCAAAGTGCGAGGAATTCAACACCCAATCTCGTTTTTCCAGATCCAAAGTATGCAGAATTGATCAACAGTTCTTGGTCTCGTAATGCTTGGCCCATCATGTGTTTATAAATGTTTCCTATCAACACATCAGCCATCATTTCAACAGTGTTTTTGTTGTTTTGATAAGCAAGATTGTTGAATATAGGTGCTTCGAAGGAAATAGAGCTGGGAAAATTTTTAAGCTCAATTTGAATCTTATGGTTTTGTAGTAGAAATTGTTTGACCCATTGGACAACTGTTGTGCCTGAACTCAAGTCAAGATTTCTAATGAAAGAGGTTTCCTTGGAAGAGACTACATCGTTTGCAATGTTATAGAGAGTTTTGCCATCTAATGAAGAAACTTGATCAAGACTCAAATCAGCACCTCCTTTTGCAATTGGTTCGCCCAATTTTTGTATGATTTGTTTACTCACTGGCTCCAATTGCCATAGTGAATATTGTCTGGTCATTAATTGATCGAGCACCCAAAATACAACAGTTTGACAAGTATTTTCGGAGACTTGAGTAAAGTCTTTGCTGCCATACATGGCTTTGATGGCATACTTTACACCATCCATCTTGATATTCTCAACAATGTTGTGGAGAGATGAGCCATCAAAACCAGCCTCATACAAAGGCTTCACATCATCAACCGACAAACCAGCACCACTCAAAGATTTAGGAGAAGTTAGCAATGATGCTACTTGTTGAGCATTCCATTTCTTGTAATCCATCAAATTGAGAGTGATTGGTTCGGAGGACAAAAGTGCTGAAGTACTTTCCCCACTCTCGTTAGTGGATGCTTCTTTTTCCTTCAACCAATTTGTAGTGGTGTAGGAACGTATTTGGCCAAATGATGTGGTTGCTGGATGATTCAACAATTTGTTGTTATTGTTCGGAACAACAGCAGCATGTTTCATCAACGGTTTCAAGGACGAAGTAGAATGCAGAACATAAATATGGTTACTGGTGATGCTCAATGTGTTTCTGTGGGAATTTAATCCTTGCAAGATGCGATTGATGGTTGTTGTCCTTTTCATTCTTCCATAATTTGAACGCAAGAAACAATTTTTTGTTGATCGCTTTGATTGAAAATATGAAAACGGCGCATTTTTTGTTTGAGTAAAATTGATAGAGTTTCGTGTCTCGTTGAGAACGCTCTTTTGCAGAAGGGTAAAAGAACTAGAGCTGAATTTCTTCAGCAAAATTCATCACCAATCGCGTCAAGAAATACGTACATAAATTTATTGTTCAATAATCTCTAAAAAAGGTTCACAGCTAGATGAGCCGTTTGTTGCAAACTTGGTTCAGTCGTTCTATTATGAACAGCAACCTATGAGGCTAACATTGATTTTGGTTCAGTCACACAATCCTAAGGGAAAACAAGGCCTTAATTGTAAATCCAACAAACAGGATATGTGCGTAATGACACGTGTTATAGTGGTCAATTGCCATAAAAAAATTTATAAAGCACGCAACAAAAAAAGAACCAACTTACCATCATGATGAACTCAACTGCGGCATTCAACCCCGACTTGATCGACTATTCATGATGATTCTTGTTTTTAGAATTATATTCTACAAGCAATTGTTGGTAATCGTGCGGGAAAAAATTCAATCTTAGAGCCTTATACAATAAATTTGGTAGAATGGCAACTACAATCACCAGTACGGACACAAGTGTAGCTTTTACACTAACAAAGGTTTCATAAAAAATAAAATAAGAACCAGTTTCTCCAAAAATATCTGCAACAGGACTATAACACGCACTAAATAGAAAATAAAATAGATAGCTTCCAAAAATGGAGAAGAATATTTGCAAGTTCCATGTTTTGACTTCAATCATGTATCTCAGAGTTATCACACTCATTAAGCAGGTCATAATTAATTTTCCTAAATGATAAAAATCTGAAGAGTGCACCATGTCATTATTTTCCATAACATCTCCATCCGCAGCATAGCTCCATAAAATTCCATAATAGATGATCGTGCAGTGATAGATGGACTCAAAGCCCCATCTAAAAATGCTGGACATACTAAATAAATTATTGTGTTTCTTTTTCAAAGTGTCATAAATTTCTGGATGTTGCAATATTACTTCTTCCGGTAAGTCATATTCACAGGAACCAGAGGTAATTGGTTGAAAAAAACAAAATAGAGCCATATATATAAACTGTTCCCATGAATCAAATATTAATGTTCCAGAATACGCAGAATAGAAAATGAAGTAAAATTGAGGCATAATAATCATAAAATTCTTGTACAAGCTAAAATGTAAAAAGTCAGCATTCCGAACACAACAATTCCTGCCGTGAACGGCCAATAATCGAACCAAGTTTTTAAATCTAGGTAAAGCGTAATCAGCAGCACGAGAAGCTTGAGAACCTTCTTTTCCCTTAATACCAACACCAATAGAAGCTGCCTGAATCATGGCCACATCATTTACACCGTCACCAATAGCAAGAGCCGTCATTGACAGATGCTTCTCAATAAGTTTCACAATTGTTGATTTTTGTAAGGGCTTCAATCTACAGCACACTGCACTACGGACTATACCAACTAATCTAAGGAATGGTTTTTCATACTTTTGTAAGACCAAGTCAAGTGACTTTGAATCAATTATTAGGGCATACTCAAAATTCTTGTTCTTGTTCTTTTCAAGGAAACCTAAAGCCTCCTTTAACTTGGCTTTAACATGGGAATAGCTTGTGGCATCTCTAATTCTGATTTCAATGCTTTTGTTCCTGTGAAGAACATGAGTCGAGTAGGCAATATTAATGGCGGTTTCCGTTTTATCACCTGTGAGAACCCAAATATTCAATCCTGCTTTCTTTAAATAATCAATTGACTCTGCTACGTGTTCTTGAAGTTTATCCTCAATGGCTGTACATCCCAGAATCTGTAAATCCTTCTCAATTTCTGTCGCACAATGCATGAGGAGTCGATCTCTATGCTTGGTGGAGAGAGATGCTTTAGTGTATCCTTCCAACCATTGCTCTACTTCATTTTGAGATAGTTCTCTCCTTGCGCATACCAGTGTTCTTAAGCCATGAACGGAAAATTTTTGTAAAGCAATTTGCAAGCCGTGATGATTGTTGGATGTGTCCGATTGATCACTCATTTTCGATCGTTTCATCATGACACTATCAGCTCCTTTCACATAGCACACATATTTTCCATCTGGGTGCTTTACCAATACGCTCATTCTCTTTCTCTCAGAGGTGAAGGCAAACGTTGCTATAATTTCATAAAATTTAGAAACTCCCATTTCCTCAATAACAAGACCATTGCCAGTTCTTTGTGTGAGAATAAATCCATTACTAGTAGCAGCTTCTAAGAGAGCAATTTCATCAGATGAAGATCCATGATATACATATTTTGGGCTTGTAGATGTTTTGTCAGTAATGATCTGCTGAGACGACTGATCTAATTCTACCATGACGCTATTATTCAATGAGAGGCACAGTAAAAATTCTCGTAAGAAAAAAGAATGTGAATCTTGTGTGTTATGGTGCTGAAGTGAATCTTCATTCTCAAACATGGAGTTATGAGCCGAAGTAGCGTTTGACAATGATTGAGATTTCATCAAGTAGCTCCTCATCATTCCAGGATTACTGCGCTCTGAATAGTACACTCCATCTACATATGAATCTGAGTATTTCATTTCATTTTGTGTTAGTGTTCCTGTCTTGTCGGAGAAAATGACATCAATCTTGGATAGGGCTTGATTCATACTTGCTGTTCTGACTTCAGCTTTGAATGTCCCAAATCTTATTTTCTTGTCATTTTCAATGGACCAAGATTGAAATGACTTGATTAGTTCAAATCCAATAACCAATGCTTCATTTACAATCAAGTTTAACAAAATAAATATTGTAGCCCAATTGGACATGACAGAAACAAATGAGGCTTTTCCATCACTCGTTGAATTCACAATCAATGGCTTCAAATAGAATGCACGGAGTATATAGGATTCTTGAAATGATCCATGAATACCAGCAACAATGGCACAAATTACTTGTTGAAAAACAACCAAAATGGCAAGAATTTTGTTAATAGTAATTTCCAATGCATTTCGTTTCACTCTATTTTCCTTAGTATTGTTCAAAATTTTAGTATCCTTTCCCACATAGATGGCAATACCATAGATGAAGTTGGTGTTTTTAAGAGTACAACCTCTTAGAAGAAGATTCTCCATTGCCAGAGTTTCCTTAACAATAGCTGATGTTTCGTTCGAATGACTCTCTTTAGATATTTCTGACGGAACAGTACTTGTACTCGAAAATTCATGTTGTACTGAAGCTGTTCCTTCAAAAACATCAAGATTCTTGTTGGCAATTTCGATTTTCAACTTGCCTTTGATTTCAGAGAGTCGAGAGTTAATAAATTTTTGCTGTTCTGAAGAAGCAGAGTTGTGATTCAATTCAGCAAAGGCAGCACTATCATTATTGATTTCTGTTTTTGAACCACCAAACAAAATCTTGGTTACTGGTCTTCTGATTTTTAAGTTTGACTCTCCATCCAAATGTGCCGTCTCAATGTAACATAAATTATCCCCTCTCGACGAGTAAACACACAATAAATCTGCAGGAAAGCTCTCATCTCTACTCACACAAACAAAATCTCCAATCTCCACTTGTTTCACTTTAATTTCTTGTAGGATACCATCTCTCACGACTCGACAAGTTTCATTGTTCGCTTTCAAGTCTTGGCGATGCCGTTGAAAATCCTCGTAGGCATCTTTCGCCATCTGAAGAAGTACAATAAACGTCAGAGGCAACACAGCTGCTGGTGGAAAAATTGGACTAATATCAGGAATTAATACAGCAATGACAGCAATGAGATTGTAAATATTGATGGCTTTCCTAAATTGTTCAAATAAATTCTGAGGAAGGAAGGTGATTAAGGTGTACTTGGTGGTTCTTACGTAATTTGTTGGCCATTTATGTTTTCGGGTTTGTCTATTCTTTTCTCGATTATTAAGGTAAATAGTTTCGAATTGTTTCTCTCTTTGAATTTCGGGATTTTCCTTAGCTTCCTCGAGTGATTTCTGACTCGCGACACTTATTTCCATCATGTTGTTATTTTTCTCGTTTGGTGGGTGTTGGGAAGATGTCTTCATAAATTGGCTGTTGTCATCTTCGTCATCACTGAAATCTCCAACCATTGGTGTTGGGAACAATAATTTTGGATTGATTGAAAATCGCTCTCGTATGGAATTGAATTTTTGTTTCACCACTTGAGAAATTGTGGTCAATGAATTGGAGCATTCCATAACTTCAACTTCTTTTGAATTCTCAACTAAAATTCTGTCACTTGGTTTTATGACTCGATCTTCCTCCATAATGACTTCATCCACTGCATGAAGTGAGTCTTCTATAGGTTGAGCGATTAGAGGAGAGGTTTGTTTGGTTGCAGAGGTCTGGTGTTTAGTAACCACGTCGGTGTTCTCGTTATTTACATCCAACATTTTGGAATCAAAAAAGTTGGTGAGTAGCATATCTTGTTGAACGATCCTATCCTGAGGAGGTCCAAAATTACAGTCTGCTGTGGCTATGTTCGACGTTGAACAATGGCTCGTACAATGATCAGTGCCTTCTCTTTCATCAAGTGGGTTGTGCTTCTTGATCTGATGATCGGAAAGAGCAAGATGTTGTTGTGGCATTTGTTAGCGAATTACGAGCTGGATCATGGCCTTCCAGTACACGTGCTATCATTTCAGCACATCCGTCATCACGTCATGCTTGAAGTTTCGTTGATTTGTCAATTTAAAAAGTACTGATACAAGATGGACATGTCAAAGATGAAGATGTACACATCGTACATCAGCCATTATTTAATTACTATTCAACTCTATTGAAATGGATACAACAAATTCATGATGATTCCGAAGGAGAAATCCGAGGCAGGAGAAGATATTTTTTTGATAAAAAGAAAAAATTTAAAAAAATGCATAACAGCTGTGGCCTGAGCAGCTGTGAATGATGGGCAGTAGTGACTTTTAAACGTACTTGTTGATTCTGTTCACATTGATTCTCAACTATGAGATGCCAAGGTAACAATTTTGTAGAGTGTTCCTTGTTCTTGTCTCTTGACATCAAGTTCATTTAAAAAAAAATGACTGACTTCAAAGCTTTGATGTTCGATCTCGGATCAGGTCTCACCAAAGTTGGATTTACGGGTGAAGACAGCCCCAGTAGCGTATTTCCGACTGTGGTTGGAAAGGCCAATCAAGGTCGATTGCAAAGCATTCGTATGTAATACATTTTTGTGAACTATTGAGGAAGTGACAATATTGAATTCACTTCCGCCGAAATCACCATTTCTTTCAAGCAGCAACATTGAATGGTACCAATAGAGAAATGATTGGTGATGAAGCAGTTTGTGCCACCTATAACACACTCTTCTCTCCCATACGACATGGAATTATCCAAGATTATGATCGAATCGAAAAAATACTCCATCACTGCTTTTACAATGAATTACGAGTTGAACCAGAGGACCATCCTGTCATTATGTCTACTCGTGTCCACGCTCCAAAAGCTCAACATGAAAAATTAACACAAATCATGTTCGAAACATTTGCCGTTCCTGGATTTTATATTGCTCAATCTACATTATTATCCATGTTCGCAGCGGGTAGAAATACCGGAATTGTTCTAGATTGTGGAGATGGTGTCACAAGTGTAGAAACTCTATCGAATGGTTATCACACAAAAATTGCTGCAAAACGTGTGAATATGGGAGGAAGTGATTTAGATGAATATTTAGCAACTCTGTTACAGGAACGAGGATATTATTTTTCAACAAGCGCAGAGTTGCATGTTGTGAAACAAATTAAGGAAAAATTATCATATTGTGCTCTTGATTTAGATGCAGAGTTGCAAACAGATAGAATGTCATCGAAATTAGAAAAAGCATATGAATTACCTGATGGAAATGTCATTTCCATTAGTAATGAAAGATTTAGATGTATGGAAGCACTTTTTAATCCTTCCTTAATCGGTAGAGAAGATGTTGGAATACATGAAATGGTTTTCAATGCCATTCAAAAATGTGATTTGGGAGTAAGAAAAGATTTCTATGGAAATATCTTGTTGTCAGGAGGAAGTACATTTTCAGAGGGATTTTCAGATCGACTGGTGAAAGAAATCACTTCATTGGCACCTGCTAGCATCCTTGTGAAAGTAGTGTCACCTCCTGAGAGGAAATATTCAGTTTGGATTGGAGGATCAATTTTGGGAGACTTGTCATCGTTTCAGCAGTATTATCTGAGTAAGCAAGAATATGACGACGAAGGACCTGCCATGATTCATAGAAAATGTTATTAATACCTTTAATTAAATCTTTCCTTTGATTATTAATCAATTCATAACAAGAATAACGATTGCGTTTACTCAATAAAAAGCTTCGCAATTTACTTCTTCAATCTCTGGGCATTCATGCTCTTTATGATTTCATAGATTGGAAATACTCTCTCAACAGTGTTGGTTTTCGAAGCAGCTTTCACCATAATTGCATACCCCTTATGGTAAAATTCAGGGTCGCACAACAAGTAGAATTCAGCATTACAAAATGTTCCTGGTGACTTGAATAACAAGACGGAGTTTTGTCGTTCTTTTTCATATCTAAATTTCAGCTCCAAGAGTGTAAATTTTTGTACAGCAGTTTGTGCCCCAGTTTTGAATAGGGATATGCCATCATCATTCAACTTGATACCAACAAATGCTTGTTCCAGGTTAGCATTGTCACTGCATTCTACAAAGAAGTCTTCATCCCTGAGTCCCATCAGCGTTTTAAATTGTTCATGGGTTTGATGTAGAAAAGTGGGAGCGGTATAAACAAGTTTGAGACTTTTTTTTCGCATCATGGAATCAGTAATGGTTAGTCGAACAGTTAACGGGTAAGGCATAGAGAACGGAATCATTTTCTTTGCTCTCTCAGATTGACAACCATCTTCAATCAATGGAAAAGATGTTACAATTTTGTACTCACAAGAGGTGGCACCAGCTCCAAGCATGAAATTGTTGCAAAAAACATACTTGCCATGGTAATCGCTCTTTTCAAATACAAGCTCTCTACCATAATTAAATGCCACAGTGGCAGCTTCCCAATAGGCAGCTTGAGTGTGGTTCATTGGTTTCCAATCATTGTCATGATCCGAATACTCCATTTGCAATGCTGTAATAGAAATTGGTATTGAAGAACAGTTTGTAAACGTAACATGCAACACTTCGAAATTAACGGTATTTGCACCTCTCTCCACTGCAAACGACGCACATCGTTCCTTAAAATTGTGCATGGAAGGCCCATTAATTTTCACACATGAATCTCCTTCATCAGAGTAACTGACCATCAAGCTTGGATCATTATTAAGCTGCTTAAGCGGTCCAGTTCCTGTGGTGATTGGTGGAAATTGTTTTGAAATTTTCTTGGAATAATAGTTAATCAAACCTGGAAAGTCTTTCGTGCTTGTTGGTTTTTCAAGGCTTAATTCAGAGGATGAAGATACAACTGGCAGAGATGTTGAAGGTTCGTCCAAAGGCATAACAACTACTCTTTCAATGACTTCATGTGTGGGGTTCTTCCTCTTGTGAACTTTGGCATCTCGTTCACATAACCCAATGACACAAGTGGTACATTCCATGACTGAGGCAATTTCTTCGTCCAAATCGTCAAGACATGTTTTGCAATGTTTTGTACTTTTTTGCTTTTCAAGCAATTGCAAACGAGCATTAAGTTTGTTCTTTTCTTCGCTATCTCGGGTAAGCACAGTTCCAGTTCTGGTTGGAATGGGTTCATAGGAGGCATAACCATACATTCTCAATGTACCTAACAATAAAAAATATGAAGAGGCCTCAAACTTCCAAAATCTTGCTTTGAACCCGGCTGGAGAATTATCAATTTCAAAATGATTCAAATAAGGATACCGTTTTGAAGTCTCAATCTCTTTGTGGAATGGAATCCATGGTTCGTTTGGTCTAATCTTGTAAAATACTTTCACATTGTTGAAATGATTTTCTTGACTCTCACCATCGTACAGACAATGAGTATAATATTCGAGATATTTGAAAAAGTGAATCTTTTCAAAGTTCACAATAAGAGTTGATCCTGAACAACAAACACCATACTCGGCGGAGTCATCAAGTAATCCTTCCAAGGTGTTTTCGGCCAATTTGGTGTCGTCAACTGAAGCTAACTTGTCATTATGGTTTTCATTGGAAGAAGAAATACTGCATGGAACAATGACATTGATTTCACTACCCTTGTAAGGTGTCAGATGTAAAGCTTCTTGTTCATCCCTTGAAAGCAACAAGCCCTTTGTGGTAGAGTATGGAATAAAAGGTGCAACACCAAAGAATTGAAGCATTCCGAACGCAATGTTTCCACAAATTCTTTCAATTTTCCAATATCTGGCTTGGATTCCTGGTTTGCTAAACTTCATTACATTCAGTTTTGGGTGGCCACAGAGGAGATCATCAAATTTCGTACATCTTGACCAAGAATCGCTTTCTTTCACTTTGTAGTATAATGTTAAATCACTCCGAATGGTGTCTGTGTTCGACAATTGTGGATGTTCCAAAAATTCCAAATATTTGAATAAGAAAACCGCTTCAAACTCCAGAATTATATAGGAATGAACTTGATGGGTGGTGGAATATCCTTTGGATCCAGTATCATCAATAAGCCCTTCAATTGTATTATCCGTTTGTGAGCCAAGTGCGGAACTGGTGATTCTAACTGGAGCAATGACATTCACGTCACTACAAGATGTTTCATCGTAGTATGGTTCTTCATCACTAGTGGGAACAATCTTTGGAATTCCAGAATGGTCTTGTCTAACAATGTGAATAATTTTCTCAGAATGCTCTATATCCTTAATGTTAAACTTCAACAATGGTGCATAGGCATAACATCGAAGCATTCCAAAACCGATTCTTGAGGTCTTCAATCCAGAAGGTGTTGTTTTTGTAAATCTGAAACATCTAGCTTCAATTCCTTCCAAGGAGACCATGAACACATTTTCAACATTAGTTTCCAGCTTGGTAACTTTGATGTTAGACGTTTGCCAAGGATCATTATTTTTCAATTTGTATTCAATTTTGACTCCTTCGAGAGTGGGAGAATCTTTACGCCCGTTGGATGTACCATGTTTCTTAATCTTGGGAAATTCTCTCCATGTGAATAGTGCAAATTTGTAAATACCGTCAAAACAAATTTCACACTGTGGAAGTGGAGAGTGATCAGTGACAAATCCATCACCACCTCCGTCACGTAAAATCTCGTCAATAGTGCTGTCATCCACTTTTTTATGATCAAGGGTATAAAGTGCCACTGGTTTGATGAGATTAATTTGATCGCAACCAGGGAATTTAAGCATAGCTTGTTCAGCAACTTGTTGCAGACTGGGAACAATTCCGGTCTTTGTTTGGATGGGAACATACGGTGTGTAGCCAAATATTCTCAGCATGCCAATTTCAATACATTGCTGTTTAGTCACTAATCTCCATTGAGTTGCCTTAATAGGTTTGTCGAACACAACCTTGTTCGTCAATGGACATAAATTAATATTTTTTTTTCCAATAGTTTTCACCCACGTCCATGCATCTGAATCTCTCAGTCTATATTCAATATTCACATCTCGCAAGTAATAATCGTTGTTGCTTGAAGTGTTCAATGTCATGTATTCCAAGTAGGTGAACAAATATACTTGGTCATAATTCAAAATTATCGAGTTATGATTGGGAGAAGTAACAAAACCGTGATCACCAGTATCATCCAACAATCCTTCCAATGTATTTTCTCGCCTTGCATCACCTTGGGAATCAATGGATTGGACTGGGACAAGGTTAACTTCTGGCCCAGTATATTTTGGTTCCCAAAGTCCTTGAGAGACTGTAACCGGTTGAGGATGTTGTGGTTGGGATGGTTCAACAAAGGTTGATGTTGTCGAACTGGCAACAACTTGAGATGGCGGAAGTGTGACAACATGAGGTGGAACAACACCAAAAGCTGAGGATGCAATTGTCTCTTCTTGAATAATCATTCCTGTTTTGGTGTGAATATTCACAGCTGGTGCGTCAAAAGCATACATTCTCAATTTGCCAAATGCAATCTCCTTCATTCCAAAACAATCAAATTTCCAATATCTTGCTGAAACGTTCAAATCAACCTTTAGCAGGCCATAACCTTCTTTGAAAAAATAAATATAAGTCCAAGGATCAGTTTCATTGGCCCTCCAGTACACATCAGTTCCTCTCACACGTTGTTGACCGTCGTTATATCTCTTGTTTTCGAAACACTCGAGATGAGAAAAGTGGTAAACTCGATCAAATTTTAACTCAATACAAGGTTTGTTCACATAAGTTGTGGAGCATCCGTAATCACCACTTTCATCCAACAACCCTTCGATGGTGTTGTCTGATTTGTCGCAAGGAGGTTGAATAATCAATTCGGTGGGTGCCACCACTAATGGTATTTTCATCTTGTGTGAGCCTTTTTGTTTGTGGAACTTGAGGGTTTAACGATTGTTCTTATGGTTCCCAGTGAAGAATGCTGTTAGAACGAACACAAGTGCCACAAGGTTCAACTTTAAACGAAATGTTACGTTTGTTGGTTGCATAGTTCTAAATAAGGTAGTTGTGAGATTTTGTACTGCTGCACTTGGACAATTGTAAACTGGTATTCTCTAGTTGTTCAAAATTAACATCAAATAGAGTTTTTCATTAAGGGCTGAACGGGATTGTTTGGTTTAATTTTTTCATTTTTTTTTACGGAAGAGTTGAATTTCCTCGGACAATAAATCCTGCTCTTGAAAGCGGCTCTAAACACAGTAAGCATCAGTGAATGTTTTCATCAAAAATGTATGATGTGTTGATAAGCATGGTTGTTCTTGCATTAGAAAAGTATTGTCAGTAACCCAAATGAGAATCAATTTACATTCCTGCTGATTAATGTTATTGATTGTTATTTTCACCCGATGAAAGTGAACGGGAGTGTTGTTTTGGCTTTAAATTAATTTTTTGGTGAAAATGAGAAAATTGCATTTTTTTCAACTGTCAACGAGATTGACCTCATAGAGTTGAATCTGTGATTCAAACCTTGTTGAGAACGAATCTATGAGGCATTGATTTATCCACCCAATTCGAACACACAACTCCGTACGGTGAGGCTTGAAGTCAAATTTCATTCCAAAGAAAATGGCTTGTTTGCCCATAATCTCAGCCTTTGTATTGATCCTTGCTCTCTATAGTTCAGTTGCGGCAGCAGCAACTCTCATGGATCGTTCCTTGTGGTTTGGTTCATCATCCATCGGACAAAGGATCATTTCACATCAAATGGTAAATCTTACCAATGCGAACCAATTCAAAATGGACACGCAGATTTTCAAAAATTCAAGCTTTCCTTCCTATTCGTTCATAATGGGTGATTTTCAACTCTTTGACGTTCAAGAAAACAGTGAAACTTGTCAACCAAAAAACGTAACATTTGTCAAGCTCAATTCATATGGAAATTCAATCACTATTGCCAGTTCTGTTCATCGAAACGATATAATGTTCATTCACGATTGTTTGCAAACAAATAAGGAAGATTATCACTTTTGTCAAACAACCTTGCAAGATACAAAAGGCATGGTTTGTTTGAAAATTGACGATGACATGAAAACAGATGGAGAATTTAAAATGGCCATCAATTTGAACCTATTCTCGTGTGTAGATCCAAGTTTTGAGTTGAAACCAACGTGTAATTTGACATCTTTAGATATTATTATGGTCTACAGTTATCCAGGAGATGGAGCTCGTCTACTGAGAAATGTTGCAGTCGCTGTTTTGGTGATATTGATCCTTGGTTGTGTTTCATGTCTTTTAGCATGTGGATGGGTGGCTTATTGTTGCATGATTAAAAGAAGAAAGCAAAAACTACTCCAAGGCACCAATACCAGACATGGAGATATTCAGTTAATCGACGAGGAATAATTGTGTTTGCGAATAAAGATCTTTCTTCAAATATTGTTTGGATTAGTGTCAATTTAACATGATCATTTCTCTCAACATGAATTCCATGATTTTGGCGCACGACAATTCACAATAAATTTATTCAGGAGTTGCCGAATTTTCTTGATAGATCTTGAGTCTATGACACGAAACGCCATTGCTTTTATCACATCCCATTTGAATTTCATTTCCTGCATGTGAATATCCAGACCACTTTGGTGGCAATGAGGTGAAGACATCTGATCCATCCTTGCCAAACTTATTCACAACACGAGCATGGTTTGGAATTTGTTCATTCATTGTCTTGGCAAAGGTGTCATCACCGACACGAGGAGAACCAAAGGTCACAACTTCCACTTTGGCACCATTTGGATTATTGAGTTTGTAATCAGCAGCGGCAAGTTGACTCAATGCACCTCCCTTACTGTGTCCAGTAAAAACTACCTTATCCACAAGTCCTCGTTTTTGATATTCTTGAATCGTCTTTTGAATGGCATTTCGATCTTCATTATATTGCTTCAAATATCCACGATTGACAGATCCAATCGATTTACCACCAAATGAGGCCTTGGTCAAAGGAATATCAAAGTTATTGGTCCAATCCTTCACTGAATTGGGTACAGTTCCACGATACGTGACCACCAAGGTCTTGTCTTTTGGATTATAAAATACCTTATTAGCAATCATTTTCGATTTGTGATCATTTTGCAACACCAATTGATATCCCTTATCTGTGAGTTTCTTGTCAGCAGAATTTTCATAAGCAGCTTCACTCACGAGAGATGACATTTTGATGACACCTGCAGTAATGGAACCAACGACCTTGTCTTTGGATTTCATGGATTTTAGAGAACCAACTTTCTTAGTTTGAATGTTACTGTCTTTGGTTTTAAAAGTTTTGATCGTCTTCTTGACAGATTCCTTCACCTTATTGAGGGTCTTCTTGACTGTTTGAATGACCTTCTTGGGTGAAATTTTGCCAACTTTGGACTTGAGTTTTTGCAACTTGTTTTTCAAAGATTCTTTCACCTTCTTAACTTTGGATTTAATCTTGGCCTTTGCTTGCTTGATTTTTTGCTTGACACTCTTCACTTTTTCTTTTACTTTTCGAACTTTGGTCTTGACCTTGTCTTTGATTTTTCTGACTTTGGATTTCACCTTTTCTTTGATTTTTCTAACTTTGGATTTCACCTTGTCTTTGATTTTCTTTGCTTTCGATTTCAATTTTCCTTTCACATCTCTGACTTTGGATCTCAATTTGTTTTTCACAGCACTCAATCCCTTCTTCAATCCTCGAGTCTTGACAAGAGTTTTGAATTTTTTCACATCTTGTTTGACCTTAGAGATGCCTCGTTTCACAGAATTTTTCAACTTTTTAACTCCACTCATCATTCGATCCAATTTCTTTCCAGCAACTTGTTTCACCTTGTTGACAATTGGATTTCTAGAAATTACTCTCTTGACAGAAGCTGAAGCTTTTTGTTTGACACTTCTCACAGTCGATCTCACTCGATTGAAACTTTGTTTGGCTCGTGAAGCGATTCGAGAGAAAAATCTTCCTTGAACTCGGGCACCGTGAACTGACCACGTGATGGTGTTTGATGTCGAATGCCATGAGTTCAATACAAAAATGACATTGAAAAACACCAACGCCAACAGACATGTGTACAAGAAGGTGGTGTTGGCGAGAGTGCCTCGTCCACTGGAACCCTGCAATTTGCTGTAGAAAAGCATCGGGTTCTGAGAAGAAGAACGGTTGTTGTTTGTTTTTTTCGGATGATAAAAACGAACAGAGTGACTTTGACGTTTGACGTTTTGGACATGTACGAAAATGAACCGATGGATGAGGCAATTAACAAAGAATCGTAATCGAACTTCTCTCGCTCACAAAGAAATATCAACCCTAAGGATATCCTTAATCTTTGAAAACATTCATTGAAAACATCAAAATATCAAATTTACTGAATGTCAGAATTAAAAATACTCTTCTTTGCTTGCTGTTGATTCTTATTCTTCTTCTTTGCATCTCCACTCTTCTTTAAATCACTATAACTCGATTCAAATAATTCCTCATCCGTGTCAAACGAACTATGAACTGGTTGTGCCAATCGATGGACATTTGAGGGAACTTTTTTAAGGATTGCAGTTTGAAAGACAATGGGTTCCTCGTGTTGTTGTTCGTGTTCGTCAACGCCACCAAATGCATTCTCTCCATGATTCCCGACGTCGTGGTGCTCATCGTCTTCATCATCATCATCGGACATGGAAAGAAGAGAAGGTTCTTCTACTTGAATGGCATGTTCATCAATTAATGCGTCATGATCATCATTGGAATTTGTTTTTTTCAAAGGTGGAGATAAAAATCTCACAGAGGGTAAGGTTTCTCGTGTTTTCAATACTGGATGAGAGGAATCAATGCCATTGTTGGAATTGAGATTGGTAGAATGATGGTTGGAAGGATGTGAAAAATTAGGAACGTCATCGTCGTCATCTCCAGAATTGGCAAGTAAGGTATGGAGAGAACGAATACTTTTAGAAGTGACATCTTCCTTGTCCAATTCTTCCAATCCATCGTTGAGTTTGATGTTTTTGAGTTTTTTCAATCGTTTAGCGAGAAGCATGTTTTCTTCTTCGAGTCGTTCTACTTCCTTCTTTTTCTTGGATAATTGTTCTTTAAGATCGTCCAATAATTTTTCATATTTCACTTCAGTGGCGATTAGTTTTTCAGTTGTATCTTCTAATTTCTTTTGAATGGCTGCAGAAGATCCTTCTTCCAATACTTTTTTAGGTTCCATTGGTTCATTCTTTGGTAATTCAATACTAATTCTCTTTTCTCGTGTGACCACTGTTTTTGAGACTGGTGGCGGTTTGGTAGAATTGTTTGTGGATGATTGTAATTCTTGAGCTTGTCGTTTCATGTCCATTTCAAAATCTCGTTGTTCACGTTGTAATTGATTGATCATGTTTTGTCTCATTTGTTTGAGTTCTCTATTGATTTTATCTTCTTCAGATTTTCTGAATTTCTCCAATTGTTGTTTGATGGATTCCATCTGATCATTTCTGTACGATTTCAACACAGAGTCAATATCTTCTTTGGTTAATAATTCGTATTTTTTGGAGACTTCTGGTTCGATATTTTCTTTGAATACTTTTCCAGATAGATGAGTAGTAGTAGTGGATTTGGAATGACCAATGTCATTGGATTTGGGAGATGTCGTCACTTGCTTGGAATCTTCTGGACTTGTCGTTCGTGTTGTTGTGACAGAGGTCAAAGTAGATCCACGAACAAATGTCACGGAATCGGAACCAACAGTCAATAATGGTCCTTTGTACAAGGCCTTTCCAGAAACACTTTCCGATAATTGAATCAATACTCGAATCAACGAACATGTCATTGGTGACGTGGCAGCACCATTCGAATCAGGTTGTACACACAATTTGTGAGTCTCCTTTCCATTCAATTGTGAAATAAATGAAGGACTCAATGATGCTTGAGTGATGAGTTGAGTCTAATGTTGTTGTTGTTGAAATACATCCGAATTGGGTCATTTCATTGGGTTTTAGAAAATGTTGTTGATCAATCATTTGTGTTTTTCAACAACAATTTTCAATCATTTTCGAGTCAATCTACTTACTGCTTCCTAAAATGTCAATGACATGATCATGTGTATGTCGTCGTAGTCACGTTGCAATATAATTTCACATGAGATTTAACGACATCATTATAATTTTCAACCAAATGTCAAACATTTCTCATTCTCACAACAACAATAAAAATACAAACCTTGACAAACGTTTCAAAATTCTCTTGTTCCATAAATTCAATACCTCTCGGATTCTTATTAAACATGATGAAACGACCTTTCAATTTTCCAACGAGTTTACACAATGCAATGCCATCTTTCAAACTTTTTAAAAAGGAAATGAGAGAGGAATCTTGGCCAAGAGAAACTTCTTCGGATTTGTTGGTCTCATTGATCCAATCTGCAACGGATTGGAGTGTGAGAGTTTGTGTGAGAATGGAATCTGGCAAGCATGATGACATTTTTTTTTGTGTGTGTGTTGTGATGATTGATGATCAACCTTTAATGACAGGTGACGGTAATTAGCAAGAAAAAACATTTTTAAAACCACAGGGTTGTTTGAGCTGGTGATGTCAAAATAGCCATGTTTTTTATTGAGTGGCCTAACGTCATTATGTAATACTCCAATCAAAAGAGTTAAAGTTCCGATAACTCCGCGCGATTCAATCAATTTAAAAAAAATTTGGAAAAATTTGTACCACACACGCAAACGATCGTGTTGTTTGATAATTATTTAAACCTAAACACTCCTACAATTATTAGAAACTAAATATTGTATTGGCTCTATTGTTTGAATTATTTTCAATTGATTTCATATCATCAATTCCGATTATCGGAATTTGAAAATTTCATCTAACTGTTACAATTTTTTAATAATAATTACTAACAATACTCTCATCCCGTAAACACATTTCTTACACACAAAATAAGGTTTGAAACATGACGCTGATGGAAAGAGATTACTCGTCAAAAAAGCTTCTCATTTCCTATCTCTCATCAGTCTATCAATGCAACAACAAGTATTTAAATTCAACATTAATATCTCAATCCAAAGTTCCGGATGATGTTTTATTAGCCATGAGAAAAGCTTGTGAGCTTTCGGAATTATTTAATGTTCATGAATTTAATGATCAAGATGATTTTGAAGAGAAGAGTGAAAATTTGAAAAGTAAGCGAGATGTAGAGGAAACTCAAAGCATCATCTCCAAGATGGCATTATCGAGCTCTGTAAGAACACCAGCTGAAGAGACACGGGACATGACAAGCATGATGGAATCAAGTTCGAAAAGTGCTTTTTGTTTGCCATCACCTGAGGAAATACATAATGCTCTCGTGGCAGCTATTCCAGCATCGAATAGTCAGAAACCTTCGCCGTTATTGTTTAAACAAATTCATGCCAAGATTTTAGGTTGTTTTCGAACGGATTGGGAAACGATTCGAAAATTTAAAAGATTTTCAGAAGCATTTAAAGAATGGCATAAGAAAGATTCCATGTATTCAGTGTTTGCCAAAGAGTTTGCCATTATGAAAAAAATTAAGGAATTATCTCCACCCTCAATCTCTAAAGATGACAATACTGAAGATGACAATTCGCTCGAAGGTATTGGATTTCACACTTTGAAGTTTGACAAGAGAATCTCGAAAAGGAAGAACAAAAATAGGTAAGCACAATGGTGAATTGGTTGGAATTTTCATAATATTGAATAATTGGGAATTTTTGTTATACATTTGCATATCACAAAAACATTTCTAGATTATCCACACTCATGCAAACATTTTATGAAGAAGAATATGAAACTGTAATCGAATGTCTTTTTCACAAACAAAATTCAGATCAATGCATCCAGCCATGGCAAGACTTGTTTATTCCTGTTTCTGCTGTCTTTTGTACAGATCATATGGAATCTTGCTTGAATATCAGTTTAATGGATTCACACAGTGCTAACCCAAGTAGTTCTAAAACTGATGCTCTCAGTTTTATCGACTGCGCCACACTAATGAATGAATGTAACGCATTTATGGAACAAATGTTTCAGGAAACGAAAGAAAAAAAAATATAAACTTGTGTGATTTTATTGTTGATGATGACGTAGCAATATAATTATCGTTTATGAAAGCATTCATGCTGTTAATTGACAATTTCTGAAAGACGTGTCTTTAAATTTTTGAGCGTAATTGGCTTGTAAAGCACGTCACTAAAGCCTTGAGCCAACAGTCGTTCCTTAGTTTCCCAAATATTGGCTGTCACTGCAACTACAGGGGTTTTCGTAGAAGAATCTTTTTGAAGTTGGGAAATCATACTACATGCTTCTTTTCCATCCATTACTGGCATGAGTAAATCCATTAAAATAATTCCATATTGATTTTGTTTTTGTTTGAACTTTTCAACTCCATCCAATCCATTTTCACAGCAATCAACAATCTCAAATCCAATACCTCGTAACATCTTGGCTAATACTTTTCTATTAATATCATTATCTTCAACGACAAGAGCAGCTTTTTGTGTTGTAGAAGTGTTATCATCGATTTGGTTTGAACTAGAGCTTTTCTCGTCACTGCTCATCAAAGGTAACTCGATAGGTCGGCTTTTCACATAGAATAAGAGAACTTCTAGCAAGTCCTTAAATCGGATTGGTCGTGACAAGTATCGATGCTCCGTGTACTGTCCTCTATTGTTCATTGGAATTAAAACGCAGTCTTTGGCAATTGATTCAAACGCTCGTGAATCACACACGGCTTGATTATAGATAACGATCGAAAGTTTTTGTTCTTGGGAGATCTTGATTTCACTGACCTTGTCAGTAATTACAAATTTTGAACTTGGAAATATGAATGATAAATAAGGTTTCAACACGAGTGGTGTCAATGGATTGGAATCTATCAGGTAAAAATCAGGAATGCAATAATGCACCGCCTCGTGTAACTCTTTGGAGCACGCACTGATACTTCTATTTTCTGATTTGTATTCGAAATCAGAAGTGATCAAATCTACTTGTTCTGACAATGGTAAATTCTTTAGAGGTAAAATTACTGTCACTTTGGTACCACGACCCAACTCGGAAGAAACAAGTATTTTGCCACCCATCAAATCTACCAAGCTTTTTGTAATGCTGATTCCAAATCCTCTACTGGTTGAGCCGTCATGTTCACTGGATGATTTGTCATCAATAACAAGATCAGAATTGTTTGACAATGATTTGACAAAATACTGTTCAAAGATGGGGTTAAAATTTGCAACGCTGCCCTGAATTGCTGAACTCACTGTATCTGAATCGATTCGATAAAAGGGCTTCTTGAAAAGGTTCTGCTGAGTTGCGTGTGACATTCCAATGCCTGTATCCTCGCAAACAATCTTGATATACGTGTACTGAGGATCCTCTCTCATTTTGAGTTGCTTCAGCTCACTCTTTGTGCACGTGTCACATGAAAGAAAAACAAAACCTTTTTCAGTAAATTTGAGTGCGTTAGAAACAATATTCACCAAAATTTGAGACACTCGTGTTTGATCTCCAAGGAAGTTGTACTTTGACAAGGAATTAAAATTATAGCAAGATCCTATGGAAATTCCTTTTTCATCTGCAGCTCTACCAAACACTGAAATCATATTCTCAATACATTCAAGTAGGCTGAATTTGTTCTCATTGAGCTTTATCGATCCTAGTTCTAAATTGCTCATTTGCAAAGATGTTGAGAAAATATGAAGTAGTAATGTAGCATTGTAGTAAATATCATCAAGAGTTTCTTTCAAAGCTTGGCTGAATACTTGTTGTTGATTATCAGTAGAATTGATTTCGTTCTGCAATAACTGCACAGATAAAAGAATGCCTTGAAGTGGGTTTCTGGCTTCATGAGACAAGTTTCCAATAAATTTTGTTTTTGAGGTGTTCATGATTTGTTGTTTGAGAATTTCGAATTGTTTTTTTGTGTTCTCGTCTCCTTGTCTTTCCATCATGTATGAAAACTATAATTTTATGTCAAAAGGGCACTAAATAAGCCACTCGGCCTCGTCCCACTTTGATACTTACCTGATAAGATATTACAAATATTATAAACTGCAACCCAATAGTCTCTAGTATCTTAGTTTTGGTAGCATAAAGTACGAATTCATCTTTGGTCCTTTCAAACTCCCATAATGCAGCAACATGCATTGCAAAACACGTGCCCACCATGTTGATGATCGTGTTGATAATTGAAAATTCTCTTCTATAGTAAAAAATATTTACAACAATTATGATTGGGAATGTTTGTAAAATCCAAAATGGGAAAAAGGGACCATAATAAAGTTGAACAAGCAATCGAGCAACAAATGCGAAAAACATTCGACACATGTTAATTAGTTCAAGTTTGAATATGGATCGAGAATTGGTTGTACATAATATGTGGTCCACAGTAATGTTCATGCTCATTTCCACTATGAATCCAAGCCAAAATATGAAATAACTGTGCGTTGTTGGATTAATAAAAAAGTAGGTCATAAATATCAACAGAATTGCAATACCAATCATTAATTTTGGATTATTCTTTGCGAGTTCTTCATGCCTTGACTTGAATTTGATAATAAGCGACTCGTCATCTTGCAGACTTTGTCTTCGTTTTTGTGAGTGCACATCTGGCGATAAAGGGGTGTTGCAGTCTTGTGATGAATCTTCCCCGAGTAAAGTTACGATTTTTGGGGAAAGTAACAGCGAAAATAATGTTACAGTATACATGGCTAGTTTGTCAAAAAACCATGACATATAATTTTGATGAGTTTTGTTTGTGTTTGACGTCAGTAGTGATTCATTGTGTCGCGGGAGAGCTGGGGTAGATTTTAAGTGATGATTTGGAATGCAAGTAATAGAAGGAGTGTCAGACGGCGAAAGGCCAAATTCTGTGGTGTGAAAGGAAGAGGATGAGGATGAACTGCTGGAAGGGGTGTGCTGATGAGCAACAGGTAGCGTGGATGATGTCGTTGATATGAATGCATTTTCATTTGGAGTGGTGACAAATAAACTTGATGTGCGAGTTGGGGATGGTTGTGAAAGCAGAGGAGTCGTGGTTGAAGAGAAACGTTTTGTGCTTGAAAGTTGTTGTGAATGATGATCATTGAAGGGTACACCAATGGTTGGAGGCGTTGATGACTCGGCCGAATCCAATGTTAGCACATCATCCAAAATGTTTTGAATACTCATGTTACCTGAAGAATTAGTAGTAGTTGATGGAGAAGAAGTTCTACTCGGTGAAGAACGAGGAGAATAATTCAAAAAGAGGTTGGGATCGAGATCCATGGAGAGGCTAAGTTGGTTGATGGCTCTCGAGTTGGTTCTTGTATGATGTTGTGCTGTAGTAGTAGTAAACTCCGAGTTGTGTATGAGGCTGTTATTGTTCGCTCTAGACCTGTTCTTCCTAATTTGTTGCGGTTCACGATCATCATCTTTACCAATAATACCCAAAGTATCATCATTCGGAAACACACTTGTTGTTCCATGGAGAAGTGAAGATGACGTTGGTGATGTTGTTGTCGTGGTGGTGATGATGTATGAAGATGCAGAGAGAACATCTCCAAGTGCTGAACAATTAGCAACGGCGGAGGAATTGTGATCATTCATTTCGTCGTTGGTCGCGCTCATTTTTTAGTGTTGTTGCAACTGAACTGCAGAGTTTTGTATCATGCGCTCGAGACCTATTTTGAAAGTGTTAAACATTGTTCTTTGGGATAAAATCAATAAATGTGTGTGCTTGTCGACGTGAATACAACTTGTTAAATTCGAAAATTTCATCAATTACACCAAGTAAGAATACGATTGAAGTCAACAGGTATGGAAATGAATGGTGGCAATAAATAAATTGAAAGACGTCAATCCTCAATTCAATGTGAATGGTAATCTTGTTCAAAACACCAAAACAATTCCAGAGAAGGGAACAGCTACAAAATTGTGCATATTGAGAATATTCAGATTACTCGTCAACAACATCCTTCTTATCATTCAATTGCTGTTTTAAACCTTCAATTTCTGCTTTCAGCTGTTCAACCTCACGAGTGTCATTCGAGAGAACTGTTGCTGTTTTATATTTGAGTCTCTAATATATGTAAGGTGCGACCATTAAATGCATGCAATCATCAAATAGCATTTCGATGTAATCAATATTAATTTCTTGACATGCGAAAATTTGAAAATAATTGTACATACATCTTCATTGGATCCGAAATCTAGGAGAAGTGTCATGCCGAGATTCATAATAAAATGCATAATAAATTCCCATTTCATACGTATGCCCGGTGATGTCATTGTTCACATAATAATTATTAAATAATATTATTCCGAATATTGAAATGAATCGTTTCAAATGACGACCAATAATTTGTGCAAAATTTCAATTGCATCATGTTGTGAACAACCACATCAGCACTATTTTCCAATAACAACACCTTCCACTTACATCTCTTAAACAAGGGCACTCCGAAAGCCACCATTCCCATCAAACCCCAAATCATGAATTTAATTCTCTTTCTCAAAAATTCTCTCTGTTGCAAACGTTCCTGTGGAGTTAAGAGCGCCAATTTGGAATGATCAGGTTTCAACCACTCTCCCGAAAATACCTTCCGAAAGTATTCCTTTGTGAGTGATACCAGCGATGCACTCTCGCTCCCGATCTTTCTTCTCGTTTGGTTGCTCATATTTTTATTTTGGATGACCGACCTTCAGTGATGATTGGAACCAAGTGACATGCAGAGTGGATTTCCATCCATTCCTCATCGCAGGAGGATTGTATTGGAACAGAACAAGCTCAAAACTGGAATGATGATCGTTAGGAAAGAGAGAGAGAGGTATCTTCTTTCCAAAAGCATTATTATTTTGGGACGACAACCAGTACTTGTTCTTCTCTATGAAAGCCTTTGAAAGGAAAAGTAAACAACTATCACAAAAAAAAAGCAACCAACGATTTTCTCCCCTGCATTTGTGTCTTATTGGCATTGAAATTTCTTTTCTGGTCAGAGAGAGCGACAGCTTTTAGTACGACACCATAAAATCGCAACACGATCGTTCATTTGGTGGTTGTTGCAATCATCATCATCATCAGCCGTACATTTGTTTATATATACATTTCAACAAGTTAAATCTCTTTTAATTTATTATTGACAGCAGTCTCGCTCGGACAACATGACACTTTCCAATCACAACAATCATCATAACAATCATCGTCCTCCTCGTCCACTGCCACCCACTCCCAACAATCAAAATATACCGAGTAGCAGTACTACTTCTCAAGTACCATCATCGTCGTCGCCATCTTCAACAACAAACACCTCTCATGAGCAAAAAAGAAAATCTGTTGGACATACAACATCCAACCAAAATCCCTTCACAAATACATTTAATACAACAGGATCATCTTCAGTTACGGTTGTCAAACAATCGAATGGATCAACGATGAGTGATAATGTGACCTCACGAAGAAAGTCTCCATCGTTTTCGACATCACCCAACTCAATGACACCATCATCGACCACCAATCCAACTTCTCATCATTCTTTTGGAAGCACAGGCACTACGGTCAATACAAGTGACATTTTCGCTCAAAATAATGTTGCAACCATTCCTTCTGCAGTGTCTCTCCACCATTATAATGGTCCAATAATTTATTTGAGAATTTCAAGAGTTGATTATTTGAATACATATCCTGTCAACTCGAGTAGCTCATCAAATTCCACAACGTCAACACCATCCGTCAATAATAATAATGGATCTTCCACTCCTAGCAATAACAACACGACCTCTACCACGACGCCTTATGGTCTGAATGTTTTCAGTGCATTTACATCCGTATCGAACAGTTCATCAAGTCCCGGAAGCTACAATAGTTACATTGAAAAGGCATCCAAATTTTCAATTTATAATCCTTACATTGTAGTTCAGTATGGAAAAGTGGCTTCAAATCTCCCAAGCAACAGTATATTGACAAGCCCTTCTGTGAATGGAAGTGACAATACCAGTGGTGCAAGTAGCACCAACTCACCAACATCCGATGACGGTAATGTTTTTGTGTTTGAACAAAAAACAAAAGTAGTTCAAAACGACATTTTCCCAATTTGGAATACGTGTATGGAGTTTCCCTTGTTAAATTCCAAGAGCTCTCTTCCCTATTTATCTAAATATGTTCCATCAAGTTTATTTTCCAATGCAATCAATTCGTCACAGAGTGGAGAAGTTTTGAATCAGCCCATTGATAGCGGTTCAGTTGTCACGTTTAAAGTCATGAATCAAAATCGTTACAGAAAAGATACTGTCATTGCGCAAGCCGAGTTAAAATTGTCAGAATTATCGTACTTGAGCAAGGATGAAAAAGTTTCATTGAAAATGAGAAAACCTGGTGAAGTGTTAGCAAGTGGCAAAACCGATCTCTTGTCACCAGGAGATATCGTACCTGATACATGCCCAATCTTACATTTGGACATTAGAGTTGATTGGACCGACAAGTACTACAAAAGAAATGGCGATGACGACTCGGCTCATGGCTTTTCGAGTTGGAGCGATGCCATTTCTCACATCCAACATCAAGAAGATGCCAAAAATCAGGAAACGAGCGATGATGAGGACGATGATGACGATCCACTCTTCCGAAAGAAACAAATCACACCTGAAATGCAACTGAAAATTCATGAACGGATTTTGAATCAATGTGAAGTGTTAAAGATGATTTCTCTGTTTGTACCAAAGAAGTGGCACATACTTCCAAAGCCTGACAAGTTAATTCTCATTTCCCCAACTCAATTTTTGAACGAAGAAATATTCACCGATAGCATCAATATTTATTACGTCTATGAGCAAAATTCAATTAATGTCATGGAAGATATGTTGAAAAATTGTGAAAAACGACCCAATTTTGAAGTGGTGATCCCACTACACAAATTTAGAATGCTCTCAAAATGGGAAGGTTTCCGATTTTCATGCTACTATTCTCTCTACAAGAAAGTGTTTCTTCAAGACGTTATTTGTATCCAGTCAAATATTGGAATTACCTATGTGTTTCAATATGTGACTAATTGTGGAGGCCATAACAAAGCTATTTTAGAAAAATTGTTGGAAAGAGTTACTCTGCAACCAACCCTTTATGCCAAAGAGTTAGATCGGCCAAAGATTTGGTGTGGAGCAGTTCCTCTAGGCTGGAGAACGTTCTCCAAAGATCACATAGTCACACTGGTGTCTCCATTTCAATGTAATTCCAAACTTTCATGCACGGACAATATTCAATTACAACCATTCCTTGCAAATATGACTGTATTAGACAGAATTCATTTCATTCTTGAGAAACTGAAAGAAATACCAGATTTTGACAGCGTTGACATCATTAAGGAACCTTTTTCGACCAACCTCTTTGATCTCGGTACGCTGAATGAAGATGCACTCAATGCATATACGACCGGAGAACAATGTGAAGCAGTACCTGAGAATGAAATATCTTTTGAGCCTCCCTTTATTAAGGAACGTCGAAAAGCTATTACAAGCTCTTCCATGGTGTCACAAGACAATTTCGAAGAGGCATATGGAATTATATTTGCAGTACGACTGAAATCAAAGACACCCAATGTTGAAAGCAACAGCAACAACAACTCGAGTTCTCCATCTCAACCCAATAACGATACTTTAACCATTTATTATCAAAAATCCATTGTGATCAAGATGAAAAATGTGGACTATCAATTGCATGCATTCTACAAGTCATCATTCAGTAATTTACCATCAGAAGGAGCTCTCAATCGATTGGTCCAAGCTCTGAAATTGAGTCAGTAACAGATTAATATTAAATGAACATTCCTTGAATGAACTATTGAAGACTCTGGTGACATCCCACCACTGCTGAATAATGAGTCTATTTGTGTGTGAGACCATCCATACTGTGAATTTCACAAATTTTGTTTGGTCGATCCGATGTCCCCTATCTTTGCCTTTTTCAAACAAAAAGCAACTATCTTTTCCTCCACATGTCAACTGTTATCGTCATGAGCAAAAAATGTCCAAACGAAGTTTACACATTCGCAACCCTGAGTCCACTCAATTCCTCACAATCATCACGACATTCCTCTCTCGGCCTCTCTCACAAAATTCATCTCCATGGCCAACTCGATATTGCTTCTCAAGACGTTTTTCAATTATTTTCATTACAAAATGTATTGACCGATACCAATCTCATTCATAAAACCATGCAAGAGTTAAAAGTTGGAAAGAAATTAAAATGTATTCGGTTAGGAAAGGTAGAAAATGTTTCATCGTCATCCTCTTTGGGATCATCACCAACGAAACATTTATTTTCAAATTCGGCGTTATCGGGATCGACATCGACGTTTTCACAATCGACGACAACGTCAACGACAACAACAACGACGATGATGATGACCACAACGAATAGTTTGACACCGGAACATTCTCGTTTTTCATTTCCGTTTAAAAAACAAGACAAGTATAAGGAGTATTGTTGGATTTTGGATGAAAATGAAGCATATATTGAGATTAAAGATTCGAAAAAGAAAAAATTGAAAGCATTGAGTATGTAGTAGTATTGATGAATGAATCATTGTTGTGAAATTTTGAAACAATTTCATGATCATGACCGTGTTTGTTTCACACAAATTTGTGGAACTTGATTTTTGTTTGACAACTGACATTTACCTTTGAACAGTTTTCATTCGTGACATTCACCGAATTGAACATCCCAAAATTGGCCAAACCATGGACTCTAAAGAAAACGAATACTCTCTCACAATGATCTACTCATCAGGCAAAACACAACTCGCACAAAAATCTTCCATTGCAATCGAAGAACGAATGGATGTCGTGGTTGGTACTCAACGAGAATTTTACATTTTACTTTCCATTCTCAACTTTTTGATCTGTCAAGCAGATGTCAAGAATGCAAGAGATCCGACAAGTTTGCAAATTTTGAAATGTTGGATTGGCACGCAAGTGAATCATGATGGACATTTGGATTTGAAAGAATTAGCCAAGTTGTTGAATAGGATTAATATCGATTTTCCTTTGAAATTACTCAAACAGTAGGTGTTTATTTTTTGTGACACCGTTTTCAATATCGTGATATATTTTGTTTCAATCTTTTTCACATTCGTTGTAATGATGGAATAATAACTATTGTGTAATTTTTAATTTTATTTTTTCACTAGAAAATACAAACAAGCCGATGTGGATGGAACTGGTTACATTGAATTCAATGAATTTGAAGAATTTTACTACTCTCTCATTTATAAGGAAGAAATTGAAACTCTACTTTTTCGAAAGTTTGCAAAAAATCAGCAATTACTCTTTTTAGAAGATTTTCACAATTTCCTCCAAAGTCAAAGCAAACACGAAATCATTACTCAAGAATACGCTGAAAATATTATCAAGAAATATAATCCAATTTATTATAATGACAAAATTGGATTGCGATCTCACGACTTTGCTCGATTTTTACTTTCTGGAGAAGATAATCCCATTCTAGATTTGGAATTTAAAAAACCAAACACTCAAGACATGAATCAACCACTAACTCATTACTACATTTCATCTTCACACAATACGTATTTAACAGGTCTACAATGGAAAGGAGAAAGTTCAGTTGAACAATACAAGAATGTTCTCCTCACAGGTTGTCGATGTGTAGAATTGGATTGTTGGGATGGTCCAAATGAACCTATTATTTATCACGGACGAACATTAACAAGCAAAATATTATTTCGTGACGTGATTATCATGATTAATCAATATGCATTCGAAGCTTCTGAATATCCGTTAATTCTCTCACTCGAAGTTCACTGTAGTGAGCCACAGCAAGAAATGATGGCCAAAATTATGTGTGACATTTTCGGAGATACTCTATTGAAATCTTTTTTTGAGAATGGACAAGAAATTAAACAATTACCAAGTCCCAATGAATTGAAGAGAAGAATCATTTTGAAAGGAAAAAAGCATTCAGAAATGACTGAAAATGGAACTGAAGAATTTATCAACGACTCGGACGAGGAAGAAGAAGACGATGCCAGTAGTGCCGTAGGAGGTAGTCCATCTCCAGTAAAATCTCCACAACCACCAAAGAAATCAATTACTCCTTCTGCAAGTTCCACAACTAGTGTCAGCAGCAACAGCAACAGCAACACGAGTGACACTAAAAAAAACACAACCAAACGAAAAGTAGCCAAAGGTCTCTCCGATATTATTGCATGGTGTGGAATTTCATTTAAGGGTGAATTGAGTGCTGTGTGTTGGCACCAACATTCATTTTCAGAGGACAAGTTGAAAAAATTAGTTCGAAAAGATCTTCAAGCCATTGTTAATTACAACAAGAATCAATCGTTGAGAATTTATCCAAAAGGAACTCGAGTAGATTCAAGTAATTATTGTCCCAATATAGGATGGGTCACTGGCTGTCAACTCGTTGCTCTCAATTATCAAACCTATGACGAACATATGAGATTTAACGAAGTGAAATTTGAGGAAAATGGAAAATGTGGATTTATTTTAAAACCAGATTTTTTACGATTGGATGGATTACCGTACCCATCGGCACGTACACACAAACCTATTTATTACTCATTGTTTACCATTTGTGCTCAAAATTTACCAAAATCTTCAGCATCGACTCGAGGAGAAGTTTCAAATCCATATATTCGAGTTCAAGTGTTGGGAATTTATCAAGATTTATTTGAGGATCGATCTGATATTGTCTTTGGAAATGGATTTAATCCAACATTCAATAAGGTTTTTTATTTCACCATTTTATGTCCAGAATTGGCTTATATTAGAATTTCCATTTATGACAAACAAAAGTCCTCGGATGTATTTTTATGTGAAAATTACTTGTATGTGAAACATTTGAGAGAAGGTTATCGATCTGTTCCCATGCTCGATTCATTTGCCAAACCCATTGAAAATTGTTCAATTTTATGTGAATTAAGGAAAGATTCAACTTGTCTTCCATTACCATCCTTGTCGATTGAAACGACTGCATTGGATGATGCATTGAGACTTCCATCGACTTCGGAAATTGCAAATGTTTCAAAGAAGATACTAGTTGCGAGATCGAATCACTTGTCGAGTTCAGCATCTTCTTCGATGGCAGATGACAGTTTTGAAGATTCTTCCGATTCGACTTCGAATGGAAGTCAAAATCATTCGTCATCGACTTCGAATTCCAATTTCTTACCTTCTCCTTCCTTATTGGCCATGTCGAATGATAATGATATGCATATGGGTGGATATTTGGAAAAAGTTGTGGCTTTGGATGATGGAAGTTATTTGAATATTGCAAAACGATTGGAAAATGGTTCGATTCCGTTTGGTTCTGTGTAGAAGAGGTTTCCAAAATTTTGAAAATTAAAACAGTGACATTTGCTTGATGTTTGTTTGACAATTTGACATTGAACCCTGTTTGGAAATTGTAAATCAAATCGTTAAAATTTATTCCAAAAAAAAATGTCGTCATCTTCGAGTCATCACAACACCACCGAGAGTCGATCATCATCCAATCATGATTTCATTTCTCTCTTTCTTTCCACATTTTCATTATCGGAATTAAATTCTTTATTCAATGACACAAAAACACAAATTCATTCTTTGATTCAACACGTGAAAGAAAATCATACAAGCATTATACAAAAAGGACTTTCTCATGAACATGTTCGATTTGTGAGTGTACTCTTGTTGGCAGTGTTGAGCGTGTTGTGTGTGGTCTTTCCTGGAATTTTGAGTTTGTTTTTAACGTTAAATTTTGGATCGTTTGTATTTAGTTATGGATCGGATGAAGCTTCTATTCAATACGCCACTCAGTGTCAACGTGTTTCACATGAATTTATTAGATTTATTGGAGTTTTGATATTTCCAATCATGGTGTTAAATTTTCTTTCGAATCGGTGGAATGACAAGGTTCGAAAAGATTTTACGATGGTAATGATGGTCTTGACAGGATGCCTTGCATTGATCATGCTCTTTTCTCTCGTTATATCAGGTGGAGCAATTTCCAAGCTTTCCTTATTGATTGGATTTGCATTGACTGGAGTATTGTGTTACTTGAATTTTAAATTGTTGTAATTGTTTTGTGACAAATGATTGCAAAATTCCAACAAATTGTGCATTAATTTCAGTAAAAAACACGACAATTGAAAAGAACGTGCTTTACTTTTTGGAAGAAAACAACTTGACAAAATCGTACAAACTATCAACCTCTCCCATCAAGAATTTGCTATGCGATGGAAGGAATTTGATCAGCCAATAGATATTCACACACCTCTTCCATCCTAAAAATGGGATTGCAAGAATTCCCTTATCATCTTCAATCACTGGGAAGCTTCGAGTCAGGTAATCAGGGAATTGTTTGGCAGCTCTCATCATGAGTGGATAATGTTCCAAGAAATATTTATGATCGGCTTCAGTGAACGGTCTAATCCTCAACTCTGCACGTGGATCAGTGTCAACTTTTCCATCAAAGTTTGGAATAAATACATTGTCATATTCAGGTTGTTTTTCTAATGTCAGTTTCTTTGAGTAGGTTATATTTTTCTCAGACGTGTTCATCTTGTTATATTGGAATAATTGAATAAAGAATCTATTGTCCCAAATGACTCCATTATCATGGAAATGAATGGGTACATGCTTCTTTTTTCTTCTCAAAAAGCCTGTATCTCGAATCACATACAGGACCTTCTTGTCAGGAACAAGCAAGGTACCACCAAGGGATCGTTTTGTGCTGGGCAATGACCGAACGACATTCTTCAACGAGTTTAGAGAAATAGGCAAGTCCTTATTGGTGACATATTGAATAAGAGAATTAAGAGCGTTCAATGCTATAAATTCTGCAGTCTTCTCTAAACTGTAGAAATAAATTCCTGCAAATCCAAACTCGTCATCAAATCTGACATAGCGATTGAAAAAGTTGAGCGTTTCACGAGCCATAATATGACGTATTGTTCCAACAGTGAGCAACAAGTTATAGAAATTGCTTGGAGCGATTCCAGAGCTGTACAAGGCTCCCAATCTTGATCTAATGATAGCTCTGAATTCTGATTCTGCGCTATTCTTTGGATCTTCAACCCATTTAATGTTGTGTTGCATGCACACAGCTTTCAACTCTTGTGCATCAAATACCAATCCAGGTCTTGTTATCACAATGTTGGCCTCAGCAACACGGTAAGCATGAATGAGTGGAATACCATTAAGTCCGGAAATACCACTTGCAAAAGCTATTCTGTGAATTATTGTTTCAATGTTATCTTGCTTGTGATGTCCAGTAATGACAAGATCAATTTTTTGAGAGACGCATTCTGAACTGACAATTAATTGACGCTTCATTCTGGCGTATCGTTGTTGCTTCTTTTGGTCCATGGACCAAATCACCTTGGCACATGTAACATGGTTGTATTTAAGCTGGGTGCTGAGTATTTCATGAACGTAGAGCATTTCATGTTCAGATTCAGGTCTAATTTGATGATCCACAGTAATGGCAACCAACTCTAAATCAATACCTCTCTTTTGTTTCATGTGGTCACGCCATTTGGAAACCAGAATTGCTGTTCCCATAGAGTCTCCTCCTCCACTCACACACACGCAAATCTTTGAAACTGAAACTCCTCTTTGTTCCACTCTTGCGTAAATCTTGTCAAGCACTGCAAAATACTCTTCCGTGTTGATTGGAGAAACTGTAGATTTGTTTGATGGAGAAGCTGGTTGTGTACTAGATTTTCTTGCCAGTTCAAATGGAAATTCTGAAATTATGGAAGGAGGACTCATTAAATTTGGTAAATTGCGTTTCATTTGTTGTACTTCTTCTTCAGTGAACTTGCGATAATGTCTGTTTCGTTGCATATATGTAGCAAGAGTAATTTCAGCCATTTGTTCAAATGATTCTGATCCTTCTCCCGATGAGCCACTAGGCAGCACATTATCTTCACCTGATTCTGAAAGCAAGAGGTCCACACCTTGAGTGGCTTGTGGTTCAGATTGAGGCTCACAAAGACTTCGGGATGTGTGGTAACCTCTTCTTTTCATACCACGATGCCTTGTTTCATTCATAGTTAAACTCAACAAGGAGAAGAGGCTTGTGTTGTTCGTGATGGAACCCGAATAACATGTTGTTGAAACGAATCCTCTATTTTTCGTATTTTCCATCAAGGATGATGAGAACAAAGTTCTTCTTTGTGTTACTACCAGCGCTTCATGATGATGATGAATGTTTGAAAATAAAAGTGAAGAAGAGCCAACACGAGGATGACGAAGAAGGAGTTTTTTCATTTTTTTTTAAAAGTTATTTCAACATTTTTAAATAATCAAATTGTTGAATAAATTATTACATTATGAATTTATGACATTTAATTTAAATATTAGAGAAATGCTTTTGCTTTGGAAACATGATTTGAAAGCCAAGGAACCAAGAACTCTGCCCGTTTTTTTTACCATTTTTATTCTTTTCAACGAGTTTTTGACCAAATCCTCTCCGACTCCATAAAATTCAAAAATCAAAAAAAAATTCACAATAATTTCATCATGTCATCCTTGTCTACGGAGCATCATCCAGTTCGTCAAATTAATCTTCAACTTGCTTTACAGGTTGCTTTGGAGGCATGCCGATTGGCTGCTTTGGAAATTCGGGAACACTTTGCATCTCAACAAAAAACCTTTCTCACCAAATCCACCATCATTGATATGGTCACTCAAACCGATAAACGGGTAGAGGAGATTGTGAGCCAACATTTATTAAAAGCATATCCCGATCATCAAATTGTTGGAGAGGAATTTAATAATAAGGATACAACCTTATCCAAGAATGGATATTGTTGGATTATTGATCCGATTGATGGAACTACAAATTTTGTTCATAGAAACCCAAATGTCTGTACGAGTATTGCATTGGCTTATTGTGGGAGTGTCGTGTTAGGTGTGGTTCATAATCCAATTCTTGATGAAACTTTTTATGCTATCAAAGGAGAAGGCTCTTATCAAAAAACTCCATTCACTCAACAACAATTTGAAAAATGTATCATTAGTCAATGTGATTCAATTTCAGGTTCATTGTTGTCGAGTAATTTTCCTTACGGTAGAACAGAAGATGTGTTGACATTGGTAGAAAAGAAGTATGGAGCTTTCTTGAGAATGGGATGTCACGGAATTAGAGGTAGCGGAAGTGCTGTCATTAATTTGTGCTATGTTGCAAATGGATCCCTCGACGCCTATTTTGAAAATGGAATTCAAATTTGGGATATGGCTGCAGGAAAAATTATTGTCGAAGAGGCTGGAGGAGTTGTGTGTGATCCGTGTGATTTGGAAAAACCTGAGGAAATTCTTTTGCAAAATCATCGATGTCTTGCCACGAGTACAAAACCATTGGCCATTGAAATGATTCAAGTTTTGAAAAAGATCGAGGAAGAGCATTAAAATATTTATTATGACTAAGGTAACTACAATTTACCTCAATTCCATTTTGGATGATGACATGAAGATCTTGTCATTGAATGCATTCATATGTTCGTACATTGAATATACTTAATTGTGACACGGTGAGTAATGAGAGAATCATATGGTATCATTCTTCATCGCTCTGCGTTTGTTAAATATTGAGTTGTTGGGCGTTGTTTCGAACTCTTCTCTGTAGCGATTTCTGTCTGAAAAAAAGGCGACAGCATTTTCAGTTGCATCAGGATATTTTTCGTTCAACCATCCAAAATAATAGTGAGCATCCATTCTTTCCCTTAATTCTGTTTTTAACATTTTAGAAATTAGTTCTTTCATGTCATGCTCCGCTTCATCACCGAACAGCTCCAATAAAGTACGTCCAAGAGCGAATATGTCACTCTTTGGTGAAACAATACCATTCTCATTCTTTTCTGGAGAATCGTAAGTAGGAGTTCCTGATTTTGACTTGATAATTTCATCAGCGTCCGAATAACAAATACCATGATCTGCATCATAGAAGCGATATAGTATAGCCAACCCATAATCTATCAAAAAATAATGATCTTGATATTTAACCACGTTCGATGGCTTTATGTCATTATGAATGACCTTATTCTCAAAAAGTCCCACCATCTGAATGACCAAATCCACAAATAGTTGAACCATCTCTTCTCTCCCTAGTTTCTTGATTTTCTCTCCTGCTAAGGTTAATATTTCCCCTGATGGTAAATCTCCCACATACAATGTGAGGAATTTCATACTTCTCATTAAACTATCGTTGCTGCCCTCTTTATATTTCTTACAAAATACCTCCCACTTTTTGTTGGTACTTGTATTTGTTAAAATTCCTCTCCAAAGGGATTCCGTAGTTGAACATGTATTCTCATTACATTTTTCAGTGAAGCAAAATTCCACGTCGGTTATAACGTTAAGTTTTGATTGCACTTTCTTTTTTGAAGTCGATGGTTCTTTGATTGAGGGTTTTGTATGTTTCAAATACTCTTCAACCTTTTTTGCATCTGGAACCAAAAAAGAATGTAGCAAAAAATCAACTAACTGTGCTCTGTCTTCGATGTCACTATGTTGAAAGCTTCCTAAATAGAATAAGGAATACGATAAACTCTTGTCGTTGTCAATACGACATTGCATCGAGTATAGATTTGCCTTAGCACAATCAGTAGTCATTCCAATTACGTAGAGATGATTATGAATCGATGGATCAAGTTTTTCTTTCACCAATTCTCTGACATTTCTTGACAGAGCTAACCTCATCACGAATACAACTTTGAAAAAATCAGGGTGGTCTAAATGATTGTCGTATCTGTCTCTTTTGTCTTCTCTAACCATCTTAAGTAAGTATTTGTCATTATATTTTTGCACCATTATTCCATCAAGTTGAAATGCAGATAATGATGACTGTAGCTTTTTCGATAGAATCTTCTTATTGAGCAGTTCAGGGGTCTGTTTGTTGGAATTGATTGAAAGATGGTTCTTGGAAATTGACGCCAGGTCAAATAGCGGGCTAAAGTGTGAGGTCGTATATTGTAATTCAGTCGCTCCTTTATAGACCCTTGTTGATGGTGGAATTAGCGCTCGTGTGATGTATGCATGTGTGTCCTTGTTCAAGGAATAAAAGCTTAACACCCTTTCAAGATTTTCCGTACTTGGATCATGTGCATATTGCTTTAGAAGCTCTATACCATTCTCTCTATTTGCCTCAAAAAGGGCAAATGACGTAGTGCACGAGTAATCAACATTCAAAGCAAAAAGTGTTCTTTTAAACTTGAGGTCGATTTGCGTTGATGAACCTTCCGCGTTACCAAGTATGTCTATTTCTTGATTTAATTTTTCTCGTACAATACTCTCCTCTGTTGTAGTTTTCAAGTTTTGAATCAATTCTTCCAAAAAAGTATCTTCATGTATTAATTTCTCGAGTTTAATTTTTTTATGCTTTTCTTTCTGTTCTCGGGATTTAGATCTCTTCTCACCAGAACGATAATTCTTAGATTTGGTGCCCTTAAAACCAACATCATCACCCTCGTGATATTCATCACTCGAAGAATAATCATTTTCTGGAGTGGTTTCACCCTCTTTCATCGGAGAACAACACATACACAAGACCAGAACTAATAATTAGGCTTACCTTCTTCATTGAAGTCTATCATTTTAAATTTTTTTTATCAAAAGCGTTTTTTTGGCGCACAAAAGTCCCGCTCTTTTTTAAAAGCAAAACTAAATACATGCAACAACTATATACCAAATTGAATTTAAATGGTCCTCTCGCTCGAAAAAAAAATGTTGCAACAACAAAGCCTTCCTCTCACTTCTTCTTCAATGCCCACCAATCTCACCAACCAAATGGCTCCCTTTTCCCTTCTTCTCTCAACCGATGGAATGAAACATTTTTTTCTTCATTATATCATTCCAGATTTCTTTACTCCGAGAGAAATTATTCAAATCTTTTGTTCTCATCATTTCAATCATGACATTCGAAATGAAATTCTAGCTTTGGAATGGATTTGGGATTTACAATTTAAATATTTATTTCCAACTTTGTATGAAATGAAAAATCAATTATTGACAAAAAATTGGTGGACTCGTCAACGACAAGTTCAATTGAATGAATTACTTGATTTGGAATCGAAACCACAACTGTTGACATTATCTGACAATGGAGAGAATTTACTTCCATTTGGTCAACAGGATCGAACTGATTTCACACCCGGCATGGTTCGAATCAATTGTCGAAATGAAGTATTGAGTTTAATATTTGGAATTTGTGTCGATCATTCGTTTTATGAAACGAATTTTAAAATTGAAAATCGTGTGATGAGAAACAAGAAACGTGCGAAAAATTTTGACATGTTTCGATTTTTCTATGATCGAAATGGTATTAGAATGCAATCGATTGGTCATGATATAAAGACCAATCGATTGCATTCTAATACCATTTCAGACCAATATACCATTCACAATATCATGCAAAAAGTTTTTTCGAACACAGACAAGAAGGAATCTCGATTCCAATTAATTCAAACACTTAAAAACAAGTATGAAAAATTATATGAATCGTTACTTGTGGACATGATCTTTAAAAGTAACATGCCACTCACTGCTTATTCACTATTGAAAAAAGGTTATACCCATTCATTGCCAAATGAACAATTTTCCAATACTGACGAAACTATTTACTTTCCATATATAGATTTTTCACTTGGACAAAATCGTGGATATTATTGTCGATTTTTTCAGATACATCCACATGTCACACTCAATGAAGAGGCGTTGCAACAAAATAATAACGGAAAACCCACTCAATTACGATGCTTGATCAAATACCAAAGTTGTGTTTATTATTCTCAAATAATCGTCGAAGAATCGAAACAAGTAATCTATCCAAGAGATTTGAATGTCATGACTAAAACGTTTGAAACTTTTTGCATTTTAACTCAAGAAGCAATGAAGGTACAAGTTCCATTCCACCGTTTGGAGGGAAATGCTTTTTATCATGATTTTCAACTAGACAAAACTCCAAATTCGTTGCAAGATGTTTCACAAATGTCATTCAGGACCGAAAATTTGTATTTTACAAGACCATATTGTATGAATTCACATTATTGTGTCAGAATTTTGTATCAGAAAAGAGTGGATCAACTCGTTCATGCCATGATGAAACATCATTTCGATCGAGACCAATTGACACAATGCACCCAAGCGATTTGTTCCGAGTTGGCGAACTATCCTTCAAAACAAGAAATTTCACACCTCTTGTGTCGCTCTTCAAAGTTTCAAGACATTTTCCCATTCGATGATTTTCAAAAGTTATCCGATCGATTGAAACAAAAAATTTGGAAAGCATATCGAGGACAATTTAAAATGGAGCACTCGTTGGTAAAATCCATTGATAAGTGCATTCGAAGATATATTCATTTATTTGTTCTCTCTCAGCCACACATCATTGAACATGATTTCAATTGTTTTACTTGTAAGTGATTGTTTTTAATTCAAAGTGACCCTGTTCACCTCTTGTTAAGCAATTGAAAAACTCATTTACAATCAGTGCCCTACCTTTACACTCTGCATGAATTTGACATTGTTACGCATGTTTGTAAATTGGTTCAATATAGAATTGAAACTGTGTTAGAGAATGATAGTACTGCTCAGCATTTCCAGAAACAAGCAAACACTTCGTTTGACACTATTGAAAATGAGTTGCGACATGTGTTTCATCAGCTAAATTTCCTTAATGAACCTTTATTGTGTCCCTCATCAAAATAGTGAAAGATGACAGTGTATCAATAGTGGCGGCCCGTCTCAAAGTTTGAGCCTCTTGTAGAGCCATTGGAACATTAATTGTAGTTTTGCGAATTCGTATCAGAAGACCAGAGACTGGCCAAAAAAGAAGTGTCTCTCTCTTGTGAAATTTTTGTGACACCACTCGTTCAATAATAAATCACATGGTTATATCCATGAAAAGATGACCATGTCATTTTCTCAGAAAGCACACACTACTGCACAACCATGATATCTTCATCCTCCTCTTCACCCAATTCTCCTCCTCGTACCAATTTTCGATCACTTCTATCATTTTTATCGACATAATCAAAATATTCTCGTTCTTCATCGTCTCCAGTGTGAATACTTGTGGCATTAGCCCTACTGTTTCGTAACGAAAGAACTTCTTCGGATCGTTTGGATTGTCGAAAACCATATTTTCGAAATATTCTTCCCAAGAAATCCAAACACTGTTTTCGAATGGACGTCACAGCCAAAATAAAGAATACCAAACCAATTAATCCAATAATCATGAGAATTATTCCACACACTCGCAATGCAACCTTGCCATTCGAAACGGCTTTATGAAAAGAGACGTGTTCTGGATCGTTTGAGGCTAAAAAACATGTCATGGTTGAATTAATGGATCCAAACGTTGCTTGCCTCCTCACAAACAATGAAGAATAGCGTCGTTGTCTTGTCGAAATGTACACAGGAAGACCAGCGGAACTTGACGATTGCTTGTTATCCTCAGAATTGAATACATCAGAAATGTCTTTGGACTGTCCTCCTTCCGTCTCCTCCTGAAACAAAATTCGATCAATACTCTCACGTGTTCGATTCTCGGTATTTGCAATCACAATAAAATTACAAAATAATTTGGAATTCCCCGATGTAACATATTCTAAAAATGGATTTTGAAAATCAATATGATCCAAGCTCGGATCATGAGAGGTCGTTATTGTCTTCTTACAATGAATAGCCTCCACTAATTTACATGATGCTTGTATCGAATAATCTCCTTCGGAATGTACTAAAAATCCCATCAAGACAAGTAGTAATCCGAGAGCCATTAAGAAACATGCGCCCATCATGGCAACACCCATAATTGTATTCCAATGATGAGAAATGAATGCCTTGATACGAGTACTTTTTCCAAAGAATTTTGTTTTTCGATGATGCAGCTCTTCCGGAAGTTGCGAGACATCGAGTGAGAGATCTTGATGATGGAGCATGGTATTCATTTTTTTATAAAATTTGTTGTTGATTTTTGTAATTTCCAAAAAAAATCTCAAATGTGGAATTGGAATCAATTTTTACAAAAGATCTATTTCACACTACAATGACTCGACAAATTCTGATCTCCCAGCTGTGAAGAACAAACACCACAACAAGAATTATCGCTTATTGAGAGGCTTCTTTCCTGTGCCTTTTGGCATCTTTTTCTGTTTTAAGGTAATTTTACCATCGTAGAGATGAGGAGCAATTTCAAGGAGCCATTCGGGTTCAATGGCAACGACTTGTCTCATGTATTCTTGTGTTGTGAGAACTAGTTCAAAAAAGACGACCCATTTGGGTAATTCCTTTTGATCTTTGGGAGCAAGTTTGGGATCTCCAACAATTGTGACAAGTTTGTCCTTATCATTTCCAACAAAGAGGCATGATGAGGGATGAACGTAAACGGTTTGTTTTTTCTGCATGGTTCGATAACTTCCCGTGTGACCTTCAAGTGTTGCCACATTATAAAAGAAGCCACAGGTAATTGCTTTTCGAATGGCTTCCGAATCTTGAGGATTGGACAACATTTCCATTTCTACTCGTTCCATTAATTGGACCAGTTGTTCTCGAATTTTCTTAGCTCTCAACATGGATCGTTCCTGAATGAAATGTTGTTGACACCATGTCACGCTGTATCCTGTTTCAGCCCATTCATTGTAGACATTGAGTAGGGTCAAGTGGTCACCGTGTGGATGATCAAATGATTTTTTAGCATTATCGGCCTGCAACTCACGATCTTTAGGTCTATAAAAAATTGCATTATTCACAGAGAGCATGGCACAAATGGTCACAATTTCCTCAGAGCATCCATATTTTTCAGAAGCAATCAACATTCGAGAGAGTTGTGGATCGAGTGGAAATTCTGCCATTCTTCGACCCATCGAGGTCAAATCTCCATCGTCGTTCAATGCTCCCAATGCATAAAGCTGTTCGAGAGCAGCAATGAGTGTTTCGTGCGGAGGAGGATCCATAAAATCAAAATTGACCAAATCGTTAATTCCCAAACTTTTCAGAGAAAGAACAACATTTCCCAAATTGGTTCGTTGAATTTCGGGCACAGGACTTTCCTCCAATTCGTTATGAAATGAGTAGGAAGTGTAAAGCCGAAAACATTTACCAGGAGCGACTCTTCCAGCTCTACCAGCTCTCTGAATGGCTGCTGCTTTTGAAATTGGTGTCACAACCAAAGATGACATTCCAGTTCGAGGGTTGTAACTATTTTGTTTGCAATAGCCCGAGTCAATGACATAGACAATTCCATCAATGGTCAATGACGTCTCTGCAATGTTGGTGGCTAAAACACATTTTCTGGCGCCGGGAGGTGTTGGCTCGAAAATCTTGGCTTGTTGATCAGAGGGTAGAGTTGAATAAATCGGCACCACAATTAATTCTTTAGCCTTAGAGGAAATCATTTTCATACGTTCTTTGAGAGATTCTTCACACTTTTCAATTTCATCTTGACCTGTTAAAAATACCAGAATATCACCGTCAGGTTGAGTGACGTGAATTTGTAAAACTGTGACCACAGCTGCGTCCAAATAATTATTTTCTGGTGCCTTGGTGTAGTACACGTCCACAGGAAACTTTCTTCCAGGAACATTGAATATTGGTGCACCATCAAAATACCTAGAGAATTTTTCTGCCTCAACTGTAGCACTAGAAATGATCAAACGAATGTCACTTCTGTAACGAGCAATGTCCTTCACGAGTCCAAACAAAATATCCGTATGCAACGATCGTTCGTGAGCTTCGTCAATCATCAAGACACTATAACTGCCCAAATCGGGCTCTTTCAAAAACTCTCTCAACAGCATACCATCGGTCATGTACTTGATGAGAGTATTTTCAGAGGTACAATCTTCGAAACGAATCGTGTAACCAACCTTGTCACCAAGTTTTGTGTTCATTTCGTCGGCGACACGAGCTGCTACAGACATGGCAGCAACTCGACGTGGTTGTGTACATCCAATCTTTTTACCATTTTGTGTGTATCCCGCCTCGTGTAGGTATTGAGTAAGCTGTGTTGTTTTTCCTGAGCCTGTCTCACCAACAATGATAATGACTTGATTTTCATTGACTGCTTGAATGAGCTTGTCTCTCATGGAATAGATGGGAAGAGTTTTTCGAAATTCTTGCATGGATGTCACCTTATTCACTGCCTTATTCAATTGAATATTGTGATCAGTGAGACCTAGTTCTTTTTTGAGCTCTTCAGGCATTTCTCGCTTTCCTTCGAGAATTTCCTGTATGAATTCAATTTCATCTTCAACGAGAAGGTCTACTTTTTGTTCTTGCTCTGCTTGTTTCACTCGATCTGCAGCACCAAACTTCATGGTAGACTGTTCAATGAGATCATTTTCAAGCTTTCGTTGTTCTGAAATACGATGTCCCTGAGGATCATGATACGAGTAGTCTTCGCGCTTCTTGATGAGCTCTAATCGTTCCTTATTACGTGACACACCTGTTTCTGCATCATAATAATTTTCAGGCAATTGATAATAATCCATCTTTCGAGTATTATGTTTTGATTTGGAATATTGTAAGACACGTCTTTTCGTCTCTCGATCGAGTCTTTCAGCTTCATCCAATTCATAGTCTTTTTTCTCAATTTCTTCCTCTATTAATTGATTTTCAAGCTCTCTTAATAATTTACGCTCTCTTTCAGTGAGATAGTGATGACGAGATTTCTTTCTCAAATCTTCTAATACTCGCTTTCGATCTCCAAGTGATTTGGTTCTTTGCTCGACAAGCTCCTCTCGTGTGAGTCGTCTCTTTTGAGAGGTTTTCTCACCAGCTGCTGGAGGGTTTTCTTCATTCTGTGGCGCTTCTTCTTCTGGTTGTTCAGAAGAAGCATTCATCGTTTCCACACTCTCTGGCTGATGAGCTTCTTGATCTTCCACATTGTCATATTTTGATTTCTTTGGTGGATTTTCCAAGAAATTAAGATTTGCATTTCCATCATCTTGTTGTTCTGTCGATTCCGAAGTGTTTTTCGTTCGCAAATGAACATTCTTTGCCTTTTTTCGTTTCTTGCTACTACTCTTTTTAGTGCTATAATCTTCCTCATCGGAAAGAACCAAAAGATTCGAAACATTTTCTTCATCAAGCAACGTTGATGATGATGAATATTTTGAGGAAGACTTGTTGCTCTTACTTGAGGAGATGGTTGTTTCTCCTTGTGCATGAGCTTCTGGTAATTTCAAAATTAATTGTCTTGCAAACCGATCCAGAATTTCATGAGTACTGCCCAACTTGTCAGTAGAATCCTCTCCGAGTAATTCCCTTTCCAATTCACCCACAAGCCTACTCGGATTGGATCGATACTTTTTGGCCAAATTAATCACATAGGCACTAACCGCACCACTACTGTACTTGATGACTTCATATAATTCATCACTTACCCATTGCTCGAGGGAGGATGATGAGGTGCGTGTTGTTGTTGTTGACATTTTTTGTTGTTGGGTTATGGCGAGGTTTTGATGGAGGACAGAACACATTGAAGATGAAGAGTTGGTTGGTGTATAATTTATTTGAAAATCCCTTGCTTTTGGATCGAAACGGAATAACAACAATAATTTAATGATGACCTTGTTGTTCTGTGTAAAGTTGAAAGAATCATTAAATAATCATTAAATATTATTCGCAACAAGAAATGAATTCATCCGCATCCAATGTTATTATGTTACCAGAAATTATTTCAAAACGGAATTTTGATGATTATCATATGATGGATTCAAACATGTTGCATATATTGTAATCATCATTTGATGGTATCATCATCATCCAGATTCAATCATCAAAATATGAAATGTTCTTTTCATCGCACCCAAGAACGTTCTTGCAACACATTTTGCTACATACTTGCAGATTGTTCAACAACCACAGCCTTTGCTGGTTGAGCTGCTGGCTTTCTAAACAACAATGGCAAGAAAGTAAATCCAGCGGCAATAGCAATCATTCTCCAGGAGAACAAACGAGGATTATATGGACCGTGATGACCGTGAGCTTCAGCAGACATTTTTTTGAGTTCTTCTTTCGTCTGAAAGGCAGAAGCAGACTTGTTTTTGGTGTCAGAGCGCTTCGAGGTGAAGAGAGAAGGTAGCGTTGGGTTGTTGTTGCTGAGAAGCACCTTCTCTTCCTCCTTTTATTACCATAAGTTGCTGCTACTATATATTGATTCAATGTTCGAGATTTATTTATTTAGCTCCAATATATTGATTCAATGTTCGAGATTTGTCAAGGCCTTCAATTTATTAAATGGATCTTAAATGATAACATTAATACCTCGTTCTCGTTCCACTTTCAACGTCACTACCAACTTTTCAAAATGACTTCTTTCCTCTTCTCCAAACAATTCCACACCTTCCTCGACACCCAACACGTCAAAATTCGCTCTCCAAATTTTTGCCTTAGTTCTCTTTCCTGGTTTCCATTGAGCATTGATCGAGACATCGGCATCACGGAATAAGGTAATTCCCTGAAATTCTCCATTCATGAGTAACAATTTCAACTTTTCCTTAACGAGTGGGCAATTTGGTTTTTCTAAAGCTTGAATGAATTTGGCAAATTCCATTCTTCCTCGATATTGACCTAATACAATGCCAGCAGCTTCGTACATGTCTTCGGTTTGGTGAAAGAGTACACCTAATTTGCTGGCACTTCCTTGTTGTAATTCCAAATAGTATTGTGAAATTAATGATTCTCTCATAGATTTGACAGTTGACAGAATCCAAGACTTGATCTTTTCCTTACATTCATGTTGAGAGAAAGGTGACACATAATCTAGTTTTTCAATGGCTTCTCTTCTCTCTGAATTCTTTCCATGTTGAATGGTTTGAATCAATAAACATAATTTTCCTTCGTCACTCAATTGCAATGAATTTAAATCTCTCAATGGTGAATACATTTCATTCATGTCTGCAATGTCATACAATGGTTTCTTTAAACATAAAATATAACCATTTCTCTTTGTCATTGTATCTTTCAATTGTTGAAGCCATTCTTCTGCGAGAGGTGAGAAGGATGGGTTTTGACTTGATGTTAAAATATTGAATTCACCATTTTCATACATGAGGTCGAGATCGGAATGATTTCTCGAGTTGGGATGACGTTCCTCTGTGTTTAAACTGTCAGAGGTGGATTCTTGTGAAATTTCATTCGTTTCAGAATTCTCAATTCCAAGTAATCTTAATATGGAAATGGCATAACACGATTGTCCTTCTTTGGTGCATGCTCCTTCTTATATGTATGAATATAATTATGAACGACCGTGTCAATATTGACATTGAGTAATTGTAATAATTGACTCTCAGAAATGGAATCAATATTTGGAATTCCACTTCTTCTCAAAGTTTCTTCTGCAACATTCTTGAAGAACAAATCATGATCAATAGAGTTCATGTCGAAATGCCCCTTTTTGATCGCACAATAGAGTTGAGAAAGAAGGACCACATTACTTGGAATAACATCGACCGTTCTTGTCAGTGGATTGGAATTGTAATTTTTGACAAGTGACACCACTTCGTCATTCATCTTGATTCCTTCTTCATTCGAATTTTCAGAACACTCGTCATAAATTTTCAAGCAAGTATCCAAGACAAGCTTAAATTGAAACTTGTAAAATTCAGATTGTCTCTCCTCTTCAGGAGCTGCCAATAATTTGGACAATACTAAAAATGGAATTGTTTTGATTTGTTGGAATGAATATCCCATAACGTCCAAAGTTGCCACAAATCCCATAATCGACTTCATCTTTTCTTTAGCCACCTTCCAATGTGTTTCATTAATATACAAGGGCAACACTCCGGTAATTGCTTCACGAGCAGTTCCTGTCACAATACTTGCTGTCATTTGTCCCTCTTGATTTTGCTTTTTCAATTCAACATCCTTAAATCCTCCATGTACTTGAGCATGATTTTCTGTATTTCCAAGTGAAAATAAAACTGAATCCAAAAACGCCTCAGCAGACATTAAGGAAGTTCCAATCGATAAAATTTGAACTCGAGAGGGATCCATTACACATGCTTGAGTTCGAGCAACGTTTAAGGTCAAACAAAGACAATCTTGTTGTTCTAATAAATCAATCCAATTAGAACAAGTAATGAAACAACTACCCAATTGATCGGCTTCCGATTCGAATTCTTGTCGAAGTTGAGTGAAATTGAGAGAGTTGACATATTCCTTGACAAATTGTTCGGATTTTTCAAAAAGTGCAACGTTGGCTTGAGCTCGTTGATCCAATTTCTTTTGTAAGCTTCTCTTGGTAATGGAACGATAAGCGAGAGAATTTAAAGTGGCAATTTTGTCATTTGACAGATGTCCAACCATGGCATCCGCCAACACTTGATTAAAATTGGTAAGGGAATTGTGAATGGATTCACGCAGGGTGAACAAGCTCTTTCTAAGAATTCTATCCTTAATACGTTGAATTTCTTGGGTTATCTCAAGCAAGCGCTCTTCCAGTTGTTGACCTTCTTGATGAATGACTGACAACTGACTCTTGTCGAAGGTCTTTGAAGAAATTTCTACAGCATAGTCCAAGAGTTTTTTTTCAATATACTTAATCTGTAAGGAAATGAGCTCACTTTGGGAAAGCACGGAATGAGTGGAAGGAATTTGAATTTCAATTCGTTCTTCGAGACCAGAAATTTCTAAAAAGAATTTCAACGATGGCTCATGAAAGACCAAATCGTTCTTCAAGAAACATGTAATTTTGATTCCATCATTCTCTGTTTCTTCCAAAGATACCTTCTCACTGAGAATAATTTTTTCATGTTCTTCCGAATGAACCACCTTAAGGACACCTGACAGAGATCGACTTCTTACCAAACCAATCAAATTCTCAACACACGATGCAATAATGGACGAGGACTCTGCATACTGGAAACTTCCTTGAGAAGATCCCAACTGTGTAATATTTGTCAATAATTGCACATCATGCTCTCTTGTAAATCCAATCGTGTGAAATTCAAACGCATTTGTTTCCGTCCTTAGACGACATGTCAAATTCTTGACATCTTGTTCTCTTTTTTCAACACTTTCACAATCTTGTCCATCCGTAAAAAACACAATAGCCACTTCTTGACCGAGAGTGTGCAATTGAGTCATGGCTTGAAAAGCACTTGAAAAACTAGTTCCACCTGTGGCCTCAATTTTCTGAACGCATTCGACTTGTTGTATCAGTGATTTTCCAGATAAATCTAAAACTGTGGCAGTGCTGTTGAAAGTAATGAGAATAACTTGTTCGTTATAGCCATGAACTTGTTCTAAAAGAGTTTGAATGGCTTGTTTGGCTTGGGAAATACCAGAACCTGCCATGGATCCGGAATTGTCTAAACAAATGATGAGAGACTTGGATTGGTGTTTTGGGAGCTGAGAAGAAATATTGGAAAGTGACAGAATCAATGATGAACATTGATCATCAACTCGTCCCAAATGAACCTCGACGGGGTGCGAGCGATCACGTGCCGTGTTGTTTTCAAGCATTTTTTGTTTGTTTGTTATAATGTTGACGGGTTCACTTTGTCTTTTAAAGTCCTTCAGTAAATATTCGATTTGAAAATTGCAGTCGAGCATGTGACAATCCTCCAACAAGTGCTTTTTTGAAAAGAACATTGAACTAAGGGAAGAAATGATCAATCATGGAGACAGCTTTCAAGAAGCAATTACCATGTTATTTTCTCCCTTTGTTCTTTTCAAAAAACAAACACCATGTAAAATCACTCGCTGGGAAGGAGCACGAGAATGCGTAAATGAAAATTCATCAAAAAATTAAAAACAAATTACTGCTAGCTCATCATGACTAATTGTGTTATTGATTGCATTATTGACACCAGCTTCATCAACAAGCGATTTTACCCTGCCCACGATTCTCTCCAGTTGCTTTACTCTTTGTTGAGTGGTTGCAAGAGCTGCTTGAGTGGTTCCGAGAGTTGATTGTGTGGTTTCAAGTGCGGCTTGAGTGGTTTCAAGAGCTGCTTGAGTGGTTCCGAGGGTTGATTGTGTGGTTTCAAGTGCGGCTTGAGTGGTTTCAAGAGCCGACTCAGCAGCTTCTATTCTTGAGGTGAGCGCAGCTTCTGTGGATGCCAGTCTGTTTTCCATCACGTGCAAACGACGAAGAAATTCATCATACATTTTTAATCTGCGACAGAGCTGAGCAGAAAAGCCTTCTCGTTTTTTGCATAGACGAATGGTGGGACGAATAGCACCACCTTGATCCAAAGCATGATGATAGAGATCTGCAATGACCTGAAAGGTATCTTCTTCTAAGCGGTCATGCCCCTGAGGGAACAGCAAGTAACTGGACTCAACCGCTTGAATCATTTCCTTTGTTTCAAACGTTTCCTTATACACCCCTACAACTCTTTCCAATTCTTCTTTAAATTTCCCATCATCATTACCAGTTGCAGCTTGAACGCAAAAACCATGCTCAAACAAGGTATCCAGAAAAGCCTCTACATTCTCAGAAGGATCCACAAGAATACGTTGCGGGTACTGTTGTCTGAAAAGCGTTGCTAAGAATTTGAGGGACTCTTGTGAGCAAGCACAAAGAGCTTCTCGGGAACACTGTTGCAACAAGTGATGCAAAACGCCTTCCTTGTCTAATGGATCTTCGGTGATAGGTTGTTGCATCGAGTGGTAAGGTTTTTTTTTTGTAATGGAGGCTTTTAAAACCAGTCGGTTTACAACGTTAAGGCTTTGAAAGTTCTGCTTTTTCAATGTATTATAACGAGCTCTTTTACGAGTATTTATATCCAAGCACGTACGGGCTGTTAGAGAGCAAATGATGTGTGCTCCAATTCACAAGAACGAACATCTTTGTGGACTCGATATTTACATTTCATTCCGGAAACAATATTCAAAAGCTCTAATCTTTTCTTCGAGTTTTAAAAAAAAATTGTGTTCATGGCTTCTTTCTCGCCCGCTAATGACTCTTACTTGTTCCGCTAAAAAGAGAAAACTCTCACCATCCGTTGAAACTGGTGTTGTTGAGACAACAAATTCATCATCATCAAAAATGATCAATGATAGTGCGGAAAAAGATGATCTTTACTTTCCGACACATTTAAATGAGATTCATGGATCATTATTTATTGATGATATTATTTTTGAAATTCTTCAATTTCTTGAATCATTGTTTATCATTCAAGTTTGTATGAAAATTTCAAAACAGTGGAGACAAGTGTCATTTCAAATTCCTTTAAAATTATCATTCAAACGAAATCATTTCGAACAGCTTCCTGAATCAATCATACTTTTAGCTAAATGTGAATCTTTGAAGAATTTGACAGCTTTGAATTTGGTCTTCAATGAAATTGATGATGAATGTGTTAAATATATTGCTACGAGTGAGTCGATGAAGAATTTGACTTGTTTGAATCTGTCTGACAATGAAATTGGCAACGAAGGTGTCAAATATATTGCTGCAAGTGAATTCTTGACGAATTTGACTTCTTTAGATCTGGGATGGAATGAAATTGGCAATGACGGTGTCAAATATATTGCCACAAGTGAATTTTTGAATAATTTAACTTCTCTGAATCTGAGCAGCAATGGAATTGGCAATGAAGATGTCAAACATATTGCTACTAGCGCATGGTTGAAAAATTTGACTTGTTTGGATCTGAGCATCAATGAAATTGGTAATGAAGGTGCCAACTATATTGCTAACAGTGAATACTTGAAGAATTTGACTTCTTTGGATCTGTATGACAACAGAATTGGCAATGACGGTGTCAAATATATAACTACGAGTGAATGGTTGAAAAATTTGACATCTTTTAATCTGTAAATGATAAGTGATTTTTGAGAAGACAACATCATGGGTAAAACTTCAGCATTAAGGTTTGTAAACTTTGGACCAAGTGTGTGAGGTTGAAAAAAATAGCTTCAAAAGGATGCTTTTTAATCATAATCGTTTCAGACCATGTGCTGATGAGATGAACTTTCAACTTAAAAAATTACAACATTTCAAACTCTCATAGAGCTACACCTCCTCTGTGTTTCCATGTGGTGTTATTTTCAGTTGTTTCCAATTCATTATTATCATCATCATCATGAATAATACCAGCACGAGTGGTACAAACTCAACAACAATTTGTCATCCGCTTCTCTATACTCTCGGAAATTTGACTTTGGATGATTACCGAGACAATACATACTCTTCAACGAGCTCCCTGAGAGGTATTTGTCCCGATACTCTCTTCAATACCTTGTTTGCTGCGATTTTTATATTCCTCTTGTTCATCATTACAGCCTTTTCATTCAGTGTTTTGATATGGAAACGAAAACATCCGCATATTGAAAAGAGAAATCTAGGAAGCTCACTGCTGCATGTTATTGCGAGTTTTATTCTGGTTCTAGTGATTTGCTTACGTTATTTTGTTACACGAAAGATTCATCCGTGTTCGCTTCACATGTTATCCTTTTTCATGTTAATTCCGATTGTGTTTTTGGCACCAATTTTTAGATGTTGGAGAGTGTTTATCATGTATCGATTGAATTTGGAGAGGCACATGATTTATAGAGCAAGTAGTAGCAATGTTCAGGCTACAGCTTTGGATCATCATCATGTGGTGGCTACGACTTTTGTGAATAGTCATGATAACAATCAATTAACAGACATGCCAAATGTCAAGACGGAATTTCCGCAAAAGAATGGAATGGAAAGTCATACTGTTTCATCTAAGGGTGGGTGTGTTGATGTTCCATCAACAGATTTAGCAGCATTGCCACCATCCAATACCAATAACAATACAGAAATACCGTAGTATCTTTCAAATTGGATCAACCAATCTCTTCCTCAACACACAATACAGATCTAGAATTCGAAAGTGAAAGTGTGATTTCATTCTCTGAAATTTCGGATGTAACGGCCAAGAAAATTAGGATAATGAGCTTTTTAGCAAGTAACAAATTTATATGCATCACCTATGGAGTATTATTATTTGTTCACTTTTGTTTGTGGCTAATATTTGGAGGTGTGGATGAGGGAGTTGTTAAGGCTACAAATGGAAACAGAGTTTTCACAATAGAAGTGAGTTTTTTTGATTTCACACAAGGATGCACTTCAAGTGCAAGTATGGTCTATGTGGTTGGCGTCATTTCGGCTCTATATATTTTGACAGAAATTGCTACTTTAATTTTGTGCTTCTTGGCACAGCGAGATACGTATCGTATTAAGGTCGAAGCAATCATTATTATTGGATGTCAAGTGATTGGACTCACTCTCTATGTCATTGGTGGAGCAGTTCCAATTTACAAATCATTGGCAGATTATTTCTTCACGTATGCCTTCTTTCCAGTATTGTACATTATGGTGGATGTGTTTATTGGTGTGACATTACCTTGTTGTTATGCGTTGTATGAGGAAATTTATGTGGTTCGAAAACTAAATGTCAACAACAACACCGGCTCTGAGAATAATCATAGTGTTCTTGAACAATTCTTGAATAAGAAGAAATATTTCGAATTGTTGTTGGAATTTGCAAAACGAAGTTATTGTCCAGAGAGTGTTCTTGCGTATCGTGACATTGAACAATTTAAAAAAACTGGAAAACGCAACAGAAATAGATATGGACAATATATACTCAAGACGTATTGCTTGCCAAATTCACCTGCGCAGTTGAATTTATCGTCTAACATTACAGAACAAGTGAAAGAATGGACGGAAAGCTTGGAAAAGAAATCAGATGTCGTGGTGGAGACTAATTTATTTGATTCACTGCAACAACATTGTTTGATTGACTTGACTGATGTTTTTGAACGCCTTAAATGGTCCAATAAGGAAGTGAGGGAAGTTTGTAGGGAATTATCCAAACATTGCTAATGAAGAATATTTCTTTTGATCATCTCATAGGTCTACAATTCTTAGAGAGTTTTTTTAAAAAAGGAAGATTGAAAAGTTGTGTTTATATTTAAGGAAGTCTACAAGGAACCTTCCAATGTTGAGTCTTAAGTTTTGGAACCTCGAATGTCGCAAAAGCAATCGATTGACAACCAGCGAATTGCTGATTTTGATATTGAACGCTATTTAAATACGATAATTCTACGATTGGACCAATCACACAGATAAAGCTCCCCTGTTACATCATTCAAACAAATTCCTTCGAGTCCATCCTGGTTTTCGTTCAATAATCCATTTTCATCTAATCGAAAAGTGTTCACAAAATCACCCTCTTTGTTAAATACTTGAATGCCTTTGGAGTATCTATCCGAAACAAATACATGTTGTGAAACTTGGTCAAAAACAAGAGCTCGAGGTATTTTCAGTTCATCAGATTCTTGAAGTCGATAAATATGCCACTTATCGTCCTCATATCGCATGGTAATTATACGAGCAGGGTGGGTTTGACAAATAAACATCCGTCCATCCCTACTACTAATATCAATTCCAAATGGATGTCTTATTGTGAACCCTGGAAGATCAGATTCAAGTGCTTGAATGAATTCTCCTGTTTGAGCTCGAAAAGTTTTAATCGTATGGTCATCGTAACTGACCACAACAAGAATTCGATCTTCCAATTTTCTACTCTTTTTCCAAACTGCCATACTACTTGGACAGTCACAATGCGTTGTCCATATCACATTGCTTTGCAATCCTCGTAATGAATTCTCTAATAATTGTTTGAAATCAAATTTGCATATTGAAAAAAAATAATTTTTAAGATCATCTTCGTAATCCAATAATAGTGCATCATGACCTTGATCATCATAATCCTCTTCAAGAAACAACTTTTGTGGTCGAAACACATCTGGGGGTAACAATAGTGTTGTTTTGAAGTGTTTGGTTGTGGCATCAAATACTAAAATTCTGCCCGTGCCAATATCATTCACAATCACACAATTAGAACGTGGACTAAATTTTACATCCCAAGGTTTCATATTCGGAGCTTCAAAACAACCAGCATACTCAAAATTCATTGAAAATCCCTTCCTTTTCCAGTATTTGGATTCCATCATTTTGTTTTTCAATTTTGAAAAGTAATCCCTTGAGGAATCCATTTCCGATGAGGAATGATCATTGACTCTCTTCTTGAAAAAGTCCATCAATTCTACCGTTACCAATTGCTGTGTTTCCATTTTTTTTTAAATTTAAAAGATTACAATATTATGAAACATCGATTGTTAAGTTGACCTGTTACTTGTTGCTTCTGTGTTTCTTAAAAGTTAAAAGAAATCTTTATTTATTATAAAGAGTGACACACATTTTAATTTTGTAAAGAAAAATGCTCATCGCTCAATAAAACCATCATTTATGGTAATTATCTTTAATTGTTGTTCCAAGCAGTATTAAGAATAGCTTTGGAAAAAGGAGTTTTGAAAAAAAAAATGTACGAAAGTCCAACCGTGTGGGTTCCAGATGGAATTATTGCCTCAAGAGATGTTTTCAATAATATTAATCCAATCAAAGATCAAGCGAGTGAAGTATTCAACAAGTTTGATCAAGATAAAGATGGTTTATTGAACAAGAAAGAATTTAAACGTGCATTGAAATCGTTTGGTATCCGAAAAAAGCAAGCCAAAGTAATACGAAAGTTATGGGATATTGAAGATACTGGTAAAATCAACACGGAAACGTTTGTGAGAGTGTATTGTTTTGTTCGTTCTGGACAACTGTATACAAGAAAGCTGGATAAGTACGAAGAACTGGAAAACACAAAACCCATGACCATCATTTAAAACGTTTCCTTGAATGAGGATCATGGTTCTGAATGTAGTGAATTCATGTTTCGGTGGGTGGGACAATAAATACGAGTTTGGTTGATTCTCTCTTCAAATCTGCGTGGTTGCTTACGTTTAAAACCAATCACACAGGATTAAGTATAATGGATCATTCATTTCCTATATACATGCTCCATCATAATAATGTTCCATTCTCGCTTTGTACAATTCCTTATCAAAACACGTGGCATATCCTCCATATACTGCTGCTGCTCGAATGATTTCTACATCCGAACGCAATTGTGACGAAGCAAATAATATACAACATCCATTAAGCTTGACTGCTTCCAAAACAAATGTTTTGTTTCTGCGTAATTCTTCAGAGGCAAATTTAAGAGCCAAACCATTTCTAGAGATGGCTTGTAAAATCATAGTCTTGTCCTCTGCCAATTTCTGTGGCACATGCTCGAGTGCAGACACATTTCTTTGTATTGCATCTTTCATAAACTCGAGATCGTTCTCCAATATTTCAACCACATCACTTTGTGGAACAAAATAAATGACCTCCAAATTTTGCAGAGCTGCCGTTCGAATGACTTGCATGTCGTGAAGGAGATGCTTAGAAGCGTATCGTACGGCTCTGCCACTCTGACTTACCACTCTCAATATAAATTCCTTGTCTCCTCGTAGTCGATCAGAAGCATGTTGTAAAGCGTCAGAATTGTTTTTGACTGCCTCTAATACAATTTCATGGTCATCCCTCAACTCTAAAGGAGCCCATTTCAATGCATTGCCATAATCTGTGACGGCCGTTAATACAATTTGTCGATCCTGCCTTAATTCTTCACCAACAAATTCTAAGGCGCTACCATCACACTGGACAGCTTCCAAAACAATGGATCGATCATTTTGAAATTTCTCTGCAAATTTTAAGGCATAACCATGATGACGAACGGCAGTCATCACAATTTCTCGATCCATCTTGAATTCGTCGCACAAGTAATTCAATGCTTTGATGTCATGACAAACAGCATCCAGAGCGAATTCTCGATCGTATTTCATACTATTGTATAATAATTGTGTGTCACACTTCCAATTGATATCACACAATTTATGAGCATAATTCGGACATATTGAATGAAGAAATATATCATTATCCTTCTGCAATGATTCAGAAATATCGCAATACAATGCAAGACGATTTCGCTTCACTGCCTCCAGCACTAATTGTTTATCACTTCTCATTTCGGAAGATGCAAATTTCAATACCCAAGGTTCTAACTGAATGGCTTTCATCATGAATTGCTTGTCCTGATGTAATATTGCAGAAGAATGTAAAAATACAGAGGCACTCTTTTGTTTTTTCATTTGATCCAACACAAAATCTGAATCATTCATGAATTCAATGGGAAAGAATTCTTTATAGATCAATTCCCGATTTTCTAACCATTTTTTCTTTCCGAGTTGTTGCATTGCGAATTTATTTCTTAATAATTTCTCCAACCCAATCATCGGCGAGTTCACTTCATTTCTCGATTCATCATCATCATGTTGAATTTTGCTGTATTTTTGTTGATTTGTTTTTAAGAACGAATCCACGAGGATGATCATCATCATCATTTTCTGAGCTGTTTAATATTTTTTTTACAAAACGAGTTCAATTTCTTGTCATGTACATTTATAAGTTTTTTTGTTGTTACAAAATCATACACAAAGTTGTCGTGCCTACCATGAGCCGACCACACACACACACATATAAATATTCACACAAATTATTTCCTTCTTCCTCTCGAGAGATGCTTGACAGATTTGAGCATTTCCTTATATTCATTCGAAACCAAGAATCGATGATACATGTCTGGTAATACCGTGGTCATAATTTCCAAAACAATGTCATCAAATAAAAATTTACAATCATCCTTATAGAAATAATGAGGATTGGAAATGAACGATGCCACTTGTTGTTTCAAAGTATTGGACGTGTTGATATTGTAAATACTGTAATCATCGAGAAGATACTTGTTAGCAATGAGAAGGGCCAATTTTGAAACTCTGTGTCTATTTTCATCAGAATGTGTCACTTCATCATTAAATTCCTTCAATTCAATGAATAATTTTTTAAACGAAACAACTTCTTCCCAAAACATGATATTCTCTGCATTAAATTCTTTTAAGGCAAAAATCTTGAAATATTGTCTCTTATGATCGTCATTGAGAATGGCATGTAATCCAACTTTGATTGTAGCGACTTCACTTTCTGTATCTTCAATCGTTTCCTCAACACGCATGCAAGCAATAAATGCTCGTTTTTTCATTCGTTGTTTAGCTTCGAGAGCAGCTTGATGTTGTTCCTCTGCTAATTGTTCTTTTGAAATGTGTTCAAAATCAAGAACGCCTTCAACTTTTCGATAAATTGGAACACTTCGAATGAGTGTGAATGGACTGGCATGATGTTTGACAGGATGATCATTCTGTGGTTGAACATGTTGCTGTCGTTGAGAAGGTGAATGACTCGTGTCATGTGAATGTTGATGTGTTTGAGCAACATGCATGGCTAGCTGCAATTGATTTGATTCCATTCCCTCAATCAATAATTCACCATCCGTTGTCGTCGTTGTCATAATTTCTGGAGTCAATAATTTTGTTTTCACACTTTCTTGAACCACTCCAAACGCATTCATATCTTGAACAGTGATGGAAACTGCTGCTGGATCGCCAAGTTCTGTTCCCAACACTAAATCTGAAAGTTGAGAATGTTGTCGTGAATGATTTCCTCCACCACCACCACCATGAGGAGGCGTGTAAGAAGATTTTGAATGTGTTGAAAAACTTTTATCGTCATGCTGAGAATTTGATGAAACTTTTTGAGACATTTGATCCAGATAATATTGTAAATCGTGTCGTTGTCTTGGTGAGATTTTTCCTGCACTTGCTGAAGATTGTTTTCTTGAGGACGAAGTTGGTGAAGTAGGAAGTTGTGTTGGAAAACCATTGTTTGTAACATGATCCTGAGGATTGCTTACAAGATTTGAAGAAGTATTATTAAAACTTGAGGCAAGAGGAAGTTGTCCATTGGAAATTTTTCTTCGTGTTAAATCAAAAGCATCCAAATTTGGAGATGGAATGGTTGTGGGATCCAACAATGAGTCATTTCTTAAATGTTGTTTTAAAAATTGTGATTGATGAGAGGAAGACATGGATGAAGAGGAGAGCTTTCTCGAATGTTGTTGTTGTTGATACGACGAAGAAAGTGTGGTCATAACCATGGTTTCATCTTGATGGACATTTGGCAAGCTGAGTGGATTCGAAGCACTTGAAATCTTTCGAGTGTCGTGTCCTCCGTGTTGTTGAGGAGTTGAATGCTGTGAAGTACTGCCACTACTCACTTTTCGTTGTTGTCCTTGAAAATTTGAAACTGTTGTTGTGGTTGTTCCTGTTTTCAAATGATTTGGCATTTCATTCAGAACCTCCAAATTCGAAACCGCCGACGAAATACTGGCGCGAAAAAAAGACGTTGAATTCGAGCAAGCATCGCTACTGGAGTTCCACAGATCGGCACTCGTCATGGCAAGCCAAGGCAATTTCAAAATCACGGTACTGAGCACATCGGGAGTATGATCATACAATTCATGATCAAAAACGTATTTGATTTCATTGTCCCGAATTAAAACCATCTTGGGTACCAGAAGGTTGGTCCCTTCCGAGAATTCGACCTCGTTGGGTTTCTGTACAAAGGTATAGCCTTGTTTTAAGGCAGTCATGTAGGGCCGAATGGTTTTCAGTTTGGTCTTGAACGAGAGTTCTTCAAATTTCAAGGGAGTAGCTCCTTGAGGACTGGCCATCTCCAACAATTTTGAAACTCGCTTATATCGAGGATCTGAAACTCGGGGAATGTGAGCAACGATTGGATTCTTGTAGGCATGAAAGAATTCATTACCTTCATCCTCACTCTCGGCATGTAAAATTACTGGAATGATACAGAGTTGCAACAAGGCCTTATACCAATCTGCGAGCTCGAGTCCTCTACGGTTGCAGAAACCGCACCCACCATGCCGTATATAACGTCGGATGACCACCAACAGAGTATAATGTTGGGAGAGTGCTGATAAATTCATCATGAGTGGTGATGATGAATCCGAGCCTATCATCATCGGATGGATGTGAGAGGACGAAGAGTGAGAGGAAGGAGCTGTTCCATGATGATTGAGGTTTTGTGGATGATGGTGTTGCTGCTGATGAGGAGAAAGAGTTTGTTGTGGATTGTTAATGGTCATCGTTTGTTGATGAGGTGATGATGAAGACGACGACGAAGGATAAAGATTTTGACTTCCCAATGTGGTATTGGTTGCTATTTGTGGCGCTTCCTGTTGTTGGTCAGATGCTTTCGTTCGAGTGAGCTGGGCGTTGGTGTCAGCAGCACCATTCGGTGGTTGATGAGGAGGATGACCATTCACATGGATGACAGAATTTGTATTGCTGCTTGCACTGGTCAAGGTGCTGTTGTGCCTAGAAGAGTTGGTAAATGTTTTAGAAAATTCAGCCCAGTTGTAAATATTCAGTTGAGAAAGAAGGTCAGCGAGTGGAGAAGTGTCTTGTTCTTCCAAAATGTGTGGATGGTGAGTGGTGTTGTCAATGGCCACTTGAGCTGGAGCCGAAGAAGTGGACAGCTCCAGTGGATTGTGTTGATCCGTCATCTTTGATTATTATTGTGTGTGGATTGTGTTGATGGTGATGACGAAGAAGTGAACGAGTGGATGTTCTGTTGTTATTTTTGAATTTTCACACTCAATATTTTGTAATTGCCTTTTTCAAAAGATTAATAATTACTGGTACTGTGGGCAGGCCAAATTGAGGGCCCACAATGTCGTTGGTTGATGATAATTATTTTGTTGTTGCCACAATTCAGTGGTTAAAAGAGATATTAGTGTCATCATTAGTAAAAGGAGAGGTAAGAATCTCGTCCGATCGATATGAATACTCACCAGTGAGGAAGGTATTCCAGCTAAACAAACGACACAATTTTGTGATATTTTGAAATGGGGAGGTGAAGGCAATGAATGATGGATTGGCAGTTTTTTAAAAGGTGAATTGAGAAGCTCTTTGCACAACGAGTTTGAGAATCAACTGCTGATCGTTTGTGATGGTCATAATATGAAATTGGGGGCTTCTTGCTGTAAAAGATCAGTAACAAAAAATTGAATTGAGGAATGGAACTGCCAAAAAAAACAAATGACACATGACATTAAAGACTGCGTTTGCTGATGTAAGATGGTGAAAAACGCTTTACACAGCATTTGCCCAAGTCGGTGCTTTTCATTCCTTTCTTCAAGTTATCTCACTGTGCACAGTTGTTGGATAGAGCATTGGGTCCATTGTGGTACACAACTTTACAATTGTTGGGTGGCATCTTTTTGCATTCCAAGCTACATCCAACGAAACAAAATATCATCAACTCCATCCTCTCCATACACATTTGTAAGATGATTTGCAAGCTTTGTTTGCAACGAACTACCAGAAACATGCTGAGTTTTCAAGTACACACACAATGGCGATCGATTCTCTTCTCCTCCATTGATCCATAAAATCTTATTTGAATCGATGTGAACTGCTTTTTTCATGAAAATCACCTTCGTTTGGTCCTGAATAGAAATATCTACAAGACACACATCGCTTTGCGAATTGATTAAGCATGCATGGAATTGGTAATTCGTAGCTCCAACACATGCCACCTTGTGGAATACAGTTCCATCATGTGAAAAGGGCAGAGTAAATGTTCTTGTAGTATTATGATCAGAGCCATTCATGTAAATTCTTCCACTTTCTATGTCTTGAAATTATCAACAATGCTTTTACAAGAAATACATACTTGTGAGAAATAAAAAATGGTAATATTGTGTCGCAACATCAATGGCAGGATCGTGATCGGTAATTTCATTAACCCTCTTGCTTTCACACAATTCCTCAACAATATCACGGTTAGAATCAAGCATTAATTCGTTACTTCCATTGTAGCCACACACATAAATCTTTCCTTCAGTGCTCAGGGCAATTATCGAATGATCCCCACAGGCTACTTTACAAATCTTTACGTTTGGGTTTCTTCTTGAGAATGGATGTTCTTCTATTCTGAGAGTAGCTGGTGTGGTTGCAATAGATTGACCAACCTCTCCGAATTGATTTGATCCTTAATGCGAGAACGTAGTAGCATCAATGTTTCCATAAGAAATTGTTGTTGAATTCACTCTCGATAATTCTTACCTCCCACAAGTAATCGTCCATTGCTTGTAACAAACACGCTGGTGTAAGCAGCACATGCCATGTATGTTATATATTCATTAAAAGCAAGAGCTTTTTCGACGTCTCTCAACCAATAAATTTGTCCTTGTTTCACAGAAGACGTGCCCTCCACTAATGTTTGCAAATTAATAACATCCTCTCCAAAGAAAGGAGGATTGTCATAGCTACCAACATGAATGGCAACTACAGAGGGCCTTTTGGGTACTTTAAATCTTTCTCCGTTTGGCAATTCCGTGAATGCAAAATTTGACGAACCGATCTTTAAATGCCAGTTCAATAATGATCAAATCGGAATTATTGACATTCAAATAATAGTTTTGTTTCACTCATCGAGATGTGGCTCGTTTGATGAATCCACTTACATCTGGTGAGACTATGCCATCAACAATCTTATCTGTCAAAATTAATACGTGATGATAAGATGCAGCAACGAAATAGGCTCTTTCCAATCCAATTTCTTCTCCATTTCTATTTTCTTTATAATTTGAAAATACATCATCGGACCATTGGTTCGAATGACCTTGTTCCCACTTCCAATAGAGTTTATGATCCGGAGAAGTGATCGCATAAACTATTCCTCTTCTCGAAAGAATTTGAATGAATTCTTGATTGATCCCACTCTCAAAGAACTTGGCATGTTGTCCATGCCAATACACGATATTTTCATTAGGAATGTCATTGCGTACAAGACTAGGAGACATTTTTTTGTGAACTTTTTTTTGATCGTCGTTACAACTGACGGACGAGAGTAGCACAGCGAAGCAATCAGCAACTTACTCCATATTGGCTAACTATATTGTCGATCTGAGCAAGAGTTCTCGTATTGAGTCATGATGTGAGACTTTAATTTACACAATTATTGGTGTATGCTGCATGAGAAAGTTTGCAGTCACATTAGTATCTTGCGTATTTGATTCGAGATGTGATTTTATTGTTGAGAGCATTGTGATGCGAAAACTCAGTGTAATCTGCTTGATGAGGTGATCACAAGAAAATAATAGAACTCATATAACGATCTATTTAACTCAAGGTACACATACCTTATGTACCTAGTATATGATTCATTATGTAATGCACAATTCGTGTGTTAATGTACAAATATAGTTAGCCAAATGGAAGCAAAGTCTGATGCTACCTCTCGATCCCTCCCGCAACTTGAGTTCATGCCTTGTTACCAAAATCATTTTGTCGTCTTCGTCGAAAGGTTAACCGCTGAAAAATTGCAAATTCTCAAACTTCTCTCTAATCAATTGTAATAGAGAAACATGTTCCAGATTTCTATCGTCAATATTGCAACCTAAATGCAATTGTTTCAAATTTTAAGGTCTCACTGGAGGAAAGTGCTTCAAGTCCATTTGTCTTGATATTATTCGAATTTATATTCAAACTCGTTAAATTTTTCAAATAAGTACTCGAAGCAATAACTTTTACAGCCTCACAACCAATATTTCCATTGTACAAGTTCAAGAACGTTAGATTGGACATGTATTCACTTTGTGCTATAGATATGGCTGCTTCATCTCCTAAAATATGATTTCCGTTCAAAATGAGTACAGTTAAATGTTTCATAATGGGACTGTTCGCAATGAATTTCACACCTTCTTCTCGAACCATATTGCCATACAAATTCAAGCTGGTTAAATTGCTCATATATGGACTTGTAGTAATACTGTGAACAGCATAATCTCCAATCCTTGTGTCTGATAGGTCAAGTATTTTCAAATTACTCAAATATTGGCTTTTGACCATTGTTGAAACTCCTACATTTCCAATAGGGTTTCTTCCTATATTGAGCTCTCTCAAGTTGTGCATAAATGGACTTGTTCCAATGGCCACTGCTCCCTCTCCATCAATTCTATTGGACTTTAAATCTAATTTCGTCAAATTTTGCATAATTTTGCTGGCTACCAGCTTCTTCAATCCGTCAGAAGCTATCTCATTAAAACCAATGTTTAAATCTGTTAAACTCTTCAAACTCGGAATTGTAATAAATTTTTCCAGAAAGCTCATCTGTTGCATCTTTTTACTTTCACTAAAATTCAATTTCAATTTCATATCCAACGATTTACGGTACCACTGTTTTGAAACTTGCTTACAGACTGAAATAATAAATTTCAGATCAAGAAAATTCAAAATCAAAAACAAAACATCATCGGAGAATAATTGTCCATTGTTTTCAACTGAATAGAATAGATCTTCATCTTCAAGGAATTCATGATCATCACATTCATTTTCATTCAATCCTACTTGATCAGAGTCTTCATCGGAAGGTTGAAAAACGAAATATTTCCAGAATTGAAAGAGAACCATTTTTTTGTTGTGTGAGGCTTGAACTTCATTTCTAGAAACGAGTCGAACAAAAAAAATGTCCAACTCACGTACAACTCCGATGGCTACACCACCATCTTCTCTTCAACGTTCCTCACAGGAGGTCCATCATCTTCAAGGCCGATTTTTTGAATTTGTTCCGAAAGAGATTTTTAAAGATTTAATATTAGAATTTATTCCATTCATTTACCGAGTGCCATTGATTCAAGTTTGTAAAGATTTCTATATTTCCATTAAACACAAGCAAGCAGAGTCTATTTGGAAAAGGATACGAGATGGTAATGAATTGGAAATGAATGATATTTTTGATTTAGAGGATTGTGATTTTAAATTATACAAATTTGATCGATTAATGTTTGTGCAATCGGAGCGAAAAGATAACGTTTTGAATCGATATTCGTGGTTTTTGAAAATTATTTACTTGTTAGATGTGAATGCTGAACCTTTCATGGGTGAGGATGAAGAGTCCATGCAGTCACTATCTCCCTGGCGCAAATTGGGTGCATGTGAAAAAATTACACGATTGCACATTAGTGTACCGTTTTTTAGGATGAATGTTTCGGATACACTTCTCTATCGAGTTAGAGCTGATTTAGAACAATTACTGTACAACATTTCTAGGAGAGTTGAATTTTCTCTTAATTTTGAATTAATTTTCTGTACTTGGATTACAAAAAAGAATTTATTCAGCTCTACAAGTTCCATCTCTGATGACATGAATGGAATGTCAGCCAACATTCGTGTGACTAACATGATGCGTATCACATCGAATCATGTCTATGATTATCAATTTAAGGAAAATCCTTCTAGGTTTACTTTACTAAGCAATAATTCGTATGTTGAGTTACCAACTCGAAAAGATGTCGAGGACTTGGACGCAATCACTCGATACACTACAACCATATCCATCAGCCTCAAAATGAAGCCCAGTATGGTTCCCATTAATCACTTCTTGACTCATCTCATGCTTTCAAAAAAGGGTGATATTGAATGGCATTGGGTGAAGCGACTCTGTGAAAATTATCTCATTCTCGTGAATGGACCCATAGATGTGAATAACAATACAATCGTTTCCATGATGTTAGAAAAGATTCAAGAGAAGGCCAATTCTACTTTTATGAAGGCAAAAACAGGTCATAGTTTTGTACACAATTATTTAGAGTTCTACAATGATACACAAACCATTCGAGAGCATTTGGAGAAGCTATTCAACCTTGTTAAAAATTCGAAACGTAGAACGGAGGAGATTTACCTTATTTTGAATCAACCTCATTGGTCTCTTGGCAATTCTGTGAGCGGAAATAGTAACCATTATAACACCACCCATTACACCACTACCAGTAGTATGATTTCACAGCTTGATTCCATCACCAACACCAAATTCAAATTCTTTAATTTACATCTGAAAGCCATGTATTCAAAGCTTGTGTAATACCCAAACTTTACGGTTTATGAGTGGAAAAGAAACCTATTGGGAGATTTGATGAATTGATCGAGAATGGACAATTTCCAATGAGACGACAAGTTTTTCAAATGTTCCATTGCTTTGAAATGAGATTGAATGAACGTTTAACATGTACATGGCAGTTTTCTCGTTCCTTGAGTTAATAATTCGAATTCCTCGAGTTATTACAGTTTGTCAGAAAACTCCGCTCACACACTAGTGCAACAATTCTCAAGGAACGAATCGCCTTGTACGATCGTATTGAGGTGAGTTGTTGTGGTTCATTCGTGAGGACAACCAATGGAGTTTCGCATCGGGTCATCCCGAACACAGAAGAGTTTGTTAAGATCAGATACCCATATTCACGAATCCGTTATGGAAAGCCGTGGCATTGAACGACACTGAAAGACTGCAAATGTTGTGCGTGTCTTTATTAATCATACATGAATTTTGGCATCCGACATTTTTCACTTGCTCTCCAATCGAATTGGATCAATGATTACCCCGCAGGGCAATTTTCGGAGCAAGCGTTCGTAGCAGCATTTTCTGGGGCGTATTGGCCGAGCGATCTGTCGCACTCTCTTGAGAAAAAAAACCCTCTCTCTGTTCATCTCTCGTCTGTTTGAGTGTGATTTTTCAAATCTGCTTGTGATCTCCAAGTGTTTAATTCCTTGTTAGAGAGAGAAACGCGCGTAGCTGCAGATACTCGCGACGAAGAATTAGCAACGCTGCTTCAAGCAGAACGTGTCTGACCTCATAACTCGTTCCTTGTTTTTGCAAAGTCTGTCTTCATCCCGAGACGTGAACAAGCAAGAACCTTGACTAAATTGAAAGAGCAAACACAGCACCCTTTTCAATAGCTGTCAGTGACGAATCCAAGCAAAAGTTCTCCCAAAGGCTTTTGTAACAACGGTGAAAAAAGTCTTTTCGTTCCATAGAAAAAGCGCGGACGCTGCAAAAGGAATCCGCAAATACCATTCATTCTCTTGTACTCTACTCATAACGGTAGTACAAGAACAACAGTAATATCTACTTTTCGTTCGCGAAAGAGTTCCTCTTACACACAAATCAGAGAAGCCAAGAAGAAAAATTTCAGCTCGTTTCGCTGCATTCGGATCTACAGCTCATATTTCACCATAAAATTGTTAGCCTTGTTGTGAACCCGAACACACTCCTACGTGAAATAGTCATTCATCCGTACGAACGTACTACCGCAAACGATTCAATGATGAAGGAAGAACCTACCTCCACTTCCTCCGCTGCAACCTACGCTCCAGTGATTCAAGGCTTTTCTTCATCCCGAACACAGGTTAAGGAAGAAGAGAGCGCATTGGTGCCTACAGCACAGAGCAGTACCACAACCTCACCATCCACATCCATCATGATGCACAACAACATGAATCAGTCCAATTCTAATAACACTACTGGAGGCGCCTCCAACTACTCACCATTGCCGACCTCAACTCCACCACAACATCTCTCCATTCATGTCCCTCCATCATCGGCCACATTGAATAACGGAAGCTCCTCAAGCTATTCCACACCTTCGCCTGCCTCCTCTCCACTACAACATTCCCAGTATTATCAAAATACTTTGTCGTATCCGAACAGTCCTCACCATCATCAGCACCTATATCACACACAGCCTCAATCACAACAAGCACCATTACCATCTTTGTCTTCACAATTACAGCACCAACCATCTTTGCATGCTGCTAACCAAACAATGAATAATACCACATTGAACAATAGCAGTAACAGTACGGATAATTCCCCACACATGTCTCAACACCAAATCACCAAACATGTTTTGACCGAATCATCATCCTCGGCAGCTTCAACAGCATTGTCCTCACAAACTACAAATTTCATGATTCAACAACATCAACAACATACGATACAGCAACAACTCAGATCAAATTCTCCTTTCCCAACCAAGAACCATTCATCCATGCCACCAACACTCCCCTCCATCAGCAATACGATAGCTGCTACAGACTCAAAATTACCTTCTTCTCAGCAACATCACACAGTGTCGACAGCATCTACACCTTCGTCACCATCTCAACATTCCCAACATGTTGTTGTTGGTCAAACTTCTTCTTCATCACCTTCACATTTACAACAAGCAATGTCGCATCATGCGCAAAATTCAATGACCTCCTCGTTTCAGACAGCTCCTCAACAGGCCATATTTCATGATTACACAGCAAATGTGAGTGGTCAACGAAAAACCCAAGTAACCATGTCACCTCAACAACAGCAAGATGTAAACATGGCCGGAGGAGATTTTCATCCCATTGCTTGCATTCCGTGTAGAAAGCGCCACAAAAAGGTACGTTTTTAGTTAAATATTTTGGAGTTGACACGAGGATTATATTCATCGATCCACATATTTCAATCATGACACAAAGTGTGATCGTCGATTACCTCACTGCTCGGAGTGTGTTCGCCGTTCGATGGAATGTCAATTCTATGAACCAAAACAAAAAGGACGAAAAAAGAAGGATGGGGAACCAGGCACTGAGCAAAATTTTTCTTCCTCACAACCATCATCACCTCAACAAAATTCTCAATCTCAATTTCAGAGCTCACAAAATATAACACAGTCTGGTAACAACATGATGGATCTTTCACCTTATCCGGCAACAGGCAATAACAATTATGGCAATTCTCCCATGATGAACTCGTCATCTCAACCCTATATCAACAACCCTCAATCAAACAACCCTGCCATCAGCAATAACGCCCAACATTCAACAAATGCGAGTAAGCAACAACAAATTCCATCTCAACAAGCTATTTCATCTTCCATAGCATTTAACAACACTGCTGCATCAACAAATCAACGAAATGCACCAAACGATCCTGACCTCTTTCCACTGCCTTATTCCTCTCAAGGGCAATCTTCTGTAACAAGATCACCTAGTTATCATCAAATGAAATATAGAGCTGAACCATATCCAAGTGTTCAGCAGAATCATCAACAAACGATCAATGCCAACAATAACATAATGTACAACAATTCTCCTCAAGTATATCCATCACACACATTTTCTAGGGAAAGAGCTGTGTCTTCAGCCTCTTCAATAAGTAACAGTGGAATGTATTCAGGATATGGCTCAAACCCGTCCATGATGAATTTTTCGGAAATTAACAATATGAACACTGGCATGAATAACAACTCAAATAGCATACCAGCATTTGGTCAAATGGCCGCAAGCAATTACAATCGAAATGTTGGTGGCATGTCCCCGGAGCAGTTACAATCACCCAATGAAAATTTCAACACAACTTCACTGACGCGTTTCGTACCTATCGAAAAAGAGTCTCTAAGGGATCAGTTGAATAGTCTTTCAAGAGCTCAACTTGAAAGTTGGCCATGTCAAACAGTTTCACAATGGATTGAATCAATCGATACAGCATTTTTCCATAACAAGATTGGAGAAATTTTTACAGAACATGATGTGGATGGAATTGCTTTACTAGGACTTCATAATCAAGCTCTACAGGATATGGGCATTCACAAAGTTGGAATTAGGGTTAAATTGTGTCGAATTATTGAGCATTTGAGGATGCAAAAACAATAATTTGAAATAAAGGTAAGATTAATCTTTACAATTATATGTTTTAGCTGCAACCTTCAACAACCATTTTCAATCTTAGTTTATCCACACTGGAAACTGTGTTGTGGAGGAATTGCCATACTCAGATTTTTGTTGGTTTGATTTCATTAGGAAAGAATTCAATGACAACCAACGTGACTGTCCGACCTATTTCTTCATGACTCAAAAGATCTTTTCAGTAAGAGCGTTCAAGAGAGTTTTGCATCTAGACATTGATAAAAAACTTACAAACTTCTAAAGAAGATGAAGGATAACAACAATGTGACCAAAGGTAAGAGCTTGTTACTCGTTCTTTCACTTATGGCAACCAATTCATGTCTTTGCCTAACCACGCTATGTCCATGCTCTCACGTTTTGATTTCGGTTGGCACTTTCACATACATGCCATTAGCCAAGGGCACAATTACGTGGCAACCAGCATTGGCAGTGATTGTTATCATTTTCTTGATGCATGTTTCTCAACTCATTGGTCATGCATCAGTGTTGGCTCAGTCATACGATTTCTCCAACACAGTCAATGTGTCAGATGCATCTGGTAATGGCCTCATCAATTATCCACTCCAAATGGGGAGACCATTCTTGAAGGGAGAAATTCCCAACCACTACGTGCCAGCAATCAAACTGAATGGCCTTTTGATTACTTCACAAGCTGAGATTGCCACTCGTTATGAGGATGGCTCTGTTCGTTTTGCTGTCCTTTCAGCCATCCTTCCAAAAATTGAGAAGGTTGGAAACGCTTCCTTACAAATGGTTCCAATTCTCAACACTTCAGTTCCTGTGGCTTCTCCATGCTCTATTTCAGATATTTTCACACAATTACCAGAGGCTGATATTTCGATCACTCTCATTGGAAATGGAACCAGTCATACTGTAAGCGCTCGAAACATGATTTCACAAGGTCTCTACGCGTGGACCATTGATTCAGGACTCGTTCGATGTGAATTTGTTGTGGTTGATCACATCTCTCGAAAGGCAGATTTTGGATTGAACGGAGCCAAATCGTTCAGACCCATGTTTGTGTTCACGTATTATAGAACGATTCAAACCTTAAAAGTTAGAGCTGTATTAGAAAATACCAACCTTGATACTTTACAAGATGTCATGTATAATGTAACTGTTTCGAAAGGAGTCACATCTCCTGCTGTGGTGTATTCTCAACAAGACGTTCAACACTTGTTTGGATCGAGATGGACTAAAACATTTTGGTTCGGTGCCTATCCTCCCGAATCACGTGTGAATTTCAATTATAACGTGAATTACTTGAGTGCTACCAATTTCATTCCAAATTATCAAACGAATCATACTCAAACAGAGAAACAAATTTCAAATTATTACTCGAATTGGTTATCAAGACCTAAAGGCATTTTCGAACCAGGAATATGGCAACCTTACATGCCAACTACAGGAATGAGAGATGTCATTGGTCTCATGCCAGGATTTGTACAGGCGTGGCTCACTCTTGGGGATTGGCGTTATCGTGAAATTTCACTCACGAGTGCAGATTGGGCAGGAGCATGGAGAGCTCATTTCAGAGAAGCAAATCCTTCACTCAAATGGGATCGAAATCAAACATTGTCAGCTTTAGGAAAACCCATTTCACTCAATGCTCATCCAGCGTTGTGGTTTCCAGACAATAATGGGAAATATGCAGGCGCCTTAAATATGCCCTTGTTATCAAATTCCTTTAATTGGGCATTTGAAGCAGCTCACGTCCCAGATCCCTTCTCAATTCCTTACCTATTGACAGGTGACTCGTATTATTTGGAATCGTTGCAATTTTGGGCAGCCATGGGTGTCATGACTTTTGCCAATGGTATCTATGGAAGAGGTGCCACTGGTTACGGAGGTATCACCGATCAAGTTCGAGGACAAGCATGGACCTTCCGTACTCGATGTTTTGCAGCATTGTATTCACACGATGGATCTCCAGAAAAATTGTATTTCACACAAATGGTGGAAGACGCCATTGCATTTTGGGAAGGTCAACGCTCCATTAACGGTACTTTCATGAACCATCCCAATCGAATTTGGGCTTCCAAGAATGCTCCTCTCAATTGGTCACCTTTAAGAGTTTGGCTTCGAAACACTGACACTCGACAATCGGCATTTTGGCAAGAGTTCTTCTTACGTTCTGTGTTGGGAACTATGAGAGATTTAGGATTTCCAACTCGTTCCATTCTCGATGAATATCACAAAGTATTGACCACGCAAATAGGTGCACCAAATTATGATGCAAGATTTATGGGATTTTACTGGGCCTATGTCATGCATTCGAATTTGACATGGTATCAAACATGGTCTGAGATGCAACAACAAAATACAGAGTTGCAGCCCTCATACTCGGCAGGTGCTGTGAAACAATTTGAGACTGGAGATTTGTATGCTGTGGCTGCCACATGTGCAAGTTCCTTCTTGACTGTGTATCCGAATGGAGCAGAAACTTGGGAATTCACTCGTTCACAAATTTTTGACAAGTTCGATTACAGTGTCAATTTTCGTTCCTTTATTGTGTATCCAAGAAGTTTTGCACCACCTCCACCATCACCTCCGTCTCCTCAACCCTCAATGCCAGCTCCAAATCCTCAGCCCTCAGGGTCAAGTGTCAAACCAGTTCCCTCTCAAAAAGTGATGAATAGTAGCCATGTAGCAAGAGCTTCTTTGGCATCTCCTCCTCGAATGCACTGGTCGATGGATCGAGTCATGGTCGTTCTCATGTCAGCATGGATTGGACTAGGATTGATCATGATAGGGTAGAATTACAAATTCATCCCTTTTACAATTGTAGCCTGGCAGTCGAGTTGAAAAACAAAATAAACTTTGTTTGCCGTTTCCATCGCAACTGGCAGATCAAAAAAATGAAGAGAAGAAAGGAAGAAGAAACTGACTCTTCCGATCAGTGGTCTTTTATTCATTCATCGGAATTTTCATCCACCACTGGGAAACATGTAAAATTAACAAATATCTACAGAGATGGAGCAAACAAAATTTGTAGAAAGGATGAAACCGAATCATCATGTTTGAAAATAATATTATATGATTTCTGTAAAACGAATCCGATGGAAAATAATGACATGCTTAAATCTCTACAATTAAAACTCAAGATGAAATTTCAAAATCAAGTGAAAGGTTTTGTAAAATGGTTCCGTGCGAAAGAGGCATTCATGGCCAAGGACTTGCATCGTACCATTCCGATTGAGTTTCTCGATTGTCAAGAGGTAGTACTTCATCTTTTGGAAAATATCTCAGTGTTGGATGAAGTGAAATATTTTCCAAACAACCATTTTCCATCATGGGTTCTCAACTGTGTTGAAGAACATGAAATGGACAGTCGATGGAAGCATTGCAAAGCAGCCATCATGCGGGCCATTGCCTTCAAAGTTGTAAATGTGTTTAATTTTGCAACAAGATCAGTTCTAATGGGATTTAAACAAGATTTGGTATATTTTCTGTTACAGTACAATTGTTGTCCTTACGAATTTCGTGATGATGAAGAAATCATGTTAGAGATTGTGCAACGAAATGGATGGTTTTTAGAATATGCCTCTCTTGCATTGAAACATAACAAGCGCGTGGTTTTGGCTGCTGTTAAACAACGTGGCTGTACTCTAATACATGCTTCTCATACCTTACGTGATGACAGAGAAGTAGTTTTGAATGCCATTCAACAAGATGGTTATGCCCTTTCATTTGCGTCGCCCAGCATTCTCAATCATGATTTGGACATTATTTTAATGGCTGTCCAACAATATGGATCTGCATTGAAATTCGTTCCAGAAAAGTTCAGAAGGATGAAACAAGTTGTTTTTCATGCAGTTCAAAGTGAAGGAACTGCATTAGCTCATGCTTACATAGACTTACAAAACGACTATGACATTGTACTTGCGGCAGTGAAACAAAACGGATTTGCGTTGCGGTGGGCTTCTACAAATATGAAGAACAATTACGAAATTGTATCGGCTGCCGTACAAACCAATTCTGAAGCCTTGAACTATGCTTCACGCACACTTCAAGATAATTTTGAAATTGTCGAAAAAGCAGTATCTGCATTTGGGACCTCGCTGGAATTTGCATCATCATCACTAAGGAGTAATTTGTCTCTATGTTTAACGGCAGTGAAGCAAGATGGATATTCCTTGCGAAGTGTTGACAGATTTCGCAACAACTTTGAGGTGGTCTTGAATGCAGTTAAACAAAACGGTATGGCATTACAAATGGCTTCACCAGAATTGCAAAATAATTTCGAGATTGTTTTAACAGCTGTTCGTCAACGTGGTGCTGCATTGTGCTTTGCTTCTCCTGCATTATGTGACAATGTTGAAATTGTTAAAGAAGCAGTTAAAACATATGGGAAGGCAATACATTATGCCTCTTCGAGATTAAGAGGAGATAGGGATGTAATTCTTGCAGCTTTACAACAAGATGGAGACGCATTCGACTATATTGACTTGCAATTGCAGCACGATGAACACATTTATATTCAGGCCATTCGGAATAGTGGTCATCTCCAAAACAAGACTATTCTTCAAAGCATGGATAGAACATCTTTTAACGTCCTGAAACAGGCACGTCTTGAACATGAGTATCATGATTGTCACATACCATTGGGTCATTTAATTTCAACTCCGATTCAACTTTGTAAGCAAGAGACAACTTTAACCGACGAATATTCTGAAGAAATGTGGTGGTCATAAGGACTGCCTTGATTGGAAACATATATTTGTAGATCAGCAGTTGAATGAGGAGCAAGAAAACGACAACAATAACGAAACTCGGTAGACTATCCTCCTTTGGTATATTTATGAACCCCCACAAAGGAATTCTCAACCATCCCATACTCTCCCAATGTTTTCCCGTTATCCTTTAATATGATTCCCCTATAACATACAAACGATTGGTCTGTAGGATACTCAGGAAGGACATCATGTATTTTCGTTTTGAGAAGTTCAACAGTGTCTTTTAGATCAATTTCGATATGGCATGATTGCATGCCACACATGGTTCGCACTAGAAGCTGCATTTTTTTCACAGAGCAAGAAAGAATTCGGAACGGTTTACTGTGTGACAGTTTTACTCTGTTACAGAAACAAAAAAAATGAGAGAACATTTAGAATCATCAACACCTGGCCAATTCATTGTTGATGATCGAATTGTAATTCCTGACAATGGTGAATTATTTACAGAAAATGAAGGATTATTTGCCGATGATGTTCTTTATCACATATTTCAATTTCTAGATGCAGAATTTATGTTCAAAGTTTGCAAACGAGTTTCGATACAGTGGCATCGAACAGCAAACAAAGCTCCTATCATTCTGAACTTTTCTTCGGAATCAAGCAAACATAAGAGATGTGAACATTATTGCGAGCACTGGCCCAATGTAGAGCTAAAAATGCAATTATTCTACATGAGTAACAACAAAAACAGCATTACAGAGTTGAATGTAGAGGACTGTTGTTGTGATCGTTCGTACCTTTCAAAATTTCTCATTTCCGATGAGGGATCTATTTTTTTGAAAGATGTCAAGCGTCTTAATTTGGCAAATAATCAGTTGACTTACAAGGACGTTATTTCAATTTTGGAAAGTAGTTATTGCAACAATTTGACAGAATTGAATATATCTTACAATGCCATCAAAGAATGTGACATGCAAGAAATTTTAAACAACGAAACACTGAAGAACATTGTATCGTTAGATTTAAGTGGTAATGAATTTAGTGAGACGAACATGACCCTTCTGTGCCACAATTTGACTCGCTTGTCAAGACTAACATTGGCCGACATGAAAATTGGCAATTCACAACAAATGCAATATTTTGGCAAGAGTTTTAATTTTCAAAATTTACACGAATTAAGTCTGAAGAGAACCAACCTCTTATCTGCAGAATTGTTCGAGAATTACCACAAAATGAAAAACTTGACACGTTTAAATTTATCATATTGCAACCTCAAGACCAAAGATATTACGGAAATCTCCAAAAACTCACACATGAAACATTTAAAGGTACTAGAATTGGAAGGAAATAGAATCGGTAACTCGGAATTTACATCCATCATTTCAATGAAAAAGTTAACGGAACTACATTTGAGTACCAACTCGATACAAAGTATTGACAGTTCTGTATCCGTGTTGGAGAGCAACCTTTTTTACTTGAATTTGTCTGATAACAAAATTGATGAAAAGGGAATAGCAACCATTCTCTCCAAGATTACCTTTCAAAATTTGAAATCGCTCAATCTCGCAAGAAATAACATTGGACACAACGGAATCATTCACATTTGTAAATCCAAAACTATGCGACATTTAACATTCTTGGATTTAACTGGAACCAAAATCAAAGATCAAGGAGCTAATGCCTTGGGCTCAAGCTCATCCTACTTGAAAAAGTTAAAAGTATTGCGTTTGGATGACAGCAAGCTTGGATGTAATGGAATTGAGGTCATGTTTTCCACAGGATCTAATTTTAAACATTTAACAGAGCTTTCAATGCGAGACAATCGTAACATTGGTTATCCAAATCAAAGTATTGAGATTTTAGCCAGTTGCGCTGCATTGAGAAATTTAACCATTCTCGACTTGAGTCGTTGTAATATTGCTGATGAGGGCATAAAAGCACTGTGTGAAAACGGTGAACATTTCACACAGTTATCGGAATTGAATGTATCATTTTGCAATTTGACGACTCGTTCACTACAATATCTGTTGCAATGTGATTGCTTTCAACAATTGACCAAGCTGTCGATGGCAATGAATTACATTCGAAACAGCAATGTTGACGAGGAATCCTTTCGGCAGCATTTCCCTTCACTCAAGATTTTCAACTATCAGGGCTACGATAGGGATAATTTTGCCAATGAGGAATAAAAATTAGTGTTGCAAACAACCAGAGAAGGCATTTAGAAAAAATATTAAGGGACCCTATATCTATTAAGGAGAGATCATCAACCGCTTTTTAAAATTTTTTATTAGGAACAGTTCGTGAAAGATCATCTCACAGTGTTTCATCCCATTTATCTTCTACCTCTGTAGGATGGTCTGTAGGATGGTCTGTAGGATGAGGATCTTGATGAAGAATAAGATCTGGATGGTCTAGAGTAGCTTGATCTTGATGGTCTTGAATAAGAAGATCGGGATGGTCTTGAATATGAAGATCTGGATGGTTGTCTTCTTCCATATGATTGAGTTGGTCTTCTGTTATAGGTTGGTCTTCTACCATAAGATTGGCTTGGTCTGTATGGTCTTGTTGGTCTGTATGGTCTGGTTGGACGAGTTGGACGAGTTGGTCTGTATGGTCTTGTTGGACGAGAAGGTCTATATGGTCTTGTTGGACGAGAAGGTCTAGTAGGACGAGTTGGACGAGTTGGTCTAGTTGGTCTGGTTGGACGAGTTGGTCTTGTTGGTCTTGTTGGTCTTGTTGGTCTGGTTGGTCTTGTGGATGGACGTTCTGGTCTTGTTGGACGAGTTGGTCGTTCTGGTCTGGTGGATGGACGTTCTGGTCTTGGTTCTGGTCTTGGTTCTGGTTGAGCAGCATTGTCATTTGGACCATTTCTACCCAAAACACGTTGAGCAGCTCTGTACTTGGCATCACGATCAGCCTTTCCATTGTAACCTCCGTTAATTCTTCGAGTAATGGTATCGAAAGCATCTTGAGTTTGTCTGTCAGCGTATTGATTCAAATTACGAGAATTCCAATACCAAGCAGCAGTTCTGAATCCAATACGTGGATCTTCAGCGAGTTGTGGATTGTTCTCCCTATATTTTGAATTTTAAATATCATGATGTTAATTTTTTGATGTTTTGAAATTTCAATGCATGACATGACACAAATTCGGAAATTACAAAACTTACAAATCAACACCCAAAGCTCTACCAGCAGCACGATAGTTAGCTCGTCCAGTAATTTGAATTGGACCTCTTCCCTTATATCTCACACCATCACCTGCTTGAGTATTTCCCAAATCTTTTTCATCATTATAATTCAAAAAACACAGTGTCATCACATGTCAAACGTTCACAACCATCATCATCATCATGCGCACACACATGTTCACAAACAACTTTAATTCAACTCTCTTCACAACACTTACCTCTTCTTCCTTCATAGGCTCTTCCGCTAGCAAATTCTCTGAACCATCTCAAATTTCCAGATTCATGTCCTAATTGAGCCAAGAAAGCAGCTTGTCTGGCAGGAGTGTTAATTCCAGCACTTCTCATGGCTTCATTCAAAGGTCCAACATATTCACGAGCTCTCGATTCTGGGAGTCCAGTCATGATTTGACTCAACTCGGTAGCAGTGAGATCGCGTTCAGATGCCAACACGAGTGTGCTGGCGAAAAGAAGAGTGGCGAACAACAAGGCGAGGACGAGGGATTTCATTGTTGTTGTGTGCAATGTGTGTTTTTTTTGATGATGGTTGTGTTCAATTCGCGTGCTGGAGTGTATTTATGAACAAAAACGCTGGCACGATTATAATTTTTTGGCATGTGACAAGTGAAGATGATTATATTTTGATACAAGGTTCAATTATTCCAGACAAAATATCTCAGCAACCTTAGGAGAATGGATACAATGTCCATCGGGATTCGTTTATGAAAATTTTTCTCAACCCTCAAACATTCCAAAAGTGTTTCTCCATTTATCTTCTAATTCTGTATGAAGATGATCTTGAAGAGGATCTTGAGGATGATCTTGAAGAAGAACTAGAGGATCTGGATTGTCTTCTACCACTGCTACTGGATTGTCTAGATTGTCTACGACCATAATTTGAAGAAGTTTGTCTTGATTGTCTTCTGCCAGAGCTATTGGATTGTCTTTGTCTTCTGCCAGAGCTGGTGGATTGTCTCTGTTGTCTTCTTCCACTGGTTCTTCTTCCAGAATTGTTATTCGATTGTCTTGTCATACGACGATTTTGTCTTGACGATTGACGTTCTTGTCTGGATGGTCTTGAAGGACGTTCTGATTGTTGTTGTCTTCTCTGTCTTCTGTTATTGGATGGTTGTTGTTGTTGCTGTCTTCTAGAATTGGAACGTTCGAATGATCTCGAAGCAGCATTGTCATTGTCTCCATTATTCTTATTACCGAAAATTCTTTGATTTCTGGCATATCGAGCGTTTCTATCTGCAACTCCGTTTGGATGTTTTCCATTGATTCTTCTAGTGGTTTCATGGAAGTTTCCAGCATCAGCATACTTGTTCAAATTACGAGTATTCCAATACCAAGCAGCAGTTTTGAATCCAATACGTGGATCTTCAGCAAGTTTTGGATTGTTCTCCCTATATCAGCACACATATGAACACCAGATGTCAATGAACATGCATGTTTGGAAATAACAATAAAACAACTTACAAGTCAACACCCAAAGCTTTACCAGCATCACGGTAATTGGCACGTCCAGTAATTTGAATGGGTCCTCTTCCCTTATATCTCACACCATCTCCTGGTTGAGTATTTCCCAAATCTTTTTATCACAAGGAGCATTCAAATAAAACCAAATCGAATTCTTGCCTTCATGAACCACAAACAACACTTACCTTTTCTTCCTTCATATCTTTTACCAGTGTCCAATTCACGGAAATATCTCAAATTTCCAGACTCGTGACCTAATTGAGCCAAGAAAGCAGATTGTCGATTTGGAGTGTTAATTCCAGCTGTTCTCATGGCTTCATTCAATGGATCTAAATATTCACGAGCTTTGGATTCTTTGATACCAGGCATGCTTTGCATCAATTCATCGACGGTAATGTCTCGTTCGCTCAAAGCTCCCAACACAAGAGTGCTTGTGAAGAGAAGAGCACTGATGAGAAACACAACCAAAGGGAAGGATTTCATGGTATGTGAAAGAAATTGTTTTTTTGATGAATTCTGGTTCAAGTTTCGTTCGTGGTATTTATTTGTTCAAAGATATTAGATTCGCGAGGATTATAATTTTTTGGCAACTGACAGCTGAGGGATTATATTGATTTAAAACGCAAATTTTGGCAGTTCGTGATTGTTTCACGTGCGTAATGGTCATGTAATCATCGTAAATGAGGAATTGTGATCATAATTCTTGATCTGGTTCAAAAATTATAAAAGTTTTGTAATCATCAAGATTGTCCTCAATATGCCTACCAAGTATACTTCTTAATCGAACACGCAAAGTACCATAAGGAACGAATCCAAAAGCTTTTCAAAACAACCCTCCATCTCAAATTCACTCCATTTGTTGCATGAGTCTTCTCAGTTGAATCGAATCCAAATCAATTTTAAATTTTGTCACCAATTGAGAGGCCTTACTATGTGTATGAGTCATTCGATAATTTTCTAATAATTGATTCCATCGATCGAGTTCATTCTGAGAAGGAGTATAATTCCATTCCACACACAAATAATTTAAAATTCCAAATATTTTTCCAAAATCGGATGGAGAATTGATCAAATTTGTAAATAACGAGATGGTATATGCAAAGAGTGTCTCTCCTTCTTCTTGTTCATTCACAAGCTTCTCAATTTGCTGTGAGGAAAATACTTCTTTGATCAGTGACAGATATCCAATGATGGTTCTGGGAGATTTCGTTCCATATTGCATCATGTAATGAAGAAAATTCGTTCGAACAGCGTCCTCTCTTGCTTTTGAAAGAAATACTTCTGGTTTACACAAATTCATTTGAATCCATTCTTTGAGCATTGCTGGATAAATATTGTACTTGACGAGATGGAATACAATTGGAGCTTTTTGAGGTTCTTCTGTTAATCTTAATAAAGTACAAGCTTTTAAATCTCCAAAAAAGGTAGTGCTTAATTCTCGGAGTAAATGATTACTTCCAACTCGAATGGCATAGTGAAATGCTGTTAAATTCCATGAATTTTTCACAATGAGTGGATTTTCTGACACATTTCGACTCGAATACACAAAGTAGTTCAGAAACGGAATCAATTGATCCATTTCCTCTTTTTGATATTTCAATTGAGAAAAATCTCCCATCAAGTAAAAACATTGATGAACCAGAGTGTGATCCCTCTTAATTCGTTTTCCATAATTTCTCTTAATGATATATTCGCGTTCCGTATTCGAAGGTAAATTTTGCAATTTTCTTTTCACATCCCTAAATAATTTAAATACAAGTACAAGAGCATTGGGATTGTTACGACAAAGTTTTGAAATGGAGGCCAATTTGAGTCGAATTTTTTCATATTGAGATCGACAATAATAGCCACGAAATATTTTGTGCCAATCCATGGTAGCACTCGTTCGATGGAGATGCTTCTTCAACTCGATTTGTTTTTTTTGAATCCATTGTTTCCATTGTGAAATTCCCAATGCATTAAAATAGGTCAATCTACAATCGAATTTAAATTTAGAGCGATTATACGCCACTCGTTGCTCCAAATGTGTCATGGCCTGTGAAATGTCACTTGTAATCCATTGTATGTATAATAATTTAAAAAATCCATTATCTTGCAGTAACTGTTCACACATTGATGAATTGGTCAGCATCAAACTTGCAGATTCATAGGGTGTTAAAAACATGAGAATTTGAATGAGTATTTCACTTTGTAAATCTGAAAGTGTATAAATGCATGATTTTAATCTTTCTGTAGTTGAAGATGTTGTTGAGAGCTCATGAGATGTCCATTCGGAATCATCATCATTGGAAATGTTCCTCTTCTTATCGACATGCCTATTACCATTGAAATATTTAGAGATGGGAGAATGTTGAGTCATCCGAATTTGTAGCGATGATGATGAATTACTTTTCGTTGATGAGAGAGAATTTCTCGTGGGAATTTCCGAAGCGAGAGGTTGTAATCGTTCGGTCGATCTTTTCGAATGATTGGAACGATCATCGAAGGTTGAAGAGATGCCTGTTGAAAATATTATTTGATGCTTCATGGTGCTTGTTGTGTTCGTGCATGAAATGATGATGGTTGGTTGCAGAAATTATTTTTTTTTTTTTGTGGAATGAAACAAAACGGAATTCTCATGTTTTCATACACGAGAGAACGAACTCTGCTTCAAAAATAACTGTGTAGGTTGTTCTGTATGATTGTAAATGGTTCAAAAAGTTACTTGCAGTGAGTGTTGTTGAAGCTAATAATGAATATTATTAATTTGGAGAAGGGAATTCTACAAGGAGGGTTCAAAAATAAATTAATGTGGAAAATCTCTCAATTGTCATACTGGTTGCAACGCGTCACCATGGTCATGTCAACATGTTTTCAAGAGTTGTTGAATATTTCAAAGTGTCTATAAGGTACGAATTTAAATCAACTTTTTCTTCTTAAAGAATGATCTAAGGTTTGTCATTTGCCAAAAAGTCACTCCAACAAGTAATGAGAATTTGCACACACCCAACCACCAACATCGTTCGTGAGTGGAATCTGTCGTATGCCTAAATCTTTCCTCTCGTTCTTTGAAATAATATTGTTCCATACTGATCCGATCAATCTTATTTCTCACATCTTGCAATAATCCATCCAACTTTTCAACTTGATCTCTAGTTGTTGGTTGATCCTTTTCAAGATGATACCTGTCTGCATCAATGGTAATTTGTGCAAATACTGGTTGCTTGTAGACATGATCTTTGGTGAATTGAGTGGGCAAGATACACAATTCATACTGTCCAGAAACATCTCCTTTCGTCGTAAAGTAAGTTTTATGAGGTTGATGTGAAGTAAAATCTCGTTCCTCTAGCAAGACACTTCCAAAAGGATCCCGTACCACCAATGTACTCAAAGCTACTGTCGGAGGAGGACTGTATGTAATCGTTACTGGAGTATTCGCTGGAAGATCTTCAGTAAAGCATACCGATTTTCCTGAATGTAACTCGGTTTGAATGGCAAGTGTTGTATGATGCATCATGAAAAGTATGGTTATCATCAAGCCAATGCAACTGGTGGCTTGTACAGAAGAGGATTGAATGCGTTGAAACATTTTTAAGGCTTTTTTTGTTTCGGAATGTGTGATCAGTTGAATCGTGTGATTGTTTTTATCATCAAATTTGAATTCGTTTAAAGATGTCATTGCGGAAGCAAGGAATAAAAGAGAGAGCAAGTTTGGAAAAGTTATCTTTGAAGCGCCGAATGAGGTGTTTTGATTTTAAAAGAGATTGTTTGATCAAAGTCAATGATGATGAAAAGGAATTTGTCGTTATTTTAGAAAGGTCGTTGATCATCAAGAGAGCCTCAATAAAACCGTTTCGGGATTTCATACATGAATGAAATACTACGATTCCATGATGACCCATTTAATCCAATTACTGGATCGGGAGTTGCACATGTGCGAACATTTCTGTGTTGTTAGGACCCTATTCTTGTTGTTGTTCCTTTCAACCTTTTCCTTCGCCATCATCAGCGTGAAGCGCTTCCAATTACGAAAATATTTTTATCGCAAAACAAAAAAAAAAATTAAATGCAATAACACCTTCGTCATCATGTCATCAGAAATAGCACAAGAAACTCAAGTTCATTCATCGGATCATCATCAAGGAACCACAGTGAGTGATTTATTTAATTCCGATACCATTCAATTGCATACAGTACCAAACTCTAACAACATGGAGCCATCCGATGAAGGAAATATTGAGAGATATAAAGTTAAACGAGTCTTGATTGGAGAGAGAAGAGCTCCGATCATTTTGCAAAATTTAAATGGGCCTTGTCCATTGATTGCCATTTGTAATTTAATGTCTTTGAGAGGGGAGAATATTGGAATGGAAGATTATATTGAAAAAGGTTTCATTACGAATAATAATCTCGTGAGTGTATTGGCTGAGTACATGCTCAAAAAGTTTAACAAGAAACAACAAACGGAAGACGCACAATATGGAATTTTGTTTCAAACTGCTCTTGATCACTTGCCAATTCTCAAACATGGTTTGGATGTCAATGTTCAATTTACGGAAGGTGTGAGTGGTTTCAAAACAGAGAAATCCGAGTTATCAGTATTTAAGTTTTTCAACATGATCTTAATGCATGGATGGCTGCTTGATCCAGAATTTGATATCGAGACGTTTAAAGCTCTCAAAGAATTGTCCTACAATCAAGCAGTAGAAAAGATTGTCCTCATGGAAGAATTAATGGCAGCTGAGGAAAAATTGAGAAAGAAATTGGAAAGTGACTCTTCTACCACACTCAACGAACGAGAAGGTTCTCAGATATCTTCTCACAATGATATCACTGAATCCAATAATACTGAAAAACCACTCACAGAATATTCAACACCCGAGGAAATGGCTCTCAAAATGAGTCCTCAACAGAAACATCAAATCATCAACGAGGGCTTGCTGATAAAACAATTCCTCGAAAATTCATCCACACAATTAACAGAATATGGCCTTAAAATGATTAATCAAAATTTAGGAGAACGTAAATTAGCAGTGCTCTTCAGAAATAATCACTTTAGCGTGATTTGTAAGATTCAAGACGCTTTACTCACACTCTGTACAGACGAGACCTTGCTCAACGAAACAAACATTGTATGGGAGAATTTATCTTCGATCAATGGAGAAAATCAACATTACTATTTGGGAGATTTCACACCTTTCCAAATGCTTGAAACTCATTCACAAAATTATGAATATCATAGAAATCAACAACAACAACAACCAGAATTTATGTCACACCAACAACAACCACCAACATTATCACATGAAGATTCCGATTTACAATTGGCTTTACAACTTCAACAAGAAGAAGAAAGGGCCTATCAGCAACAATTGGCCGAACAACAGCAACAACAACCACAACGAAGTCCTCGAATGCAACAACAACAATTACAACCACCAATGGGATCGAATGATCCAACTGCTTCACCAGGAATGGTGTCACAAAGTAGTAGTACAGCCAGTACTTCTAGTAATCCATATGATCGAGAGCCATCGATCCCATTCGGAAATGTGCCCACCATTCGAGAAAAGAAAACTTCAACAAACCCAAACGCCAACACAAAATATGGATCAAATAACAAGTATGCCAATCAAGCAAGTCAACTGCGAGATTTAAACACTGAACGAAGGCAACGAGAACAACAAATGCGACAAGAAGATCCAAAGGCCTACGCAAAGAAATCAAAAGAGGCCAAAAGGAAGTCTGAGGATGGTTGTATTATTTGTTAACACACGAAATACACATGTTGTAAATATTTTGACACAAATCCTCTGTGTACGCACATGAATATAATGCATCAAGGAAATGATAGAGATGCTTCTGTCATGTCGGTTCTATTGGATTTGGCTGTACTTTCTGATCGGTGTGACATCAATTGGGTGCGGCATCTTGTTCTTTTACTTACGAACCAATTGTTGACTTGGGTCAAAGTCAAGCCAGTCTCTTCACTTAATTGTCTTTTTTCGTCATCTGTAGGATAGGGATCTTTTAAAATATTGCCAACAAAAGTTGTATCGTTGGTGGCAAGACATTGGTAAACAGTGATTTGACACTTACAACTCAAATGGCTGATAAACCATTCCATAAGAGTACGCACTGCTACGGAATGTAGTCTTCGTTTAGATTTTCTTATTGTGAAATCATAGATGTTCATTGGTGAAGAAATGGTCGTTGGGGGACAGAGATAACTAGCCGTATTTTCTGCTTGATCAGCTATTTTAAACAATTCAGAAATAGGTGGCAACTGAATTCGGTCTTGTTTGTTTGTAGAATCAAGTGGCATTTCAAATAAATGATTATTTAATAATTCTTGACGCGACATTTGACACAGTATGATCGACGGGCAACAGATCGTTCAATTCGACGATAAATTTTTTTAATTAGTCTGATTGCAAATAAAAATAACTAGAACAACTAGAACACTTCATCATCAACATCTTGCAATTGGTCATTGTCTTCAAATTGGGCATCATGATCACCATTCTCGTGTGCTCTTTCATCCTCATCTGCCAATTCACTTTCTTCCATTGCTTCTTGCTCTGTTTTCACCATCACATTCAAGAAGAGATTATTCAATCGCTCAGCAACTGTTTTACATTGTTCAAAAGTTCCAGAGGCCACATAACACATGCCATAGGTATTCAATGTGAAATAAATTCCAATACAATCCATTTCACTGAATTGTGGAAATACGGATCGAAGAGAAACAATGAGAGATTGAGGTGAAACATGTGAACGATAGAGTGCCACCACAAATTTCTCTTCTTTTTCTCCAGTGCTTTTCTTGAGAGCTTTTTCAAAGTTAAGAGTCATCTTTTCAGGCATGAATTCGTGATAAAACTCTAAAGTTTCGCTGTTGGATATTCAAGAATGTTCAATTTCATTGACACGTCATGATTCGCGAACCATTTACCACTTACCTATTCACGGCAAATCTTCTTCTTATGGTTTGTAAAGCATCAAATTCTGAAAATGCTAGAATAATATGAAGATCTACGGCTGTGAGAGTCTTGATCGTTTCCATGCACAGATCCAAATTAGGGGTCTCAAAGAGCAAACACTCATCGTTAAGATGCGCCTTGAGCATGAGAGAATCAGAATATTCAAAATCGATATTATTTTTGAAAGCAAGTCGTAATTGTGTGGTCACTACGCCCATATCATGATGATCATCATTCAATAAATAAATTCCAAATAGAGAATATTTGTGAGTATTGGCATGTTCTCGAACTTGAGTAGACATGTCTTCGAAATTGCTCTTGGTAAAGAGAAATGAAAATTTGTTTTTTCCAAGGACTAATTCTCGAAATCTTGGAGCGTAATTGTTTGCGTAGGGTAAGAGTGGTTCAGGTTTCAATTTTTCAAGTATTGGAATAAATAAATCGTACAGCTTGTCACATGAAATTTGAGTGAGTACTTTTTGTTTTTGTAAAACTGTCAACTCTGTGTGAATGCAATCAATTAAAGGCACATCCCGATACACAATATATTTCATATCAGGGTGTTCCGTATCAACGGGTCTGTCTGAAGCATCAATATTGGTAATTTCTTCATAATATTCATTGAGTTCTTTCTTTGATGTATTGGAATTTGCAAAAAAGTATAGAGTTGCTGGTAACTTTAGAAGATAACAAAAATCCTTCCATGCAAAACTCTTTCCACAAATTGAAATTGCTCGCTTTCCATTGGATTTTGCAGCCTTCTCTTTTGTAGAGGATGGAAGCGGAGAAGATAAGGCATCCATTTCTCCACGATCGATTTTTTCTTGAATTTGTGCCTGAAACAACAATTCATCCGTAGAGACGTGAAGTGGCCATCCCAACTCATTCACGCAAATAGATCTCCACAACATTTGTGTGTTCTTCACCACAGAATTCCAATGTTTGCAAATTAAACTAATATTTAATCCGATGGTTGCCAAATCCAAATATTCAAATATTGAAACTAATAATCCATCTTGATGACTCAACGATGAATATTCCGATGAGGATATTCGCGACGGAACTGATTGAAAATTATCATTAATTTTTTCGTTCTCATGATTAGCATCTACCATCATCATCATCATATCGCTCACAGGATCTGATGGTTGTGTTTCTTCAAGTTTTTCCATTTTTTTGTGATGTTAATGATGATCATTTCCTTCCTCAATTAAATTTTGATTTCAAAAGAATTTGTGCAACCATTTGATAAACCCTGAAAGTTGGACCACCGTGATGTTCCGCAAGGAATGAATGAATTCGTCGTTTAAGAGTTGGGAATTCTCAAAGTCATATAAAAACACTCATTAAAAAAATGTTTTTACGCAAACGACCACAACCTTCACGTTCCGATGAGGATCAAGAGGCTTCTTCTTCAAATACCGATACAACAACGAACGCCATGGCTTCTGCAGATGACATGATGATCGTGGATAGTAATGATTCTGTAGAAGAAAAAGGCTCTTCTTCCGATAGCACTATGGCTCTTTCAGGATCAGAAGAGAAGAAATCAAAATTGACTCCAGAATTCATCCCGATCGAGCATCGTGAGAAGAAGGAGAAACCTCCGAAGAGAGATCTCGTTTCAGAAATTCTTCCCAATGATTTAAATTTTGTGGACTTTGAGGAGAGTGTTTCATTCTCTCCACTCGTGAAAAAGCGAGTGTTGCAACAAGGTGAAGGCTTGACAGCAACGCCAGGCTCTGTTATTCGATGTAAGTACTTGTTTAGGGTTTGGTAGTGAATAATTTTGACGTATGGTCATTCATTGGAAATTTATCATGGACACTTGTCACGTTGAAATCAAAATAATTTCTATTGAACCATTGTCGATATTTTGCATAATAACTGTTGTTTGCTCTGTTGTTTCAAATGATCAGTTTTTGGATGTGCGAAATTATTTTACAAAAACACAGAACAAGATGTGGAATGGAGCTGTCTGACAGCATCTAACAACTTGTTGCAAGAGATTCGTTTGCGACCAAACAAAGTGTATCCAGTACAGTTAGATTGTCTCTATACCATGAAACAGAAAGAGAAGGCCATTTTCAGTATTGCCAAGAATGTTGACAAGGTTTTAGACATTACTCTATTCCCAACAGGAGATGGTGACCATGTATCTCCTGGTCAGTGTCATGACTATGTCTTTGTGCAATACTATGAAATGACTCACCTTGAACGAAAGGAAATTGTCAACGTGACCAATTTTGAAGAAGGATTGAATGAAGCAATCAAGAAACGAACTGCAGGAAATTTAGAATACAAAGATTGTCAATTTAAAAAGGCGTTGAAAACTTACAAAACAGCTCTCATCTGTCTCTCCAATGTTAAATTGGACGATCCTGAAAATCAAGAACTGTGCCACATACAAAAAAAGCTGATTACAGATGAGAAAGTTAAATTATTACTCAATATTGCAAGAACCAATTCGATCATGAAAGATCACAGGTCATGTATTGAAACATGCCAAAACATACTCACTGTAGATTCCAACAATCATCATGCTCATTATTTACTTGGAAAGTCCTATAATTGCCTCGACGATTACGAAAGAGGTGTTGAGCATATCGAGAAGGCCAAAGTTTTATTTGCTTCGTATCAATCTTCTCTGGATTCCAACACTGTTGACAATTTGCAACAAAAGAAAGATGAAGAATTTGTAAATAACCTTTCCATTATTGAACGACAATTACGGTACAAGAAGCAAATTCAAGAACAAAAATTCGATCAAGAAATGAAGCAGAAAATGAGTCGAATGTTCTCAGAGGAATTATATCCCAATCAAGAACCGTACGATGAAGCAGAGGATTGGATGAAAATGCAAGAGCAAGATGAATTATTGAATCGCAAGCCATGGTTTTCGAGTGAAGGACAAATCATGTATCAACGATTATTCAAATAAGTATAATACATTCCACACAAACACACACATGATCTCCAACATTCCAAGGCATGAAATGAGTACTTCTTGAAATTATTCAAGACCACCACCAATATTCAATCGTTGAACAATTCCACTTGATGATCTCATTCGATGATTTACGCGCTTGAAACCGTTAACAAGTTAAAAAAAAATAAGCCTTAATTGTGTGGTTAAGGTGTTTCAAGCGCGTAACTCACGAACGTAGCCATTTCATTGCTCTGATCATCCTCCTGGTATCATTAGTTGGAATCAAGAGAGATCTCCTTCTCACTCACTAAAATCCCACCACAAAATGCCTGGACCATTGAGAACTACAAATATTGTATTTGCGTATCCGGAGCCTCCACAACGAGAAAAGCCCAATCCCAAATATTCTCTACCAACGCCCAAGCTCACTGATGCACATCAACACTTTTCAAATCAGAACCATGTCGATGCTTCTCTGGAATCGGTGCGTCCAAAACCCAACTACTCCTCCCGAATGAGCACAATGGGTGAGGTGATTAAATTGGACGATAATATTCGTCCTCAAACGAGTCATGGAGTTGCTGGTGAACGGAATTTGAGTCGTTTTTCTCCTTCTAGTCCTACCTTTTCGCACAACAACAGTAGTCATCATTCAAAGATTCATCACAGTCCCTCACAAACCAAGGCCGATCATCACAAACATAGACACAGTCTCAGTAGCGAGAAGAAAAGTAAGCATCCTGAAGGTGGTGTTTCACATTCTCCTCATGCGGTGTCATCATTACAAGCGGTAGAGGGCTCAACGGCCGCAGCCTCATCCGAATTAGCTCATAAACCAGAAGCAACACCTACAGGACAGGAAGTATCTGTTTCAAATGACAAACCAGCAGTTGAGGAACCCGTAATGAGTAAAGAGCCTCAATTACCCACCAGCAGTAACGAAAAACCTAGTTCTCGATCAGCTCGTCACACATCCTCCATTAGTATGAGCGAATCTGTAGTTGCTGAGGGGGAGACAGTCTTTTGGAAGCGCAAAAATAGAGAATCTAGAAAAGACGATAAGTTGACAATAGGTCTAGCTGAATACTTTGAGAAGAAGGACGAAAATCAAGTGCAACCATTATTGAGAAAGAAGGCTCCTCCACCAACTCCAAGAAAAGAAGCCATCAGTCGAGTGAAAGTCGTGGAGCCACCTCAACCAAAAGAAGAACCTCGTGTTTCACGTGTCAAGAGATCAGCTCCACCCACCATTCCTGAGAAGAACAGAGGAAAGGCAAAGCCAAAAACAACCACAAAATAAGCTCATTTTCTCATCCTCTAGGCGTCTCTTTGTATATATTCCTAATGTCATTAAATTTCATTGTTTTTCAAAAGTTTTAAAGCTCACAAAACACTCATCTCAAATGGGACCAGAAAACAAAAAAAAACAAAAAATGCTGCAGCCTCGTCTCTTGCCCAAAGTTCTGGAACAAATCAACACGGATGGAATCAAGACGACCATTCTATGTAATGTGAATGGATCATTGATCAGCTCGAGTCTTTCAACATCAAAACAACAACAACCTCCTTCCTCATCATCAGCTCAACAAACTTCCAACTTCTCCGAACAACAAATTACCTACCAACAACGTTTATTACCTTCTCAAATCAAACACATGGATAAATTAATAGCAGCCATTGCAGCAAATATGTGGCATTCTTATTTGAAAGCAGGACGAACGGCCTTCACTCCCGTTGAATACGATGAAAACGGAAATATGATCGGACAAGACGATGAAAATTTAGAGGATGATTCGGTTGGAGCACAAAAACTGAAATCACTCCTCGTGGATTGTGAATATGGGCGATTGGCAATTTTGGGAGTGAGTAGAAATGTCGTGTTGTGTGTTTGTGCAGAGAAGGAGGTTCCTTTCGGAATGTTGAACAAGAAGGCTCAAGTGATGAGAGATTTTTTATCGGGGCCTTTCACCATGGTGGAAGAGGCTGTGGACGAGGAAGAAGAGGCAGAGTATTAATTTGAAATTAATAGTATCCATGAATGACTTGTTGACAATAATGTTGTTAACACAACACGTATATTGTGAATTTTTGAAAAGATCTCGATACGTGTGCTTTCTGCTTACACAACAAATTGTTCTTCTACAAATAAGGATGTGTCTCCATATTAATAATTCATAGTTTCTTGTTGCAAGATTTTTACAGAGTGAATTGCCATTGTTACGTTCCATCGAAATTTTGTACATAAAATTTATTTATCATCATGAAATGTTCGAATTGTGTTGAGATAATTCAATTTTGTTAACTATGGAATGTTGAACATGGAAATAGTCCACTGCCAGTTTATATCATGAAAGCTAGCCTCAGAATAATGTGTGTTGTTGAATTTTTTCATTCGTAACACTACGATGATTCCTCTTTGTTTGTTACCTCCACAGATGATGATTGTAATTCAGAATTTTGAGCATTCACAGTCCGAGTGCTCGGAATGGTTCTCTTTGTTCGTTTCGGTGCCTCCGATGTTGTTGTGGTGTTCGTATTACCATTTTCATTGAGTGGATCAAATGCTTTTTTAGCTGCTTCTGCCTGTTTCTCTTCAATGTATGGCCTCCAAGCATAATACGAAGTGAGTATACCAGCCAACACTGGTATAATGAACAAACCAGGTGGTCTTCGATTCATTTTTTGGTGTGTGAAAAATGTAAAGCTCTTCTCTAACATTTGCTTTATAGAAACAACAACTACACATTAAGCAAGGGCTTCTTAGTTTGAACGAAATTCCATGCTATCATCGCTATCTACATCATACTCATCATCCTCATCGTAATCATCATCTTCATTCTGTTCAGTGGTTGGAGTAAAACGTGTTGATTTTCGTGACAATCCCTTATAGGTATCAGACATTCGAATGGATTTCGTTTTGAGACTTCTAACTTCTTGAATATATTCCTTATTTTGTGCTTCAATATCTTGTAGTCTATATTCAAGCATTTTCCTCGTTTTTTCTTCATTGTTCAACTTCTCCTTCATTTGTGTAATCGTATTGATCATTTGCTGATATGATAGTTTGTTGATACTAATTATATTATTTTGCACTTTACCTTCAGATGTAAGTAATTCATCGACGGGATGATCCAGTGCAACCCTTCGCTCTTCCTCAAGCTTTTTTTGTTGTTGCAATTTGGCTTGCTTTGCGTTTTTGAATTCCTTCTTGGTGAGTACGGCTCCAAACTTATCTGGATCGGATTTAGCCAAATTCACAAACACCTCATATCGCTTAAGAACGGTCGAGAAGTGTGCATGCCACTCTTTGAGAGACATTTCTGTATCAACATAGTGATAGAGTGAAGGATCATGCTCTGTTCCATTAAGGTCCTTCGTAATAATGACAGTGGTGTTAAATCCTCCTTTTTGTTGATAGGTGACTTTGACACCATTCACAGCGTCACTGTTACTGCTTCCACTTGGTGTTACAGTGCTTGAGGATGGAGCTTGAGTCTCTTCTTCGTCATTATCCTCATCGGTCTTGGCAACTGTTGATTTAACTTGACTCATGGTCTCTAATTTCTTGATATGATCAAATGGAATTTCGCGATCAATGAGGAATCTAGCCTCACTATTTGCTGTGGCATCACGAAGAGTCATTAGCACAAGAGATTCTCCTGTTAATCTGACCAATCTCAATGGATAAATCATGTCGCTTCCAACAGAGAGTTTTTCAACAATACCTCTTGGCATGTGACCTCTAAAGTTTCGTGTTTGACCCTTCTTGGATTCAACATCAGATCCGCTGCTGTATCCTTGAGTGCCTCCTTGTGTTGGTTTCTGGCCAGGTACTGGAAATGTTGGACCAACTTTTTTAGTAGGTGTTGCTGGTGAGCTCTTATTGAGTACACTTGCAATGCTACTGGCACGTGAGGCAACCATGGATGATTGTTGAGCTTTCTTGACCCACAGTTGATCCTTTGGTAAATTCTTAGTGCCCAGCAATTCCGGATCATATGGGGAATCATTTTCAAAAATCTGAGAATAGTTCAAAATTAAGGTCGACACAATATTACAAATAATGGGTGTATCTTTGAGAGAATTCATGGCAATTGACGATGGAGATTCTTCATCTTCACTTTCTTCGTCTTTTTCTGGCCACATCAAGTTGGGACCCAACACTAATGAAACATTTTCGTCAGTCATCATGTTAATATCTTTCAATTTCACAATATAGGCACACAATGCCATTAATCTTTCCAATACAGTAACATTTTTCTCAGACATGGATCGAATAAAACCTCTCAATTCAATCACACGTTCTCGTAATTGAATGTCGGATAATTCACTGGACTCGTTCTTGTTCACATCAAACAAGTTACACAACTTTCTGTACAATCTCGATTCAATAAGAGGTTGAGGCAATTCTCTCAAATACATTTTCAATAAGCTTGCAATAGCATTGGGATCTGTATTGGGCATTGGAGCCTTATAGGACGTTCCTGGAGCTTCCTCAAATTGTTGTTTTAAAGCCTCTGTTTGTCGTACTGAACCACTCACTCGGAAGACACCTTGAATACGTGCTCCATAGGTTGCAATAAACGAGCAAAGAATATCAAAGAATTCGGGAACTTCATGAGAGCTCTTGTGTTCCTTGGCAAAGAGAAATCCGAGTGGTTTTCCGAATATTTTGTTCACTGTTTCCGAAGATCATCATCATCAAGGGTTATTGAAAATAGATGGTTTGAACAATAGGGTATCATTCATGATTACAATGGATATACATGATCATCAAATAAATAGTAGTAAAATGGACATGAGCCAAATGGATCAACGCAGCAACATTTTGTCATGATTCGGATGCGGTGTTGGTATTTTTTAAGGTTTTTTTGTTGTTGTTATTCCATTTGATGATGATGGAGAATTTGTTCGAGGTTGATGATGATCATGTAGGGGATATGGAAGGACCATATAAAATTCAACCAATCAGACATGATGATGAAAAGAATAAAACACTTACTCTCACTTGGAGGAATGGTTGGAGACAATTGCAAATGAATGACATTGTCTCGACTGATGAACATTCGATAGGTGGATTGTCCAATGCTGTCTTGCATGTGGACATGAATCAATTCTTTCAAGAGCTCTTTTCGTTTCTTTTTGGGATCCTTTTGTTTGGAGAGAACTGATTTCTCAATATCGGATGGGAGAAGTGCAAATTTGTGAAGTTTGGAGAGTTTGGGCATACATCGTTCGAGAATGAATTGATCCATGATTTGACTAAAGGTTTCATCAGATCGGATGGCGTCAAGCCGAAAAGTTTCCAACTCGTTGATGTGAATGTTCACACACAGCTGCGTTACATCATCTGAAAGTGAAGACATATTTTTTCTGTTGATGGTTGCTGTGTTGTTGTTGTTGACACATGACAGCAGAAGGCCTTTGTTTTTTATTGTGTCTTTGAAGATTTTGGAGAAAGGACTTGATGATGGTTTGGATTCAAAATAGGGCAAGAGATCGGAAGACAGGTCTAGGTGATTTGAGTGATAGATGGAAAGGATGAGGATTCGTTCCATTAGGGCAAAATAGTTGTAAACAATCGTAGTGTATGGTACGCATGTTCGATCATGCTGATTAGGGTGGAACATGGGTTGCAATAATTTAAACAAAAAAGCACATGACGTCCACAAAATTACTTGGTAGCAGCATCACCATAGCTATGAATACATATTCCACAATGATTCAAATAATTAATTTTTAAAAGAAGCAAGGGCCGTATCAAACTTGTTCATAACAGTCTCTGTAATTTTTTGCAAATTAATTAACCCTTCTTCGAGGTTTCCTTTGCAGGATACTTTTCGTCTACAGTTTGCAATCGCAAATTCATTTTAGCTTCTAGAGGATGAGGAACAGTGTAACCACAAAAGCTCACCTTCTTGTTCTTCATGAGAATATATCGGAGAGCATTACCCATGGTATGGCTTTCCTTATGGAAAATATAAGTAGATACCGATGTATCAGGTCCCATATGAATTTCTACGTTTGCTGTAATTCCGGAGTGGTCTTGTTTGAGAGTGGAGCTAGCGCTTTCTTCTTGTTCTTCATTGTTTTCAGCTCCATTTTCTTTGTGCTTCTTCTTTTTCTTTTGTTTTTTGTTTTCAGCTCCCGAGGAGGCAACATTTTCATCCACCATTGCATTCTCCGTGTTATTGTTGTTGGAGGTTGTTGGTTCTTCCTCTTCTCCACCGACTTCCAACAATTCTTCGTCAAGATAGGTGGGTTGGTCTTCTCCTTCCGAGTCAGACATTTTTTTGAATTTTGTTTTTTCTCATTCAAAAATCCAGTTGAACTGGTAATGATGATGATGACAAAGGAAGTAAAAGTTCTCAAATTCATTTATTATTATTTCTATTGGGTTGTTGTTTGATTAATATAACATCATCATATGGGAAAAAACAATTCATTGATGACATCATTTAAAAAAGAAAAAAATGGGTAATGATGTTCCTCGCCTCTCGGCCGAAGAAATCAAGAATCGGCAAATCCAAAAGGTGGATTTGGAGCTGAGAAGAAAGATGCAAAAAGGAACCCGTTATAATAGTATGTACATGATGATGATGATTTTAAAGTTGGTAGATTTTTTGATCCGACCAAACAAACATTGATTTTATTCTGGTACCTAATGGTAAACACGAATTGTATTAATGTAACAACACATGAATTCATGTCATATCACTATTATATTCTGATGATCGAAATTTTACTTCTATGGATTTGAATATTGATATGTTGTGTGATATTTATTTATCGAAAAATCGGAATGAAATACTTCTTGTTGAATTCGGTTGTACATTCCTTTACAATTTATTTGTTTGCTGATCGTTATGTTTTACAAATGTTTCACTCGAACAGTGAAAGTGATTTTAAAGGGAGAAAGAAATTGTGGTAAATCCATGTTGTTCAAACGTCTTCAGGGTCAACCATTTAGCGAAGCCTATATTCCGTCAACAGCCATATCCACCGCTCATATTCATTGGAATTATAAAGTAAGCGATGACAATGTTGTTGTAGAAGTTTGGGATGTGGTAGACAAGGGAAAATTAAGTGGAACCACACATTATGAAGATGCTATTATCGAGGACGAGGATGAAACACCCACTTCCGAACAGCTTCAATTGAAAGCACAAGCATTGGCAAAATCTCACGAATTTGACATGATGAAACACAAACAGGGCGCAACAAATTCTCCTTCAGCTAGCTCTGGCTCACCAATGTTTGGAGACCATCAATTGACTGTTATTGATGCGCATATTGTAGATGTCTACAAGCATTGCAATGCCGTTTTACTTGTTTTTGATATTACCAAGCCATGGACATGGGAATATGTGAAGAATGAATTTTCAAAGGTTCCATCTGGTGTGGAAATTGCTGTATTAGCAAATTGCAAGGATTTGGAAAGCAAACGAGTTGTCACGCAAAACGAAGTACAAGAATTTTGCTCGAAACGAGGAGTTAGTGTTATTGAATGTAGCAGTTTGAATTGTTATGGTCTGAAAAACCTTTATACATGGCTCAATATTCCATTCTTGAAAATGAAAATTAACATTACCAAACAACAATTGCAACTTTTAGAGGAAGAATTAGACTTTGGAAAAGAGGAGGTTGATTTGACTTTGAAAGCTTCCAATTACAATGATTATCTTCAAATGCTAAAAGAAACAAAGAAAAAGACGACTATTGGCTTCACCGAAGAGCTCGTGAATAGAAAGACAGCAGTCAGAAAATCAGTACCTGCCAACCCTCCACAAAATTCAACAATTCCTCAGCAACAACAAATGCATCCACAAGGTACTACAACTCAAAATCAACCTCAAACTCCTCCACCACAGCAACCACAAACCAAACCAAGCAGCTCCGTAACCCCACAACCTACGACACAACCACCAAAGACTACACAGCCACCTCCATCAGCTACCACACATCAAGAAAAACCTAAATCTGGTGGCTTCTTCTCTGCTGCCTTGTCCTATTTTGGTGGAGGAAGCAGCACAAACAAGGAACAACCACAACCCAAGGCCGAGAAAATTGTTATCCCTCAATCAACACCTGCCCAAGAGAAGGTTGACCTCAATACATTTTATGCAGGAGACGCTGAAGAAGCGTTCTATTCAGATGAAGGAGAAAACAATGCTAGCACCAATGTGACAACGAATCGTTCCCTCGATGACGACGAAGAATCCATTACTCAGCCTCCAAAGAAGACTGTGAAAAAGAAGGGTTCAAAAAAGAAATCCAAGACATCCAAAAAAGTTGATAGTGATGATGAGATAGAGATGGACGAGGTAGAAGATGAAGACGATGATGACACTGACAGACCAATGATGGATCAAAGCGTCAATGAATCTATGGAAGAATTATATGTGCCAATGGCTAAACAATCATTCAGAAAGACTACCACAACATCTTCTAGCACTCCAACCAAGAAACAAGCATCTCCTGCCACTCAACAACCTCAAAAGCAACCAGAAATTAAAAAAGAGATTCCAACACTCTCTAAGGAGGAGATTGCTGATGATGATGCTGGCTTTTACAGTGACGACAATGAAGAATCCAACAAGGCACCTACACATCAGGATGAGCATTTGGATTCTTTCTACAACGATAATGAAGAGGAGGATGAAGTACCAAAAGTACAAAAAACACAAAAAACAACTACCACTTCCTCAACAAAGCCTCAAACCCCAGTGACAGAGACAAAATCCAAGAAAGAAGATTCATTCTATGACGATGAAGAAGACGAAACAATTGAGGCAAAACCCTCTGTGGTTGAGACTAAGCCAGTTGCAACTGCAACAATTTCACCTCCACAGCCAATCCATACAAACACGAACACGGAATCAGTTCCTGTGCGCGAGCCATTGTTCTCCTCAGAACGATTCTATGATGAGGATGAAGAGGCATCTCCTGTAGTTACAGAAAAGCCAAAGAAGAAGAAAGCAACCAAAAAGAAATCATCAGCCACCACTGGGGAAGCAACAGAAACCAAGAAGAAGGTGAAAAAGAAGAAGGCTCCAGCAACTGCAGTCGCATCGGAAGAGGCGTCTGTGTCACGATCTCGACCTGCTACTGGCTATGAAGAAATTTAATAATAATATTCTTATAATCATTATTTGAACAATTGAGCTTGAAGACCTATAATTTAGCAAGTAATTCAATTTACACATTGAGAATACAATTATTTGAACAGTTATTGTTGAAAAGCTATGATGGAAATCTACTTTCGAATTCACACATTGTTTTAGCCTATTTTTCTATTGGAAACTTTGACCTTGGCTTGGTGCTTTAAAAACTCTTCCCAAGTCACAACTTGATTATTATCTGTATCTTGTTGCATGAAATGGGAAATGTTTGAATTCATAATTGTCTCAAAGAATTGACAAGCTCTTACATATTCCTTTTCGAAAATTTCCTTGCGAAGTATTTGCTTTTGTATCTTTTGATCACACACTTTCCTTGCAATCCTCATATTTAATTCCATTTCTTGCTTGTAGAATTGTTTGACTGATCGGTGTGAAATATTTGTTACCATGTATGCAGAATGAACTTTTTGAAATGGCCGAACGACATGCACTTACCCTCCTGTAGTGAAATACTGCCGCTCTTGTCTTTATCCATTTCGTCAAATACTCTTTTAATATCTTTTAACTCATCCGGTGTAAGGTCATTCTCAGTGACCGTTCTCGTGTCCTGTATAATGACCAAATAATTCTTATTGGGACGCAGATCATGTATCATTTGCTCTTTGGTTAAAATGGTTCCCATAGGAATGTCCTTATCATTGTGGAAATTGATTCTTACTTTGCTTTCTTCATCTTCCAAAGCAATAATCTTTTCATGTTGAGAGCGTGACCATTGTGAATGCATGAAATTATTTCCCTTACCTTAACAAACAATCGCTGTTCAGGTGTGAAATTCAATGTATAGTGCAAATGAAAACTCGAAAAACTTTCATGCGAGGGATCGAGAATGACATTGGCTTGCTTGGATCCCAATTTCACCCGAATGGAAAAGGGTGGAACTGGTTTTGAATTCCGCATTGCACTTTTCATGATTGAAGAATCAATAACGGTTTCACAAAGAGTTTTATATTGATCTAGTAGTTCAACGTTACAGTAACTGATGATAGGAGCCAACTCGACTCGGAATGCAACGGATGAAAATCGGCAATATGAGGGATCTCCTGGATCAAAGATAACGGCTTTTTTTGTTGAGATAGGGCTGCGTATAAGGCACAGACGCACCTGGTCCCGCCTTATCTCTTGCCAACCGAGTTTTTTTTTTATTGTCCTTGTGGACAGGCTAATATATACAGGAGGCAAACATCAAAAAACACTGTAAAATTTGTTGATTATTGTCAAAGCGTTGCACCTCATACGTCTCAATGTGAGAGTATATATAATGATGGTTCTGTTCCTGCATTCATGTCCATCGAAACACATCTCGAGTGAGTCTTGTATAACAACAACAATCTCCGTGAAGGAGTTTAGAACTTTCTTTATTTGTTCCAATAACAATATTTAAGGAAACATGACCGTAAACGCGGTTAAAAATTCTTGCTTAACACAAAGTTTTAAAAAAAATTAAACAACGTTTTACCTTAAATCCATCATCATTCGATTCCCAGAACAACGATCCACAACAACAACAAATATAACAATGACGAGAGTAATACCAGAACCACAAGAGAAAATTTCCCAAAAGTACACGTTGAATAATAACTCTTCCGACAAACTACCTTCGGGGTCTGATATTAATAATGAAGAGTCAAAATTCTCAAAACCCAAAGTGTCCATCTCGGAGCAATTAGAAAGGCTTCCCATTTCCTTAAAATTAATTCTCATTGTTATATTCACCTTCCTCTCTCTCGTCGTCTTTGCTTGTATTTTGATTTCCAATTCAGTGGTTGAACTCCAATCCTCAATGCTCATTTCGAATATTTCGGTCATGACGAACCTCCTCAATAATTTGATACATTGTAGTCAGAGCGAGAGAGGAGCTTCTCAATTATATTTAGGAGCTAATGGAACTCAACATTATGAAATCATGATGGAAAAACGATCCGATACGAACGTCGCTTTGGAGGAATTCTTGTCAAAGAGAAGACAAATTTTGAATACGTTACAAACCAATTCTTTAGCTTTTTCACAAATATTGAGCGCATTACAAGTGGTGGATGAGTACATTGCAGATCTACCTTATTGGAGAGAACGAATTTTAAAGTTGCATCTTGCGCAGCAACCCATTCTTGCGTTTAACTTCTTTACGGACTGGAATTCGTATATGATTGACAGTATCATGCTGATAGCAGGACTGAGCTCGGATTCCACCTTTTTCACCATTCAGTCTTCGTTCAATACGCTTACGTCCATGAAGGAATTTACAGGTAGGTTTCGTTCATTGTGGAAAACCATTAACGCTATTTTGCATTTTCGAAAACTGTTGGTAGGTCAAAAAAGAGCATTAGGAAGCGCTGCATTGACGTCTCATGCCATGCCAGCTGAGAATTTCAAACTATTTGTTCAAAACCAAGCAAAAATCTCTCAATATCAACACTACTTGCAAGTCAAAGACGTTGCGTTCATTTGGGACACGTTCACCAAAACTGTTCTGCGCTCTCAATCGTATTCCGTGAGTTTGGAAATTGAGGACTATCTTGTCTCCAACTATGGTAGTCAAAATCTCACTAAATACTCTGGATCTGTATGGTTTGGAAACATGACACTTCACATCAACAACATGAGACAGGTTGAATTATATATTAGCAAAATTTCACAACAATATTCTTCACAGCTGTATCAACGATCGATAGGTGTCATGCTTGCCTATATTGTCAGTTCTGTCATAGCCATTGGACTTTCAGTTTTCACTTCCATTATATTTGCGAGATCCATTGCCTCTCCATACCAAAAAATTGTGGAACTTCAAAACCTTCAAGAATTATACAAGAGTTTCATTCCAGCTCACGTACTACTTCAAATAGAAGGTAGAGAAGCTCATGCTGAAGAGGGAAACACACCCGAGCCAACAGAAATGCGAGAATCTGTTCGAAATTCAAAACAAATAAGAAAATCAGCGGATTCCCTCAGTTCCTATCACTTCCTTAACAGTAGAAAAATCTCTTCGAATCATGGAAAATTCGATCTTGCCTCCAAGTTTTCCTTATATCTCGAAAAGAAGAAGATCTCCATGGTACAAGTTCGAATACAAGGATTGAGCTCAATGATGAATGATTCACAACCTTCTGACATTGTTAACTTATTGCAAGACATTTTTGAAAAGATTCAGCAGTCCACACGATCGACGAGTAGTTTAATGGAACACACTGAAGACGAATGCATCACAATCGCCTTTAACGCTTCCAAAGAGCAACTCCATCATGAAGACCGATCTCTCAAAATGTGCCTCGATTTAAGGAAGAAATTAACAGAAATACAAAGTACCAAATGGACCACTAATATTCAACAGTCACCATGTTTGGCACGAGCAGCCACAACTATTGTATTTCGATTTGCAGCACTATCTCGAATGAGTTTTTGTGGAAATATTGGTACCACAGAAGTTCGGTCGTTCAAAATCATGGGCAGTATTCATGATCATCTCACACGAATGACTGATTATGGTTCTCAAATGCAAGTCGGTGTGGTATGTGACGAAAGTGTGTACAAGAATGCCTTACGACTCTTCCATACGAGATTCATTGGGTATGTCGAATGTTTGGAAGATGATCAGAGTACGGTCTCGCATGAGATTTATGAAATTGGAGCCTCTCTGCAAGTGAATCAGGACGAGTGGTTGTATGAGCTCTCTCAAAAACAAAAGAATGAAAGATGGCAAGAGTATAACGCTGCTGCACAGCATTATGTTTCCAACAATTTTGAATTAGCCTTAATGGCCTTCCAGGAATATGCAACCAAGTATCCAGAGGATCTTCCAACCAAGTACATGTTAGAATTGTGTAATCTATGTTTGAGTAGGAACGAACAACTGAATAACAGAGAATTATAGCATGTGAATACCAAGAGTGTTTCGATTAAACCCTTCTTGTTCGAACAAGAAATTCCGAGTTCTTGTACAATATCAACCTAATCACTCGTTTCTTCGATGATGGCATCATCTGACAACATTAACACTTGATCTGCTGAACCTTGTTTGGCAATGATACCATCACTCATGAGAATGATCTTTTCGTAATCTTTGACTGTTTCAATTCGATGGGCAATGACCAAAACAGTGGTTTTGGAAAATAGTGGTCCACGTAACGTGTTTTGAATGATGGAATCTGTGAAATTGTCTAAATTACTTGTTCCTTCATCCATCAGTAATATCTTTGTTTTTCTCAATAGAGCTCGCGCCAGACAAATGAGCTGTTTTTCTCCACTCGAGAAGTTGGTTCCATTCTCAGTAATTTTGATATCAAGAATGGATTGTTCCTCTCTCTTCACAATGGCAGACTTTTCTTTTAAGGTGTGCAGCAATCCCACCTGTTCGAGTGCTGTTATAATTTCTTTGTCACTAAACGCTCCTTCAAAGTCCATGTTTTCTCGTAAAGTTCCCATAAATAAAATAGGTTGTTGTGGAATAAATGTAATACTCTTTCGTAAATCCCTAATGGGTAATTCTCGAATGTCAGTTCCATCAATGTAAATAGCTCCTTCGTTCTTCTCAATTTCTTGTAATCGAAGAATGCAATTAAATATACTACTCTTGCCACTTCCAGTTCTTCCAACAATTCCACATTTAGCGCCTTGTTTTACGCTAAATGAAATGTCATCAAGGGCAAAATTACACTCTGGAGAATACTTCATGCTCACTCGATCGAATACAATGGTTCCTTCAAAATGTAAATCTTTTGGCTTTTCTAAAACTGATTGAGTCCCATGAGATTCTAATGGAAGTTGTTTCACAAAATTGAGAATTCTTTGAACTGGCCTAAAAGAAGTAGCTGTTTTTGTAAATGTGTAAAATAGTGTCTCTGAGGACTCAATTAGATCTTTCATTCTCTGATAGAAGAGAGCAATAACAACTTGGATGGGTATCAACTTTTCAGTCGTTGACATGGTGTCATTATTGGATGGATTGACGTTTTGCTCATTATTATAATTGTTATAATAATATAAAAAAATGATTAAAACAATTAGAGAAGTTGTTAGCTCTCTAACAAAACCGCATCTCACTGAAAACCAATTCCAAAGTAACTCAGTGCAATACGTTAACTTGTTGGTAAAATGTTTCTTTTCTCTAATTTCATAAATGAGAGCCGTCATCTTTTTCTCTCTATCAAAAGCTCTAATTGTGTCAATTCCTTCAAGAATTTCACTTGAGATGGTATGCGTGGGATCATGAAGATTTGATGTTTGATAATCTAAAACTTGTTGCTCAATAGTGGAGTAGGTGTTTCTATAATAATTGGTTATCGGAGCAACAATGGCAAATAATAAAATAGATATGGGTACTGTGAAAAGTATTATAATAACAGTAACCAACGCTTTGAAAGCACTCGAAACAAAGTATTGAAACATGTATCTAATATTTTCTCGAATCTCGTTGGTGTCATTGACCCTCTCAATAATTTTTCCAGAAGGGACTGTTTCAAATAACTTCAACTTGGATTGAGCTAATTTTTCCAAAATCAATGACTGATACACATCTCCAACAAGATATAAAAAGTATGCAAGCACTACACTATTTAGCGTGTATGATATCATTTCACAAAATCCACCCACATTGTATAGGCTTAAATAATAGCCCAATGAATGTTTTTCATACTGCTCATCCATAATCCAATATGAAAGGATATAGTCTTTAAAAACTGGAGCAAATTGTTCTATCAATGCAAGACTAACAATGCCTAATAAAAAGATGGTGCTCTTCTTTCCGAGAGACATCATGAATTCAATGATTTGTATAACTTTTGGGTCTTCTTTGACCTCTTCGTCCTGTTGATCAGATGGAGACTCGCCATCTTCCTCTTCATCATTGTCACTTTCTTCTGTTAAATGTTGAGATGTTTGGAATATCGATTTGGTCTCATCTTGAACGTTGTAGGTAGAAGAGAGCAAATCGTTCAATGTATCAGAAATATTCTCACTATTAATGATTTCGCTGTATGTTCCTTGCTGAATAATCTCACCCTTATTCATCACAAATGTTCGATCAATCATCTTTAACAGGTGTAATTGATGTGTGACTAGTAGAATACTCTTATTTTTCAACAAGGCATTCTCACTCTGAAAGAGTCTCTCCACAATATTACTTGCGGTGTGAATATCAACGGCAGAGAAAATATCGTCAAGTAAGTACAAATCACAATCATGGTAGAGAGCTCGGGCTAAGGACAAGCGAATTTTCTGTCCACCACTGAGATTGATTCCTCTTTCTCCAATAATCTGGTCATCTTTGTTGGTCATCTGTTCAACATCAAAGGCGAAATCTGAAGCCCATAATGCAATCTCGTACCGTTTCTGGTCAAAATTGGAACAGAATACAACGTTTTCTCGAATGGTACCGTTTCGTATCCATGCATTTTGAGAAACAAAACCAATGGAAAGTCCTTCCTTAATACGAACACTTCCTTGAATAACATTTGTCTCATTCAAAATGGTATATAGCAAAGTGGACTTTCCCATTCCAACCTTTGATATTAGAGCCACATGTTCTCCTTCATGAATTTTCAATGAAATATTTCTAATGATTGAGTCGTCGTCCGTGTTGTTGTTGCAAGTTTCAAAATTCCATTTTGCGCTCACGTTCTGCATATCGACTAGCACTCCAACCTCTGTTGTGAATTCAGTGTGATAGTTATGTTCCTTACACATGAGAAGATTGGCTATTCTTTTTGAAGAAATTCTCATTTGACTCATTTGTCTTAAATCAGAAGCCAAGCTGTAAAAAGGCCACCTCAAATAATCTGCCAGACTACTGACTGTGAGAGCCAATCCAAGCGTGATGGGTTTGCCTTCTATATACGAATAAACAAAAAAGCAAATGGAAGATACCATGAATGATTGCAAGTAATATATGGAATCAATGAGAAAATCCATCCAACTATTCGTATTTACGTTTTGTCTGATTTTTGCCTCAATATTTTCGAATTTGTTAACAAAAACATTTTCAATAGCAAACACTTTGATCAGCTTCATAGCATGAATAAATTGAGAGAGTACAGATGATTTTTCGTCTGTCATTTCAAGGTTTTCTTTTCGCGTGCGTTCTTGCTTTTTGATGAAATAAATATAAACTGGAACAGTGAGCAATAGAAATGTAAATGAGCAGCATGAGGCAAAGAATCCTACAGTATAAACCATTGTAAAGAAGCTAATTATTAAATATCCAATGTGAGAGTGTGTCTCCGACAAGACATATTTAGAGCTACTAATTGTAGAAACATCTTCATCTAGAATCGTGGAAATTACTCCAAAGTTGAACCGTTCTTGTTTCTCACTCATGGCAATCTTGGATACCTTGAGCAAGACTAATTCTCTCATAAATTCTGAAATGGCTTCCTTTTCGACATATTCCCATAATCTACTGGCATAGTACACAAGTTTGGTGAGCATGGACATGAAACAATGGCTCGCAATCAGTAGAAGAGCATTCCTCAACAAGGAGGTTGAAAGTTCTTCAGCATGAGGTTCCGAAGAAGAAAATTTTCCTTCTGAGAAATTATGTTCCAACAAGTCGAAAATGTGGCCTCTCAGTACTAATTTAATATTGTCCAAGCTCATGGACAAAATCATAAATAGAGATAGCCACAAAATGTCCCATCCTATGATGACATGAAAAAACCTCAACGCTTTCAACCATTCACAAATACTGGTTGTGAGGTTCAATGATTTTTCTTCTTCTTCGATCGTTTCGAGTGGGGTACCTTTGGTAGATCCATACTGTTCTTTGATCTGTTGTAACTGATATTTACAATGCTCTCTTTCATTTTCCGTTAACTTTCTCATTTCGAGCGATGGAGCCTTTTGAACAATTTCAAAAAGACCCTTCCTGACTGGAATCACCAGTTCATCGTAGATGGAAAAGCAAAAGGCGTCTTTGAAGAAATAAAGAGCTTGTGCGAGAAAGTAGGCTGAAAAGTCTTTGAATGAAGTGGCCCATCTTCCGAGATTATACACATGATTACGGACCGCCATCAATTTTTGTTGTGTGATGTTGAAAAATCGGAATGATGGTTGTGCAAAATTATAATTATAGCAATATCTATGAAGAATCCAATTCCTTGTGATGGCATGTAACCTTTCTCTCTTTCAACGATTTCAAAATTGAAAATCAATTTCAGAGTATCAAAGGATATTCGGTCTGGTTGCAATTATCGTGACACGAATGTGTCTAAGATTGTAACTCTATTACAACACTGTAATTGTAATTTTTAGAGGGAAACATCGCTAGAAAAATTACCTCAACAACACAGTGTGTAGTGTCAACCATGTCCATCAACCAAACAGCTTCCTCTCAACAAGAAGAAGAACACTCCAAGAAAAGACTTGAACAATCCCCAGTACAAGGCTTTGAGGAAGAACCATCAGAGTACGAGCATCCTAAACACAGAAAGTTAAACCCTGAACCACCTTATGATATTGAACAAATCATCCAGAACTCCTTACAACACTTTTCCAATTCCATGATGGATCAGATAGAAGGACTCACCACAAAGGTACAAGGCTTTGAAACTCGCCTTCAACAAATAACTCAACCACATCAATTTAATAATAACAACCATCCATTCGACCCTAACCTGTCAGTACCAAACCATTTGCATGTCCCACAACCTACAAATCTGTTCAACATCCCATTCCCTACAGATTCCAACAAGACTGACAATGCTCCCATCGCCCCTCATACCACCAGATGGATCAATACTAACGACACTACCGGCAACCTATTTTCAAACAACCACACTACTACAAACGCACCTTTCAATGGTTTATCAGATGAAGCCTTAAAGTTCTACACCACTTCATACTTGAAAAACAACTGGAACTTCGCTCCCGACCACCTCTCTAAACTCAACGGTCTAGAACTTGCTCAACTTCTCCAACAAAGTATTATAAGAAAGCTCCTTACCATGACCCCAACAGGAACAGCTCTTACCTACCTTATTGGAAAATACAGACAACTGCTTCAAAACACAAACATTCCTCATGTTAAAACCGAACCACGTCCGGAATTAAACCTTCCAATCCTTAACACAGTATTAGTTTGCAGCGGCCTTACCTGCAAAGCACTCAACTGTTCAGCAATGTCAACAGATCTCATTGCCCGAGCAGAATTACTAGCGCTAGGCTTGCTACTATCAAACAGAATAGCCAATGCCCTTGACTGCGCAGCTGAGAATAATTACACAATGGAAGACATCTCCAGAGAAATTAACCAACAGCTCAATAATACAAACGTCCATAATGAATTGAAAACAAACATCCATAATAACAGAGAAGAAAGAAAAGATGCACTTAACTTTGAATACATGAAGAACATGAACAAACAACTCACTTCTACAAAAAGCAACTCACAACCCACAAACAACAAATACCAAAAGAACTCCAATGCAGGATCCAATCACAACTATGGAAAAAAGAGTAACTCAAACACCAACAATGGTAAAAAAGGAAATTATTCCAATAACTCAGACTCCAAGTCCCAGTCCAAACAATGACTTCCAAGGAGGTCGAGTCTCCCAATACCTCAAGAATTGGGAACAGTGGGGAACCTCCCAAAAAGTCCTCACATGGATCAGAGATGGAGTTCCAATCATTTCCGACCCAACCAAATGGAAGAACTTTGGCAGAAACACCATCTCAGGACCAATTCAAACAGCTTGGACGGACCAAGAAATAATTTCAATGCTTCAATTCCAAATCATTTCAATATTCAACCCAAACTTAAACAAACTTCCACTAGTACTCAATCCAGTGCATCTTGCTCCCAAGAAGGGACCCGATCTATTCCGATTCATATTGGATCTAAGGAAAGTCAACCTCGGTATAGATTTGGACTCATTCAAAATGGAATCCCTCAGCCAGATTATCAAGATCCTTACTCCGGGAATGTATGCTTGCAAAATAGACCTATCGAAAGGTTATTTTCACATACCTATCCATCCCAACTCGAGACGTCTCTTGGGCTTCGTCTGGAAAGGAGTATTCTACCAATTCAATGTCCTCCCATTCGGATTATCCAACGCCCCACAAATATTCACAAAAATCATGAAACAAATAGTGAAGAAGTGGAGAGAGAAGGGTTGGATAATATTCATATACATCGACGATATATTAATCCTCAGCCTGGAAGGCCCAGAAATGTGTCAATCAATAACGAACCAAGTAATTCAAGATTTGAACACTCTCGGTTTCCTTATCCAACCCAACAAATGCATCTTAATACCAACACAGACTATCGAGTTCTTGGGCCTAACACTGAACTTCAAAACAGGAACTATTCAAATTCCAACCTCCAAGAAGGAGACAGCTCTAACCATGATCGACGATCTAATCACCAAATCCCAGAACAACCTGTCAGTTCCTTGCAGAACAATAGCTCATTTCACTGGAAAAATGGAATTCCTCAGACTTGCCGAGAGAGCAATTCCTTGCTTCTGTCACAGGTTGAGAAGAAGCATGTCCTTAGTAGTGGACAAAATAGGTTGGAACTCGTCAATGAAAATCTTCTCCAACGTTTTAAAGGATTTGAAAATCCTCAAATCCATAATCCTCTCGTCTCAAGGTACACCTTTCGAGATCACCTGGAATCTCCAAAGGATATACTCGGACAGTTCAACTCTCGGTTACGGTGCGTTTCAAGGGAACAATGTTCTAGTGGGTACCTGGGAGAACCCAGAAACCCACATCAACATCAAAGAACTATCCACAGTTCTTCTGTTCCTTCAAAACGCAGCCTCCAACCAGCTTTACCCCAAGAAAACCCAGTTCCACTGCATCGTGGACAATACAACAGCAATCTCCTACCTCAAGAAAGGTTATGGCCCAGTGGACTCACTGGCCACCATAGCCAGATCTATATGGAAGATCCTTCTCCAACAAGATTGGTCAATCTTGAAAGTGAGCTACATCCCCTCCCAGGAGAACGTAGTAGCAGATTCACTTTCGAGAGTCGGAGACTGGCAAACTTCCAAAGAACTCTTCCAACTCCTGAACGCCAAATTCGGTCCATTCACAGTGGATCGTTTTGCATCAGCCCAAAACCACCACCTCATCAAATTCAACTCTTGGACCCATCTCCAAGACGCTTTCAAAGAAGATTGGAGCAAAGACAACAATTACATGTCTCCTCCTCTCAGTCTAATTCCACTAACAATAATTCAGATCATCAAGAACCGAGCGAAGGGTTCCTTGATTATTCCGAACTGGACAAGCTCATGGTGGTATCCTGTGCTTACAAAGATCTCCTTAAGGATAGAAAAATTTCCAAGAAAGATGCTTATAATATCGCCCTCCACAGAAATCTGGAAGAACTCGAAATGGAACGAGTTCTTGGCTGTGGAAGTGGATGGAGCCCTCTATTCGAAGGTTGGAGAACCATCTGTCTAGAGGCCACTTACAGTCCGGACTCCATCTTTCACATGTGGAGATGCTTCAAACGATTCCAAGAATACAGATTCTGGCACCAACTACCGTTCACTTATGAAACAGCTGAAAAGTTTGTTTTCTATGAATTAGAAAACAAAAAAGGCTGGGAACTTCCTCGCCTTAAATCTTCACTCACATTCTTTGCAAAAATCTATAAGATCAACCTGGAGTGGAAACCGGAATTTAATGACCTTATTAAGGGTGGTCAACGAATTTACAATGCAATACACAAACGATCTCTTCAAAGGGATGGAGTTTCCATTTCTCACATCTTAGATTGGATGGAGAAATATCAACCTTCATCCGAGAAGGACAAATTTGAAAAACTCCTGATTGCAACCACCATGATCATTGGATTCCGCACACTCTTTCGTCCCTCAGACATTGCTTCTATTAAATGGTGTGACATTACCTGGGACAAACCAAAGAAGGGTTGGATTCAAATAATTAATTCAGGTCACAAAACCGACAAGATGAATCTCGATAAAGATCCCATCATAATCGAACCAGCCCCAAACCAAAAGTACTGCCCAGTGAAATTAATCACCTCATACAGAGACCAAGTCCACCACTTCAAAGAAAGAAATAGTCCTTTCCTCTCCTTTACCGACAATCGTTTCCTAACATCAAACCACATATGCGAATTCATGAAGAAAGTGAGAAAAATCCTTAACATTAAGGAAAATATTCTAGGGCACTCCCTTAGAATCGGAGCAGCTTCCAAACTCACCGAAGAAGGAGAATCGTTGGATGTGATCATGCATGCAGGTAAATGGAAATCAAACGCCTGCAATGCATACACTAGGAATATTGCTTTAGCAAATAGAGGACTTTCCAACACACTTTTCAATAAGGAAGACAACCTCTGAACCAAACCAATTCGTCTAAAAATTACCTTGTGTTGTATATCGTTACATTATCGTGACACGAATGTGTCTAAGATTGTAACTCTATTACAACACTGTAATTGTAATTTTTAGAGGGAAACATCGCTAGAAAAATTACCTCAACAACACAGTGTGTAGTGTCAACCATGTCCATCAACCAAACACCCTCCCGTCCCACCCTATGATGTTTCCTCTCCTTGTCTTTCCTTATTTTCCTTCACACCTCATTCACGACATTCGTGAACAACTCCTTCTTACTTCACACCAATTGTGAAGTTGTTTAGAGTCATCTCTAAATCCAACCTTGTCACACTTTGCCTGGAGCAAGCAGGTCCCAGTAGTGGACTTGTTAAGACAACTTGTCTGGTGGTCTAAGGTATTCGACACTATGTTACCTTAATCAGGTCCGTAGGCGTCACTTTGCTTAAACCCTGATAGAAGTCATAATCTTCTTCAGGTACCTTTTGGATCAGTGGACTCCATGTCGGATTCTCCAGGAATCAGTTGCGTAAAAGCCAACCTCTGATCCAGCACCTCAGGTCTTGATTCACTTCAATCGACCTTGAACCACGGTAAGCTCTTGTTAAAACCTGATACTGTTCTTTAGTTGTCTTTTACTCACCTTGTCCATGACAATTCTTATTAAGGGTTGCCTCTTCTCATGGATTCTTGTTCTCCCATGAGCAGAGGTTATTGATCGATGCCAACAATGTCGTCATTTCCTCCATTTCAACCCTTTTCACCCCTCTGTACCATTCTATACCTTTATAAATAAAGGGATTTTGTGCTGTCAGAAGGTAATTTCGATGGATACTCATACCATCAAGCGTGCACAAACCAATTCGTCTAAAAATTACCTTGTGTTGTATATCGTTACATAGAAATTTTCTTTTTTTACACTTGACCCGCACCCCTTTGCTGACGTTAATTATTTTTAAAAATTCGTAAACAATTAATGTAGCAAAGTTGATGAAAAAATTTTTATTCACATTTTAAAAACGTAACAAATTAATGTTTTCTCGTCAATAAAAAACGTCAAAAATCCCTATTAACGTTTTAGAAATTGCGCCGTCAAATTGACGCTCGAAATTGACGTAGAAAATTGATGCAGAAATATCAATTATTGCTGTCACTAGTTTCGTTTTTTCGTCAATTATTGCTGTCACTAGTTTCGTTTTTCCTGTTGTTAATTTTTCACAATTTTCTGTTACTTGTTTCGCTTTTCCAATTTCTCCACACTTCCACTGACACTTCATATTGTTCCACATTCTTTCATTCAACACACAGTATCACCATATATCAATTCCTCATTCAATTAAATACATCAATTACAGTTACATTAATACAATAAATATTTTCATTCCCTCAATCCTCAACAAATTAAATATATAGAGCTCTGAAATAAGGCGGTACTATTTAGTGACCACGAGATTGCTAATTCAAAGTAATTACTTACATCATCAGTCTACACTTATGATCACAGTAAAAAGTGAATTTGTTTGACAATTCGTTCATTCAAAAACTACCAGCTCATCCTCCATAACTTACCTTTAAATTTTACATCAAAAGAATCACCAATAGATAAATCAACTCCAAATAAAAACGCCTTTTCCCTTCTTCTCAAATTCAACAATGAAAATAACATTTCAGTACAGCAGATGCATCAACAATACTCGAAATAACTTACATGGTGCGATTTAAATAGTGGAGTATATACTTGTTCTAATCTCATTGTCATGTACGCAAAATTTAACATGAACATACATATGATTCCAATACTCTGAACAAGAACTAACAAATAGAAATAGAGAGGAGCTCATAGAGAACTGAGAAATGTTTTGAATGAAATATTGAAAAAGGCTCAAATATAAGCGCTTACCTTCTACTATGTGAACAGTGATTTGATCTGCTCAATAAAGTCTAATGACAAAATATGCAGAAAATCCCTCAAACACCAATCCTAAGGATGGTTGTTTGGCGAGTTTCAAACCCATTAGTTTTCCTCCAATTAATTCCAAACTCGTGTTGTTGTTAACAATGTAGAAACATACCGTATCTTTGTAGCGAGGCATAATGCTTATGTCAAGGATCTAACTTCAATTCCTATATAGTTCACAACCATGTTTCAATGTAAAGGCGATACTTACAGAGAATGTGAGTGTATCAAATGTTCATGGGTTGATCTGAATCACTGTCCTATTACGTTCAACTAAAGATTAAAAAACAGGTATTCATGGCTTTAAATTTGAAACACTCACCATCTTCAATATATTTGTACATCTTTTACCACTCCTATTCTGGCTCACGGATATTGGTCGAATCGTGAGTCTTGGTGATTGTGGCTATCAGTAGAGTATGACAAGAAATCCTCGTTTGACATTTAAGGCATCAGTGGCAATTGTAAGAGGAAGATTTTCAAGGTTGCGTCAAGGACTCATAGTACTATGATGACGCCAAACTTCTCATCATCAAAAGCATTAATGATTAATTAGTATTCCCAATTAAGTTCGTCAAGTGACAGTTGTTGTCACAACGAAACAAACAAACTATGATGAAATCTTGTCTCAGCCACACAGTCCTTTTTTAACTTGATGTCAAAGAATATTGTTCAATCACTTCAAAATCACTACAGCAACTTGTGTGCTTGGTCTGTCGTGAATAAGGATTACATGTTGACCAATGTTGTGGATTACTTGTTGCAACTTGATATTGTCCATTGCTCTTCTTATCGTTTTGAGATTGTTTCACTCTGAGGAAAAAACTGGAATGGTGTTGAAATATCGTTTGGAATCCAATCTAATGTGATTCTTTCCACAAAATTTACGTCTCAAGATCCAGCAAACTAGTTCAATCGTTCAACACGTTCTTCATAATTTCTGAATAGGATGACGATATTTCTGTGAAGAGATTAGATATTATCATGGTTTGGTCAGTTCACGTTGAGAATGCTTTAACGTTCGGAATGTATATCAACAATTCCGAATTAATATTAAAATAAATAAATAAATAGGCAAGTGCTGAGAACGAATGTAGTTGATACTCCAATGGAAGAGCTATTCATCTCGATTGCTAAGATTACGTTAATGCTGAATGCTGTAGGTACTAAAGCTAAGGGAGTTCGATGTTAAAGTGTGGAACCCAAATTGAAAATAATCAAATTCGAAGTTGTCGTTGGCTCGGGAGAAAAAAGAGTTCCGTGGTGAATAATTGATGAATGGAGTTGTTAGACAACAAGAACATATTTCACGTGATGACAGCTATTTGAGTTGATGTTATATGTGGTATCGTTGATGAGATGATATGGTTGAATATGAGAGTAAAGAATAATAGAACCACGGACGATGATCATAGCAAATTCTGTTAACTGTGGTTTGTTGATAGAATCTTCAACACTTTCAAAACAAAATTCCTGAACACAGATAGACGGATTATTTTGTAAGGCAGATTAACGGAATAACATCATTCTCAATTTATACTTTGTTTCTTTGTAGGTTTGCACAGTGGTAAGCCCAGGTCTTATTCGCATAAATTTGGAAGCAAATTACTTACATAGAATGAGTGTTCCAAGACGAATTGATCTGTATTATGTCCAACTAAAGATTAATAGTTATTGGATTTCAATTTGATGGTGAATCAATGATATTAAACTTGTAGTTAGTATAGTCCTCCCTTTCAATGTTGAGGAAATTTTTTTATAAAATTAATTGTACGGTTTATTACGATTACCCCTTTTACTCATCTCTTTCTTCTTCCTTCTCGTTCTTGGACTTCTTATCCTTCGATTTAATGGTACGATACAATGCTTTATATTTTTGCACAGTCTTGTTGTCGCCCGTCTTTGCTGTGCATTCCACGATAGTGTTTATCAATAAATTTTTCTCTTCATTGTTCAGTTCAAGGTAGTCCTTTCGGAACAGATATAGGCTCATCATCTTCATCCTTTCCGTCCTGTTTGCGCTTACCAATTGCTGTATCATGCCAGCTGGAATGATTTCCGTTCTTGATCCCAGTGTTACATTGACGGATTGAGAAGGCAGCAACTCTGGGTGCTGTAGTTGTAGACTCACCATCATCCCTAGGGGTTTGTTTAGTTGCGCAAGGAGAGAGGTCAGCTCTTGCACCTCCTCTTTGAGCAACTTGTTCTTTGCCTTTTCCTTTTTATAAAGTTGGAATGTATTCCATTCTTCCCAATCTTCTTCCAAGTCTATTACTTTCTTCTGTTTCTTGTAAGAACGGAATGTCATTTCACCCTCATCACTATCATCATGAGCAAGGTCAATTACCTTCTTCTTTTTCACAACAGATTGTTGATCCTTGTTATCATCGTTTGTTCCTCTGTCTTGCAAACTTTCCTCGTCGTTGTCATTTACCTTATTCTTTATTGGTGTCTCATTTGCTTCCTCACAATCTTTCTCGTTGTTGTCCTCTTCTCTTCTTCTTTTCTCTGTATTCTTGTTTAATGAGGACATGGTATCTTCTTTAGACACAGAACAGAGTTGGGAAGAGCTTAAACCTCTGTGTACCTTAGAGAAGGGAGTTACAATTAATGGAGGAGAAGCTGATTTGTCTTGAATTTTCAGCAACATCTGCCTGCTGAATGGTTTAGAAAGATCCACGTCAAACGACTCAACGAACATTTGAGTATTTTCGATTAGAAATTCCTCTGAATCAAGAGTTGTAGCCACCGTTCCTTTAGCTATTCTGAAAGTACTGTCATCTATATGTGTTAACATCTCAACATTGTCACCAACTTTCAATTCGGACTCCTCAGATACAAATTCTTCAATCTCAAACCCTTTTAGCTTCAAAAGAGCAATGGAAATCTTTCTTACAGCCTCGGAAACTAATTTCTTGAGAAACTCATTGTCATAATGCTTAAGGAAATTGGCTTTGAGATTAGATGGAGTTCCATTCTTGCCTTGAAAACCTGTAAAAACTTTGTGCTTCTTATATTGTAAAACAATTGAAAGCAAAATATATGTAGCTCCCTGAGCATCACATTTCTTCATATCTTTCAGCTCTGTATTTAGAAGCAAGTTATTGCAAAACTTAAGCATGGAAAATAAATGGACCTCAGCTTCCTGCAATGACTGAGTTGCATTCTTCTCTATGGTTTCCGAGGAATTTGGTGTTCTTTCCTTAAACTCAAATATCTTGGGAGAGTTCTTCTCATGCACAACATCAGAGCTACTACTGGGTTTCTTTTGAGTATTAGTGTTACTATTGCTAGATGATTTTGGTTTTCCTGCCATTTTTTTAAAACTTTGCTTTGGGTGGGATTAGTGAATGGTACTGCCTTTATTTACTGTTTTGCAAAACCGTTAACATGGATGTGATGTTAACATGGATCAAAACTTTTGTAATCAGTTTTAAAACAGGGTAACGAGAGTCGATTCGATCTTGCACTGTAAAATTCTTTAAAAAAAATGGCTCAATTACAATACTCAAGGAAAAAGCCAAATATTCATCATTCTGATACTATATCACATCACTCCATTTCTAATAAGATTATTGAAGGGGTAAACTTTTTAAATAATAAGGCATCCCAATACTCTTCTCCCCTTGTTCAAAACAATAAACGTACCACTGCCGATATAGACATTCGCAACATTCCATCCAATAGTATTCAATGTCATAAAAAAGCAAAATGTGGTGACGGCCAATCGTGTTGCAATCATGATAGCTGTTATTTAGGAACAGATTATAATTACACTCCTGTTGATACTTCTACACATGGTGTTAATGATGATCAAGAATTATTGGACTCTCTACCAAAAGTCTCTGGTATGGATGACACATTGAAAGAATTCTTGAGTTCCTTTTATAACGATGAAGGTGGAACTATCTGTGATGAAGATATTCTAACACAACATTCATTTTCAAGTGTAAAATCTAATATCGCTACAAACGAGAATTTTGATGCATTGTTAAAAAAGATATTGAGGTTTACAGTCACAGCATCTCTCTCTGAGAATTGTTTAAAGCAAGTGATTGAAATTGTTAAAGAAGCACTTCAATTATGTAAAAGTGATGCTGATAGAGAATATGCAATTGACCACCTCTCACTATCTGGATACTATAATCATTTCATGTTATCATCTAAAACAAGAAAAGTTCCAATGTGCCTAGAATGTCAACAATATCAAAAAGATGTCACTCATAAAAATTGTCCAACTTGTGGACATTATATGGAGATGGAGTTTCACCATTTCAATCCAGTCAACAAAGCTTTTACCAATTTTCTATTAGCTTGAACGAATTACCACCTCATTTAAGGAAAAAGAGGAAGAACAATATATTGTGGATGGTAATACCTGTTAAACCTAATCATGACATGATAAAATTATGTCTACAAATACTAATGGATGATTTGAACTATTTTAACGGAAATTACGAAAAGTTTGAGATGAGAATTGATAGAGTGCTGGCAGACTTACCGGCAAGATCTGAAATTTTGTTCTTCAAAGCATCAGGATACTACTTTTGTCACTTATGTGCCATTCCTGGAGAGAGTGTAGAAGTCAATTCCAAATCAACAACTGCTATTAGATATCCATTACGAAGAGTGATTCCAAGCAATCAAAGGATTGTTCACTGTTTTCGTGATATTGATTTTTGGAACATCGTAAAAGGTGAAAATCTTGAAACACAATATGGAATGACATCATCTGAGTACTCTCCCATTTTGAAACAGAATTGGAATCCTACACCAACAGATATGGGATCATATGATTCAATGCATTGTCTATACGAAGGAATTTTGCGTGACATGATGTCATTAATTCAAATACCTTGTTGGGAGAAGTTCGACAAATTATATCTCCAACAAAAATTTCCATCATTCTTACATAGACATCCACGATCTATCACTAAAAATCTAGGTCATCTCAAAGCTATAGAGGTATATATGATAGTACATTATTATCTAGACTTGTTCTACGAAATTGAAGGTTTTGAGGAAATATCAAAACATGTCAGCATGTTGAAAAGATTTGTCAACGTTTTAGACAAATTACATGATTGTTTTCGCACCGCAGATTTACCAGTTATCATTAATGAATTGTGGCAAGTGTTGGAAGAATATCAACAGGAAGCAGGAATTGCTAAAACCACCCAAAATTTCCATATAGCTTCTGAGTTGGGTAATAGTGCCGAATTATTTGGTCCGTTAGTCCATAATTCAGCTTTTTTGGGAGAAATTCTTAACTTCACCTTAACCAAAGCATTCATATCCTCCAACTCGGCAAGATACGCCATAATGTTCTTTGATATGGCACAATTATGTGACATTTATGAATTGAGCACACTAAGACAATCAGAGTGTGTTTGTGGCAATTATGTACTGAAGACTAATACTGATGTTGTTGCCCAAACTGATGACTCTACTGAGTCTGAGCCCAAAACTTCTTTCTTCAAAATCAAAAAATCAACTCAAAACAGTTTGGAGTTAGAGAACTTGGATGATCACTCTCTTAAGTATGTGCCACACAAGAATAAGCTTGTCCCCTGTGTTTCGGTATACTCTCCGAAACATAATCAGACTTTCCACATTCCAATGCACAAGAATGTCAATCAATATATTTAATAAAAATTTATATGTTGTATTGTATAGCTGGTCTTGTTGCTGTTGATGTTTTCCGCAATTATTGATAATAATAATTGATGATGATTCGTCAATTTTAACGCGAAATAATTGATCGTCAATGTTGCTATTTTTTTTTGATGGTACTCTCGTTAAAATGCCCAACAGTGGTGCGAAAGAATAAGAAGCGGGGAGATGATTTCGCAGGAAACATTTTTTTGTGTGAAACTTTCACCCAACCAACATAACAGAAAGAGTGAAAAAGTTAACTCTTCGTCTGAGACTCAGCAAATGGTGAAGAAACGCTCTTGGAGAGTTAACAGCAAGACAGCAAGAAAATATTGTTGGGATAAATAAAGGCGAAAGTGCGGGAGGTTTTTTTGAGGATGTTAATGTAACATGCGAACCAAATTGAACCTTCAATAGTATTATAGTACGAGCTCATTATCCATGATGTCTCATAGGTGCGTTATTACATTAAATAGTTCATCTTGAAGTGAACAACGCAATAAACAATAACAAAAAAACAATCTAAACATTTATTGCAAGCTTTTCAAGCAAAAGATTGAGTTGTAAATCAAAATGGTCTATGAAATTGTATACTTTGATCACTATGGAAGAGTTGTAAGTGCTTTCTGTGTATTATACAATCACCAATCTGATCCACAAAACCAAAGGATCTTGTTAAATTGATCGCCGAGGTTGCAAACATTCCTTACAAGTTTGTTGGCATTGAGGATAAGGACTGGAAAGATTTTCAACCAACCACTCGTTACGGGTTGTTGCCCTTCGTGAAAATCAATGACAAATGGACTCTCTATCAAAGCATTGCCATTTCTCGTTTCTTTGCTCAGGAAGGAGAAGGTAATTTGTAACCATCCGATCGAGTGGAAGCAACTATCACTGAGGAATATGTTGCTGCTTTGGAAGATGCTTATAATCAATTTGTGTATGCAACTTTCCTTGCTCCAGAAAGGAGGAAGAAACCAAGGGACTCACTGAAGGAGTATTGAAGAGCGTTTTTAAGGTGTTGAATGCTGAATTGGAGAACAATGGAGGATATTTGCTTCCTGGAGGTAAACTCACTTGGGCTGATTTGTATTTGGTTGAGTTTGCAAGTAACTTGAGTTACTACACCAAGATTGATCCTGTTAAATTCGCTCCTCAAATTCCCAAGCTCAGAGAAAATGTATTGAAACATCCAAGAGCAAAAGCTTATTTGGAAAGTGAGAGAAATCTCAGAAAGAGTGTATTTTAGAACTTGGAGGAAATAAACCACAACTCCTTATTGTGTCTATGGTGTCAACTTGTTTTTGATAATCCTGATAAAACAAATTATGGGCATGTTTGGATATTTCTTAGATTGAATGGAATCAATGATTTCATCTACTATTTAACCAACAAACCATCATCGTTTCAGAATTAACTTTTTATATCGAAAAGATACTGAATGTTTGTAATGCCAAAACGTTGAAGCTTCTTAGTGGTTGCGTTTAAAATTATTGACAAAACGTATCACATAGAAACCAATATCAGAGTCGTCATTTCTCACAGACAGAAACAAGACCTATTTATTCATCATTAGATAAATTTAAAGTTGAATGTCCAAACTATTACCCAAATATTAAAATCAATCTTAATTTCTTAACGAGTTGGTGTTGTAAAAAACAAAAAAAATGACATCACCAACCACACATCGTTCCATGCAATTATTACTTCGAATTTACTTCTTTCTCTGTATATTCTCAGTATTTATTATCATTACATTTCATGCACAGCTCGGACGTGTTCATGAAGAGTCGGGCAATGAGGAGAGCATACTCCGAAAAATTACAACCACCGGAGGGAATTTAATGAAAAAACAACACTGGTTGGTGAATAAGATATTAACCAAGATGAATTCGAAACAACAATCTCATACCAATCAAGAACAGAAAAATCATGCCAATCAAGAACAGAAAATACCTTTGAATCAATTGGATCAAAATGATGATCAGAATCTTGTTGTGCATCAGAGTAAGATCAAACAAAGAGAAATACCTCCTCTTGTTTGTTCCAAAGCCATGAATAGCAATCAACCAGATATACCGAATTTTCAATCTCGGGTTTGTTATAACGAGTATGACTGTGGATTATTGAAACGATGGCGAGACAACAAGATTGAAATGTGTCTTCCAACGAAAACGAATAATGAAGGATCATCACTCACGTGTTACATGACGACCAATGAACATGTACCAGCAGCTACTCGACCTCACACCATTTGCGAATCCAATAATTTAATTATTGATTTTTCAAAATTAATACCTGCCCAATGCTTAAAGTATAGACCTGGATACTTGTGTAGGAGAAATACTTATTTTAATTATTTGGAAGGCGCTTTAGTGGCTGATTGTGAAATTAGCAAGTCACGATTCACACTTGACAAGTTTCCAAATGATTTTGGAAAGGATATCTTTTCCTCGTTCAAGATGCTCAGAGATGCACCCAAAAAAGAAGAATTATTTGTTGATGGAACAACACTTTTTGTATCGAGAGAAATTGATGAACATGTGAACATGTTTCATGCATCCACCGATTTTTTCAACACCTATTTAATGTATGAATTTTTCCAAATTCAAGATAATCATCAAGTCCAAGTAGTACTTCTTGACAATCATTTCCCAGGACCTTATGACATGATTTGGAATAATACCTTCTCATTTAGAAGACCAATGAAACGAGCAACTGAATTTTCTGGCAAGATTGTGAAATTTGAAAAAGCCATCTTTCAGCCTGCTGGATATGCGTCTCCATTATTATCTCATTTGACCGATTTTTCAAAAGCAAATTCCAATCAATGTTCCCAACGATTGAAAACTCTCACGGCATACACCGAGCGAATCCTTACTGGGTTTAATATTCCACCTCGATCGAGCCAACCCAGTAGTGACATTATTCGAGTACTCTTCGTGAGTCGAAGACCCTATAACAAACATGGAGTCGAACACAGTTACATGGGACGACAAATTGCGAATGAAGATGATCTATTGAAGGCTCTCAAAAAGTATGAGCTCGAACACAAGAATATTGTTGTTGAGAGGGTTGATTTTGCCCAGCTTACTTTCAAGGAACAAATTCAAAAAACCTACCATTCAGATTTTTTAATTGGAATGCACGGTGCTGGTCTCACACATGCGTTCTGGTTGCCACCTTCACAGTCAGCAGTCCTTGAATTGTGGTCCATCAAAGAAGTTCAAAATTGGCAATGTTTCGAACAAATTACTCTGTGGAAAGGAAATTTGTACGAGATTTGGAAAAATTCAAATCCAAAGAATCATTGGAAAGATAGTAAGGGCGACTATACCATTATAGATGTGGATGAATTTATGAAAATGTTTGAGAGAATGCTCAAAGATTTAAGAGCAATGAGAAAAAATTTGTAAAAAGCAATCCTGTACTGGTTGAAATGCATCTTCCTCGTAGTGAATATTCAGAATCATTGTCCAAGTGTGAGCACCAGGATCACTCCCTCTATTTATTAGCACTTGTTGCATGATCATGATGTGATGGGAATGTCAAATATTCCAAAAGCTTGGGAATTTTGACCTCTGATTTTAAATGCTCCCAGTGAGCATCCGTCTTGGCAAAGAATCCATGCAGGAATGCCAAGGAATTGCATGAAATTCCCATATAATTTTCGTTTCTTCTTGGTACAAGAACCATCCACTTTTTAGAGAAGAGCAAGTTGTAGCTGGGGTATCGTTTTGGACAAAGACTAATCTCATAAATTTCTCCTGCGTTGCACTGAATTTTTAACACTCTTTCCTCGCTATCTTTGACCACTCTGTCTTCATACATATCCAATTCTTTCAACATGGATACATAAACTTCAAAGAGAGCTTTCACAATTGCTGCGTCATCACTGAATTCAAAGCAATGCTTGATGGATCTAATTTGATGCAAAAATGAGAAATCTTTGAAATCGGTCACTGTCGATGGGTACTTGGAAACATGAATGTCAAATTGTCTGGGAAGAGGAAAATTCTCAATGGGAGTCCATTCCAAAGTTGCTTCATTTCTTTCACGTCTTGGAATGAGTTGTATATGTTTGTGTGGTTGTGAAGCTCCTGAATAGAGTCCTCTATTGTAGAAACAAATGTAATCGTCAGCATCTTGATTACCTTCATGAAGTTGTTTCAAAGTAGTGACAACAGATTTAAAATCATCCATTGTCAAGTGTTCTGTTTGAGGCTTAAATTCTTTCGTAATTATTAACAAATGTTCTGGAATTACCATAAACTTGTTCAACAACATTGTATGGTAGGGCTCGACTGATGTCACCTCCAGAGTGGTATCTATTGGTCGGAATGGATCTTGTGTGAGAGGGGCCTCTTCTTGCTTGGGTATTTTTACATGTTTTTCTTCAGCTTCTTGTTCTTTTTCAATCTCCTTTTCCAAATTACTTGTTTTTAAATATCCTGCGACAGCGATTCTCACTTGATACTATCAAAAATATAATGATTACATTCCGATGATTTAACATTGATTTTATAATTTGAACATCCATATAAATAATAATAGTTGCCATTCCATCGTGATCATCATCATTATTAATTTCATTGTTCCGCTCAGCCTTCCCTCACTTACCATCAATTCATTCAATTCATAATCCACAATTTTTGTAGCGATTGGCAATAATGTTTTCAATTGTTTGGCTCGAGCCGAAATTTCATAAATTCTTTTCACTAACGCTGGCGTTGTGTTGGGCGAAAGAATCATTTTTTTTAATCAATTAATAAAATAGTATTATTTTGTAAATGAAATTCAATCCGTAAACATACGTTTCAATACTTCATTGAATCTGCTTTATCATTGTGTTTGATTATCCAATCCACCTGAAAATGATTTTTATCTATATATGGAAATAGGTATTTCAGTTGCAGTAACGCATTGATCAGTGCAACGAGTTACATTATTTGCTTTAGTTGAATTACTGCGCGTTGTATACATTGAAACAAATCGATATTGTCAAGAATTTGATTCATATCAATTTCAAATTATAATCTCTTTATCTCTCATCCCACATAAAAAAAATGCTCCCAAGTTCATCCTCTCATGACAGCTCAACAAACGAAGAGATCTCAAATGAACTGCAACGAACGATTCAATTCATCCATCACTCCAGCAAGTCCAAAGATGCGGTTAGGATTTGTCCTTTTTGTTTGCAACAAATTTCATTCAATCATTTGAAGAGAACGAGAAGTGATTACGAGTCGAGTGCATCATCATCCGATGAAACAAATAATAATACAGAACTATTGAAAACCAATCATGATGAATTGTCGGAACATGTTTCTATGTGTTTAAATTTGTGGCATACTGAGAGAAGGAAATTACGGGAAGAAAATCAAAGGCAACCATCTGCAGTTTCGGGTTCGAAAGATTTGAAAGCATCCGAAGAGTCTGAAGAAGATGAAGGCGAAGATGATGACGAAACTGATGAGAGCGATAATCATGAGCATGTCTTCTGCTTGAAATCGACAAATCAAAAATTTATTCCTCGCTACAAGAGTATTGATGAAATTGTTGAAGATGATCGAAAGATGGCCGTTCGACTGATGTGGGCGAATTTTTGTGTCTGTGCGAGGAGCAAAATATGTCAAGAAATGACATGGAATAATATCAGCACAGTCATTCACAAAACGCTCGGAACTTTGCCAGCAACGATCTTTTATTTGTTTTTCCACGAACAACCTGGAGCTCAATATTACTCTTGGACTCAACGAAAGCAGTGGAATGGTATGACCATCAATGAATTTTGTATTCAATTCAAATTCATCAAGAAACACCCAATATTGCATACTCATGACGATTGGGCCAACTTTACAATTACTTCAACACAAGACAACGGTGACAAGGAAATTGGAGTGATCCACAGAAAGAAAATATTTAATTTGGAAAATATCACACTCACATGCAACACTGTTACGAACGAAGTTTTTTCAACATTTACATTTTCTAGGAAAATGGAAGCATATAACACTGGAACACTCAGTAAGCGTATTACCTTATAACATGATTCTAATTGCAAATTTCCAAATCCCTTACTTACAACTGGAATAGTTATTAATTCAATATTGTTCGTTCTGACACGTGAATGTAAATTATTATTAATAACTATTAACAAATGCTACCATAATTTCAGCATTCAGTTTGGGAAGCTTTCGGATATGTTCAATATTGTTCTTGCTGAAAAGAATTTTCTTGTTCTTCATGCCAAATTCAACCAATTTCCGTTTCACATCCTCAAACAATTCGTCATCCAAATATTCTTCCAAACTTTGTGCAGATTCAAAGAAACTCTCAACAGAAACAGACCAACGGGATTGTACAATTTTCAAAAATTCTTTCAATTCCAATTCATGAGCTTTCTTCATGAGAGGAATCATCAAACGATTGGGCACTTGGTCTACAAATCCATAACAACCGTGAATGATGAACTCCATTTCTTCACCAAATACTTCCTGAGTGTGGGAAGCCCATTTTTCTGAGAGTAATGCTTTAAAAAAGTGATTGGATTGCAGAACGGACTTGTGACATTTCACCACCTTTCCGTTGGTCAGTTGTAAGTTTATATCCGTCTCCAGGTGTTCTTGGAAAATGTCACGCAACGGAGTTTTTGAGATCCGGTTTGGAGTTTCATCAATGGTCACTTTGCGAACACTTTTCCTTCTGACAATAGAAGATAGAAGCTCAAACGTGTAGCGACCTTTGTTGTCTTTCATTATAAACTTTTCAAATTCATCCTTATCCGAATTGACTGCCATGTAATCCAAACAATATTCTTTGACGGTTTCAAGAATGGTAACCGTGTTGGTCATCTTAAAACATTCGCGATCTCTTTTTACATAGCAATTTATCAAGTCCAAGATGTCCAAAGCTTTTTCTAAATTAAAATTTTTGATAATATACTCGACACATTTGGTTTTCAAGGGAATTACATCCCCTACTGCTCTTTGCAAGAGGAACAAAACCATCAAACTTGTCTCAATACTGTCACATTTCATTTCTTTGCCTCCATAAATGAACCCATCAATGATGGACTGCATGACTGTGGCTTCATTGTTACTCAACGACTCTAACAATTTCTGATTTTGCAACACTTGACGAAATGATGGAAGTAATTTTGAGATAAGTGGCCCGAACACTTGGATAGCGGTTCCAAACAAATGATCATGGCCTTGTAGCTTTTTAAGAAGACAAATGTTTGGATCGACTACTTGTTTCCAATAAATATGTATCATGTTATCAGAAGACGATGAATGAGAATTACTGGAGAATGCGAATGGAGATGCTCCCTCTTTCGGGATATCTAAGTTGCTGACTCGTTTTAGGCTTGTTTTTGCTTCCAGGATTTGATGTAAGAAGTCCGACATTTTTTTTCAAACGCCTCACTGGGCTAAATAAAGTTCATTCTATTTTTTTCAACGTGATCATCTATTTTCACACATCACCCTCGAGAATTAGTTATTGTATTAATATTACGTGGTAATTGCATATCCCAAGCTCTGGGGTGAACATAACCCTCTTTTAACTACTTGGAAATAATTTCCAACTCGGGGAAGTCTTGTTTTCCTGTTTTTGCCAAACATTGCAAACCATTGATACCCAAACGATTGCCTCCAAACATTAATTCTTCCAACAATTCTTTTTCCAAAATTTTGCTTAGTAAACTTGTTCCTTCAAAACCAATCAAATTATTTTCTAAATTCACAGATTTGATGGTCATGCTTTTAGAGTTCATCTTCAAAATGGCGTCACTTAGGGCTGCAGCACCTTCGTTTCCAATGCTATTTCCTCCCAAATCAAGACGTTTCAATTGTGGGCTCAATTTTGGTAGAGTTTGTGCTATAGCTCGAGCTCCATCATCAGACAACTTGTTATTGCACAAGTGCAATGTTTCAATGTAAATTACAGAATGAAGATCAGCCAATTTTTGCACATAGACTGTACAACCTTCATTGCTAATTAAGTTATAGGACAAGTCCAATTCGAATAATCTCAAGTTTCCACTTGATGGTAAAGCTTCACAGAGAGCAATTAATTGAGCGTCATCAATCTTGTTATGTGAAAGATTAATGGACGAGAGAGTTTTGTTAGTCTGTAAAACTTGAGCAAGAGGTTCCAAATTGTTAATAGCACATCCAGAAATATCCAACTTTGTGATCGATTTGTTGATTGCTAAAGCTTCGCACAGGATGGAGAGATTTAACACATTTGGATTATTCTTCAGAATGAGAGTTTGCAAAAATTCGTGATATTTCAGAGGTTCCTTAATGGCCATCAAGTCTTCCACTTGTTTGAGCTTGCATATGAATTTCTTTTGCTTGTGAGTCGTGTTGAAAAATTCAATAACTTGCTCATTGATGGAGCCAGAGCACAAATTTGTATAATACAACATGGTAATCTTGTTGTTGATGGCAATATACCAAGTACGACGTTCATCCTCGTTTCCATCTTCGGCATCAAAATACAAGGTTCGTCCTACTGCGTCGTCATCATCGTCGTCATCGTCATCATTTTCTTCATTGGTGTCACTATTTGTGCTTGCATCATCCATTTGAATCAAGAAACGATTGTTCATACCATCCGATGTGAAAGTAGAATCTTTGGGAGTGTACAATTCGAGACATCCCTTATACTCATCTGTTCTATTCTTGGCAAATCGAACAATTTGAGTACCATCCAATACAATTTTTCCCTTCCTGTGTGTTCAGAGTTTGAAACCAATTGTTTCACACACGATTTTCATTCAATGTCATGTCCAATACGAACACATCATTGTCACCACCATTAATGAATTTACATTCGATTGCATGTCATTAACATTTCGGTCGTCACAAAACAATCTTGCCTCATTCATTCATTACTACTTACAACTTATTTTTCTTTGCCGTATAATAACTCAACGTATTACTACTCAACACAAACCATCTCTTTTTCCAATTTTTTCTAAACCGACCTTCCTTCACCAGCCATCCTTCCTTATCAACCTTTGCATCCATCGATTTTTGCACAATCTTCTCCTTCTCCGACCTCTTCTTACCTCCCGACGTTAACAATTCCAACTGTTCCCGATAGACCTCATCCAATTTATGATATTTTTTTTTGGCTTCTGAAAAAAATGGATGAACCAAATCGAGCTCAGGGTCCGACGTAAAGTCTTTGAGCGGGGGAGGAACCGTTGCGAGAACGGGAGTGGATGATGATGAATGGAAGGATGATGAAGTAGCAGAGGAGGAGGCATTTCCGATCTTATCAAACACAGAGAAGGGATGAATATCATATTTAAAAATGATGGCATCTAAATCGGATTGATAATAGGAAGAGGAAGAATCTTCCTTGCCAAAGCCTTGTGTGTCAAATTCTTTTTTCTGAGCGACTTTGATGACGGTAGGTGAGGAGTGTTGGCGACCATAGTTTTTGAGCTCGCCATTTTCAGTGGATGTGGTCTCAGCCGTGTTGTTCAACATTTTTTTCAAATTGTTGATGATGATGGTTGACAGTTTGAATGATGATAATCAGGCAATGATTCGGCCAAAATCAACCTCAGAGAAATTTTACACACGAACAACAAAACATATTAATATGATGATACGGGTTGTCGGTCCATCCGTTATGAAATTACAGACACCAACAACGGATGGATGTTTCCAACGCAACCTCTTAATTCCAAAAAGAAAATGATCCCACGTTTCCAATTCGCAACTCCAGCTCCCTCATCACAACGAAGCAGCAACAACCAACGCAATAACAGCCATTCCTCTTCTTCATTGTCGTGTTCACTGCAATCTCGTTCATCCCGAGCTTCAACATCTGAATCGAGACAACAGCAATCTCTATCCCGAATCTATAACAACAGTAATAATAATATTAACACCATCACTATGGCTTCGGTTGGTGGTGTGTCCACATTGGCCACTTCGTTTTCTGGATCCTACATGTCCATCTATGATACTGACCTTGCCAATGTGATTGAACAAAGCGATCAAACCATTGGCTTGTTGGATGTAGTCCGAGGAAATGCTCAACTCTATTCGGATGAATCAACAGTTTCTACATCATCACGCTATCGGTTCATTAATCTCAAGAATAAGATGGACGCGTCTGATGATGCAGAGATATTTCACAACCATTGTCAAAATGGAGATTTATATCAAATCACACGAATGTTAACAGCAAAGAATGGAAAGTTTATTTTGAGTAGAAAATTCAGATATGCATTTCCATTGTTTACAGCCATTCATTTCAATCAATATGAGGTTGTCAAGGAATTATTGCGAAATGGAGCTTGTCCATTTGAATTTGGATATGAGGAGAATCATACAGACGACAATCAGTACAACAGAAACATTCAGAGAGGTCTATTTTCAGATGGAGAACACAATATTGAAATATCATGCTTGTATGAAGCAGTTCGCGTACAAAATTTGGAAATTGTGAAATTATTGTTAGAACAATATTCGAAACATCCCTCTCAAAAATTGTCTCGTGGAAGAAAATTATCTCCCTATCACGCCAATCAAGTTATGAAAGAATCACCATTATATCTGGCATGTAGACTTGGAAATTTATCTATAATATCAGAGTTTTTTAATTCAACGTATCAATTATTGCCAAGAATAGATTTCTTCCATGGGAGCTCCTTATATTCCAAATCGATCATTTTAACACTATTTCATGCTGTAGGTGACGTTGGTGGAAAAAATCTTTTGGAACAAGAGATCGCCAGTACCAATATTATGAAACTTCTTGCTCCCATGTACAAACTACAGAGAGTTCAACTATTGGAAAGGAGAGCCACTCGAATCAGTGCATTGGATTACTCGCCAAATATTGACGCAATTTCATCAGTCAATTATTTAAAGCCATATTCTGATGAGTTTTCAATTCATTCGTGCCTTAACATTTCCAAAGTCAAAATCGCAACTCGATTTTCAAACTTTGTGGTCAACAGCCCATTATATTTAGCTATTTATAACGAAAACGACACTCTCACCCGATACTTACTTTCCAATCATTTATCCATGATTGATATTTCTTTAGGAGAAATTGGAAAGGCACAAACCAAATTTTCCCTTGCACACCCTTTCAAAGAAACTTGTCTCTACATTGCAATTATTAAGAGGAGTCTACATGCTGTCATTGCCTTACTGAGAGCACATCCGAATATTTACATGGATGAAGAGTTAGAAAACTATCGACAGCTCTCTTTCCAAGAAGGTTTTCACTTTGACAAAATGATTGACATTGCTTTATATTTTTCGAACAATATGAAACGAGTAGTGAACAGTAATATCTTTTCAGATATTCAACTTGTCTCAATGGATATTCCCCTTTCTTTCTACTTTTAAAGGAATCGGGTTGTACATGCCATTAATACAAGTGCCACGATACCAACAAGCGATTGTTGTATTGGTCCTTGTCCAAGAAACAAATGTAAGGTCCTATATTTTCAACAATGACCCGTTCACTTGAAAGAGAGTCACCCTCAAATCTTTGCGAGCTGTAATGTAACCTTTCTTGTACATTTTAAAACTTTGCCTTCTCACCATGGTGATGGATTTGGCAATTCAAAAAAAATAGCACCAATGCGTTCATCCTTGTTATTCGTTGCTTCATTGTTCTTGTTGTGCGTGGCTGTGGCACAGGCTCAATATAACTTTAAAGAAGTTTGTAACTTGTCGGGAGATTCGTGGTTACCAACATTCCCTACCTTGTGTGCTCCTAATAACTTTACCTTGTTGATTCCATCATCATCACGAGTTCAAGTTGTGTAAGTATTTTGATGATGATATAGAGTTATCATTGACACCAATGATGACAACATTTCGCGCTATGGATACATGACCAATGATGACAACATTTCGGGTGATGATTTAATTCTTTTTTGAATGTTACGATCATTATTTAAAACTATGGGCAATGCGCCACACATTCATTGTTTTATCGTATCCATCATTTGATTTATGAACTGCTTCAAACAGTGGCGGACCATATCCATCACAGTGTGGTATTCAATACTACAGTGTCTACACCTTTGATATGCAGGCAGGTTTTGTTGATGCTCGTAACCTGTGCAACATTAAGTCTGTATTCAGAGGCGGTGATCGTGTCACTCCATGCAAACTCCCTCCAGGAATTAATGGTTTAAGCATGTACCCAACCCCAATTTTGAGCGGTAAGGCAGTGGCTTCTTTCCCTCTTGGAACCAGTGCTCTTGTTGTGAGCGATCCAGTCTACACTGCTCAAAGAGTATATGTTTCTAAGGTTCTCTATGGAAGTATGATTGGTTATGTTCAAACTGATTATGTGTGTTTGCAATAAATTGATTGGTCGAAAGACATTTTGATACTCTTGATAAATTACACCAGCAGGCATTCACAGAGCAACCAACAAGTGAAGTGGGGCTGTGATTGTTGATTTTGGTCTTCAAACCAACCTTAGTATAAATTCCAACCACAGAGTTGTTGATTAGATTATCGATAAATTTGAATTCTGTGATTGTACTGATCCACAACAAGCAATTCACCAGTTTCTTCATTAAGACACATTCCTTCTGGGTGATGTAACTGTGAAGCAGAGCCTCCCATTTCACCAAAGGAAGTTACAAAGTTGCCATCGATATCAAAAAATTGAATTCTATTATTTCCAAAGTCCCCCAAAATGATGTGTTTCGAGGTATTGTCGAAAATAATGGTTGAAGGGTAAGAAAACTCTCCACTCATGGTTCCTGTTTGTTTCAATTCAAAAACTGGTTCCCAATCTTCTGTGTGATTGCTGGGTTGGCCGTTCGATGAACATCTCTCTGGTGGTGAAATGGAATACATGGAAAACCCATGTTTCGTGTTGAAAAAAATCCATTCCGTCAACAAGAGGTGTTCATCGTTGGTAAAGAAAATGCCACTCAATCCAACACCAAGATTAATTTTGTGTTTCAATAATCCTGTAGCCGCGTCTAACACGCTTATGCTTTCAAATTTGTCACAAATATACACTTCCTTTTTAGAGTCAAAAATTGCAATTCCTTGTGGAGAAAGAAATTCAGTAGATTTCCAAATGAACGGATATTCTTGTTGATCATGATTCTGACTATTGTCCCCTAAATTTGTGTAGTACAATAATAAGCCATGCAAGTCATACTTGTACGCACGTTTGTCTCCTGTACAGTCAAATATCAGAGCATCATAATCAGAACCATTATATTTTTCCTGTACACACAAAAACCATGGCTTTGTTGATGGTGCATGAATACTTGTTACAAATTGTTTGGTTGTTGCGTTAAAAACTTTAATTCTATCATTAAGCGTGTCCGACACTAAAATTACATTGTGACTATACGATATTTTTACATCCGTTGGAAGCTTAAATTGATCTTTCGTACTTCCTTTAATTCCTGCTTGTCCCAACGTGCATACCAATTCAAACTCATTGAAAATGATTTTGTCTTTCGTATTTTAGATTTCATCATCTTTTCCTTTAATTTCATAAAATATTCATTGCAAGCAACAATATTGTTCAGATATTCTGTCCTGTCTTGATCATTACGATCACCATTATAAACAGAAAAACCTGTTTGTCCTTCCAATGACGACGAGTGCAGCCCAACAACAGTTGTTGAATCGAGGAACAACGTGGTGAGGCTTGTTTGCTGCATTTTTTTTTTATTAAAAAACAAAAAAAAATATTCATCATCCGCATTATTGATCGTCATCATTGTCATTGATAGCACATTGAGAAACTCTTGAGAGTGGATTGGAATCACGACTACTTGTTGTTCCGATCATCATGATTGTGTTAAAAGTTTCTTCTTTAGGCATCTCCGATGAAACTGGAAATGATCATTATTGGTCATTTAAAATTCCACTCAATACAACCATGACGTGGTTAGAGTGTGATTGGAATGATGAAATTCAGCATCATGATCGATCTCATGAAAAAAAATGTGCCAATAATTTCAATGAATTGGTACAAGTTTTGTTACATCATTCCGTCAACTTGAACTCTTTAGGAATAATTCTCAACACTATTCCTGCAACGTCGGACAATTTTAAATTTTGTATTATTACTGATGACAGAATACTACTCAATGGCAAGGTTGTGACTGCATGCTGCCGAAGCGACCGTGAAACCGACAAGCAAAAAATAATGATGGAATATTTTGTGTATTTGTGGATGTTATACAGAGCCACTGATCAAAGTATTGCTCATGTAAATATAGATCCTGCACTCGATCTTATTTATGACCTATGTAGCTGTATTAATCCACAAAATGAATTGTTTTGGCAAGAAGATATGTTTCAATGTCACAACTATCAACAACTAGTGCATTTGGAGAAAATTATTTTTGATTTATTTCCTCGAATTCAAAATGTGGCACGATCAGTAGCGACCACTTTTTTTGGTCATGTTTGTCGAGCTTGGGTTGTGGCACATTCTAGGATTAACATGCATGACTTTGTAGAATTGGATTATAATCCTGTTCAACCTTTTTCAAAGTTTCTCAACAGCTTTGGTGTATCTCCCTTTTATTTTTTTGATAGAGATGATTTGACTGCCTATTGTCTTCAACTACTCCATTCTATGAACGAGAAAAGATTGTTAACACCAACACAAATGCAGGAGCTTTTTGCATCGGAACGTACCAACTTGTCGTTTGTGCCGAATCTCAATGAAGAATATGGAATACTTTCTAAAATTTTTACATTGCTCCTTGAAACATGCCAAATTGACAAAGCAAACAAATTGTTCGAATACATGTCAGCACCAATACTGAACAATGAATTTAAAGAAGAACATTTTGCAATTTATTTAAGGTTTAGAGTAGAAGTGGAATATATGGCATGCTTTTCTCCGCCGTTTATTTCTTTTTATAGGGCCATCGACTTTTTAAACAGTATAGCAAACGAGTTGGATGACCACAAATCCAAATTGTCCAATGAAATCTATTCTTATTTAAAGTTTGAGATTTATTGCAAAAAGCTAAAGAAATCTCAGGGATTCGAGGTCGAGGCAGCATATTATAATAAGAAGGAATATCTTACCGCCACATTCAAAGAGGAACTTCAACTTTTCTGTGCTGAGAATACTCAATATTTTAAAAGTGGAGTCATTAATCATTCGACTGCATATGAATTGATTGCTGATGACGACCTATCATCGTTCCAACTATTGTTAAACACCACAGAATATACTAAAATTGCAAAATACCTTAAATCTATAGCGGCGTGGTATGAAGAGCGAGGAAATTCCATCCAATGTAAAGCATACCTCGAAAAAGCAGACTACATTGTAAGCCAATTAATGGCAGAAGAGAAAATTATTTGTGGATATTTTGAATTGGCAGAATTGCGTTGTAATTATCTAGACGCATCAAAATCTATGGCGCTCCTTAAGAACATTGAATATGTGTGGAAAAAGTTAAACCAAAAAACAGCAATAATGTATTATCCCAAACAACATAGAATTTTGGTATCACTCCGAGCTCGCTTGACAAAAAACGAAAAAGAGAAACGAAAAATTTATACAGAATTGCTTCCCTATCTCAAACAGATTCTACGGTTAGAAAAGGAAAATACAGATGTGTTGGATGATCCTGATTTCAATTTCATTGTAAAATATGGTGGAAATGATACTATTGAGAAGACAACTGAGATGTATCAATACTATGTTTCCATGATTAAGGAACGAGCAAATATGCTCATCAAAACTGAGCCCAAAATTGCACTGAAGATTTATCGTGGATTAATCACTGACAATATTGCCAATCACGATCATTGCTCTATTAGATTATATATTCTCTCTCTATTTACAACACTCAACATGCAACAAGAAGCGTTTTCATTGTGCGATCAATTACTTGATTACTATGGTACCTACAGTGTTGTCAAGATTAGATGTTATCAATTTTTAGTAGACTATTACAGGCGACAGATGAAATATTCAACACTTCATGATGAAGAGATTAATCTACTTGACAAGTGCTTGTTACACATAACCGGTGCGATTGAAGTGCTAAAAGAGGACAACTCTGTCAAGCTCTCAACCTTGTCTGATTTTTTGCAATGCTCCCAATCCGCCTCTTGCCTCTACGCAAAATCAAAGGAAAGGCGTTACATTGTGAAAAGTGAGAAATGGAAATCGTTGAATACCAAATTTACAGAAGTTTTTGCAGACCTAACGCAATTTATTTCTGGCTTTGATTTTTCCAACATGTATACTCTTTCAATTTTGGACCTTCTTCTATATTTGTACTCGATTTTAAATGACACCAAAGATCTTCTCAGCATTGAACAGATCAAGTTACTACTGAACACATCATTGATTCTTTCAGAACAGTTGGAAGAAGTTTGTGAATTATTCAAGGATTTTGACAAGGCATTTCAATTGTTTGAGGTGGCGAGCCTGATTTGTGCATTCATCGAAAATTATGAGGAGCACACTGTACCTAGCATACATTATCAATCACGAGAAATAGATGGCTTGATATTTTTGGAAGAACCTATGAGTTTCCATACCGATAATTCCAGCCTGAAAGAGAATCAAAAATCATTTGTGGAATTTAGTTATGACTTTCTCAGAGTCATGTTAAAAATTGCCACTTTTGCTTACAACTATGTTCCATACATGGCACGTATTTACAAGAAAATGTTCTCCCTACATCGCAAAAACAAGACATTACCAAAATCATTTTTCGAAAATCAAATTGCTCTATGGACACACGCAATAACGAATGTAAATCATATTCAGCTCCTCGTTCAAGGTGAAAGAAACATCAATCTGTTTAAAACAACAGCAAAATTTTCAACGACAACAGACGGTATTGAAATTGTTAAATTTCCAGTGATCAAAGATATTTCATCATTGCAGGATTCCATCAAACTTGAAGATCTAAGACAAAATGATCTCTTTTATCAAGAAGAATTTTCTACCTGCATTTCTTTAATTCAATCCTACCAAAAACTCTTTGCAATTAATTTCAGAGATGAAGAATTCTTTCAAAATATAATAGAATCGTTTACAAAATTACGAGCAGTGAGATCAATGAAACATTTAGAACATGTGACAGGACTTTCAGGTCTCCACGATACATTTTTCTCTAAAATTCAACCCATCGAAATTGATGATAATTTCTCAGTATTTTTGGGAGTTGGAGGAGATCGAGTTTACATTTATGCAACATTGGATGATATTGATTTATTGGAATTGACGACCGAAGATCGAACGAAATTATTTGAAGAGTTGTTATTTAAATCATTTTTTGGGCTCATGGACCCAGTAAGAAAACTAGGATTCTTATCATGTGGACTAAACGATGCAGAAGATACCATCTACTTGCACACAAGTTATAATTTAAGCTGTGCCAGTTTTTCCACATTACTTTTCACAGTTCAAGCTTTCATTCTTGCAGTTGAATATTGGAGAGAAATAAGTAAGGACATTCTTTCGAAACCATCCAAAAAGAACAGTAACCGTTCTACCAATATCAGGCAACGAATTTTATCGAATACATCATGCAACTCGACCAGTAATACCATGAAAAAGTATGGCCTCACCAAAAAACAAGCCATCCTCGTGAATAGCATTATTGATTTGATTGAGCACAAAAAACAAGTGAGTCCAAGACCGTCTGTGAATCAAGCATTGAGTGCTTCTGAAAATAATACTTCACCAACAACAACGACGACAACAACGACAACTACAGCAACCAATTCTACGAATGACAACAATTCATCTCTATTAGACACCTTTACATGGAGTACTCACAAAGTGTTAAGTTCCTATTTGGAGAAATCCATGGATGAACTGATAGAAGGAAAGCTTGAAAAACAAGCAGCATGTGATGCCCTTCTCGATAGTTATTACATTCTCTGTTACATGTCTGATATGTATCATATAGGTCAACTAGATAGTACTCAAAAAGCAAATTTACTTCTTGACCGATTAGGAACTTTTCTTGGAATTGCTGGAGGTCTTCAATTTTCTGAAGATCGATTGTGTGCAGTAGCAACCAATTCCTACAGCATCTTTATTCAACATCAACAATATCCATCCTCATCTTGTCAAATAAGTGCCATTGATCACATTTTTGTGTTTTCCATGTGTACTGTCAATATTTTGAACATTCACAAGAAGGATTTGGTTTACACGTACTTGTTGAAAAAAAGTTTATTGGGTAAGAATTGTGCGAGAGGTGGAATTGGAATTCGAAGAAATAGTTCCAATCCAGAGAAGGTGACTATTTGTTTTTATGTTCCTATTCGTGTGGCATCTGCGAAAGAGACAGCTCTTATTGATCTATTACCAGAATATTTACAAGAATATAATGTATTGTTGGAGGAATTGGAAAAGATGTTGGCTGATCGAAGTTGTTAAATTACACTCTTACTACTGAAGCAGCATTTGAATTATTCTAATTTCCACAAAAATGTTCATCATTTAACATTGATTCTTTTTTGTTACATGAAGAATAGAAGGTTAGAAATTGCAAGTTCTGCGTTTTGTGTGAAAATCACTCGTCTATGAAGACTGACGAGATTATCTCTTTTTCAATAACTGCTTTTTTCGAATGTCTTGAACTTTGATTCGAATATCCACCGATAATTTGCTATACACGTCCTTAGGAATGGATTCGTATTCATTGGCCAAACAGAAGGCAATTTTTTGAATGACTTTGGGCATGAGTAATAATTCAAATTTTGGGAGAGTGGAAGCTAATTGAATGGCATTGATTTGATCGATGTGTTCTGTCAAGACATGAGCACATTTATCAAGAATGGATGGAATGGCTGTCAATTCTTCAAGACTTAAAACATCATAGACATTGTCCTTATCAATCATTTGATCCAAAATTCTGATACAAATGGATGACAAGTCGGATAATTCCATTAATTGTGCAAAGACGAAAATCTCAACCACGTGCTCTCTCGGAATTTTGCTGTGATTGGTGTAGAGATATTGCAACACATGATGAAAACCTTCCACAGAAATTGTGTGAAATTTCACAACACTGGATTGAGTTTCTTGCATTCCACTTTGCATGATTGTTCTCATGAATGGAGATCGAAATAGGAATAATTTGTGAACTCGGTATTCTTTCATCAACTCTTCTTCACAATATGGATTATACAATTGAATGGTCAAATCAAAGCTATTATTATTTTTCACGTATTTTTCACTGCCGTCGTGATGATCATCCATTCGAATCTCGTTGAAGGTAGTCACTGCATTGTAAATTCTGTGCAAACAAGGTAAAAAATCTTGGTCAATATTACTGTCACACTCTGTTCTCAAATTGTCCTGTTCGATAATTTGCATGGCTTGATCGTGCCAAGCAAGCATGTGAGAATGACACAAAAATTTACGTCGACTGGACCTGTCTCCATACAAGGCACTCATGTAATAAGAAAGACATTCCAACATTTCTGAATGAACAAAGACTTCACATATATTTGCATTCTCCTCATGTAAATGTTGATATCCTTTCAATAAGCGCCTTAAATAATTCGATCGAGCCATCACAAAGAATTTGTGAACATAAATTTCTTTACAGAGATGGTTCGGAGTGTCCATAGCGAACAAACTTGGAGCCTGTTCTTGTTTCTTCTGCAAATCCGATTCATCCAATTTGAATACCAAATCAAAAGCACGAGACGTGGGATCAAACGAACAAGCTTGTTCTCGTTGTTGAGATTGACTGTGAAATGTTTTATGCAGATATTGCTTTAGAGTGTCAGGAGCCGAGTTACTTCCCTGTTGTTGTTGTTGCTGTTGCTGCTTCTTCTTCTTGATCAGAGATGCCTTTGGACTCGAGACTTGTTCGGAACGCGTGCTTGTGAGTGGTGACATTTTTTTTTGAAATTTCGAAAATGCACTTTGAAATGGGTTGAAATTCAAACTTGAATCTGTCCAAATTCTCGCAGATTTTGGCATCATCAATCCTCTCCTGCGTGCTGTCTCGAACTGAATGTTTCATATTGTTCTTCACTAATTTTGATAATTTTTCCACTCGAAGGTTCCTCCACAAATAATTTCAAAATTTCCTCACCATTGGGTATCAATACTTGACTCTCGTCTTCACATTCTCGAGCATGTAAGAGAGTAGGTTCGTCTCCATACCTCCAATGATTCCATAAATCCGTTGCATTGTGATGATACATTTCTTCATCTTGTCGATTGTCATTCACACTACTACCATGATCAATACTTGAACAACTTTGTGGTTGAATTTGAGATAACAATTTCTTCAATGTTGGATCTTGGAATAGTTTTAAATGTTTTTGATTCAATTGTCTTTTCTCAATAAGGTAAAAGGTTAATTCTTCTAATTGTTGAACATGGATGCACGTGTGAATTTGATAGAGTAATCGATGGGAATATTTGGTGGACCAAACACATGTGAGAAGAACGTCATGATGGAAGAGTTGTTGAATACGTTGTTTGATTTCTCTCACGGAATAAGTTTGATTGAGAGAAGGAGGAAAGTATTCTTTCAATAATGTTCCATGTTTTCGTTTAAAGTAATCCAATTGAGAGTTCAGTAAAATAATTAACTCGAAATAGAGCTCTGGATCAGAATGATAGGTACGTTCCAATTTCAATCTTTTGTGAATATTGTTTAAGAATTCGTCTGAATTTCTAGGATCAGCTGATCCAAAATTTGAAAAGGCCTTTTCCATATAATTTTGATAAATTTGACCAGTGACACATGTTCCAAATTTAGTAAAAGCATGAGCCCACATTCCAAATTTTAAGGAAGCTAATACTCGACTGTGATGATACAAAATATCAGGCCATCGATTTTCAAGTAATCTTTTCGTTTTTTCATGTAAAAAATCTTGAATATTTAAAGTATTCCAATTTAAAGCATTTGGTAAATCCTCATATCGAATCATGTCTTCCATCAATATTGAATTATATATTTGATCCAAGATTGGTTTTGGAACTGTTTTTAAAAGAATGTTCAAAGAACTCGACGTTGTCGAATTCAATTGAATGAGTTTTTTAAAATTAAATCGAAAGTCGAAATTGTCACAACATTGAGCAAACAACCAAGATCTCACTCGTCGATTCTTATTGAAACCAATCAAAGCATGTGGAGAAAGTCGATCTCGAAAATTTTCTTTCACTTCTGTCAAATCACAATAAAGGTCATTTTCAATGTTATGATAACAGAGAGTTGGAAGGATGGTTTGTGAAAACATGTAGTGTGTATGTTTTCGAAAGCCATTAAATGGACAATGATGACCATTTCGAATTTTTGGAGGAACTTTTCCAACTCGTGTGACATTTTGATAATTGGAAGGAATGTCTTTTGGGAAGAGAATGAAGAATGGTGGTGATGGAGAAGAAGAAGGAGCATGTTTGTTGTTGTTACTGAGTTTCGAACGACGATATGCAAATTTTGGTCTCAGCACTCTTGAAAAGCATCCCTCAGGATTGCTGCCAGATGTCATTCCATCATGGTCTTCCAAACAATAGTCCCAAGTCCTTCCAATTTCATTCCAATAATAAATAAAATATGAATTAAAATCTGAAAAGAATTCATTCAAAATTTCCATCCATGATTTCTTCATCCAAATATTGAATATTGAAGAATGTTGAATTTCCGAAATTATCATCGAATGATGATTTGTTGAATCGTCATCATGAGAATTTAACACAATGAGAATCATTCCAGAAAGTAACAAAATTCCAAAGAGTAGAAGGATTAATTGTATTTTCTGAGTGCTCGATGTTGGAATGTGGTACATTGGAATGGGAGAAAAGACTTCGTGATGATGATGCTGTGAGGAAGACATTTTTTTTTGATGTGTTAACGTCTGACACTTTCTTGACTTTTGTTATTAACAACTCTCAATTTCTTTCACTGACCGATCATCGAGCTTTGCAGTAAGAATTGCTTCCAACGCTGTCACTTCAACATGTTACCCAACAGCTGGAACTATTGAATTTGTCTTTCAATCCACTCTTGCACTTCCAGTCATACAACCATAGTTAAATCACAGTAATCTATGGACCTTACTTGGATGTCCATCAGCCAGTCCTCATTGGTCATCACTTTTATTGATGTGGACAAGTTGACGACATTTGGTTGTACTATTTTCCGTGTACTAGTAAATTACTACAAAAAAAACCAACAAGTTCTACAACCAAATTGGATCCAGAACTTTGATTTGGATACCATGTCCACACTGATTCAAACAACATTTGCTTCCATACAAAAAGCTTCACGAGCCACCCAATTGTTGGTTGTATTGGTGATCTTTTTAATCATGACGTTCATGTTCGTGGACATTTTGGTGAATAGAATATCCTCGTTTCACACATGGTCCGAGACTGATTCTTTGTATTCCCGAGACGAGGGCGAGAAATACGAAGGTGAAATGAGAAATTTTTGGCAAATTTTGTCTATTCTTTTCCGAAGCTTTCTTTGCTCTTCCATCAAATTTCAAAGAATCATCAAAAAAAATGCTTCGTCTTGTTGTATTTGTGAAATTCTTTCAAATTCTTTCAAATTTGTTCGGATTCTGTTAAATTCTTTTAAATTCCATCGGATTTTATGGGCAAGACATTTCAAAGTCTTTATTACTATATCTCGTCCAATTTAAGTTGCAAAAAGCACCAACAACTACCCATCGCATATGAGCAATGCGTAATACTTCAGTTTTGCTTTGGGTTTTGATTCTAATTCGTTCTTTGCAAGATTTGAATATCTTGATTTCCCTGAACTTATTTTCTACTCTAATACGAACACTAGAGAAAATTTTGCGCAAGGATGGGTCGTCTGGAGGAGTAATTACACGAGGAAGCCCTTTAAAACCACTGTCGCCAAAAATGAATTCTGATGCATCCATTTCACTCAACCAATGAGAAGAGGTTTTGTTGAACAATTCATTATCATTAACTCTTCCTGGAAAACAAGGCGAAAGATATCCAATATGGCCAGAAGGAGTCATTGCCATCAGGATTGTGATGCTGTGTTGGTTTTTTTTTGCAGAATAGAATTCAAAATCCAAAATTGCGGAATCACAACAAAATGCAGGCTGTTCTGATCCGTCTATTATTATGGTAATCAAATGCTTAAAATATTCTTCACTATTATCCATTCTGAATTGCAAGGTTTGCATACATATATAACGTTTTAGCTCGATATACAACCAATCAAGAACTCTAATTCTTATAGTGGTTATTGCTCGTTTTTCAATTTGAAAAATGCAACTTAAAAATTGGTCCGTACAATATTGCCGCAAATGTGTAAGTGTTATCATAATTTCATCTTCCACTGGAATTTCTATTGGTCTTCCTAACGCATTGAGTCGTGTTTGCTTTCTCAATTGGATTAATTCATGAAAACCTTTTTCACATATTCCAGTAATTTTATGAATTACATTGCAATCAATGACATACTGAGTGAAATTACCTTCGAAAACATGAGGAGAATTTGAAATATTAGAAAAATTTATTTTTTGATCAACTTACTTGGAGTGGTATGAGTTTCAATTACATCATGCTCACATTCATCATCCGTTTCACTTTCATCAACAATTTGATCTTTGGTTCGTTTTTTGGATGATCTGTTAGTTACGGATGAATTGGGGTTAGTTTTTTTCTTTTTACCTGATTTATGGGAGCAATAATGGCGAACCAAGTATTTGATTAAGTGAGAACCTTTACAGAAAAAAATATTAGACTCGGTTTGACCTTTTTTTTCCTTAATGTAAAGGGTTCCCTTACAAACAGCGCCACACATTGAAGAAGAGTCAACATTTTTACAACCACTACACATAACGTCTTCAATAGCATTCTCTTCATCAGATTCTCCATCAAGAATTGACTGCTTTGAATCATTGGTTGAAATGACCTCATCATTGATTTTGTCAATCATTTCAGCCAATCTTTTATTCTCAGTGTTGTCCAGAGCATGAGATTTCTTGCATAGTATTAGTGTTCGATATTTTCCGACGTAAATTTTGGGGAATCCTTTGGCAGCCGTACGGATGGTGCAACAAATACATTCTTTACCGCTAAGTTTATCAGGATGAAGCTTTGGAGAGACATCTTCGCTGAAAGTCCCTAAGGATTGTGTTTGAGACATTGATCCCAATGTCGCTGGAGCCGTTACAGACCTTCTTTTATGGGGAGTGGTTGAATTTTGTATTTTGTGGAGAAAATCACCATCATGTGTCTTTATTCCTTTACATATCAAACATGTGCACAGTGGAATCTCTTCATTGGCAACACATGACTGATGATAGCATTTGGGAATGTGACGATTGAACGCAAATGCATCAATGTTGGTGTTGCAAATAGGACAATTTTTCTCCATGGTGTGCTGCTGTTTTTTTATCTGTTTTTGACTGAGGATTCCGTTTGCTTCTTCACGTTTTATGAATTTCCGTTCAAATTTTCGGAATTTTGCAAAACTGATTGGAAATACCGAGAAAGAGGCTGAAGCATTCGGAAAGCATGGGAAAGTTATGAATTGTCTAAAATTTTCTGGTGTTTTTGCAATTTCCTTCGTATTTCTTTCCCATACCCCCGGAGTAATACTTTGTTTCAACACTCCAAGGGAGAACATTTGTCGTCATCATCGTGTCATGGTCCTTCTCCGAATACCAATACAAAAACTTTCACTTATTGGACAGGAATGGATCGACAATATTAACAATATGAACTCTTGAATTTTACCAACCTCTTGAAACCTGACGTGGCTCATGAACAAGTGTTTGGAACGAAAGTAATGACTTGTTTTGGACAGCAACATGCTTTGACATGTGGGTTGACCAATCAATTGTTTGAGTTGATTACATGTATGGCACTTAGTGTAAAGGTTGGAGCGAAAAAGTTCATTCTTCCATCGATTTGCACGGATGGAAATTGGGGGTAAGTGATAATTTTCGACATGTCGTCAACGTTTTATCATTTAAATTCTAGATTATGCTATTGTAGTAAAAGTGATCGATATTCCAAATTATTTGATATGGAACGACTGAAAAAGGTAGCCATGGAAAGATTTGGAATGTCTGTCATGGAATATGAAGAAGAGTTATTGAAAGATTCTTCTGAAGAATTGTTTGCTCATCTCGATCAAACAGAAACTCAAAAACCCCTCGCCCATGCTGCTGACATTATTCACAAAAAGGCATTGGAGAAGCCAAACTTTTTAAATCATCAAGTTTTGAATCTTGGTTATGTTTGGGGTCGATGGAGAGGTCTGAGTGTTGAGGAAGATATGCTCTACGTGTTATTCTTTGATTTGTTTGTGCCTTCCAATATTCCGAGAAAGATTATGGACGATTGGAAGTTTAAAACGGAAGTGGATTCCACGGGGCCCTTGATTGCTATTCATAATCAAATTCACACGGCCAAACAACACCCTGATGTTTATCCAGGATGTCAACGTACGACCAATACTGATTTCTTTTCCGTCTATTTGAATGAATTCCAATTCAAAGATAAGGATTACAGAATTTTAATGACAGGAGCTGGGTTTGAATTGCAGTCAGCAGATGGATTGAAACTTTCAGAGCTCTCGACCAATCACAAGATTCATGTCTATCCACAATTTGACATAATGAGAACAACTGCCAATCATCAATTTCATAATTCATTGTATGCATTTTGGCTATCAGTTGAGGCTGATTACTTTATAGCCACCACGTGTGAAAGTCAATTTTTATCATACATCTTTGCCATAAGAAAATTGCTTGGAAAGCCATCGTGTTCTGTTGCTGATATTTCAAAAACTTATTATCCCGATTCATATCCTGAGAAATATCTACACAATGCCAATGGAGACGTGGCGTATCGATTTCCTCACCCTTATCGCGGAACTTATTACACAGTTGAAAAGTGCAAATTTCCACTCGCTTTGTAGACTGCTACCAAATTTCAAGATCGATCATGTAATTAAACAAATTAATTTTCTTTCTACCTGCCCAATCATTATTAGAGAATGGTTGGATCCAAAAGTAACGCACAAAGCAGTTGGGCACATGGATTTGTAGAATTGGTTCGAAACATCTTCTTTGGATGAAGTGGTAATACTTTTTCATAAAGTTTTAGTGTTTCTAAACCACCGTCAACAAAGGGAAATCCTTTCTAAAACTATGCCAGCCTATCAAAAGTTGACATTTCATCATGTGATCACGCCAGCAGAAATCAATTCCGAAATTCCAAAAAACAAAAAAAAATGACACATCGTCCACTCCACAAAGATGAAGTCTCTCGTGTCACTTCCTCCAAGGATCTCACACAAGACAAGTCATCCACATCGTGTGCTCCGAAAGAAAAATCTTCAAGTCAATCTCTCTCAACATCTGATCATGATGTAGCACAAACAGACTCAAGAAAACCCACAAACACCATTCGAAACATCATCCCTTCTGTTGACAAGTCCACTGGTTTTCTGATCGTCGGTGTTTTGACTTTTCTTGTGTTGTGTTTTACATTCCTCACAATAGGATCCATGGATTATTTGTATTGGCGACCAGAAAAGATGGACCTCTCAAAGAAAGCAACCATTCTCTTGAAGGTTCCACATGATCATTTGTTTTACACTTCATTGACTGCTTTCAAACCATTGTTGGCTCAACTAGTTCCTGCGTTTCATTCACACTTGTTGCAAAATCAAAAATTTGTGGAATCTTTGAAGAAGAATGAAAATGAGACGCAACTCTTTCAAGACATGATCGACTCGACCATTTATGGAGGTCCTGAAGTGCCATGTACCGATATGAATGTTGCTTTGAAAGTCTTGTTCATGTTGAATCGAGCAGAAGGAGATTTCATTGCACTCAAAACCAAGTGTTTGAATTTTGTCAAGGATCAAATTCGATTTGAAAACATTTTAGATGTTTTAGATCTTCTCAATGTTCTCATTCAAAGAGATGAAGAAATTCATTCAAAGAATTCTACTTCTCTCAACAGAGTGACCATTCTCCACAATCTTAAGGAATATTGTTTGGATTTTCTTGGAACCAACTCCAATCAACGTGGTTATGAAACATTTGTTGAAAACGACATACGAATGATTCAATATTTCAAACCAGCTTTCAAAAGAAAACAAATTCGAATGTTGAAAATTGATGAAACTCAAAATTATGTAGTTTCACATCCATCCTTTGCCATGTTCAAGTCTGGATACGGAAGTGACTTGCAATTTCGTCTTTCCAATGGAAAGATTATTCCTGCTCACAAGACCATATTACTGAATTCCAATAGTACAGTTTTACATCGTTTAGTGTTGGAAAATGCTCATTCTAAGGAAATTAAAGAAGATGAAGAAATGGAATACCTACTTCAGTATTGTTATGGATTTTTGAGAAAGGTCCCATCTCGAATGTTGATTCCAACCATCAAGAAAGCTTATCAATACGGAATGAAAGAGTTGATTCACATCTTGCAAAAGGAACTTGTTATCACTGTTCACAACTTCTTTGAATATTCACATGCATTAAGTCAAGTCATGGAAGAACCAGCATTGAGAAGACAATTTGCAGAATTTGGAGTCCAACATGGTGCATCACTGTTCCCATTGGAAAACAATTATAAGCATCTTCACACGCTTCGATCCGAATTGAAGGATGAAATTATCATAACCTTTGCAAGTCGTCCACAATAAAAAACTATTATTTCACCAAGAATGTGAAAAAATTAAATGTTTCAATGGATCAATTCTTCTTTGGCAAAATATTTCCAAACTCAATCTTGAAAGGATGACAAATCACGACACGTTGCACAATTTTTCTCACAGGTGAATTCTCACATTCAAAAAAATGACTTCAAGTCGAACACTCAGGAAATCCAATCATCACAACAGCAAGGATCACGTCGACGAACAACAAAAACAAGATCTTCATACTTCTGATGAAGGCGGAATTGTGAATACTTTGAACAACAGCAGTCACTCTACAACGGTCCTATCATTTGATTTCTCTCATGTGAACAACAAACACACCATCTCGGTGTTGTTGATTCTATTGATCTTTGTTTTGGGTTGGAAATGGCTGGACGGAGGTTTTTCAAGCCATTCGTATTTAAATTGGAAACCACTATCAAGAAGTTTGAAATTAATGAACCAACTGAAAGGCCATGACCAACTTTTCAACACTTCATTGATGGCCTTCAAACCATTAATTTCTAAAATTACTCCGTCTTTCCACAATCATGTGTTGCAAAATCAAAAATTTGTGGAAACCTTGAAGGTTGGGAATGAAACAACCGTCCTCCAAGACTTAATCGACATGTCGATTTATGGAGGACCTGAAGTTCAATGTAATCATATGGACACTGCATTGATCGTCTTGTTCATTTTGAATCGAGCAGAAGGAGATTTCATGTCACTCAAATCCAAATGTTTGCAATTCGTTAAAGATTCTATTCGATTCGAAAATATTTTGGACATATTAGATCGTATCAACGCTTTCATTCAACGAGATGAAGAAAGTCATTCAAAGAGTTCAATTTCTCTCAAGAAGCTCACAATTCTCGACCAACTTAAAGAGTATTGCTTGGATTTTCTTGGAACCAATTCTGATCAACTAGGGTATGAAAAGTTTGTCGAAAACGATCCAAGAATGATTCAATATTTCAAACCTGCTTTCAAAAGAAAGAAAATTCGAGCCTTGAATTTGACAGAAATAGTACACCCTGTCGAGTCACACCCTATGAGTGTGTTATTCAAAACTGGTTTTGAAGGTGACTTGGAATTTCATCTGTCCAATCGAAAAATTGTGAAAGCTCACAAAACTGTGCTGTTAAACTCCAATTATACCGAGTTACATGGATTGATATTGAACAACAACTCCACAATTGTCAAAGAGAATGAAGAAATGGAATACTTACTTCAGTATTGTTATGGATTTTTGGATAGAGTACCTCCTCGATTGTTAATTCCAGTCATAAAGAAGGCTCATCAGTATGGAATGAAAGAACTGATTCACCTACTGCAACCATTGCTGCAAATTACAGTGAGAAATTTCTTCGAATGGTCACACGAATTGAAAGATGTCATGGACGATTTGTCTCTGAGAAAACAATTTGCTGAATTTGGGGCTCAATATGGGCAAAGCTTATTTACAGTCGCTAAGAATTTTAACTATTTAAAAACACTTCATTCTGAATTGAAGAACGACATTATCATCGCTTATTCCAACCAAGAAAAACATTAAAATGTTTCACTTCTTGTTTAAGGACAATAATTACTTTTTACACAACAATCGTTTATTGCAGGTAGTACTTACAACAAAAAAATTAAAGGTTATTGTTAGTATTGTTGTTCAAACTTGGATAGTATCTTTGAATAACTTCCTCGTTTTGTGCTTGCTGTTGTGGAGTGCTCTCTTGTTCATCTTGGAGACGAGCATAGGCAGATTGCTGTTGTTGTGGTTGTTCATTGGAGGCAACATGAACTGGCACTACTTGCTCTTGGGCTGGAACTTGAGTGGAATGAGTCTGTCTATAAACCTTTCTTGAGAGCCAGATGGACAAAACAATCATTACAAGCTCCAAAATATGAATAGTTGCATGCCATGGAATAGAAACAGCAAAATGATAACCATAGCTTCTGGAATGGCTAAAGCTAGATGCAACAACCATGAAAGCAATAAATAAATACAAGAAATCAATAATCAAAGCACCGTTAAAGAAGTTGAGAGCCATAACTTTCTTCTTGTGGATGGATACAAGGGCCAAAGCACCCAAAATAACCTTTGGAAGCAAGAATAGTGCAACAGATGGAAAAGTAATTAATGTAATAATAGTCATGATAGCAATGATGGTGAAGACAACAATTTGAGCAGTGAACTCCTTGTTTGCCTTGACGAATTGGCAAACCTTGCTGGTTCTACACGATTGAGATCTCAATCTAGAGAATGGACAAGATTGACATGCATTGGTTGTTGGTTGTTCAGTAGTGGTAGCCAAACGTTCCTCCAATGAAGGCTCTTGATCCATCTGAACAGGTTGAGTGGCCACGACTTGAGGTTGTACACCGGAAGCACCCCCTCCAAGAATATAGACTGGAGGTATTTGTCCTTGAACCATTTGTGGGTAGATCACATAGGGATGTTGTTGTTGTTGTGCAACATGACCTTGTCCTGCTTGGTGATGGTGATACAAGAACGGACCAGGCTGATTCAAATAACCGTAGCCGCCAGTAGGAGGTTGGAAGGGTGGTTGAGGATTGTTGGACATTTTTTTTAGAATGAATTTTGAAGCGTTCGTGTTCCTTGTTTGAACTTTATTGGAGGCTGATTTCATCACCAACACAATGACGTAATTGGAATAATTAATATAATAATCGGCAGCAAAGATGTGTTTGATTTGTTTCTTTTTATCCAAGTTTATAGACGAACGGACGGTGTTACATTGCTTCGGACGATCAAACTCAGAATTTGAATTAAAAAAATAACGAGTTCCGAACAACACGATCAGCTTTTTGAAACTTTTGAGTTCTGCAGCAACGATGAACTTTACATTTACTGGTGCTGATTCTTCGAAAAAGAAGGTTTCTCTGAGAGGAAATGTTAAGAGTCTAACGAGAGAAGAATTATTGGAAAATGCTCGGAGGGAGAGAGAGTTATCAAAACAAAACAAAGCCCAAGAACAGGCTGCCAAATTAATCGGAAAGATTGCTCGGAAATACATGATCAAATTAAAAGAGAAGAATCATCAACGAGAATTATTTGATGAAATGGCAATTGCAAAGGAAAAGCCACAGAAAGTTGTTCTTTCCATGATGAACAAGTTGTTGTATTTTTATAGCATTCATCAAGAAAAGGATGAAAATCGACTATTGATATGCTTAAACTTTCTATTGCGACTATGGAGAACACAACCTATGTCAATTAATGAGCATTTACACATGTTACAATATAACAAACTCACATCTCTAATTGTACAGTATATGAACAATATCAAAGATGACGACTTTAACTTGGCCACGAACAAGAGATTAATTCTTGCATCGCAGGCCTTAATTACCCTTCTTGATTGTAAATATTATTCCGTAGGCATGTACAGCACATTGATGGAAAAACAAATCAACGCACGAAAATTAATAATTCTTTTGATCCGAATGATGACTCACTCTCAGGAAAAATCACAGCAATATGCAGCCAATTTATTCGCCACCCTTATGAATGGCATCAAGGATAATGCCATCATGATAGGGAAGCTTGTGTTAGAGCTATTTTCCCATCCAATGATATTCTCCTCACTCTCAGAAACAACTGTCGCCCTAATTGATGCCCAAACAGTGATATGGGGCATTGGAAATGAAGCAACAAATCTCTTCGATGATAAGCGAAAATTATTTTTCTGTGGAAATTTAATTCAGTTTATGAACAAGCACATGAAATCTTTGTTGAGTTCCGAAGTGTTGATACAATATCTTCGTATTGTTGCTACCCTATTGCCAGACGTTGATTTTGATCTTATTGCCATTGAAGACAATTCATCTGGTACGTTATTTTACAAGTTCAATTCTATTAGGCGTGACAAATTCATGACTAAACAATCAATGGTTTCTTATTCTTTCGGAACATGCTCAATTCAACAGCTATGACCGACGACAAGGAGGTTGAGGAAATTCCTTCTGGTGTTAAGCAACAAGTTCAATTAATTTTCAAAAAGAACCATCTGAAAAAATTGATAGAAGCCATGGTGAGCTCTGAACTGGCCTTTAGAATTGCTATTTTCAAAGACTTTGCAAAATTATTTCTTTACTTGATGCATGAAGAAACCAAACATACGACACTCATCTTAGGGCTGTTATCTTATTGCACTGATAATTATAGTTTGATCAACTCAATGTGGTCTCTAATTAAGGGAGATCTACTTGACAATGTAGAAATACTTGCACTCTTCTGTAAAGTTTATGACAACGTTCTGTCATTTATAGATGACGAAGAATTTAAATCGAAACCATTCACTTATGAGGAAAATATTAACATTTCTGGAGCCTTGAAACCTATTGCATTTGAATTGGTATGGACAGCTTCAAAATCCTCGCTGAAAGAAGACGTTTGTAATGTACTTACCAAAATTCATAACAGAGATGTTAGGCTCAAGTTTTGTCCGTTTAATCACTTCATTGTTGATGAGGCGTCGTCAATTGACATTTCAAAAATAGCAGAATTTATGTATCAAGGAAATGACATGACAGACGATGAAGAGCCAAGAAGAGATCCCTATGAATATATTCCAATCAGATTACATCGTGTTCAGGCACTAAAAGAAGCTCTCTCACACAAGTCGTCCTTTAAAGAGACACAAGCATTCAACAAAACTCGAGAATTGATTTCAAAACTGCCATTCATGGTTCCAATACATGTTCGAATAAGAATTTTCAAAGAAATATTAACGCTCGACAAGGACTATTGCCAGCAGTTACAGCACTTTATCGAACCAATAGAAATCCACAGAGACCGTATATTTGAAGATTCATATTCCAAATTTTATCCCTTGTCAGCCTTACAACTCAAAGGACGAATTCGAGTTCAATTTAGTGGAGAGGCCGGTATCGGAGAAGGTGTTATGAGAGAATATATCTTTGAGTTGTGTAAATTGGCGTACAGTACATCATACGGATTATTCAAGTCGACAGACGATGGTCATTTATATCCAAACCCCTATTCACACTTAATCTATCCGGAAGGTCAAGATTTGAGATTCTACACTTTTTTAGGGAAAATATTAGGCAAGGCAATATATGATGGTATAATGATTGATTTACCGCTGGCCAAGTTCTTCATTTCCAAACTAATGAAAGGATCGAATTCTGATCTTATCAATGATTTATACAGTTATGATAAGGAATTATATAAGAATTTGCTCTATCTCAAAAATAATAATTTAGGAGATTTAGGATTAAACTTTACAGTTGTGGAAGGTGATGAAATGTCAGCCACACGAGTCATACCTCTCATACCAAATGGAGAAAATATTGAAGTCAACGAGAAGAACAAATATTCCTTTATTTATCGTATGGCTAATTACAAGCTCAATCACCAAATCAAAAATCAATCTGAATCATTTATGAAAGGCCTTAATGATATTATTCCTGCTTCATGGCTTGCACTGTTTGATGAGAATGAACTTATTGACATCATTTCCGGATCTGATTCTCCAATTGATATTGATGACATGTATGCCAACACAGAGTATGGACCTGGATATGATCAGGAACATCCAACCATTCAATTATTTTGGGACATTGTTTTCAATGATTTAACGCCTCAGCAACATGTATTGCTTTTGAAGTTTATTTCATCCATTTCGAGACCTCCACTTTTAGGATTTAAAGATTTACATCCTAAAATTTGTATTCACAAAGTTGCTGACACTTCTCGATTACCAACCAGTTCCACCTGCTACTCTCTTTTAAAGCTTCCTGCCTACACCTCAAGACAGCAATTGAAAGAGAAACTGATTCAAGCCATCGAACAAGGAACACAAACTTTTGGTCTCACTTAGAGAGTGGGATTGAATCATGGATGAATAATGGTCATTGATGTCCAACAATCATAAATGTGTCATGAGTTCAATAAATTTGACCATTATTTCACAACCTGGCACACGGTTTAAAAAATCTTTGCAAAAAAAATGAACAAAAGTCTTCTTGCTACGACCGAGAACTCGACCAACAACAGCAGCACGCTGTATGGTTCATCAGCATCGGAGGCTCATCTGGGCGGAGAGGAAGGAGGAGTCTATCCCAATACTATAAATTATGATGATGATTCATCGTCGGTTTTGAAGAAATTAAAAGCATATAATGCGTATATTGTGGCCGGAGTTTGTGCTATTGTGGCTTGTGTGGTGGCCACTTGTGTCATCATTCCGGCATTGGTTTATAGTTATTCGAGAATCGGGAAGAGAGCAGATGCTTTGAAATGCGATTCATCATGGTAAGTGTCAGGTTCGTTCACTTTATCATCATCATGATTTCAATAATAATTACTGATTTCATCATTGCCAAACAATAATAATTGATACTTTTGCAATTTTAATATTTGTAATGCAACAATGGACGAATATTCATCAATTCTTTTAAACAATCTTGAAACATGTTAAATAGTTCATATCAAATTGTAGAGTCCATTCCGATGGGTCTCAATTTACAGTTACTTCCCAATACAGATTTTACACACAATGCATGGGCTGATATTATCGGGAGAGCTACATCAAAACTCACTATTGTTTGCTTCTATTCAAGTTTATTGAATGATGCTTCTGTGGTATCGGGTGGACAATATGGAAATGAAACTTTTGCTGCTATTGCAAACGTCATCAAGAAAGGAATCAAAGTCACTATCATTCAGAACATTGCTTCTCCAGAATTCCCAGATGATGACACAAGAGCCTTGGAAAAGATGGGTGCTGAACTTGTTTCAGTGGATTGGAAGAAGGCATTTTCTGGTGGAATTTTACACACAAAAGCTATTGCTGTCGATGGTAAACATTTTTATGTTGGCAGTGCTAATTTGGATTGGAGATCATTGGCTCAAGTCAAAGAATTGGGAGTTAAAGTCACTGATTGCGAATGCTTAACTCAAGATATTGAAAAAATTATGGATGTTTATTATACACTCGGAACAAGCATGAACAGCAGTTTTACTGAATTTAGAGGTTGGCCAGAAAGTACATTTACAAGTGTGAATCAATTCAGTAGATTGTTGGTGCCCTTCCAAAATGAGCCTACTAAGAATGAATCAACAGTATTCATGTCTGCAAGTCCAAGAATCATTGATGAACCTTTAAGAACCAATGACATTGATGCTCTACTTGCAGTGATTAATAATGCCACTCAATTTGTTTACATCTCGGTCATGGATTTCCAACCATTTATGCTCTATGGATCATCACCTGAATATTGGGGAGAAATAGAGGGTATGTAATTTAGTTTAATGATACATTCAACTTTTGGCCAACAATTATATAATTTCATCATTATTTGCAACCATTATTTACGACATTACAAATAGATGCTCTGAAATCGGCTGTGATTAGAAATGTCCATGTGAAACTTCTTATTAGCAAGTGGGATCATACCAAGCCAATGCAAGTTACAGTTTTGCAATCCTTGTTAGCATTTGGAGCTCAAATTTGTAAAGTTGGAGGCGTAAAATGTAGTGGTTCAATCTCAGCCAAACTCTTCCAAGTGCCTGACCAACCCAATGCTCCAAAATATCCATTCACTAGAGTCAATCATGCCAAATATATGGTTACAGAACAACAGGCCTACATTTCCACTTCAAATTGGAGCAAGGATTACTTTTACACTACTGCAGGTATCTCTTTCACGAGTACTACACCCACTTTGAGACAAACTGTGGAAAATATTTTCAATAGAGATTACAGCTCTGAATATGCCTTTGACGTGCCAAACTAATTTTGTTCTATCAATAAATTATTGACCCAAACAATTCCAGATTCCACAGCACTCAATAACTATTCTCTAATGGTTCACCGAATTTTGCATCATTGATCAACATTTACTTTCATTTACATAAATTAGATTATAATATCCTTAGCCTTAGGTTTTCGAATGTGTCTCATCGTGGCTGAAGATGAAGCATATAATACAGGAGGCATGAGGTAAGGTTTTGGAATTCCTAAATCATCATCTGGAATATAAGCATTTGGTCGTTTGACAGCTGTGGTTCTCGTAATGGTAGACGGTAAGCTTGCTTCATATTCCAGTCTTCTCCTTCGTTCTGCCATTTGTTCCTTCCATCGTTGCTTGACTTCTTCTTCGTGTGCCCATTCTTGCTCAATGGCTTCTGACGGAGGTTCTCCTCTCTCCATTCGTTCACGAGCTTCATCGATCATATTCTTAAGCTCTTCATTGTCCTTTTCAAGTCTCATGGCCTCTGTGCCGTAAATGGACAGCTCAGACACGGTTGCTTTCATCTTGTTGGTCGTTTGCTCAATTTTCTTTTGAATAAAGTTCAAGTTGACAGCCAAATCAAACGATTCATCTCGTCCCTTAATGGCCAATTTTCGAAGCTTGTCTGAACTTTTCGTAATTCCCTTAAGAACGAGATTCTTTTCCATGAGTTGTTCTCTTCTTTCATTCAGTTTTTCTTCTAATTCTTGAATTTTGTCTTTCAATTCCTCTTCATTGGGTACATCTCCTGGAAGCTTTCGCCATCGTTCCAAGTTTTCAGGTCTCTCCAATTCTTCAGATAATTTGGTGCCTTGTGAATTTAACTTTTCAATTTCCTCTTTTAATTCTTCTTCCATCTTTAAAAACGATTCATATTCTGGTAATTTTTTAAATAGGACCTCTAATCGACGCTTTTCTTCTTCCAAGTCGAGTTTCAGAGCTTTGATTTCCTCGTCTCTCTTTCTCATTTCAATTTCACCTTCTTTGATAATTTTTTCTTGTGCGTTGGCTTTTTCGTACAAGATGCACAACTCGTCATTTCTGTCAATGAGCTGAATGCCAGTATAATTTCGGTCTTGTACTCCAGTTTCATACTTTTTCTTTAACATCATCATCATTTCTTCTGCCAAATTAATGTCGGCATTGAGCTTGTCAATTTCCATTATTATTTCCAGGTTTTGTTCTTCCTTTTGCTTGTAGAGAAGTCTCTTTTTGCTAAACTCGCTAAGCATGCTAGCTTTTGTGGTCACCTCATCCTCCACTTTTCGTTTCACCTGTTTCAACTCTTCTGACTTGGTTTGATTTTGTTTTGTCAACACTTCCAATTCATTTTCAAGAATCTTGTTCTTTTCTCTAATTTCCGCATGAGATTGAGCACTGTCTTGAATAGCTTTTGCATATTTGTTTCGCTCTCTCTCCATGAGAGAATATGATTGTTGTAACGCAATGTATTTGTTCTCAATTTCATTGAGAGTTTTAAACAATTCTCCATTGCTGAAATGCAGAATTTTAATTTCTCCCACTGCATCCATGAAGTCTCGCTTTTTCTTGGCAGCCTCTCTTGCTTTCCTTTCCCTCAGTCCTTCCAGGTTGGAGATGATCTTGTTCATCTCACCTTCTTGACCGTCAACGATAGTAATTTTGTTCTCCAGCTCATCTGTTTCTGTTTTTCGATTTTTCAACTTTTCAGTCAAAAACATGTATTCAGCTTCACCTGTGAGCAATTCATGAATTAGCAGGTCGACATCTCGTTCAATTTCAAGCTTCTTTTCTTTTGTGACCTCCAATTCAGTTTGCAAAGTTGACTTCTCAACTGTTAATTCCTCTATTGTTTTTGCTAGTTTATCGATCGTGGATTTGATGTGCTCAAGATGAAGTTGAATATTGTACGCGTCTCTACTACATATATTTTCTTCATTTTCTAGAGATTGTTTGTGTTTGACTTCTGAATTTTCCTCTTCTGCGGTTGTTTTTAACAGTAGATTTAATCGCACTCTTTCAAGCATTTCTTCCTTTCCTTTATCTTTCTCAATGAGAAGAGTTTGCCTCATTCTGTCAATGTCTTCCTGAAGCTTGGTGGAATTAATTTTTGCGCTATCTTCAAGCATGAACATGTTGTAGTGAATTTGTTCAAAATCAATTTTCTTTGTCTCAATTTCATTGACCTCGCGTTCGAGCTGCTCTAATTTTTCCGAGAGAGTATGTACTTCGTCATAGGAGGCTTTACTTGCTTTCCTGACAATTTCTGTCTGTCGTCGTTCTCGTTCGGGTTCCTCTCGCAATCGTTGCAGAGTTTTTTCCAAATCCCGAGCTTGAGTTTTCAACACTTCTTCCAAATCTTGATTTGCTTTGGAAATATCATTTTCTAATTTTTGTTTCTTTTCTTCTTCCTTCTTTTTCCTCTCTTCAATTTCTTTAATTCCTTGCTTTAATTGTCGGATGCTATTTTTTAAATTTTCGATGATTGGTCTTTCTTTGGCATTTTGTTGTTCGATGAGATCTTTTTTTTGGTCTTCCAGAATCGAAATTTTCCTCTCCAATTCAATGACCGAGGTTTGCGTGACAGCCTCTGACTCGTTCATCAGAGCTGTTTGATTTTCTGCCTTCATTAAGTCTTTTTTGAGATCGGTGATGTATTGAGAATTTTCTTGTTTGATCTTTTCAAGTTCTTTCAATTTTCTCTTTTCTTCCAAAAATTCCTTGTTCAATTGTTTTCCATTCTCAATGACATTGGTCTCTCGTTCCATCATCTTGAGCAAATAAGACTCCACTTCAAGCCCCTTCTTCTTGAAATATTTGTAATCTTTCGGATCCATGCCTTCAATTCGATCCAATTCATTAACCACCCAGTTTTCATCGACTCCTTCCGATGAAGTAACTCCGAGAATCAAACCTCCATGATCATTGTTGGAGTTGTTGCTGTTGTTGGGTTCATTCTCCGTGTTATTGGAGGACATGTTCAATTTTTTTTAAAAAATTTTCGTAATGACTTTGGCGCGAAACAATCTTGGCAAGTTAGTATCGGAAACGCTTTCTCTTGGAAATAGGTTCTACATGTAAAAAAACATCATTAAGAACAATAGTTCAATGGGAAAGGACTTTCTCTTTTGCTTGTACTTTTGATCATCCTATTAAGGTATTTTTTGACACGTATGCAGTAACAACGAGGAGATTTAAGGGGATGTAAAATTTTTCCTTATTTGCGAAACGATGCGACCTTGATACTGTCTCATGGAACATGAAAAAAAATTAAGAGAACAAACACAGCACTCATGGGAAACCGATCTTCTACCTCGTCCTTCTCATCCAAAGAGATCTCATCGGCCAATCATACACAACGACAACATACGTTCGAGCCAGCAAAACCATTCACAATCTCCCCTCCAAGACCGAAGAAAGAGTTGTTAAAAGGAAAATCTCATAATACAATCATGATTCATCATTCTCATGACAAGACTAATCACTTGGATTATTCCAAGCCTTCACAGAGCATTACTCGATTCGGATCTTTACCAGCCACATTCAAGTCGAAAAAGGTATATCCAGTGAATGTTCACGAAAAATTCTCATGTACAACTGATGATGAGGATGATGAATTCAGTGAGAGTAGCGAGGATGAGGAAGACACACAAAGAACAAGCCCAGTACAGCTAATACCGAATTCAAGAGAAGTATTTCAAGCATTATTTAAAAAGTCTGAGAAATTATTGGACGAGCTCAGCAATGATGCAAAGAGGAAAACAATGGTGACGAACAACGACTGCATTCTACAGCAATCGAAATCAACCATAAGAAGTATATCAGATCCTGTGGCCATTCTTTCAAGGAAACATTCTGTATCTAGAAGAAGATCTTACTCCCTTTCTCCGCCTCCAAAAACAAAAGGTTCTTCTTCCTCTTCATTAGTGAATCTTGGAAATAACGAAATTGCAATCATTGTGACCAGACCTACCACACTGTCTAGTGTTACTTCTGAATGTCCATCCACGGACACTTCTGAACTCTTCATCCGAAAGCCTTTATACATGCATCATCATAGACAAACCAAGCTATGGTAACCATGATCAGCTTTTATTGCTGATTCTTTTCAAATTTCATGGCCGTTTGCATCCATTGATCGGCCTTCTTTTCATCTTTTGGCACTCCCAATCCATCTCGAAACATTTTAGAAATAGTTTTCATGGAAAAGGGGTCTCCTTTCAAAGCTGCTTTGGAAAGAAACTCCATGGCTTTCTTAAAATCTTGTGTCGTTCCTTCTCCTTTCAAATACAACAAACCAACACAGCGTTCGGCATGGAAGAAGCCTTGGTTAGCTGCCTTCATGTACCATTCCATGGCTTTTTCATATTCTTTGCATTCATAATAATAGACACCTAAATTGTGTTGAGAATGAGAATCTCCTGAAGAACCAGCTTTCATGAGCCATTGTGCACCAACTTCTCGATCTTTTGGAAGCACATTTTCAACACCATGCATATACATGGCTCCTAAATTTGCCTGTGACGAAGGATGACCAGCTTCTGCTAATTGAGTGTACATGGCGACTGCTCGTTTCACATCTTGTTTCACAAATTTTCCTTTCAGATAAAGATCAGCAAGATAGAATTGAGCTTCTTCCAATCCTTGCATAGCAGCATTTTCAAGATTTTGAATGGCTTCTTTTACAAGAGCATCTACTTTCTGTGACATGGTCATAGTTCTGTGTGGTTGTGAGGATGTAATCTTTTTCAATATCATGGTTCCAACATAATACTGAGCACTGGGATAACCTCTTGAAGCCGCTCGTTGGTACCATGCCAACGCTTTTTCATCATCTTTTTCAACACCAAATCCATTATAATACATTCCTCCAAGATTTGACTCTGCAAGAGCGTGATGATGATCAGCAGCTTTCAAGAACCACTGCATCGCTTTCACAAAATCTTTTTCACGAGTCAAATAGATGGCTCCAATATTATAAATACAGCTCACAAAAGCAAGATAATTCTGATCATCCAATTGTCGATGTTCTGCAAGTTGATACTTTTCTTGATTTTCATTCACAATTTTCAACATTAATTGTCTCGATTTTTCCACATCTGTCGTGATTCCAAAACCGTAATCATTCAAATACAATTCTGCAAGAGTGGTTTGAGCCGATAAATTTCCTTTCGAACAGGCTTTGTGTAAAAATTCCAATCCTTTCGATATGGATTGTTCTCTCGACACTCCATGCAACAGTGAAAAGGCCATGGCTAAATCTCCAAATCCGGTTGGATCATTCAAATTGGGATTTTCGAGATCCATGGAGAAGGAACTATACCAACCAGCAGTTTGATTGTTGGCAGAAGTGGATGATGATCCGAGTGGAGGAGAACCTTGATCATGTTGGTAGTTGGAATTTTGTGTGAAATTATTAGTGGAATAATAACAACACTTGTTACGATGGACATGGGATACATACGAAGCAGCCTTTGAGAGTTTGAGTTTCAATTTTGATTGAAACAAATACTTTGACAATGCTACTCTCAGAGATGACATTTTTTTAGACAATGTTGTTGGTTGACTAAATAATTATTTCATCAAGAACAGTAGTGCTTTTGGAACACCATCAAGACTGGAACCATAGAATGAACTATCAGTTCCCATAGATCCTGTAAATTAGAATCACAAAGCGCTCCTCGAATTTGCTTCCAATGACAATGAACTTGCCAACACCAAAAAAAAAATGACACGACTTGTCTTGACAATTTTCATTCTCACCGTCGTTGTTGCCATTTTCACCCCAACAACGACTGTAACGGCCGATGAACGAGTAGTCGTCCAACAAAACCAAAACCTCGGACCCTCTCAATACCTCTACTCCTCCCTTCCTTGTTCATACGGATTATACAACATCACAGTCAATGGATATTCCTACTCCTCGCCATACACCTACCTCTATCTGTATCGAACTACGTCCTATTCAGGTGATCCAAGAAGTAGTGGTACTCGCATCACTTACTTTACTGAAGATGAAATTACAGATACAAGTAATAATTATTATTATGCTCTTTACAATGCTGGATCTACAAGTATTACCATCAATAGCTTTACGGTTACTCAAACCTTGAAAACCAGAACTACAATGACTTATGAAAGTGGTACCATTCCGGTTGGACAAGTCAAATTATTTCAATGTACCAATTGTCTATATTCTTCGGATTATTATGTGAAAATGCAAATTAGAAAACAATTGAGCTCGAATTCTAATTTCTATGTAGATGTTGCCTTTTCAACCAAATACCCATCCAATCCGTCATCATTGTATAGCTATGATTTTCAATCACAAAATTTATATGTCACTAGTAGTACAACTTACACCTCCACTCCAGAAAGATATGTTGGATCTTCGACAAGTTCTTCACGTCCTCTTTATGTTTATGTGAAATGTCGCGATCTCAATACCCAACCTTGTAGTTTCGAATTGAGCGAATCAAGTTCCTATTCCAGTTCTTCCAATAATAATTCTTCAAGTTCTTCCGGATCTCTCACTTGGATTATTGGTCCCATTGTTGGTGGTGTTGTCTTTATTGTCATTTTCGCCATTACCATTCCACTTTCCCTCTTGGCACGTCGAAGAAGACTCTACATGTTGAGAATGAGAGGTGGAACTGCTGCTACGGTTGTAGCCATGGCTGCCATGGAAGAACGAAATTCGACCACCTATGTTCCTCCTCCATCCAGCACCATGCCACCTTCTGTCACGACCACCTATGTATCTCCACAACCTTCCATGACAACCTATGTCCAACAACCACCCATGCAACAACCCATGATTCAACCCGGTGTGGTAGTACCATCAGGAACTGCTTCGAGTAGTTATTATCCACCTCAACAACCTGGAATGTATTATCAACCACCACCACCACTACCACCAACCACATCCATGGTACAACCGAACCCTATGGTTCAACCACCACTACCATCAGGAGTGTATTATCAACCACCACCATCGTATGGAAATGCAGATGTACAATATACAAGCAATGGAGGTGGAATTTATATTCCTCCTCCTTCACAACCACAGTATGAACCCATGCCAGCATTTAATCCAAATGCCGATAAGGTGTAATTAGTATTTGTGTCGACAAGGTGTGTGGAAAATTCTCTTTCTCTCAGTAAATCATATCAATTCAGGAACAATAACAACTACCATTCTAGAATAGGCGTTTCTTGCTCGATCAATTTACTTTGATTCGGTATTTCAAAACCGCCAAAAAAAAAATGTAAAATTTTGAAAGCCTTAACTCCTTTTCATTGCACGAAAGCTGCGAACCAAAGAGTTACGGCACATCAAGAGGATCGGAACATGAGGTTATCTTGAGAAACGAATCATGGATAGTAATATCATGGTATTTTTAAATCCATCAAAGTAATGTCTTGATGGTTTCCTCATTTGCTATTTATGGCAGGGAATTAACTCCCCTTACCATCACAAAGACCTCAAAAAAATGTTACAATCATCTCTCTTTCTTCCTATTGATTCTTCTGAAACTTTTACATCAGGAGAATCCTCCTATGAACCACAACCGAAACAGTCTGCTTCCAGTTCTAATGAAAGTACTCCAACACATCGTAAACGAGTCATAAGACGTTCCAAAGTCAACAAGAGTGAAAGTGTATATGAAGATGAACAAGTACCCAAAAAGAAAAAGGAAAACAAAAAATCTCAAGATGACTATCAAGATGCAACAACAGCTAGTGATGTAACAACTGCTGCCTCTGGAAATTTGGACGTTATCAAGGATGATGTGCCACCCATTCAGACGTATTTTAATTCGAAGAAATATTACAACAAATCGATTTTAGCATTGGATATTGGTTCAAGTTTTTCCAAAGCAATGAAAGTTACTGTTTGTCCTGGTTTAAACACTGGGGAATGTTCCAATCTCAGCTTTACCTTGAACAACGACTTTTTATTTTCAACTTCAATATTCTATTCGAAAAAGGACAATACGTATTGTGTTGGAAAACCAAACGATTTTAGTCAACACGCAGATGAATGGATTGAACTGGAAAATATCAAGAGAATCTTCACTGTTCAAGAACTGATGACCGTCACTATTGGTGGACAGGAATTTCAAGTGAGTCAAGTCATTTATGAGCTAATCAAAGGCCTTCTCCAGAAACTCATTCACAGTAAGGAAAGGAAATTCAACAAAACTACAAACAATTTAGGAATTTATAGTGCGTTCATTTTGACCTGTCCAACAGGAACGTCAGAGAATATTAAAAAGGTATACAGAAACTGCGCCCTTGCAGCCATGAACGATGTGTCCTCTACGACAATTCAAATTCAAGACGTGTTCATCATTGAAGAATTCATGTTATTGAAATATTGTTGTGACCAAGAAAATGACTGTCAAGAACCAACGTTATACGTTGATATTGGTCATCTCACACTGGACGTTACTGTGGTTGAAACAATAGAGCAAAAGAGTGAAATTACATACAGAAATGGTGAGGTTGGAGGATTGTCAATCATTCATAATATTAAGAAACAAGGAGCTGATCCTTATGAAATCATGAAATATATGTTCGATTCTGTGAGTGAGGAGTTACCAGATATGTTGAAATCAATTCACCAAGAAATAGTTGAAGGAATGACTTCAATTGTCAGTCCCCTTTGCTTGATTATTCTCCAGAAACAGATTAAGAGAGTTCATGTTGCCGGAGCAGTGACAAAGTGTCCATATTTTGCAAAAATACTTAACGGCATTTTGAATAGAGACAGCGTTGTTTCAATGATTGAAAAGAGAAGAAAGTATTTCAAAAAGGAGTTTATTGAGAGCGAGATCAATGACTTCAGTTTTTCTTACGCATTATCAGGGCGAAGTGCATTAATTACTGGAATCCAACGGTTGATTGATTCATCTCTAAGCAAGAACAAAAACATGCCTCTTTGTTTGGAATCAACAAACTCCATTGAAGAAAATCAATATTATGGTGGATTACTATATGAAGTTCCAAAAAAGAAAGAATTTGGAATCAATGTTAGGTCCGTTGTTTACGACATGGTTTGTAAACAAGATTTCGAAATTTTCATTATCAAATTTAGCTCAATCATTGATGTTGGTAAAGTACAACGTATCACTAGTAGCAATTATGATTTGGTTGGTGTCATGGAATTTGAAAGATTTTCAACACTAGATCTTTTCGTGGGCGACAAACTTATAACTATCACTAACCAACAATTATTTGTGAAGGTTGATGTGGACAAGGAGAATGTGACATTGCATTTTATGGTTGGTATTGACAGCTCCCTATTCCGTAAGTGGGTTCTAGAAATTACTCGAAAAGGTAGGATGGAACGTGTTCCACTTAATGACTCCGCAGCTCAGATTTTCTTTAAGAACGAACCAGAATCCACCACTTGGTATGGTTTAAATTATACCACCAATTATTCGCTTCCGGGAGCAATTGGTACCGATCTTTCGAAATCCGAAGTATCCAAAGAGTTTAAGGGATTTGAAATTGAGATGAATCAAATTAACCCCATGCAGTTCAAAAAAGCTGCACGGGATATTGGAGGTGCTTGCGAGAATTGTGGCGAACAGGTCAAACAATCAAGTCACAAGGTGACGCCTAAAACCTTAGATCATTATCGAGCTTACCTAAACCGTCATATTGAATGTGGTCGTATTTGCGAGGATTGTTTCAACAGGTGTACTAAGAACTCTAACAATGGCCTTCCAACACAGTAATCGAGCGCTCCCTTAATACTAAATTTGGTTGAATCATATTAAATATTATTCCTGAATTGCTAAAACTCAAAACTGGTCAGAATGAATTTCGAGTGAGTCAGAGTTGTTTTACTTTTGCATCTTGCACCAAACTCGTAGTGTCAGTGCTGTTTACATTTTACACTTGGGCAAGATGAAGAAGAAACAGTTCAAATGAAATGGTTTGTTTCCTAATCGTATTTATCAATTCAACAAAATACAACTTGAAAGTAATTGAACGCTCGTTATACATTATTATGAATAAGAAACATAGCTTGTCTCTTTATTGCTCGATTTACAATTTCTTCAATTCTTCTTTTCAAGATGAGAAGTTGCCAATTCAATGTACATTTTGGATAATTCCTGATTGGACAATGTTGGATACTTGGCTTTGGCCATTCGTCTTACTTTAAAGATGGCCATATTTTGAATAAAGAATAATTCTTGTGCATATTCGAGAGCTTGATAATATTCAGGTGAAAGATTAAAAGTCTTGTTGTTGTTGTTGTTGGATGGTATCATGATCAAGGATTGAGGCTTTTCCAACGTTGACACGTTTGTTTCATTACTGTCGGTACGTGTCTGTATAGTTGCAATGTCTATGGATACATTCTTATTTGGAGATTCCAATGATGAAGATGTACAAATATATTCTGGACTCAACGAATGGGAATTATTGGACAATGATTCTTCCTGAAAATGATCATGTTGGCAACTATTGTTTGTTGTATCCATAGTTGAAGAGGAATGAACAACACTTTCGTCTTTGTACGTTGATGATGTCAACAATAAAGATTGTGTCATGACAGCAGTTGGAAAATCTTTCATAGTCCTTGTATCTTGTTCAAGTCTATCTTGTACATTTCTATGCTTTCCATTCAATGATGCTTCTTCTTCTTCTTCTTGTTGTTTCGTTGGTATTATGGTCATATTATTGGTTCCATCTTGCAATTTTCTATCTTTGGAAAATTCTTCAAGAAATCCATAAAAGTCTTCAGTGGTTGAATTATACGTCTTTGTCGTCGAAGGTTGTAATGTCGTCAATTCACGATTCGTTTCATGATATTCTTCCTTAATATTATCTAACATGAATCCTAGAGTCATTAAATGAGTGGCAGCACTTGTTACAAAACTATCTGCATGTTGATGATGTGAACGAAGTAAAACTTCTCCTTTTGGTAAATGAATTTTTGCTCGTCGATTGGCAATATGAGAAGTCGTCTTGTTTTCATCAATAATCCATTTTTGCTTTTCTGTGAAACAATTACAGATACAATATCGAATGAGAAAATGAATGGCATGTGATTGTTCACATAAACTATTGAAAAGATCGTTGAAACGAATTCCCTTACAATATTCAATCATAATCTCTTGAAATTCTAAATGACGTTTCTTGGATACTTTTTGAACGAGACCCTTCTTATTTAACAGTTCAGTAATATCTTCTTTAAGTCTCTTAATCTTTGAAAGTGATTCTGCAACTTGAATGGGAGAAAGATCCATATTCAGAGAGAGGAAATTTCGATAAGTTTTTCCAGTATGTTTCACAGAGAGTGGTGGAAGAGAATCCATCAGTTTTTGACAAATGAACATCAATACTGTTGCCAAGAAGTGATCCATTGGTTTCGTTTTCTTTTTTTTGAAAACAATATTCTTCTTACGTTGTAACGAAAACCAAATACTAAAATTGTTTTGCAAGTGGTTAAACGTTGAGGCATATTCTAACTTTTCAATTTTGGATATTGGAGAGGTGTGACTATTGGCTTGAAGTTTCCATCGTAGATAATTGAAAATGGCACTTGATAATGTTTGAATCTTGTACTCGAATGCAATGGTTAACAATTTCAGGAGATCCTCTTCATGTTGTTCAAAGAATATTTTGTCCCATTGATGATCGTTTCCTTTTTCTTTGTGATATGTAAAGTACGTGTCGGCAATTAATGAATACTTTTTTTGTTTCTTAATAAAAGACAGCATGTCACTGTCTCGTTCAATTTGTCTCAAGTAAAAAGGTACGTCTAATATCTCGAGTAGTAGTTCCAACTTCAATTGTTCAATGAGATATCTCAGAATTGCACTTTCAGATTCATTAAAGGAGAGAGCAATGGTATGCCAAATATTCTTGAGAGTGGAATTGGCGTTTGTTTCATTCTTTTTCGTGTCAATGAATTGATCCAAATAGTCAATAGAATCTGTAAATGAGACATATCTTCTTGGATGCTTCTTTTTTCTGTTGATTTGAAATTGATTACAAAACTTGGCCACTAATTTCAAAGGTCTCTCTGCATCTTTCTCATTGTCAAAGAGATCATTTTCACGAATGGTCCATTCAATGATTTTGTTGTCAGAGAGAGCGTCAGAGCTAAATATTTTCATTAAGGTCATGGCTTCTCTGTTAATATTTACAGTTAGATCGCAGTATGTGAGTGAGAAGGTATCTGTCAACATGTTGGTTTGGTACATGATGGTTGTGTGAACAATTTGAAATAATTGTAAACTTGTTACAACTTACTGCTAATAAAGACAATGTTTCTTCCATAACTAGAAATATCTGTGACATTGAAATAAACCTTCTCAAAAACATGTCTTTCTGATGCCGATTCATAGTAGTAGCTGTATAAATCGAGTCCATTCGTTAGGAATAATAAAATGTTTCCATAGCCATCACCGTCGACCACTTTTCGAATCGAAAATTGTTCTAATACTTCAAGAGAACCAATATCGAATATACAAAGTGGTTTTTCCGTGCTCACACTCTTACCACACACATAAATCTTGTTTGACTGTGTGACAAATATACTATTTCCATTCACTGCAAACACATCATCAATAATTTCATTATGTTGATAAAAGTACGACGCTCGTGTTGGACATCCAATGATTGATAAATTATTTCCAGTTGCCAACATGCCTCCAATATTTAGTCCATATGAAAATAGGGCGTTTTCTTCTTGAGTTAAAAACAATAGCGATTCCCCAAATCCAACCATTTTGTCAACACTGATCGAAGGTTGTGTCAATCGAAGTGGTGTAAAAACATTAGCCGCAGGTAAATCCAGATACATGCCATTAAATCCCAAATTTTTACCACAAGCAAAAATTCCACCGTCATAGGTGAGAAAGAAGGTGTGACATTCACTGGCAACAATTTTTCGAATTTTGTGACTATATAAATCGACCATCATGGGCTCACTTGCCACAAATTCAATGTCGTCACCAAGTCCAAGTCTTCCATCCTCATTTTCTCCTATTGTAGTTGTTTTTAAATAAGAAATTTCAACATCATTCTTATGGCTTTCGTTCAATGACTTACCCATTGCATAAACTCTTCCATTTTCTGTCAACAAGAAAAAATGTTTCTTGGAACCTAGTACAATTTCATGAATGGTTTCCATGATTGAATTAAATTTGAGTACAATACATGAAATTTTCAAAGTGTTTCCAAGTGAACACTTTTTGAAAATTTGAAAAGTAGGACCGCTATTTCTTGCCATTGGTCTCGTGTCAATCAGGTCTTCTCTCATGGATACAAATAAAGATCCAGACGGCTTAAATCTTGAAGTAGATGGAGTCGATGTTGTGGAAGGAGGAGTTTCTACGGAATCTGTGATGGTCATTGATGTGTTTTTCTTGTTAAATATTGAAATCATTTTCCTTCTTTTTGTTTGTTGCTGCTGCTGTTCCGTGTAGTGATTATTACTTGGATTGACAGTGGTCACACTTGTTGTCGAGTAAGATGAAGGTGGTGATGTTACAGATGAAGATGGCTTTTCAGTATTCCGTCTTCTGTTTGATAAATTGTGACAATTAAATTCAAATCGATCGTCTAAATTTCCAAAAATACAAATTCGATCATTTTCATCCACTAAGAGTGAACATTCTTCAAAAGCGAAGACTCGCCGTATACTTGACACTGGAAAAATGGTTTGATCCATTCCCTTAATTGTTGCTATTTCTGTACTTTCTGTATTGTATTCATGATGACAGCAAGATGGCGGCGTGTCATTAGGTTCGCTACCCTCGTTGTGAGGATGATCGCGATGAAAAGATGATCGATGTGGAATGTAACGATGTAAAAATCCTCGGATGTGAATATTCCATGAAGATTCTTCTTCTTCCTCCTCTTCATCCTCTTCATGATGGGAATTTAAAATATTTTGTAAATATAATTTAGGAGATGAAGTTGGCAATGATGACGAATTATTTTTCAATTCTTTGGGTGATGATGGTGTCGTGGTTGGAGAGAGAGTTTTACATGTCGATAATATGGAATTAAGTGGTGATGTTGTGAGAAGAGGAGAAGTAACGGAAGAGGGGTGATGAGGTGATGATGGAGATTTTGGAGATTTGGGTGATTTTGTGCTTCCGATTCTTGTGGAGGATGAAGAATCATGGTTTTGTAAGGATACAGAAATAGTTGGTAAATGTGACAACATGTTGTTGAGTGATATCTCCAATATTGAAGCGACACAAAATCATACAAATGTGCAATTTGTACACTTGTTCGTGATGATGAATAGTGTATTTTTTTGACCTGAAAGATCTCGCAATGACAAATGACTGCTTCATTCCAACATTAACAAATCTGTCGGACTAGTTGTTGCGTGTTAATCGCGTACACACATTCCTTTCATTATCTTTTTAAATCCACAAGATGATGACATCCATTCGTTCTTCTGCTTTCATCCATAGGACAAATACATGAAGACAAACGCACAATTCGCTTCTTCCAAAGATAACACAAAAAAATGGCTTCATCACTCCGCACTGTTTACACTCATCTCGTCGATCATGTGAAAAAGTACAAGGTCTTGCAATCTGTGAGTGCCTTGCTTGAATGGGACGAACTTGTCATGATGCCAAACAATGGTGCCGATAGTAGAGGACAACATAAAACCGTGGTAGCTTCATTGGCTCATGATTTGCAAACCAATCCTGTGATTGAGCAATATCTTTCTCAGCTTGTGGAACAAGATCAACAAGACAGCTCGACGGTCAAAGTCAAATCATGTTCGGAATCTGCTTTCAATGAACATGAAATCTCCAACATTATTCTCATTCACAAGGAATACCAACGAAACACCAAGATTCCAAAAGAGTTGGTCGAGAGAGCCAGTGAGTTGTCATCCCGAGGCTATCATACTTGGGTCAAAGCAAGAAAGAACAGTAATTGGGCTGAATTTGCAGGCGTTATGCAAGAATGGATTGATATCAGACGCCAAATGAGTCTGTTGATTGCTCCTTCCAAGAACGTGTGTGATACTTTGTTGGACGAGTATGATCCTGGAATGACTTGCGAGGAGGTTGATCGTGTCTTTAGCTACATCAAGAAGGAGTTGGTTCCTTTGATCCAAGCCATCCGCAAAAAGGTACAAGAGCAACCTGAAAAGTATGGTGATGAAGCCTTGCTTTCCAAAGTACAATCAAGCAACGAGGGTACCTTCCCGATTGAGAAGCAAGCTGAGTTGGCCAAGCTTGTAGCAAAAGATATTGGCTTTAATTTTGAGGGAGGTAGATTGGACGTTTCCGTACATCCCTTCTCTACTTCATTCTCAACTGATGATTTGAGAATTACCACAAGGTAAGTGTGTGGTTTTTTTATGACCGTTACACATTTCATATTTGATCGATATTAATTAAATTTTACTGAATCATGTTATTTGGAATAATGAAAAATTTGACAACAACAGATATGACTCGAAAGAATTTGTGAACGGATTGGCAGGAGTCATTCACGAAACAGGTCACTCACTCTATGAAGGAGGTTTAAACAAAGCTTATGCCTATCAACCTGTGCAAGCAGCATTGGGAACAACTATCCATGAATCACAATCTCTATTTTGGGAGCGTCATGTAGGATTGTCATTGCCATTCTGGAAGAAGTGGTATCCAGTAGCAGAAGAAATGTTCCCCTATCTCAAGGAAAAGAATAATTCCATCGACGACGTCTATAGAGCTGTAAATGTTGTTACATTGAATAACTTTATCAGAATTGAGAGTGATGAGTTAACATATCCAATGCACGTTATTTTGAGATTTGAAATTGAAAAGGCCCTCTTTGACGGTTCTCTTAAGGTTGAAGATGTGCCAAAAGCTTGGAATCAAAAGTTTAAGGAATATCTCGGATTGGATGTTCCAAGCGATTCCAAGGGTGCCTTACAAGATGTACACTGGTCTTCAGGTGCATTCTTTTATTTCCCAACATACTTATTGGGTGCTGCTGCATCTGCTCAAATTTCTTCATCCATTCCTGACTTTGAGAAACACATTCAGGAAAATAATTATCCATTCCTAAAGAATTGGTTGAACGAAAACATTCATGAAAGAGGCAGTGTCACCTTGAACTCGAATCGATTGCTTGAAGTGGCCACAGGTCAAAAATTGAATGCAGAAATTTTTATCAACTACCTCAAGAACAAGTACTCCAAGTTGTACGACCTTTAACCTGTCGTGTGTTGATACGCTCGTCCTTTCGGTTGAACGAATAAAACTCAGTTGACAACAACCTTCACTTTCGAAAATCCATCAAACAAAAAAATTCAAAAAAAAAATGTCAAGCAAGAAATCGAGTGCTTCATCATCATCCAATTCCTCGTCCGGAGTGATTGAAGGTCTCTCACCAGCCGAAGCCAAAGTGAGAGCATCCAGTGAAATTGTGAAAGAGCTCCTCAAGGCCTATGAAAACAATGAAACCGTTGTCATGTCCAAAGTACGAGCAAAAATCTCCCGTAAATATAAAATCAAAACCGGACCCAAGTTGGTTGAAATTATTGCTGCCATTCCGGAAGAGCACAAAGCCAAGTTATTACCTCTTTTGAAGGCGAAACCAATTCGTACAGCGAGTGGTATTGCTGTTGTAGCAGTCATGTGCAAACCTCATCGATGTCCTCATATTGCCATGACCGGAAACGTTTGTTTATATTGTCCAGGTGGTCCCGATAGTGATTTTGAATACAGTACACAATCATATACGGGCTACGAACCAACAAGTATGAGAGCCATTCGAGCTCGTTATAATCCATATCTTCAAACTAGAAATCGTATCGATCAATTGAAGAGACTTGGACACGATTGTGATAAAGTGGAGTTTATTATCATGGGAGGTACTTTTATGAGTTTGGATAAGGAATATCGTGATGAATTTATTAGAAATTTGCATGATGCTCTTTCAGGTCACACAAGTTCGAGCGTGGAGGAGGCAATCCGATACAGCGAACAAAGCAAACAAAAGTGTATTGGTATTACCATTGAAACAAGACCTGACTATTGTTTAAAGCCACACATTTCGAACATGTTGGACTATGGCTGTACCAGATTGGAAATTGGTGTTCAGTCAATTTATGAAGATATTGCACGTGATACAAATCGTGGACACACTGTTGCTGCCGTCAAGCGTTGCTTTACACTTGCAAAGGATCAAGGTTATAAAATTGTGGCCCACATGATGCCTGATTTACCAAATTCGGACATGGAACGAGATATTCTTGGATTCATTGAATATTTTGAAAATCCAGCTTTCAGAACAGACGGTCTCAAACTTTATCCAACACTGGTCATCAGAGGTACTGGTTTATATGAACTATGGAAGACGGGTCAATACAAGAATTATTCGCCAGATTCCCTTGTGGATTTAGTTGCCAAGATTTTGTCACTCGTTCCACCTTGGACTAGAGTTTACAGAATTCAACGTGACATTCCAATGCCACTTGTCACAAGCGGTGTTGAAAAAGGCAACTTGAGAGAATTGGCTTTGGCAAGAATGAAAGATTTAGGATTAAAATGCCGTGATGTCAGAACCAGAGAAGTTGGTATTCAGTCCATTCATACTAAGGTCATTCCTGATGAGGTTGAGCTAATTAGAAGAGACTATTGCGCTCAAGACGGTTGGGAAACCTTCCTTGCCTACGAAGATGCTGCTCAAGATATTTTGATTGGACTTTTACGTTTGAGAAAATGCACACAAACGGATACGACCTTCCGTAAAGAATTGAAGAATGAAAATATTCAACAAACAAGTATCGTTAGAGAATTGCATGTTTATGGTTCTGTTGTACCAGTTCGTGCCAGAGATCCAACTAAATTCCAACATAAGGGTTATGGTACACTTCTCATGGAAGAGGCAGAACGAATTGCTCGTGAAGAACATGGTTCACAAAAGATTGTTGTGATTAGTGGTGTGGGTACCAGACATTATTATCGAAAGCTTGGTTATGAACTGGATGGACCTTACATGAGTAAGATGCTTGTTTAATTTGTTAATATCTGTTCACAATAACATTTAATTATTAATTGAATGTAGAGAGCTATCCAAAAACATGACATCTATGTCAAATGTTCAATGGGTTATGGTACACTTCTCATGAGAGTCATGGTCCTCAGCGAGCTACCAGGTTGTTTAAAGTCTTAAACAAAACCATGAATTAATTTTGAATTGTGGTTGTGGTGTTGAGCCCAAAATCAATGACGTAGTATGTGCATATGCAACCACCGAGTTCAAAGTTCTCCTCACATTAGAGATTTGGCTGGTTTCGACAAGGGTTTATAATTTATTACAAAAAAAATGAATTCACCTTTTCAGCACGATATTGTAGACCTGCTCTCGAACCCTCCTCCGACCACGCATGATCAAACAAAAGCGAATGGATTATTGCAAGCCTTTGATCATGAAGTAATATTCAATTGTAAACACTTTCAAAACGATGTCGTTTATTCAAATTATGAATTTTATATGCAGAGCTTGAAATCTGCTACTCTTCTCTTGCTTCCTTCCAATCCCGTTGATTCATCACACAAACTGCTTCATTTAGATTTGACCGGAAAAATTAATGATGCCACGATTCACAACCTCAAAGTTAATGCCAACTTGGCAAAATTCAACACCAGTGGAGAACTGGTCGTGTTACAAGCTCCGTATCCAACTAAAGCAATGCAAGTATTTAATATCGTTCAAAAAACAAAAGTGCTCAACATTGACGATCATGAAATAGTTTTTATTGACTGGCTTTCCAATGATACTATAGGCTATGTGAAAGATGGATCTGTACATGTACAGAAGCTAGATCAAACGACAGAGCCCGAAAAAGTGTTTTCCGTTGCAGAAGATTTTCTATCAGGAGTATCTCCTCACAAGGGAATTATTAAATTGGAACATGATGCTCATGATGATTTTTTCGCAATCTTGGGAAGAACAGACGGTGGTGATCAAATTGCAAAAATATACTCGAAAAAGCGCAACATCTCTCGAACTATACGTTCAAGCGTTGGAGGATTCACATTTGTGACACTTAAAGATGATAATAGCTCAACGGATAGTGTTAAATCCTATATTGTGATAACCACAGGAAATAATATTTTGTTTTCAGACCCAGCAGACCGACAAAGAGTTCATCTCGAAACAGAAGAACCGACCGCTCAACTCTCAGTTCACTTTCTGAAAAAGTACAAACTTGTGATAATACTTTCAACGAATGGAACATGTTACATTTATGATGCAAAACGAAAGACTCAGATTATACATGAAATAATTTATGATAAGTCCCAACAACAGGTTGAAAATTCCTTTGTTGTGGATGAAGAGTATTTGATCATTCATGACACTATGGGAGAAATTGTGAAATATTCAGTGAAACCTGATTTCATGTACAATTATTATTTGAAACTGGCAGATGCAGAGATGATTCATTTATGGAAGACAGAACTATCCAAGAAAGGAATTACTCATGTTTTACTCTCTGAATGTGTCAGTCCTTTGTCAAGACCTTTAAAAAAGTATAATAGAGACCTGAAAGGATCTATACATGTGTTTTCTCCATTGATTTCTCATTACTTTCCAAATTTTTATGAAAAAGTGATATTGAGAAATGCTGAACTTTCATCAAGTGAAGTTCAAGTTGTTGAACAATTAATATCATACATGATTTACGGAGGAGACGATGTGAAAATCAATACGGAATCTATTTTAGAATGGTCATTTATTGCACAACAATGTGGAGAAGAATTTTCAAAATTGAAAAATATGCTTAAATTATTGTTTTTAAAGACCATTCATGAATCAGTTGATCCCTTTCAATTGGTGACTCAAATTGAAGGGTTGATATCCAAACATCGGAATGACAATGAAGATAATAATATCCTTAATTACTCAATTGTTAACGAGCAAGCAAAATCAGTGACCATGTCTCTCAAGTTCTTGATGAACGACACGAATTCTAGCGATATAACTGTTGAAGCATTTGGAAAGGGGTATCATCTGCACAGAACTGTGATTTCAAGTGTGAGTGAATTTTTCCAAATCATGATGGATGAGGAAGGTGCCTTTAATGAGAGCAAAAATAATGTTTTATCGTTACTTGATCATGAAAGCATGTCAAAAAGGGATACAGAGATTATGAATGAAGAAGACAAGAGAGAATCTTTCGAAATATTGCTGGAATTCACTTATTCATCATTTGAAGAACGCGCACCTTCATTTTCACGGCCAATGGATGATATTTTCGAGCTCTTGTTCCCAAAACCATCCATTGATTCACATACCAATTTGAGACAGTTCATCATTGCCTATGACATGGCAGACTTGTATCAATTTAATTCACATATTCGATCAAAAGTAGTGACCATGATTGAACAAAATTTGACAGTTGAAACATTTTTACAGGTTGTTGAATGGAGCAAATCCTTTGCAGAAGAAGAGGGAAACGAAAATGAATTGCAGAATTGCTTGATTGATTTTGCATCGAGACATATCAAAAACATTTTGGCACATTATTCCAATGAAAAGCTTGGAGAACATGGAGAATTGTTGGCTAAAATTTTGAGAAAACTCTTCGTGCGTTAGAGTTGAATGAATTTCCAGAACCATGGCCAGTAACACATTCCATTGAGCGTTGTTGTTGAAAATGTCACATATTGTCCAGTGAATTTAAATGAAACATCAACAATCTTCTTTAAAACTATTGAGGCAGTATAGATAATGCTACAACCAAAAAATATTGAAAAATTCAGCATTGTTGTCTTGTTTCCTTTAAGGTTCGTCTTCGCCACCCAATCTCATGAGAGATAGAAATTGAACAATTCGGAAAGTGGCACCTGCAGGTCGTCATGTCGTACGAATCGTATTCCAAAAAAAATGTTCGATTTGAAGAGTTCTTCGCTACGACCACGACCAACGACAACCGCCACTTCGGGCAAGCTCCTTCTTCTTGGTTCTCTTTTCGCGATGATGATAATGATCATCAGTGCATCTTGTATCCAAGCTCTAGAACAACCCACGCTCTCCATCTCTTCATCAAATACATTTAATCCTTCCAAGAAATTCTCTTCACGAGTTCCGCAACGAAAGAGGCAACAACAAGCCTTCTCCACCATGTCCTCTTCATCATCTAGAAGTATTTCCATCGCCGGAGGAAGTGTCGCCTCGTCTCACGAGTTTCCATTCATTGTTTCTATTCAGCAAATTTTGAGCAGTACCGTGTCGGCACATTTCTGTGGTGGATCCGTGATAGCTCCAAATTATATTTTGACTGCAGGTAAGAATTGAATGAAAACCAAATGAATATTAATATCATTAATGTCATCATACAAAATTTCTGTAAATTTTTGGATGACGTTTGGCACCCATTTTCCGTAAAAGCTCATTGTGTCTATGACGACAATGGAAACCTTATTTTACCTACCACTGTTCGTGTCTTTGCTGGAAGTAGCAGTAGTTCTTGTTCCAATCTTGCAAACTGTAACTATAAGAATGCACAAGCCATCTATCCACATCCGAATTACAATTCCAATACCTTAGAGAATGACATTGCACTGATTAAACTTTCTGGAAATTTACAAATAGATGGAACCAATACGAGATTGGCTTACATCGAAAGTGGTTCCGTTCCATTGACAAAGAATTTTGCTGCCACTGTCGCTGGATGGGGATATATTGATTCGACGAATACTGTACAAACCAATTTAATGAAAGTACAAGTTCCAGTACAACCAGCAAGCGTTTGTAATGGAAGTCCATTGTATTTGGGAATGTCCTCTCCCATGCAAGTATGTGCTGGAGATGGTGCTGGCCATGATGCTTGTAAGTTGTCTCATTTTATGGAATAATTTTGTGAATTGAATGTTACCTTAATGGGAATGAACCACAACATATGGCTTAATCACTATTGTGACCAATTCAAACAGGTCCAGGAGATTCAGGAGGTCCTCTCTTCCGTTCTTTTAACTCTTCGACCAATGATTTTGTTGTGTTTGGAGTTGTCAGCTATGGTCCTGATGGTTGTGGTGCTGGATATGCTACTAATCGAGGTGTTTATACCAACACAACCTATTACCTTAATTCTTTCATCAAACAATATGTTCCATCTGTGCAAACGAGCTCATATTCATCATCATCTGGAGGAGGATCTGTCACGCCGGCTGTCTCTTCACCAAAACCTCAAGCATCTTCCAACAATAATTCATCCTCTCCAATTTCTACTTCGACCAGCAAACCAAAAGGATCAACCAAAGTTTCCATGGCTCCATCGATTGTTAAACTTCACTCTTACGATGGTGTGTTACTCATTTCTGGATGTATTCTATTGCTATGGTTGTCACTAGTAGTCTAAATTTTAGAGTCTTAAGAAGACAAGCATACTATTTTCAATCATCACTACCATTGTATAACATTTATTAACCTTCTCCTTAAATTTTAAAATTTTTACCCCTTTTTATCAATCAATTTTTTTAAATCCCTTAACACTCAATCCTTATCGCTCCTGCCATGACTTGTCCGTGTGTCGTGGTGGTAAATTTCCAATTGGAAATAATATTATATTATATTCGCGAATAAAACAGACGTACATGGACAAAAGGACGTTGGATTCGAATTCGTTGGTGCGCTCCAAATGTCGCTCTCAAACAGAAAAGGTCTCGAGTTCCAATTCGATACCAACACATACGAAAAAAAACAGCAATCTCACATGACACGCTCATCATCGTGGTTATTCGTATCTCTATTGGCGAACGCTCTCTTTGTGGTTGTCTTGATGGCTACCAGTTGTCATGGAAAACAACTGAGTGTATTCACAAGTAAAAATTCCGAATCAAAGAAGAGAAATGCCTATATTGCTGGAGGATCGTTGGCCAGTGATAATGAATTTCCGTTTTTGGTTTCTATTCAATTGATAGATTCATCAGCAACTTCTACGACACATTTTTGTGGAGGTTCAATCATTGCTCCGAATGTTATCTTGTCAGCAGGTAAGTGTTCATGAACTTTGAAATAATTGATGCAATAATAATGATGATCTATGTCAAATTTCAAAAACTGTCATTTTCCAAATTTGTAAAATTATTGGATTCGACATGACCTCTATGAAAAACAAACATGTTCTTTCAATCTAACAGCTCACTGTTTTTTCGATGGTAAAGGTGCTCCACTCTCTCCAAGCACTGTTCAAGTCGTTGCTGGAAGAACCAACAATTATTGCCCAGACATTTCTCAATGCAATTACGGCATTGCTCAATCCATTCATGTTCATCCCAATTACAATCAACAAACTCTCTTGCATGACATTGCCATCCTCGTACTCGATCGAAATTTACAAATCGATGGCTCTTCCACTCGTTTGGCATTTATCGAAAGTGGTTCCGTTCCAGTCACGAAAAATTTAGCCGTTCAAGTGGCGGGATGGGGATATATTGATTCGACGAATACAGTTCAGACCAATTTGAGAAAAGTGAGTGTTCCTGTGGTGAGTGCTGCGACGTGTAATCAGGGAGCAACATTTCCCAATCAAATATGTGCTGGAGATGGAGCTGGACATGATTCTTGTAAGTGTTGGTTTTGTTTTTTTTTGTGGAGTTTTGTGAACATTGGAATTGTGAAAAATCAAAAACTAATTTTGGGAATGGTAATGTGTTTGGTGATGGATTCGTGAAATTTATAATTCCGCTTTGTTCATTTGAAATTTGTAAATTCACACAATAATTCACAGGTTCTGGAGATTCTGGTGGACCTCTTTTTCGAGCACTTTCTGGAACAAAAGATTTTGTCGTGATTGGTGTTGTTTCTTATGGTCCTGCTGGATGTGGTGCTGGTTATGAAACCAATCGAGGAGTGTATACGAACACGACGTATTATTTGGATTCTTTCATTAGGCAATACGTGTCATCATCGACATTACAAACCAATGCATACAATGAAACTAAGGTGGAAGATTCATCGTCCAGAACCTCAATGGCTTCGAAAATGAGTTGTGAACTGTTGTTGTTATGTTATGGGATGTTGCTAATATTGAGTCTTGTCATGGCCCAATTGGTCTTGTAATGAACTATCACAAATGTTTAGGACATACCACGAGGACCTTAACTTTTCATTAAAAAAAGCTTTTTGTCCGCGTGGTACTCAAGAATTCTTTAATTGATCAAGATAGAGACGTCTCTGAGATTCAGTCAACTCTGTTTGGAGGTGTCAACGTTGCAAACAACGTCAATTTTCAACGTTCAAAGAAGGCCGACCACCAGCTCATTTTATTCAATCACCAATTTAACTGCAGTTTCTGAAATACCACCCTTACTGATCATAGAATCAACAATTTCTTCTCTCTTTTTTTCTATCTTTTTATCAAGGTGGGGCTGAACATTTTCTTTAACCATAGTCTTCAACTTTCCGGTAAAGGAATTATCATACGTGGTGTAATTCTTTGTTGTTGGCATTTCAAGTGTAGCGTTGTTTCTTGCCCGTTCGAGATCCTCGTCCAATATAGAGCTTCTGTTGATACGTTCTCGCTCACGAATTCCGTTCAAAATGAGATTCAAACCTCTCTTGGAGAATAGATAATTGTTGAAAACAATAACCTTAATGGACATATCAACCAATAAATTGATCTTTCCCTTTTTCAAAACGCCACCAGCAGCCTTCTCAATACCAACGTTTCCAGAGAATGTAACATTCATACCGCGGTGCTTTAACATAGGAGTTCTATATCATGAAGGTGGCTCTATTGCAAACATTCCATTTAATAAGGATTATAAGAAAGCATTTGCATGGTGGAAGCTTGCTTTGAACCGTGGACACGCTCTCTCAGCCTACAACATTGGTATTCTATTGAAAAGTGGAGATGGTATTGATAAAAGCCCTTTCAGGAACGACGTTCTTCACCACCACATCTGCACAGCATCTCGCAACTTCAGCAAAGTATTCTTACGGATCAAAGCTTAGTTTTTGTTCTTCACCAGATGCTGGAGCTCCAGCATCCATACTCCTCAACAAAATGTTGAACACTTGAGTTTCCACGTATCCTCGCAAGAATTGAAGCATCTGGTCGAATTCAGACTCACTCTTGTTCTTTCCCAAGAAGCTTGAAGAGAGCCAGTTGCCCAACTTGACTTCCTTCAAGCTGTTGATAGTAAGGATGAAACCGGAACAAGTACTGAATTGCTTCAACACTTCAACACCAGAGGGCATATAAACGATAAGGTCAAGTACATCTGGGTACTTTTCAATAATGAATCACTATTGAGAAGGTCGTTGATTGGGAAGGCCACCGGAGTCAATTGAACCGAGCTGTCTGGGTCATCCTGATTAATTTTACCCCTAATGGCGGGTTCGGTTTGTTTTTTCAAATCTTCCTTAACGAGTGAGCAAGGTAGCATGAACTAGTACAAGTTTGCGTGGGAAAGAGTTATGTTGTAATAATAGTGGCAGAAAATTGATGGAAGCTGCACTAATGTTGTAACGCGTACCAAAATATTTCCATTTTAGGACAATGGAGCCAATTAGCACGCTTCATAATGGATGCTTTGAACTAATTCATCAACAAATTACGTTGAAGTGAATTTCTGAATTGACCAGTTGAATTTTCTTCAAAGATCTTAAACTCCTTGTGATAAAATGCTTTGCGAGTGGTTGAAGGAATTCTTCACTTTTTGTGGTACATGCTTTCAATGTTGCATTGCAGTGGACCTTTGGTGTTGCTGTGTCGATGGTGCTCTTTAATTTCGAGTTATAAACAAGTTCTATACGGTTGAAGTAAAAAATAATGTTCTGTAATTTGTAACGAGTGATAATTTCAGCGCTCAAAAAAATGTTAAAAGATGATGCGAGACATATGGTCCCTCCGAACGATCTTGATCTGCTTCTCGCTCTTCTACATCATCTATAATTCATTCAATAGATTTAATTCTTCACGGACTCTCATTCTGAATCATTCGGATCCCTTACCTCCTTTTTTAGAACCATTCTCATCACATCTTGTTCAATTGATATCGAGTTGTCATCAGGTTACAGACTCGCCATCATCGATCAGCACTCATCACTCAACAACCAGTCTTTTTCACGTCCAAAATTTATATTTGAGTTGTTTTGATCATAGCGAGGACATGAACGTTCCTTTGTGGACCATTCATTCCATTCATTCAAATTCTTTATCAGATCAATATTCCAGAAGGCCAAATGTTTATGAATGGTCCTCACCACCCTCACTCATGCATATCCCTGGAACACCCTTTCAATCGGTTGGACAGATTCCCTATGATCGTGGACATTTGGTTCCATGCGGTGATTTTACTGCATTCAGTGAAAAATATGAAACGTTTAATATCATCAATCGAGCTCCACAACTTTCGCAAAATAATCAAGGAGTTTGGAATCAGTTAGAACAAGCATTACGGAATGCCATTGATCAAGTGGCAGCACAAAATAATGTACATGTTGAGGCCATTGTGGTAACAAGACCTCTCTATGATAAGAAATATAATTTTCAAATCACAACCACAAAAGGAATCAATTCAATTCGAACTCAAATTCCATTTTCTTTCAATAAGGCGGTGTTAATTTATTATGATGGGACATTGAGAGAGGCTTTTTGTTTGAGCGTTTTGAATCGAATTGTTGAACATTCAAGTAACTTTATGAATTTTATTAAGGATTTTTCACAATGTGACAATCGTGTGAAAGAAGGAATTGTGATTAATAGCTTCTCTGTTGGACAGGTATTCAATTTTATCAAGAATGAAATGCAAAAACGGTCATACCAGCATCCTACCCCAAGACGTGACGATTCTTATAAAACTAATTCTGTTAGAACATGGAACGGCTTTTGGAACACATATTCGAGCAAAGCTTATGGATGGTGGAAAAATACGAAACGATATTTCCGCAAAAACAGACCATTCTTCTTTCCAAGAAGAAGACGACGTCAAGCTAAATGGAAAAGACCTTATCAAAGACGAAACCGTTATGAATATCACAATCAACACCGACGACGACGAAGAAGATATTAAATCAATCATTACCACAAGCTCGTTGAGGTGAAATTACATGTTTACAGCAGTGAAGACAACATAACGATACACAATGATGACACTATTGCCACCAAAAAGCTCATGTTTGAAGCGTTCCATCCATAGACACTCATTGCGCCACCCGTAGAGATACAAGCATTCACATTCTTCATATAAAAATTAATTCCTCCCGAGTACAAATCAGCTCGATAATGTTGAAGGAAACTCGTTGGACTCACTGGTGATTTCAAAGAGCTTGCAAACAATAGTGTGACATTGGCATTCTTTGGAAATGCGAAATAGGTGTTTGGAGCTCCTGCTGGACGTGTGAGAGTTCTCACATACGTCAAGGTGGTGACATTTCCAACTGTGGAAGACGCTGCAGCAAGGAATTGATTATTTGTGAGCTTACTTGGTTGAGTATTTCCGTTGGCATAGTACTGTGAGTGTAAAAGAAATAAAGCACAATGTGTGGTGGTCCACAATATTATTTCACACAAAATTATTATTATAAATTTTCACACAATGGTTGACCATAATTTTTCACACACACAACATACCTCATTGACAATTCCATTTCCATAACCAAGCAAAATGGTACTTCCAGGCATTCCATATCCTTGATTGGTGAGTTTAAATCCAATCGATCCATAACCAGGAGCACTTGGAAGTGTAAATCGTGCACTGAATCGATCGTTTGGTTCATCAAGCGTCCATTCCACTCGATAGACATCAGAGGATGACTTGGATCGGAAAACGTAACAATTTTCAAACAAAGTCGGAAGGGTGGTGTTTTGAGCAGAAACGATGGCAGAGAAGAAGAGAATGAGAAGAAGGAAAGGGCTAACGATCCAAGAAGTCATGTTGTGGTCCTATTTTTTTTGGTGTTTGACACTTAGATCGTTGGTAAATCGGATGATTTGGAGATTTAACGTCACTTGTCAATAATTGAAGAAACCTTAATTCCTTATCATTTAGCTTTGAAAAAACTGGCAACTTTATGCAAGATATTTCACAGAAAATCTTTGCTTCAATTTCCGATTTCCAAGGTTGCATTCAAATTTAGCTTTTAACGCTTGGGAATGAAATTTGAACCTGACCAAGAAGGACGAAAATATTTTTAGAACAAAAACTGAAAAAAATATTCTCTTCAGAAACGCACAATCTCAACAACACCAATATTTGAGTTTGTTGATAACAATAACCACTTTCGGAGTTTGAAATTCGTTACCGTTATAGTATAAATATTTTATTCATTTGGGTTTTGTAAATAATATTTAAATTATCATCACCAACACATTCCGATTTGAAAAGAAAAAAGATCGCCATCATGATGAAATTACAAATTTTACCAAAGGAAATTCTAATTCATATTGTCCAATATGCTATTGATAGATTGGACGTGATTCCAACACTCTCTCATGTGAGCAAGGAGTTTAGAGAAATTATTATGGACAATGATGTTTGGATTCATGTTTCAAATTTGTTGGACTCTAACAAGAGTATGACACCTATTCAGGCCATTGTCAATGAGAATCGCAATACTGAAAGTGATCACACTATTTTCATGAAAATCCAACAATACTTTCAATCCCTCAGGTATATTCAGTACATTCAACTCGTGAAGGAAGATAATTGTAGCAAGCCTGAAACCATGGTGTTTGATCCATTTTCCAAGTTGGCCATGGGAGATTCCAAGTCCTTTTCCGATTTGATTGACTTGTTTGGAATCAACTCATTCCGTGCCTATCATTTTGTTAGTAAGGGTACAGATCACAAGATCACAGATGCCGCTTGTGCTGCTATAATGGATACGATGGGATTTGATACAGGCAAGCAATTTGGGGAGACCATTATTCAAGCATCGTTTGTAGTAGGTGAGGAGCCTAACGAGAAATGGGTCAATGCTTATCTTATTACATTCAATGATAAGAACCAACAAGTGCAAGAACCTCCATTGCTGACATGCCCTGCTCTTAATGTCACAGTCACTTCTCCAACTCCGGCACAACAACAATCCTATTACGATCTCATTGAACGGATGAAGGAGATGCTTTCTTCCAGATTTGAAAGAAAAGCTAGCTTTGTTTGTTTTGAGAAGGTGCATATTAAGAGAAGCAAGCTATTCAAAATCACAAAAAAGGAGGAGCTAAAAAACAAACGTATGAAGCAAATGGCCAAACAGAAGCGATTTGAATTCTGGTTTGGTAACGAAGTTTCGAACTGCAATAACAGTGCGTCTAATTGCAGTGACTCTTTTTTTAGGTTTGTTAAACCTTTTTCAGCCGTTGTGTAAAGAGTTTGATCATGCATTCCAATATTTCGGAATGCTAACCAGTTGTGCCCTCTCCAGCAAGTACACTTCCGACCGCTTCGCCATTTTTATGACTTTACAAGAAAAGAAGAAACGAGTTGAAAATCCCTTTACTTTCTCAACTAGTTTAGCCCCTTCTATTGCTAACTTGTAATCCCTTACGTGTCAATAACATTCTCGTTGCCCAGCTATTATTTCCATCACAAAGCCAACATCTCCAAATTGGTTAACCAAACAAAAATAAACAATAATGAAATAATCAAATTCATCTCTTTCTACCGTAATCACCACGATCCAAACGGTGTTTCATGCGAGATAACAAATACTTTAATTAATATTTTAGGAACACTATCCTTTCGGGTCGATTCCCTAAGCTGCAAATTCTCCATGAAAACCATTCCTTGTCAAGTGGATGTTCGGATTAAAAACCGTTCATGATCTTCATTTTACAAAACAAATTAATTGTTGTATCTGATGATACTCTGTCTAACTGTAATGGTCTAGCGTGGACGCACCCGACTGCGATTAATAATAAGCAATAAGTAATGAATTATTACAGCACCGCAGAGTTGGAGTCAATCATTTCGGAAATTACAAGCAAACGTGAAGAAAAACGAATTTCGGGTGTTGACTCATTCAGAACTCATGTAAGTTTAAGAATTACCAGCCGTTATTTTGATATAACTGAATGTTATTTTCAGGTTGAAAAGCTTTTCAGAGAAAACACCACAGACGACTTTGTGGACTTTATTGAAGAGTTTCTAAATGACAAGGTTGGATCGTTGTTGAACTCTCGTGAAGCACATGAAAGAAGAGCGTCCATTATTTTGATTGATCTCATCATGGATATTCATAATGACAGTCAAAAGAAAACCAACCGAATTCGCTTTAGTACTAGACTGTATTCTCATCTCAAAATTGCTTTAGGAAAATATGTGCACGATTCTCCAGTCGTGCTTTTGATTTCAAAAATATTTGGCAAGCTTGCAAGAGAGCTCAATTCGTCACAACATTCCAACAAGACTCTCACTGCCGAATGGGTTGAATTTGAAATTAAAAGAGCAATGGAATGGATCATTGGTGACGATAAGGAGAGACTTGCAGCAGTAGCAGTGTTGAAAGAGTTAGCTCAAAATGCTCCAACTCTGTTCTATCCTCACGTTCCAACTTTTCTAAGCTTAATTTGGAATGGAACCACCCACCCAAACATGGATACCAGACTTATTTCTGCACAGGCATTACATGCTGTAATGGATTTAGTATCGCGACGTCCGTCTAACTTTAGAAATGTTTGGTATCAAGATATTTACGAGCAAGTAACAATTAATTTCAAAGGTTCTAAGACTGAAGCAATACATGGAGCGTTACTTACAATTACAGAATTGATGCGAGTTGCAGGAAATGTTCTGAAAGATGCTTTTGATACTATTTGTAAAAGTATTCTTTACTTTAAGCATCACAAAGATAGAATAGTGAGAAGAGCTGTCATCGAACTGATTCCAGTGTTAGCAACATTTAATGGAGAACATTTCAAGGACAAGTATTTTCATCAGTCCCTGTACATCATATTAGACACAATCAAGAATGGTTTCGAAAAACCACCTTGCTTTAAGGCATTGGGAGAATTGGCTATGCGTGTTGGGCAACCCATCAAGAACTATGGAGATGATATTTTTAATACGATCACAGAGTATGGACTGAAACATTATTGTGACGAGGCTTTGACTTGCATTAGTGACATTTCAAAAGCCGTAGGAGAAACTGTATCAGTTCGTATTTTACATTTACTTCCTTCCATGTTTGCTGGAGGTTTATCAACAGCATTAATTCAATCTCTCACAATTATTTCTAAGGAAATTCCAGCCTTGCTTCAACCCATTCAAAAACGTGTCTTGGATACCATTTCTCAAATTCTGGCAAGACAACCTTTCAATACTCTCAATCCTGTGACTCCACCAACACAATTTGCTCCACATATTGAAGCTTCACTCTATAGCACGCCAACCATTGTTTTCGCTCTCAAAACCTTGGGAAGTTTCAATGTCAAGGGCCACAATTTAATAGATTTCGTTCACGATTGTGTGGTGAAATATCTTGACGATGACATACCGGCAATTAGAAAGGAGGCAGCAAAAACATGTTGTAGACTTTTAGTGAGTCAAGGAAAACCACCAGTGAAAGGTCACTTTGGTTCTGTTGTTGGAGATGTACTTGCCAAGTTGTTAATTGTTGGTATTACTGATACCGATTTTAGCATTCGATATGCAGTATTATCGTCATTGGAGCCAAAATTCGACCACTATTTAGCATTATCAGACAATTTAAGATCATTATTTATTGCTTTAAATGATGAAGTGTTCGAAATTCGAGAAGTTGCAATTTCTATCATTGGAAGATTGAGCATACGAAATCCTGCATTTGTGTTACCATCATTGAGAAAAGCACTCCTTCAGTTGTTAACAGAATTAGAGTATAGTCAAGATTCTCGAAGTAAGGAAGAGAGTGCCCGAATGCTAGGACATTTAATTGTTGCGGCACCTCGATTAATTAAGCCCTATGTTTCTAGTGTTCTTAAAGTTCTCATGGAACGAATTAAGGATAATAACCCAAACGTCTCTTCATGTGTGTTGGATACCACTGGAAAGCTTGCTGAAGTTGGTGGCATGGATATTGTAGATTTTATTGATGATTTATTACCATCTGTGATCGAAACATTGCAAGATCAAAGCTCATCAGTCAAGCGAGCAATGGCGGTGAAGACTCTCGGACAAATAGTTGCCAGTACTGGTTATGTGATCACCCCTTACATCAAATATCCTAATTTATTGACATTGTTGCTTGCAATTCTAAAATCAGAGGAAGATTGGTCAACAAGAAGAGAGATTATCAAAGTTTTGGGTATTATTGGAGCCATTGATCCATATCAACACAAAGTTCAACTCGAATCTTCCAAAGAGAATATGGACACAAGTAGTGACATTATTCCAGGTTTGAGTCCCTCTTCAGAAGAATATTATCCTACAGTTGCTTTCAATGCTCTCATTAGAATTTTAACTGATCCCTCATTATCATTGCACCATCTTTCTGCGATTCAAGCAGTTATGTATATTTTCACAAGTTTGAATATGAAATGTGTTCCATTTTTACCTCAAGTAATGCCTCCATTCTTGAACTTAATAAGAAATTGTGAGCCAAATATTCGAAACACAGTTTTCCAACAACTGAGCTTGCTAGTCTCAATTGTGAAACAGCACATTCGAAATTACTTGGACGAAATTTTTGTGCTCATTCATGACTTTTGGAATAGCTCTTCATCTGATACAGATTTTAAGGAACAAATTATTTCTCTCGAAGAAGAAATATGTACAGCACTTAATGAGCAATTCAAACCATATTTACCTGATGTTATTCCTCAACTTTTGAGTGTGTTGCAAACACCGCCACAACCTAAATCAGCAAAGAAAGCTTTACATGCGCTCATCGTTTTTGGACGACATTTAGAAGAATATTTGTATTTAGTAGTTCCAATAGTTGTCAAACTTTTTGAAGCACCAACAGCTACACCTGTGTTAAAGAAAGAAGCCATTCGATGTATTGGAAAATTGAGTAGAATTTTGAATTTTTCAGAATATTCTTCGAGAATTATTCATCCACTTTCTCGAGTCTTGAAGGTACAAAATACAGAGATTCGACAAGAGGCCATGGATACCTTGTGTAATATTATTCATCAATTAGGAAGTGATTTCTCAATATTTATTCCAATGGTGACCAAAGTTTTAACTCAATATAACATTACTCATCAAAGATATAATGAACTCATTTTCCACTTACTCAAAGGTTTACCACTTCCAAACATGCCAGAAGATGAAGATGAAATCGGCCACTCTCTAGCAGGTGAAGATAGTTCAACAGAGATCAAGAAAATGGCTATCAATCAAAATAGTTTGAGAAAAGCATGGGAAGCTTCTCAAAGAGCAACAAAAGACGATTGGATTGAATGGAATAGAGGTTTCTCTGTAGAGTTATTGAAGGAATCACCATCTCCTGCATTACGTTCTTGCTCTGCACTCGCTCAAGTCTATCACCCTCTAACTAGAGAGCTTTTCAATGCAGGATTTGTGAGTTGTTGGTCTGAATTGGATGATAAGGCACAAAACGAGGTGGTGCGTGCTCTGGAAATGGCTTTCTCATCACCTGATTTACCTCCTGAAGTTCTTCAAACATTGCTCAATTTGGCAGAATTTATGGAACATGACGAAAATCCTCTTCCAATTGCTATTAGTGCCTTAGGTGCACTTGCTGAAAAGTGTCAATGTTTCGCAAAAGCATTGCATTATAAGGAAATTGAATTCCAACAAAATCCAAGCGCTCTTATTGAAGATTTGATCAGCATCAACAATCAACTTCAACAACACGAAGCAGCTATGGGTATCTTGAAATACGCTCAAAAGAACCACAGCATTGAGTTGAAAGAGTCATGGTATGAAAAGCTTCAAAGATGGAAAGAAGCCTATGATGCGTACAGTATCAAACAAAAACAAAATCCATATGATCAAAGCTTGACATTGGGCAAAATGCGATGTCTCAAAGCTATTGGAGAATGGGAAAAGTTGTTTAAGTTATGTCAAGATTCATGGAATACTGTGAGCGATAGTATCAAGGAAGAAATGGCACCAATGGCAGCTGCTGCAGCATGGAATTTGGGAGAATGGGAAAGCATGAGAAATTATGTGAACATTCTCAGTGAGGATACCAGTGAAGGTGCATTCTTCAGAGCTATTTTAGCCATTCACCAAAAGGATCACAATAATGCACAAATATTGATTGACAATACACGCAAAGTACTCGACACAGAATTGGCAGCTTTGGTTGGTGAAAGTTACAATAGAGCCTATGATATTATTGTTACTGTACAACAATTATCTGAAATGGAAGAAATCATTCGATATCAAAGAGCAGAAGATGAAGAATCCAAATCAATTATCCATCAAATTTGGATTGACAGGTTGGCAGGTTGTAAGAGAAATGTTGAACATTGGCAGAATATTCTGTCTGTTCGAAAATTAGTAATACCTGAAAGACAAGATCTCTCTACATGGCTCAAATTTGCATCAATTTGTAGAAAATCGAATAAGATCAAAATGAGTGAGAAAATTCTTCAAAAATTGGTTGATGGAATTGTGTTGAGCGAAGAGCCTGAGAAGCTTTTGGTATCACCTGACGTTCATCCAAAGATTTCCTATGAATACTTTAAACACATGTGGTCAGAAGGTAAACAAATGAAGGCATTTGAATTGATGAATCAATTTGTATATAATATCCAATGTGACAATCAATTGAAGGCCAGAGCATGTCTAACATTGGGTCAATGGCAAAAGGTTTTATATAGGCAACATGGAGGTTTGGATGAGAACAAACTACCTCAAATTTTATCTCATTTCAAGGCTGCCACCGATTTTGATAAGGAATGGTACAAGGCTTGGCACGAATGGGCATTGTTGAACTCTGAAGTCGTTTCACATGTGGAGAAGAAACAAAGTGCTACCAGAAGTATGGAATCCATGACTATTTATTTGATTTCTGCTTTGACTGGATTCTTTAACTCAATTAATCTCAGTCCAGATAGAAATTCAAGCTTACAAGACATTTTACGTTTGTTAACATTGTGGTTCAAGCATGGTGCCATGAAAGAAATTGAAAAGACCTTGGTTGATGGATTCAATACTGTCAGTATTGACACATGGCTTGAAGTAATTCCACAAATCATTGCTCGTGTCAACTCACATGTTGGTCCTGTACGTAAATTGATTCACAAGCTCCTTTCAAAGGTTGGAAAAGTACATCCTCAAGCATTGGTATATCCATTAACTGTCTGCTCTTACTCACAATCAACTTCAAGAAAGAAAGCCGCAGAATCATTGTTGAACTCGATGAGACAAAACAATCCAGTTCTTGTTGAACAAGCACTCATGGTGAGTCACGAACTGGTTCGTGCAGCCATTTCATGGACTGAAGAGTGGCATGATGCTCTTGACAATGCATCAATGTTGTATTTTAAAAATCACGATATACAAGGGATGCTAGACGTGTTACTTCCGTTGCATGAGAAACTTCAAAATCCTTACACTCTTAGCGAAATTTCATTTACCCAACGATTTGGGCACGATCTCGACGATGCTTACAAACTTTGCAAGAGACATCTACAAAGCAAGAAGGAAAAAGAATTAAGCTATGCTTGGGATATTTATTGTCGAGTGTTTATCAAGATCAAAGATCATGTAGAAAGAATGAAGAATACAGAACTTGACTTGCACACGCTGTCTCCCAAGTTACTGGAGGAACATGACTTGGAATTAGCTATTCCAGGAACATATCAATATACGGAGAGTTGTACAATTAATATTGCCAGATTTTCTTGCAAACTGTTTGTAATGCCTTCCAAGCAGAGACCAAGAAAAGTTCGTATGTTTGGCAGTGATGGAAAACGGTATCAGTTTTTGTTGAAAGGCAACGAAGATCTCCGTCAAGATGAACGAGTAATGCAATTATTTGGATTGGTTAACGCACTGTTGAAGAAAGATCTAGAAACCTCAGATAGAGACTTTAGAATTAAGAGATATTCTGTAATACCCCTAAGTTCCAACGCTGGTCTCATAGGCTGGGTTGATAATTGTGATACTCTTCATTCGCTCATTAAGCAATACAGAGATAGTAGAGGCGTGTTGTTGGATATTGAAAACCGACTCATGAAAAATATGGCTGCGAACTATGACCATTTGACACTAATGCAAAAAACTGAAGTATTTGAGTATGCTCTCGAAAATACCACTGGTCAAGACTTGTACAAGGTACTGTGGCTGAAGAGTAGAAGTTCTGAAGCGTGGCTGGAAAGACGAACCAACTATACTCGATCGTTGGCCGTCATGTCCATGGTTGGTTATATTTTGGGTCTTGGTGACAGACATCCCAGTAACTTGATGTTGGAAAAATCTTCAGGTAAAATTGTACATATTGATTTTGGTGATTGTTTCGAAGTTGCCATACACAGAGACAAGTTCCCGGAAAAAGTTCCATTCAGACTCACTAGAATGCTCATTAATACCATGGAAGTATGTGGAATTGAAGGTACCTTCAAGTCGACCTGCGAAAGTGTCATGACAGTATTGAGAAAAAACAAGGACTCTGTGATGGCCATGTTAGAAGCATTCGTTCATGATCCTTTAATTAATTGGCGCTTGTTAGAAACACAAATAGACAGTGGTGCACAAGAAGATGTGAATACCACAGCGTTAGAGGAACCCGCAACTGCATGGAGTTCAAACATCAGCATTACTCCATCTGCTTTTTCATCTTGGGGTAATCAAGAATCGAATGACAATGCGTATTGCCCTTCAAGATCTATTCGTGAGAAAAATCTTCTTAAAGCATTACACGCAGACGATAACGAAACGGAAGAAGCATCAGCTACACTACCAGTCGTTAACCAAAGAGCGCTCTCAGTCATTCAACGTATTGAACACAAACTCAACGGCACCGATTTTGTTGACGAAGAAGACGATCCCTCTGTCACCACCCCGCAAGAAGTTTCGCAACAAATTGATTTGTTGATTGAGCAAGCAACCTCAACATCCAATTTGTGTCAAATGTACATTGGTTGGTGTGCTTTTTGGTAAGAACTCAGGTATACCTTGAAGAAAATTTGGACAGAATAAAATTTTTGTATTTTACCTTCCATTCCTTCTTTTTCAGTTTAGAGAACATGACCTGCGTATTTTGAGACAGTAAACCATGGTGAAAGGTTCGTCGCAACAATAAATCTGAAATGCAATATTTAATTTGCTTCCCTATTCTTCGAATATTACATAGTTGCCTTAAAGTCTCTTTGTCAAATTAATGACAATTGAACAACCCGTTGAAATAAATCCATAAGCTGCCTTATATAACAAACTGTTTCTATCGGTATTGGCATCTCTTGCAATGTCATGGTGATGTAATTCTTCATCTCTATACTGCTTGATAATTTCTCGAAGCTCTTTTTCTTGAATTTCTTGTTTTTGATGCTCGGATTTGAAGAAGTATTCTGTATCGGTTTCAATATCAGAATCTGAAACATTGGTTGAAGAGCTCTCTGCCTTTTCCTGTTGTTGAGATTTGCTCAAAGACATTACATAAATATCTCTTAATTGTTCATTATAGTGATCGAATATTGTGTTCTCGATTGCTTCATGACAAGCCATAGCAGTGTTTCTTCCCAGCAATGCTGTTCCAATCCCTAACATGACTCCGGCTGGTTGCCAAATTGAACGGAAAATTGTTGGTCTCACTCTTCTCTCAATAATCATTCGATCAAAAGTAGCAAAATGATCTACTTCTTGACCCAAAATTTCATTCACAATTGGATCCTCTCCCAGCACCACCTTTTGTGCATTACAAATGGTAACAGCACCTAATTCACCAGCATGATCTACACGAATCATACTCTTCACAATAAATTCATCTTCCAATTCATTGACATCTCTCCATATCAATCCACTTTTATCAATTTTTGGAGTTGATGATGATGTTGCACCATCGGACGATTGTACATTAATCGTTGTTGTTGAATAATTCTTCTTGTTGAAATGATGATGATTTAATGTGAATAATGCTGATGATACATGGACTCCGATACCGCTATGACTATGCAAACGACTCACAAGAAGCCTCGAGCTTGACTTTGAAGCGGTCCATGCAAGCATTTTTTTCCTTTTGAAGAAGTTGATTGAAATGAGGGAGCCGTTGATAACTGTGATTACTATTTGTTATTACTTTACGTTTTGTTGGCTTGTGGTATAATAGTCGAACTAGTAGCATTAAGCCTTAATCTGAAGTAAAGACCTGCAATGTTCATTGTTCCTTCTCTGCTAAGAACAATGAACACAAAAAAATGAATCGATTACTTTCTGAAGAGGAGTCTGGCAACAATTGCCACGCTTCAATGAAAGTAATTTTACTGAATTTTCGGAACTTGGATCCGATTAGCAGTAGTAGCGATCAAAACCATCTTGATCAAGGCTGTTACTTGTTGAATTTTTTGAAAATAAATTTCATTTACAAACCAAAGGATTTATGAAATGGTTTCATGCAAGAGAACAAGCTCTCAAGAAATTTTTGGAGATGACTATGAATAATACTCGCTATGCTGATCCTCCAGTTGCTCTTCCCATTGAATTTATTTATGACGACCAAGTGACCTCTGCCTTTTTTGACTGTGATTTGACAAATTATGAAAATTTGGCATTTTGGAGTCGGTTTTGGGAACATGACAGAAAAAAGATGCTACAAATTGTGAAAAAGCATGGACATCAACTTCAATATGCATCCAATGAGCTAAAACAGGACTTGGAAATCGCTTTTAGCGCTTCGTTGTCATCTTACATTGTTGTGAGCTCTCTTCCAAAAGAGGTTAACCATAACAAGGAATTTTTGTTGAAGTTAATTGAACAAAATCCTAATTGTTATTATTATATACCTGAGGAATTAAAGAAGGACCATGATATTTCCCGGATGGCTATTTCCAAAGACCCATCAATGCTTCGTATTGCCTCAGAATGGTGTGACAGAGAAATGGTAAAACAAGCGATCGAACGAGATGGAATGGCTCTTCGAGGAATGCCATACTCGTATCGCAATGATAGAGAACTTGGCTGTATTGCTGTAAAAAACAACCCAAAAGCATTGTTACTTCTCAGTACCGAATTGCAAAACGATCGAGAGCTTGTGAAAATGGCTGTACAACAAAATGGTGAAATTCTTTGGAGTTTGATAGAAACCACTTATAAATTAGATAAGGAAATAGCATTGCTGGCACTCAATAATACCAAATCTGCTTGGAATTTGGACGAATCTTTACTCAATGACAAGGACATTGCCATGCACTATTTAAAGCTTGGACATTGGTTCATGAGAATCAAAAGTCCTTCATTAAGAAAAGATAAGGACATTATCCTACAAGCAGTGAAATACTCTTCTCCAAAAGTATACTTGGAACTTGACAACGATATGAAGAGAGATCACGAAATTTGTATGCAAGTGGTTAAGGATTTGGGATGTCTTTTGAGTGAAATGCCATACGAAATTCAAAATGATTTTGAAATTGTTTTCCAAGCTGTTACGACCAATCCGTTTGCTTTGAAATATGCTTCCAAAGAATTGAGAGCGAACAGAAATGTAGTTTTACAAGCTTTTTCTAAAGCATTGAGGTGCTGCCAACCAGATTATCTACCCAAACAAGCCATTTCCCTTGAAGAATACGTTGAAAACGCGCAGCAGCAACGACTCTATCAAAACTGTGTGTTCGGATACATTTCAGAGGAGCTGAAACATGACTTGGAAATTATTTTGAAAGCTTTGGAATTCCAAGATGAAACAGCGGCATTGATTCCACATGAAGCTCTCATTCATAATGATTACGAAGTGGTGAAAACAGCCCTTCAGAAAAATGGAGCTGTTTTGGAACATCTTCCACTGTTTATACGAAATGATAAGGAATTCGTATTACTTGCTGTGAGGCAGTGTGGAAGTGCAATGAGATACGCCTCTCAAGAGCTGAAAAACGATATGGAACTACTGAACGCAGTAGTGAAATCAAGTCCACTACTTAGTACTAATAATTTTTCCGAATTACTGCTGCAATCGTCACTGACACGGATGAGAAAAAGTGAAGCAAAGCAAAGACAATCCATTGTACCGACATTTAATTTTTATGCTTCCATAGAAACCAAGCAAGACCTTGAATTAGTGAAAGATGCCATTTGTAATGGATGCGGCGTTGAAAATTTTCAAAATTCAAAGCCAATGAGAATAGGAATATGTTCAAAGAATTGTTCAGCTATAAGAATGCAATTGTTTATTATGGATGTTACATTCCAGGTAACATGGAATGTTAACATGACAGTAAGGCTTGAAATTTGGCAATTATCTTACAAACGTTTTTGTTTATTCACGTTGGAATTGTGCTATGACGATAGAAACAACTGCCATCCACAAGATGATATTCAACAGATTTGATTTTGCCAAATGAGACATGGAAGTTCCTTTAGAAACGGTCGCTCTAGGTTTTGTTGAATTACTTGGTTTCAAAGAAGATGTTTGAGGAGAGGGTACAGGTGATGGTGTCTCACTCTTTAACAAACCTATTTCATCGAATGGAATTCTTGTGAAATTATACATCTCAGAATTTTCATAGACATTTCCGAGCACGAGAGTGAAATTCAATCGGGATGGATCTACAAAAACGCTGGAAGGCACATTGTACGTATTATTGGAATGGGCAGAGTATTTTCGAACGTTGGCATAAATATATTCTCTGTTAGGAGCAGTAGTGGCCAAGTTGAATCGAATAACGTTACCTACTGGCGCACCTGGGTTCTCTTGCAAAATGTTTACCAATTCTGGATACGACTCAATCCAAATGGCAGATTCATTAAAAGGAACTTTGAGAAGGTTTTTAACATGCTCCCCAGTGCCAGACCATGACAATCCTCTATCATCTGCCAAAATACTTTGAGAATTGTTCACAAAAATATTATTGGTAATCCAATTGTTTCGTCCTCCACCCAGCAGAACTCCACGGTTGCAATAAGCAAGAATATTTCCATATACTTTGGCTGAAGAAAACATGTCATCCAAATAGATACAGGTAGCTCCATACGACTGTCCATAACCACGAACTCGATAAATAAAGTTATACTTGATATGATTACCTCTCATGGACCAGTCTCGTCCTGAATAGATAGCACCTGCATCTGCAGTAGTTTTACACACATCATAAATCTTGTTGAAAGAGAATTCATGATTATTTCCGCCCCATAGAATGGCATTGTGATCTGCATTGAAAATTTCATTGTGAGAAACAGTGACAGCCACACCATTCACCCCCACTCCAGGTCGATAAGTTTTACCAATCCTAGAATAGGAATGAATTGTGTTGTTCAACACCCATGAGTTGCTAGGGGTGAGAGTGATTCGATCGCCACCACTGATTTGGACTCCTCCCATTCCATTGTTGAAAATAAGATTACTTTTCACAAGACAATTTGAACAGTCGGTCAAGGTTAATCCGGAATTACCTGTGTTTTGAACAAGGCAATTTCTAACTGTGATAAAGGAGGTGTTAAGAGAACGAATGGCATTTCCACGTGTGAAACCCATGTCCAGCTGTTCGAAATGTTGGTGATTAGAATAAACAACAAACAAATCAGCAGCAACAGAAATCATGACATCCTCATGTGTAGTAATTCCAGACGCAGGAGGCCAGAAATAAACAACGCCGTCTTGAATGATGTATTCTCCTGGCATGTCAATCTCGCTTAAAAAGTTGACCAAATAAAAGCGCTGATCTTCCTTAACACCGTATCGATCTCGTTTTTGCTTGAACGTGATCCTACCGTCACTTGTAATTGATGACAAATCTTCTGTTCCATCTGCCCAATCGACGGCCCAGTACCCAAAAGCAAAAGGATGTTTTTCGTGTGGCCATTTGTCTCTATTCTCACATTCGGAGCTATTGAAAGTGGTGTATTTACCAAAAGTGGAATTAACTTTCATAAAGACATCTACCACAAGATTTGTGTTTTGGGTGGACACAAGATCTTCTGTTGTCAACTTGTTGGGATAACGTGCTACAGTCTGAGGTTGACCTCGATAAAAGAGCTCATTTCCACTATCTGCATAACCATAGACAAATCCTGCTTGATGAAATGGAAACAGTTGAGACGACTTAAATCCAACTTCCGTTAAATTGCTTTGCAGAACATTTCCTTTTGCATTTTCTGGAAGCATTTGAAAGGCAAATGGATTGTTCCCTTGAGTTACAGCCTTCCATACATTTGGTGGTAAATAGATACCACCTCTAATTTTCACCTCTCCTGGTAGAGAGCCAGGAAGAGCTCTCCATGTGGTACTAACCTCAACATTTGTTGAGAAATTATCCAATTTCGTCTTGGGTAGGATTACCGAAGAGTTAAGAAAATGGGTTCCTTTCATGAGATTCACCACAAATGAAGTGGGTGGTGTGGTGAAATTCATCGAGTTCTTCATGTTGGTAATGACAGAGGCAGCTTTCGAAAGAGTTGCAAATGGAGAATTGAGAGACTGTCCTGAATGGAGATCGTCATGTCCAGCTGTTGGAGAGACATAGAACTGGATCAGAGTGTTGGCGGCTGCATTCAAAGTCTCACATGCTACATGTGCATGTTGAAGATAACAGAATGCCTGAATCGCTACAAGAATCAAGATCAAGAATACTTGCTTTTTTCGTGAGCTAAAACCCACACCGTTCGATTGCAACATGTTTTTTTGTCAATGAATGCGGAAAAGAAGAGCTTGAGAAGTTTTTTTGAACGTTTGTTGGTTATCCCGAGAGAACCATACGAAAAAAGAAACCATGTTCAGATATCTGTAACTATTGCAACTCGCGAGAGATTTTCCTGATTTCTATATCATCATTCTGTTGCCTATGATCATTATTAACACGGGATAAGATCGTCAAGTGGATTACCATCTTGATAGCCATAATAATAATCGCGAAAGCGAATAAACAGCTTTACAGCATTTTTTTGTTGTTGAAGACACTTAGTTGATCGAATGATCCTTGAAAAGCAAGATACAACATTAAGGGTTTTGAAAAACAGAAATCATTGTTCTGTTTAACAATTAATTAATTAATTGTTAAACAGAAAAAAAATGTCTTTATCCGATCCGAATTCCTTTACCGATGACATTCCGCAACAAGAAGCAGAGGAAGAAAAATCGTTAGAAGAACTCGAACAACAGCTCTCACAATTTACGGAACAATTAAATCAATGTGTCTTGTTGTCGCAACAAGAACCCGAGAATGAAGAGTATGGTGCTCTCATTGATGACTTACAAAATGCTATTCAATTAACCAATGAATTGATTAGATTAAAAAAGGAAAGCACAACAACACCATCATCAATGCCAGGACCGCAATTTCAAGAAGGAGATTACTGCTATGGATTGTATGAAGGGTTATGGTATGTGGCTGTTGTAACAAAAGTCATTGATAACACAAAAAAGCTACAATTAGCTTCGGAATCGCCATCATCTAAAAAACCAGCATATGAATATTTCGTAAGATATGTTGGATATGGAAATTCTGAATTTGTTTCAAAAGAAAGATATACAATCAAGGAGTACTATCATCCACCTGCTGAATTCCTTCAACAAGGAGCAAGATGTCTCGCAGTTAATGCTAGTGATCCAGATGGAATGTATGAAGAAGCTGTAGTTGACAAGCTTACAGACAAGGAGACAGTTTGGGTCACTTTTAAAGAGCGGGGTGTGCTACAAGAGGTTCCTCTTCCACTGATTCGAGTTGGAAATGAACACTTCTATGACCCCAAATACAAACCTAAGAAGCTTAAAAAGAAGGAATCATCGAATCGAACTGAAACATTATCGGGCCAACCTGTCACTTCACAAACTACAAGCATTGCAAACAAAGGTACCACTACGGAACAACAAGGTAAAAAGTATGATCAGTCCGAAGCCGACGTCATAGCAAAAAAGAAAAAGAAGCAAGAAAAGAGACAACAAAAACTTCAAGAGCAAGAGAAGCAACTTAATCAAAAGAAACAAAATTGGCAAAGTTTCATGAGCAGAAATTCAAGCACATACAAGAACGCCGGAAAAACTTTGCAGGCCACCGAAAAGACCTATACTCCTGCTCAAAAGAAAACCAAGCTAACCACAAGTGCTGGCTCATCAGGTAGCAGTAGGCCAAATAATCGATAGCACACAATCAGAATGAACACACTGCCACCTCACATCACCTATTAATGTAAAGTCGAAATCATCAAATTTTTATTTTTTATTCTTTTTAAAAAATACAACAACTGGCTCAAACTCATCATCACCGATGCAAGAACCAAAAGAAGGAGCACAAAAAGCAGGAGGATTTTTCTCTTCCTCCAATAAGAGAAGTGAAATCAACGAATGGAGATTAGGTTTAGGCAATGAAAAGGAGTCCGTAAGAAAGGATACCGTAAAGAAAGTCATTGCTGCTATGACTGTTGGAAAGGACGTTTCCATGTTGTTCACCGATGTGATCAAGTGTGTAGCTACCAACAACATTGAATTGAAGAAATTGGTATACCTCTATATTATGAACTATGCAAAGACTCAACCTGATTTGGCTATCATGGCTGTGAATCAATTCGAGAGAGATTCCAACCATCCAAATCCTCTGATTAGAGGTTTAGCTGTCAGAACCATGGGTTGTATCAGAGTTAACAAAATCGTTGAATACTTGGCTGAACCAATCAGAAAGACCATCAAGGACAAGGATCCATACGTGAGAAAGACAGCAGCTGTGGCTATCGCAAAGCTTTTTGATATCAATCCAGAGATGGCCATCGAGCAAGGTTTTGTTGAATCATTGGAAGAGCTCTTGACTGACGACAATCCTATGGTTGTTGCTAATGCTGTGAAAGCTTTGGACGAAATTTCATCGTCATCCTCCGAGGTCGTTCTCGATTTCACTGAAAAGACGGTCAAGACTCTTTTGACTGCTTTGAACAATTGTACCGAGTGGGGTCAAGTTTTCATTTTGGATGCCCTCTCCAACAATTATCAACCAAAGTCTGAGAAGGAAGCTTCTGAAATTGCTGAAAGAGTTGCTCCTCGTTTGCAACATGCCAACTCTGCAGTCGTTCTCTCTGCTGTTAGAGTTATTAACAAGATGATTGACTTGATTTCAAACGAAAACGAAAAGCAAGAATTAGTGAAAAAAATTTCTGCTCCACTTGTTACTCTCTTGAGCGGCAACCCAGAAATTCAATATGTTGCTCTTCGTAATATTGATTTGATTGTGCAAAGTAGACCAGGAATTCTCTCCAACAACATTAAGATGTTCTTCTGTAAATATAACGATCCAATCTATGTGAAATTAGAAAAGTTGGATATTATGGTCAAATTAGCTTCTGAACGTAACGTTGATACTGTATTGATGGAATTCAAGGAATATGCTACTGAGGTTGACGTAGAGTTTGTAAGAAGAAGTGTTCGTGCAATTGGTAGATGTGCGATCAAGCTTGAAAGAGCAGCACAAAGATGTGTCGATGTTTTACTTGATTTGATTCAAACTAAGGTTAACTATGTCGTCCAAGAAGCAGTCATTGTCATCAAGGATATTTTCAGAAGATATCCAAACAGATACGAAGGTATTATCGGAAGATTGTGCGAAAATCTCGATACATTGGATGAACCAGAAGCTAAGGCAGCTATGATTTGGATTATTGGTGAATATTCCAACAAGATTGAAAATGCTGATGAGTTGTTGCAAATCTTTATCGACACTTTCCATGATGAAACTGCTCAAGTTCAATTGCAAGCCCTCACTGCAGTCATGAAACTCTTCTTGAGAAGACCAAACGACACCAGAGACTTGATTAAGAAGGTTTTACATCTCTCCACCGAAGAATCTGACAATCCAGACTTGCGTGACAGAGGATATATCTACTGGCGTTTGCTCAATGAAGATCCTGAGGCCGCCAAGACTGTTGTCTTGTCAGAAAAGCCTGTCATCAGAGACGACTCAACCAACATTCCAAAGAACTTGCTCAACGAATTGACCAAACACATTGGAACTTTGTCCTCAGTGTATCATAAGCCTCCAGAATTGTTCGTTGCTGGTTATAAGAAGAAGAAGAGCGAAGGAGGCAGTGACAAGGAAGTCGAAGATTACCTCAGAGAACAACAACACCAAGATGCTGCAGATAGAACTACTACACAAGACATTCTTGGCTTGGACGACATTTTAGGAGGAGGACTTCCAGCTTCATCTCAACCACAAGATCAAGATCTTGATTTGGATGATGTTATGGGTGGCTCTCAACCACAAACACAGTTGCAATTCTCTGCTACTTCTTCAGCTGGTGCTAACATTACTTCACTTGTTCGTCCTGTTCTACAAAAGAAATTATTGCTCACTGCTGACAAGAGCAAGGGACTTCAAGTTTATGGTGTGATTAACAGAAACCCAAGAGGAAATCTTGAATTTTTGGTTACGTTTGAAAATCTTTCTCAACAACCAATTACCGGATATGCATGTAAATTCAACACAAACACTTTCGGATTCGTGCCAGGACAAGTCCAAGCCACTGGTATCATGCCAGGTCAAAAGACTGACGGAATTATACCAATTCTTCCAGGTACCAACGAATCTGATAAGGTTTCTAACCTTCTCCAAGTTGCTATTAAGACTGATTTAGGCGTGGCATACTTCCAAGATACCATTCCATTCAGCGCCTTGTTCATTGAGAATGGTTTAGTTGACAGAGATACTTACCTCTCCATCTTCCAAAGCATTCCAGATGAGACTGAAAGCTCAGTTGATGCTCCAAATGCTTCAGCTGGAAATAACAATGCTCTCATCTCAAGATTGCAGGCTCACAACATTTTCTTTGTTGCTGACCACCAACAAGATAACTTGACCAACTTGTACTTCTCTGCTAAATTCAATTATGGTACTGAAGAGGTTATTGTTGTGGTGGAAGTTGTTGTTCCAAACGGATCCAATCAATGCAAGATTAACACCAGATGTGCAGAAACACAATTCATTCCATTCATTGAACAAGACGTTGCAAGAATTGTTTCTCTCTCCTTCTAAATGACAAAATAAAATCTTAGTCACCTTCTTGCTTGAGTCCATTCCAAATCGAGTATGAGACTGATTTTCTTTGAAACCTCGTAACAAAAAATACCCAAACGGCCTCGTTTTCTTTGCCAGGCACACATTCGAAAGCAAAAGGCTGTCCTATCGGTTTCAACATGTCCTCACTGGATCATCAAACCAACAATGAGGATGATTCATTGCAACAAAGCCTACTCTCCCAACCAGTTCCTCATGGAGATGCACCATCAGCTGCTTCAATCAACAACGTCGATAAAGAATATGATACACATCCTTTGGAGAAAATTAGAAAACGTTCATCGGGAACCATCTCTACAATTTTTTCAATCATCAACACCATGGTGGTATGTAGAAAGGAAATTTTGTTGCCATCGGATCATATCATTGACATTATAATAACGATGATTGCAATTTCGGATGGTTAATTTGTACACTACTTGAATTCGCAACAACATTTGAATAATAATTATAGGGGTCGACAATATTATCATTAGCATGGGGATTTACCCAAAGGTAAGACTCCTTGATATTTTCAAATATGTTGCTAATGATTTGATTCAATGATTTCACACAAAATCACATTTTTCAAAATTTTAGTGGACTCTATCTAGGAATAATTGTATTTGTTCTGGTTGGTCTCATTAGTTATTACACTTGCAATCTCGTAGTGCAGCACTCTTTGTTTAAAGTGAGATATGATGATGAGGGTCAACAACAACAACAACAAACCTCACCTAACGAAACCACTGCTATCAATAGTGGAGACAAAATTGCTCTCTCTGAAGAAGAATCTTCTGCTCCTACCACTTACTATCAATCAGTGGATAATAAGGAAGGAAGTACTTCCCTGCGTCATGCATCAACAACAACAAGAAAAAAGGTCAAAAGAATTTCCAATTACATTCTTGACATCAAAGATTTTTCTCAGGTCTGTGTTGAACATTTAGGAAGATGGAGTGAAATATTATGTATCATTACGAGTATTGTGATTTTAATAGGAGCCAGTATTGCCTATCACATTTTCATGAAAGACTGTCTTATGAGTATCGTCACAGGAATTTTTGACATTCAATACGATACAACAAAAATATATCCATGGGACAAGAATGGCCCACCTTGGTATTGGAATGGTATTTTTGCTTCTGTGATTATTGTGGTGCTTCTGTTTCCCATCACTCTGCTCAAGAATTTGAATTTTTTGGTGAAATTTAATTCATTTGGAATTTTCTTTGTGCTGTTTTTGATTATCTTCATTATTTATGCAAGTATTGAGGCAATGGTGTCACCTTTTGAGTTTTCTAATAATATTGCGAGCGTGTCAACATTGACCATGATGTCTCTTAGCTCGAATGTGAGCAATATCATGACAAGCAGTAGTATGAACACGAATAGCGGTAGTAGTAATGGAGATTCCTGGATGAATCATTTATTGGGAGGAATTTTGAGTAACAGTTTTGCAGGAAGTAGCAATGCTCTTAGTACATCTAGTGCTGCTCCTGGCCAGACCTCTCCTCCACAGTACAATTTTGCTGATGATACTATTGTGAGGGGAGACACAGTGTTGGTGAACCATTTATCATTATTTAATATTCATTTCAGTCACTTGTTGGCAATTTTGTCTTTGAGCTTTTTTATTCACAATGTAATTGGACCTATTTTGAAGAACCAAAAATCATTGAAGCATACCAAACGAGATACTGCGGTTGCTTTCATTGTTGCTGCTTTGATTTATGCAGTTCCTGGAATGTTGGGAGCATTTGCGTAAGTTTGTGTGTGGTATATTTATTTATGTTTGTTTATGAAATATTATTCTTGTGGTCGTGAAAACCTCTATTTACTTGACACAGATTCCGGTTCTCTGTCACAATTCAACAAAACTTTTTGAATCAGTTTCCCAATAATAGCGTGTATGCCAACATTTCTAGAGGTGCAGTTTTGTTCCAACTCATGTCTATTTACCCTCTTTTATTGAGCGTAATTCGAGTTCAATGTTTCAGTTTTCTCTATCGAAAGAATCCAAACAAGGAGAAGCAACAATATCCAGGAATTTTACAAGTTGCTGCCTTGAACTTTGTGGTTTGTTTGTAAGTAGTTAAATCAGTCATCACTTGTATGATGTTCTTACTGTGTTTTTCACATTCACAGAATTACAACCAGTATGGCTGCTTTTTATCCAATGGTGGGCACAGTATTGAGGTTTACAGGAGCTATTTGCGGGTTGATTTACATGTACCTGTTGCCTGTATCGATCCACCTCGTAGTTCAGTACAAAAAGAAACAACTCACTGTCTTTTCTGTTGTTTTTAATGTTTCCTTAGTGTTGTTAGGTTTATCAATTTTGGTTTTACAATTTATTGATTTTGATCAACTAACCAACAAAACTCCAACTGGGTAAACGCTCCTAATTTTATTTCTCGACATGCAATAAATCAGTTACACGTTACTTTCATCCATTTTGTGATCTGATTCAGTTTTGGTTTGAGAGCTGCTTGGTGGTTCAGTTTTTGGAGATGCAGAAGGAGACTTGAAAGTGTGTACTTGATGGAATTTTGGAATTTGAGAAGGAGATAATGATGACAAGCCAGGATGAGGGAAGGCAACAGGCTTTCCGAAAGGAGATAGTTGTTGAGCGAAAGGACTAGTACCTGCCAATACCTTTCCGGCAAATGGGAAAGGAGAAGGTGTGGAGGGAGTTTCTTTGATTTTTTCTTTTTTTGCCTTTTCCAATGCCTCCTGTTCTTGTTGCAATTGGAGTAAAGACTTGGTTTCACTCTGCAAGGCCTTCCATTCTTTAGCAAGTTGCGTTTCGATGGCTTGGAATAGCTTGGTAAGCTGAGAGTCTGAAAGAGTGACATTCTTGAGCTGTTGCAAGATGTTTTGGCAAAAGTTCTTAAGAGACAAGATCTTTTCCTTGTATTCATCAAAGGAGTGAATGCATTTCTTGTTTTCATCGTCAATATCTTCATCATCCTTCTTTTCTCTCATAGCAAATACCTCTTTTGGAACAGTGAGAAGAATGGATCCCAATAAATGACTGAGAGATGCAATCTCCTTCAAACATGTGCTAACGCTGATTTGGAATGTTAAACTTTCTTGCTTTGTGAAACAAATGTATGGAATGACAAAGTTTTCAAATAGCATTGAATAACTGTCCACCAATTCAGAAAGTTGAGTAGTGAAAAACCACTTAATATTACCAGAAAGAAGCACAGGAATAGAATATTGATGAATATCCTTAATGAGACGAGTACAATCTGCAATAAGAGAGTCAATAAAGTTAAATTCTCGTTGAATGACCGTCTTTCCAAACAATGATAGCTCAGTCGTGCTTCCTTCGAGGAACAATACCTTAAAGAGATATCTAAACTTGTTTAAATTGGTGGCATATACAGTACCATCATGTGGAGTATCAATTGCTCTAAACTTTTCAATGTCATCATCTTTCTTTTTCTGTTCCGCTTGGCTCTTAGGTTGAGATTCTTGGTGTTCGTTTATGTCATAGCCGGAAATTGTTCTGTGTAAATTACAGCTAGCAATTCTGGCGTTTTGATGGAATCTCAGGACAGAAAAGAGTAAGAGTTTTCTTGCCAATGAATGCTTTTTGAATTGTTCTTGGAAGGCAGGAATGTCAATTGTGACGTTGGATCCAGGAGTTGATTCAGTGCTAAACAATAATCGCTGAATAAATGGATAAAATTCAAACAAATAATCTGGAAGTGGAGGTAACTGGAAAGGCATTTTACCCTTGAGCATTGATTGAGCCTTCTCTCCAGCATAGTACAATCTAGTAAGGGTTTCAAAATAATCTGCAAAATCATTAACATTATGAGCATCTTCGAGGAAAGATAAATAAGCTGGTAATGCACCAGGAGCAAGAGGGACTGCTGGTACAGGGCTTGTGTCTGTTGAAGTATGTGATGCAGTTGGTACAGGAGTTGGGGTCGTTTCATCCTGTGGTGGTGACGATGCAGACTCAGATGGTTTAAAAGAAATCTTAATAGTAGTACCTTTGGTGTTGGTGTTAACCGTAGTTTCCTTTGTTCCTTTAAGTTTAGTCTTCTTCTTTGAAGAAGAGATCTCTTCTTGTTGCTGTTCTGTAGCCTTTCTCTTGTTCTTTTGTTTAATTGGTATGGTCAACAGTACCTTATCGAGGGCCTCTGCAGGCATGTTTGGATGTTGTGAATAAATAAACTCTAGGAGATAGAATATTTGTTGCAGAAGAGTATTCGATATGAAAGGTGATCTACAAATGACAGCAATATCACCCCATACTTCACTTTCAGGACTAAGGTTATCGAAAAAGTGTCTCAATTCTTTCATTCTTCGAATATCGAAAAAGTCTTTCAGTGACAGGTTATCGCTTGTATCAGTACCAGGAACTACAATTTGCTGCTTGGAATCTGTCTTTAGTACATCAGATGCTTGCTGACCTAACTGTGGATTCTCGGAGGAAGGCTCTTCTTTTTTGATTTTCGCTTTTCCAGTTGTTTTACCTCCCTTCTTTGGTTTTTTAGTGGTTTTGGCAACGTTACTTGCTGTGCCTGAGGTCAAAGATCCGCTTGATCCAGAATGGCCGAGTGTAGGAGTATGCTTGGAGTATGTTAAATTATGTCGAATGTCATCAGAATGCTCTACAAAGACATAGTTCAAGAGGTTAGCATGAACTGTTCTAATCCACGCGTCAAGCCACCAACAAAAATAGTGACACATGTCCATTTGGTGAAGCTGCTGAACCTGGTTGTCATGAAGAGCCATCAAGAGATCATATCTAAATGTACAAAAGTGTCTACTGCCAGTCGTTAAGAGTTGGCTTCTGCAATAGCCTAGAACCCTATGATAAAGAATAGGGTCTTTTCCTAAGATGTTAATCATACTAGTTAGAGTTTGATTCTTCTCTCTCTTTTTCTTTGGATCAATTTTATAGCCAGATAGTAAATCGGTTCGATGAATCTGTGGCACATCATACTTCTTCAGAAGAGTAGAAATGTGTTTGATGAAGAGATTCTCATCATTGACCCAAACTTGTCTTTTCACTTCGATCGGAAGATTTTTAAAAATCTCAGTATTCCCTTGAAGTTGTTGCAAAAAGGTAACCGGAATTTGCTCCATTCTCTTCAAGAGTGTATACACAATCGGACGCAACTCTTCAAATCCAATATATGGGAAAATTTGTTCCAACAATTCTTCCTCTTGAATTGGTTCGTTTTCATTTTCGATTTTATCAAGAAGAATCTTCTTCAAGTGATTCATCAAGCCAAAGAACAAGTTGTTACGTTGAACATTGAGAAGATCGGTTAACTCAAGAATAGGAGGAATGCTCGACGAAACTGCGGCACTTGATAAGGAAGAAAATTGCTTCTGGAATGAAGTAATCGCTGATTTAGGATCTCCAGAGCTCAGCCTGGTGAGAATGTATTCTTGGCCCTCAGCGCCTAAAAGTGCTCTTCGTTCCAAAGCTTGTTGATGATGATCGGCACCCGACGGTTGAGAATAATATTCTCCTGTGGAGTGATGGCTCATTTTTTTAAATAATAATAAAAAAATTTTAACGGACGATCAAATTTAATAAGAATAATCCCCATCATCAATGAATTAACACAATTCGATACGGGCATGGTTGTTGCATATTGAAATGTACTTTTGGAAAAAATGTCGTCTAAGAACTCACTATCACCTTCCACACCTGTACACGATGAGACCGAAATTCGGCAAGAAGAAATGATGAATCATCATCGATCATCAGCATCACCACCTTCACACTCAATATCGATTCGGATCATCACTTTTGGTCTTCTTCATGGTAAAATTTCCAAATCTTCCTATCAATTAATTTATAATTTACAAGATTTACCGAATCCATTGACTGCACAAGCAAGAAAGAAAATGACAGGTTTAAACAAGCCTCTGAGGTTGGTTGAAGTGTACACTCGAATTTGAAATCATCTCATTGTTAACTAACACACTATTCTGAACTCAAACAGGAAGGACTTCTTTGCAAATGAATTGGTACAAACTTTCTTTGATAATTCACACAAAGAAATTGTGAGTGAACTTAAAAAGTTTCATGCTTCTTGTCTTCAAATGCAAAATAATCAACAGTCGATTGAAGATAGTGTTAATGAACTAGTTCAATCCAATTTGAAAGGCATTATAGACATTAACAAGGACGAGGAGACATCAGTTGTGGAAAATCCTTCTTCCCTTCAACAAGAAAGTTCATCCAATACAGAAACGAAACCTGAAAAGAACGCTGAAGATAACGAAAATGATGATGACGATGCTGAAAGTGAGGAAGAAAGTGAGGAAGACGACGAACTTGAAGACATTCTAAATGAAGGAGAAGATGAATACATATTCACTATAGCTGTTTATTGTCATAAAGGCAAACACAGATCTGTATCATTTGCAGAAGAGTTAAAAGAACAATTGGCTTCAGATCCAGATCTTCGCAACTTAATCTCACAAATTAATGTCACACACAGAGATGTCCACAAAAGCAATTCAAACAAATCATCGAACGACAAGAATACGAGACGAAACCAAAAATCAAGTTTTTCATATTTTAATGAATAAAAAAGCAATTTCAATGATTAAAAAATGTTCGGACTGTTGCACAACATGCAGCGAAGGATTTTGTATTACTTACTCTCTCTATTCTTTGGAGGAAACAAATCCTATCAATTCCGACCCGGTGATAGTGTCTTGGTCATTGAAGTCGGAAAAGATTATGTGAAATACTTTAAATTAACAAAACCAACTACGCAAAAGCACTCTGATAAATATTTAGAACACAAGCAGCATGTTAGTAGTGGAACGTATTTAAATATGAGGAGTTTACTTCCGTTGAAACACGAAAAACCAATCACCTCTTTAAGAATTATGGAAAATTAAATTGATAATAATTTTCGGAATTTTAATCATTGCAACAGAATTGAGTAATGGTTCTTCAGACTGAAGAAAAAGATGCAAATTGCATTGGACGATGACCGAATTAGAGAATTCAAGAAGAACAATATCCTACTATTTTGCAAATTTTCACGTCAAAGGTTAATTTAAAACAATCATTTGTCTGAATTTCAAAGTACATTTTAAAGTAATATTAAACAGTCACCACTGGTGACATGTTGTTCATCCAAATATGAAAATTCTTTCGTGTTAGAATTAATTAAATTCCAATTGTTAACATTATTTTAAAAAATGTCATTTGATCGTTGGATGTCTCGGCCCAGTGTTCTTCCACCATCCTCGGGATCACATGAAAGCGATAATCCACGAATTTCTCTTTCCTTTGAAAAAGACATTCCTGAACTCTCCACTAAAATCTTTGACCGTCTTTTTAATTATCACGTCGTTGCAGAGCAGCAAGTCAACGAATTATTACAACAATTTGAATATAGCAAAATTACGGAGAAGGCTGAAAAACATTTGAATGAATCGGAGAAGAATGTAGAACAAACCTCAACCAAGATCGTTCAATGTACCAATATTCTGGTTGAGAATTTACCAGAATTTCAAAAATCACTATCCATATCGTTGGCCCTCGGAAATGAATGGCTTAAGAAGAGAGTAAAATCACATCAACCAACTCAACCAGTCTCACCAGCAAGCTCAGTACCAGCTTCTTCTACAAGTGTGCCTTCATCGGGTCAAACAACTGAACAAGACAAACAATAATATTATTGCATCTGTCTTGTTCATGAATCAAATTTACAATGAAACAACAAAATTCTCAAAGAAAATGTATTATTCTATTTGAATTAAGACGAAATAATGATCATCATGATTGATTATTTAACTAACATCTTTGATGATCCGAATTTTATGAATGAATTGTTTAATAATAAAAAATGGGCCAAGCTTCTAGCGTCGGAAAACGAGAAGCCTCTCAAGACATGGACTATTGTGACTCTCATAAAATTGTGTCATCACCCAATGAAGATGTATTGCAAATACAACACGGAGGCACATCAAGTCCGAAATCTTGTTCATCATCGATTAAAAATTCATCATCCATTCCGCAGGTTGATGATCATCAACAACAAGCTCATCAAAACAGGAAGAAAAACAAAGAAAAACCACCAAAAGGATTGAAACATCAAATTCTAAACGATGATGTCATCTCAATTATTTTGAGTTTTTTGGATGTCAAAAGTCAATTATTTGTTTGTGCGAGCTCCAAAACTCTCTACGACAATTTCATTCAAAGTAATTTGTATAATAAGTATTTTTATGAATGTGCCGTTCAGCACGCCATTCCAAGCTTGTTTCCATTTTGCCAATCAAGTTATGAATGGATATCAAAAGAATGTGAAAAATTAGATCAGAAACGAACAGATGCGTCATTCATTGCACACTGTAATCACTGCGAAAGTTTCATGTGGCGAAGATTTATTTATTTATTAACGAGTTCCCAAGTTTTACAATTTTCAACCAATCTTGGAGACCTTGTGGTGGAAGAAAATGGATATTTTGCCTCACTGCAGGCTGAGCATGGATTTGGTAATTTCTCATTTTCACTCAATTTTTCTGCAGATTATTATCAGGATGTGGATTCGTTTCAACGAGAATATTTAGTGAATTGCTTAATTACACAAAAAAACGAATCGAAAAACGTTGCTATTGGACTTGGAGATCATCAAGTTCTTGACATGTCTTCTGAGCATCGATTTTTGGGTTATCCACCAAATACGCTGTCGTACTCGAGTGATGGAAATGTAAAGTTTAACATAATTGAAGGTCCGTGCGTTACATCTCGATTTCCCTCTTTCAAAGCAGGTGACATTGTTTCAATGTTTGTTTCTGTGTATCCTTTACAGAGAAATGAGGAATCGCTTTACAGATATCGAGTATTCTTTTTCCTTAATGGAGTTTTTTGTGAACAGCAAGCTGTACCAACTGAATTCGTTTCGCTGTGCCCCTTATTCCCATCTTTTACTTTACATTGCCCGTCTGATTCTCTGCGACTTCTTTGTAATCCGAATTCGTTACCGCCAGGCACAGACCACACAACGACTTCTGAACAACACAAATTGAAAATAGTGGTGGAGAAACTGTTTAAGTTTTATGTGAGATACCGTTTACAAGCCGACCATGAACCGAACACGCCTCAAAATTAATTTATTAATTAAACGAAGTAAGAATTGAACTCTTTTCAAATAAATTAAGTATTTATGTGTTTAGTGTTGCTTAATTGTTGAGCTCTTCGGTAACATGTTTTGGAATTGGTAATGTGTGTCTCATCATCATTTTACTTCGCCTGCATTCTGTAATGACACAAAGAGTGAAAAACCAATTTCTGAAAAGTCCTCGATTGTACATTTTCTTAGCTTTGTTGACCTAATGGTAAGCAAATAGAGAAAGTGAGTGATACATAATTGTACAACAATTCAACTTACGTATTCATAAGTTGTCTGGCCAGTGGAAATTAGGTATGAATGAAACACGCTCAAGGACCCCACAAACAACTGAGTAAGGAAGATATAAACTATCAATACTAGCCCACCAACAGAGTATCGAATGGAATTCGACACCTTATCCTGAATTGTGTCAGTATTTATGTTAAAATAGTAAATCCAAACCAATACTGTATGTGCAATACAGATAAATATCACAAGCCAAGACGTGATGGTTGTACTGAAAATAAATAAAATAAAAGATCTATAATTTCTTCTCCCAATGCATGTACCCGTCCCTGTTATGTACAGTTACCAATAATTATTTGTGCATTAGTGATCATAATGTTAAGCCATTAATCTCACTTACATGGACAATGGTGATCAAATCTTTCAACACAATTGTTACATCTTCTACAATGTGACGTCCGAGGAGGTCTATAAATTTCACAGGATGGACAATATTTTAATTCTACAATTTGTCCGTTCTCAAGATGCACCTTTTGAAATTGAGGAGGTTCTGGCTTTCTGTCATCTGTTTTCTCTTCTCCAGTCTGTGCAAATTGCTGATCGATATATTTTCTTCGAGGAATAATTCCAGGATCTGTAAAACTTGTATAAAATAGTCCAATTAGCATTAAAAGAAATCCAATAAGAGGCACAATTAAAAGAATAACACCCGCAGCTGGATGTACAAAAAGTAAATAATGTGGCATAATCACAGGAGCATAAATAATGGCAGGAATAAACATTAAAATTAACGTTAGAATAAATAATTTTCTATCAGGTCCAATAATGACTCTCCCTTTACAACAGAGAGTGTTATTTCCGATCCATGCCTGATATAGTGTGAGAGTTGTATTCGCAATAATATTATTTGTAGGATCGTCTGAATTCCCTTTGAGCTCTTCATCAACCGAGTCATAATCAATTTGATCATGACCATCACAATTTGTTGTAATTTGTACAATATTATGATGATGATTATCATTATTATTATTATTATGGCTATGATCATTAGTTGTACTGGTATTATATTGGCGATTCATTTCAATCATTTCAATATCATTCGTCCTTCCATTACCATGATGATGATGTTGATGATGATGATGATCATTATTTCCGATCAGAATCACAGGACTTGAATCGGTAGTGGCACTGTCCGATTGTTTACTGCTATGATGAAGCATTTTTTTCGTTATCTGAAAATAAATGCAGTTTGCAGCTTTGTAAAGCAAGGTTATTACTATTGAGATTGTTATCTATTGACACAAGCCAAGACCCATTGCTAGTGTTGGTCACCAAAACTTTTCAAAGTTTTTCTTGTTCCTTGATTTGCCGGAAATTATTACAATCCAAACAAAAAATGTTGTCCAATCATCCACTGACCTCGTTCCCTGCTTTGTGTGCATTCGAATGTCTATCGGGAGAATTGTTGTGGGGCCATCTTCAATGTTTAATGTTAGGAGGAGCCAGTAATTTATCATCATCGGTTGAATCCTCAACAACAACAACAACACACGACTCACCCCAATCCAAAACCACTCCTCTCACCGGTGGAACCATTCTCCAATCTCAATTTCATTACAGGGTTTTGGCAAAACGTGGAAACTGGATGGTTCATCGAGTCCTGTACAAGAATGAAACGGAGGAGAATCCAGTCGCTGCTTTTATTGTCCATCATGAAAGTATCTCGGCAAAAGAACTCCTTTCACGATGCTCTGAAGTTGGAATTTCTCATGGACAACGTCATCAAGATCAAGAAATTGTGTATGTGAATCGATACGATTGGGCCTTTCACTTTGGAGGTCCAAAAGTTGAAGAAAAAATTGAAAATCATTTGAAAAGTTTGAATCCTGATTTCAAATTTAAGCCACACCCAACGTATGGAGAACACGATGTGAATGATGAATTAACAGGAGGAAGACTCAATCTTTTAGATGCTTCCTATTGGAAAGATGTTGAGAAACATTTTGCTTTGGGACATCATCCTGATTTGGGACAATGTTCTGCCTTTGTTGACAATACGAATGGGAAAGCATTTGGTGTACACTTGTCTGATATTCACACTGAATATGAATTGGGATGGATGGTATTCAATAAGGATCAAGAATTGGTTGGATTTGTCTATGACTCCTCGTACTGTGCTTTGGAAGGTGACAATTTAGTTCTTGAAGAATAATACAAGTGTAGTCATTCTCGAATATGTACGTGCGTGCTCTAAAAAGTTCGTGAAAAGGCATTCTTGAACGTTTGATTTTTTCATTTTGATCTTTTGAAGTCGGCTCGATCTCTCGAAATGCGAAATTTGGCGCCATCAAATCTACAAACCATTTTGAATAAAGAAAAAAATGAGCACCAACAACCGGCAAAACAGAGGCAACAAGCCTCAGGAGCAACAGCCAACTGCAGGAAATGGGGCAGCCGATGCCAAAACATTGGAGGAATTGAAAGCGGAGCTGGAAGAGACAAAAAGAAATAGAAATTATTACCAACTCGAAAGAGATCGTATAAATTCCTTTTGGGAAATTTCAAAGAAGGAGATTGACAATTTCAAAGGAGAAGTTAGAAATCTTCATCGTGAGATGGAAGAAAATGAAGAACGACATCAAGTGGAGTTGAAAGTGTACAAACAAAAAGTGAGGCATCTCCTTTACGAACAAAAAATTACGATCGATCGCTTGAAAATTGAAAGTGAGAATGCTCTCAAAATTCAAGCAGATGAATTCCGACAAAAACTAGCTCAATTAAAATCTGACAAGCGAAAATTAAAGAGAGAGCTTCATTCTATGGAAATTGCCTATCAAGAAGAAATCAAAGGTTTGAAAACCAACCAAGACAAGAATCTTACAAAACAAACCGAAACGTTTGCCAGAAAGTTAAAAGAAACTCAGCTCAAATATGAAATGAAAATGAAGAAGCTTAGAGAAGACTTGGAGCTACGAGGTAGAAAAGAAACAGAAGAAATTGAGGAGAGAAAGAATACACATATTAAACAACTAATGGAAAAGCACAAATTAGCGTTCCAACAAATGAAAGATTATTATATAACCATCACCAGAAATAATTTGGAGCTCATCAAGACCTTAAAAGATGAAGCTGCTCAAATGAAACAAGAAGAAGCTGATAACGAGAAGCTCATGCTTGAAATTGCTCAAGACAACAAGAGGTTGAGTGAGCCACTTGTTAAGGCGCTTGCGGAAGTGAAAAAGCTAAGAAACGAATTAGCCAATTATCAAAAAGATAAATTATCGTTGAAGAATGCTAAAAGCAGGTTAGTCATGATGGAAGACCAACTTAAAAAGCTGAAATGGGAGCACGAAATTTTGGAGCAAAGTCACAAACAAGTACAAAAGGAACGAGACGAGTTATACGACAAATTCGAGCGAACCATTCACGATGTACAGCAAAAAACTCTGTTCAAGAATCAGGTTCTCGAGACAAAGGTGTACGCACTACAAGAAAATTTGGAAAAGAAAGATGCCCAGATTCATGAAATTCTCAAAGCCTGTAATATCGACGAAAGGACAGTTGAGGAAATTACAGAAGGTTTGGACAATGTAATTGAGGAGAAGAACAACACGATAAGAGAACTCAAATTCGAAATTGAAAAGATGAAAAAGAGCTACAACGACTTAATTCGTGTGATCAATGCCAAGATGCAACAATATGGTATTGAGGAAGAACTGGGTGTTGAGCCCATCGCCAACGTTGCCGACGAAGGAGTGCCAGGAAGAGTCTGGGTCAAGTAGATGCCCATTTCCAACTTCAAGCCTGCGAAACCTTTGAACATGTTCCTCCCTTGCATTCTATTTGTCAACCCTAACACTATTCTAGGATGTCACATGTAAATATTGAATGATTGTGTGTACTGCCTGGCAAAACTCTCTCGAGCTGAAAATTTTTTATTTTATCATAAAAAAATGTCCTGGAGAGGAAAACTTTCAAAGAACGTTCATCAATTGATGTTCTACTTTTGTCCGAAGAATGGTCAAAGCCAGGGAGTGAGAGATTTCTTACAAACCAACTACTCTGATATTAAAGCATTGAACCCATATACAGGCTTGCTGATCAGAGAAACTCCTGATATTGAAGAGCCTTTTGTGATGGTGGAACGTCATTACGGAGTGAGAGAGAAAAAAGATGTAAAGAATTTAACTGCTTCGGATATTGAAAATTTAATTAAAGAAGTAACATTAGAACCCGAAAGGCCAAGAGATACAAGACCTCTCCATGAGCGAGTGAGAGACATTTTACCTGAAGAATATCTTCGTTTCAATCCAGAAATGCCATATAGATTTTAATTTCATTAATCAATTATAGTTAATTATAATGCATGATGATCGCCAATGATGATAAATGAGCTCGGAAACACAATTGTGCACAAATAAATTTTACCAACTCGAAATTACGGGTCTTTAGAATTTTGTCCAATGCTTTTTAACAGGTTGACAAAAGAATAAGAACATTCGAATTGATGAAATGTTTGTTACATGCTCTTTTTCTGTGCTTGTTGCTCTTTTGTTTTAGCTTTATTAGGACGGTGTTGTGGTTCAACAGAGTGTTGACACCAACTTTTCACGTCCAGTATCTTTTAAGAGAGAGATTGATTCTCCTAGACACACGTTCACTACTATCGTACAGTGCATGCATAGGTGATAAGGATTGAATTTCAGTAAAAAATCCGATTAGAGACTTACTTGTTGAGCAGTAGTGGTGGTAGTAGTACTAGTTGTAGATGCTGGTGTTGCGGTGGCAGCACTAGAGTCTGTTGTGTTTGGCTTTGGCTCCTCCTTCCACTTGAAGTCCAAAGTATTCCCATCCAATACCGTTCCTTCCTTGGATGCCTTGATTCCCTCAGAACGGAATCGATATTTAACAAGACATGCTCCATCGTTCAAAACTTCAACATTCTCCACGTTACCAAACTTTGAGAAATGAGAACGAATGTCATCTTGAGTTCTCTTGCTCTCAGGAATGTTCGTTACATACAATGTGGTTGATTTGTTGTCTTTAACGAGAGATCGTCCAGAAACTAATGCAGCGCCTCTGCCTCTAAGAGAGGGTGCTCCTCTTCCAGCTGAAGAAGAGGAAGCCAATGATGGGCTAGCTTCTGTGATTTGTTTGAGCCCTTCATCGAGACTTTGATCTTTGAGCTCTTCCTTCTTTCTCTTGAAGAATTCTAGTTTTTGTTCAAGCTTTGTTTTTCCAATTTCTTGAGCTTTACCCAGTATGTTCTTTTGATGTGCTAAGGTTTCCTCAATGGATTTGGCTAGTTGTTTCAACATCTCAGCTAATTGCTTCTTTTGTTCTCCTTCAGATTGTTCAAGCTTCTGTTCCAAACTCTTGTACATTTCTAATTGCTTAGAGAGAATTTCTTCAGCCTTCTTACTGACTTCAGAAGTTTGTTTCAAGACTTCTGTTTTTTGTTCTGGGTTTTCCTCCTTTTCAGATGAACCATGTTCCAATACCATTTCAGCAGCTGTTCTTTTAGCCCATGCGGACTGTATGAATCGATTGTCCAAAATTGCGTCAGGAGATTGGAGAGCCTGTTGAGCGTCTTCCTTATTTACAAATTGAATAAATGCTCTTCCATTATGTTGTTTGATCATAATGTTCTTAATGGGACCAAATCTCTTAAAGAAATGATACATTTTGTGTAGACGATTCGATTCGAAGGGAACGCCTGTCAACATGATAGTATTAACAGATGGTAATCTTGCAACTGATGGATCGGTCAAAATGTCCTTATTCAACACAACAATGTCGTTACCGTATTCGTCTTTGATAGTATCTCCTGTGATTTTCTTTCGGTATTCCTTATCAGTTCCTTTGTCTTGATTTTTGCCGTCCCTACTATACTTGCTTGTTTCTCTACTTGTTCGAGAGTCTCTTTTGTCATAAGAGTCTCTTGAATCTCGTTCCCTAGAATCTCTAGAATCTTTTCTGTTATCGCGATTATCTCGGGAATCTTTTCTTTTGTCATCACGCCTCCTTTCAGAGTCGTAATCTTTGATTTCTCGCGAATATTTTGATTTGTTATCGGAGGGCTCTGATTTTGAGGTATCCTTTGATGGAGTCGATGAGGTGGTCAACGATGTTTTCACTTTCTTAGTATCTCTTATTTCTTCCTCCTCTTTCACTCGTTTTTTTTCGTTTGTGGCTGTTGCCGATGAAGAAGCAATTGGTGATGGTTGTTGAGGAGTAGTTGTTGGTGGTTGTTTTGTAATTGGCTGTTGTGCTTTTTGGGCTTTTTGTTGATATGATTTCAAATACGTGATAAATCTGTCCACAAAATTATCAACACTATCTTGTAAGAATTCACTCAGTTGTTCCTTCAAAACTCCGGAAACTGTTGAATAATCAGCGTCTCTTACTAGCGCAATCACGTAATCGGCCAACAATTCTGGATCGGCAGGACAAAGTTCTTTCAAAATTCCTATCAGCCATGATTTAACTTTAGGTTCATCCGCAGGATCAATAAGTGGCATTATGATGGTTTTGTTTGATAAATATTATTAATAATAACAATAATAAACGGGATTGTTCTTTGAGAGCAGAGAAAGAAAAAATTCCGCAAGTGAGTCGTTGAGGTATTTTTTGTTTCGTGATTGAAGGTGTACCCATGTTCAACACCATGGGCCATTCAACTCTCACAACCCATGATCATAGTAAATTCATCGAAACAAGTTATAAACAAGTCTTCGTTTTTCGCTTGATTATCGTTGCTTGTCGAAGAAACACACTTCTCGGTTCATCTCATTGTAAACTTTATTATTGGGTTGACCAGAAAAACTAAAAAATTTGTTGAAAAAAAATATTCACAAAGGTGAGTTTCGCCACATCCCGTTTTATTGCTAATGTTTCGCTATGTTTCTTGTCATTCACTCTTTTTCAAACACACTCAACAGCCAAAATGGTGAGAGCCTCCATTCTTAACGACGCCCTTACATCCCTCAGAAACGCTGAGAAGGACGGAAGAAGACAAGTCTTGATTAGACCAGCTTCAAAGACCATTACCAAGTTCTTGGAGGTCATGCAAAAGCACGGTTACATTGGTGAATTCGAAGAAATTGATGACCATAGATCCGGAAAGATTGTCGTTGAATTGACCGGTAGAATCAACAAGTGTGGTGTCATTTCCCCAAGATATGACGTTACTGTTCCAGAAATTGAAAAGTGGGTTACCAACTTGCTCCCATCCCGTCAATTTGGTTATGTTGTTTTGACCACATCAAAGGGTATTATGGACCACGAGGAAGCCAGACAAAAGCACACTGGTGGTAAGGTTCTCGGATTCTTCTATTAATCAAATAAAACAAAAAATACATTAATTTTATGATCGAGTTCTGTTGTTCTTGATGACACGTGAGCTTGGAGGAAAGCCACATCATCAACAGCAAGCGTCAGATACATGTGGAAGACCACCTTGTTGCATGGATGGTTTCACTCTCAACTAGCCAGCAACAACAAAAAATGAGACAAGCCAACGGCAGCAATCATGATGAAATGGAGCAATTACTCCGAGAAAGCAAAAACTTGGTACTTTCTGTGCAGAAAGATTTGGGCGAGGCAGAGACCATTCTTCTGTCTGGACAAGTTTCAAAAGAATACAATTCCGATGATCAAATACATTTTAGTAGCACCCGAACATTTAAGAGACGAATGTCTGGTGGAAAGAAATTAACGAACGAAGAAACTTTGGAAGAGGGGTTTTCTGCTACAACATCAGAAAATTCTCCCTTCATGAACCTCAAAGAGTCACTCAAGAATAATATCAAAACGCTCATAAATTATGAGCACACACTCCGAGATTATTACATGAATTTACCAAGAGGAAAATCAAAAGACAAGTGGCAACTAAATGTTTCGTCACTGAGTCAAGAGTTACACTCTATCAATGTTTCTATGAACAATTTGGAAAAGAGACAAAATAATTTAGAAAACAAAAACAAATTATTGGATTTGGGAGACGAAAGTTATGCGAGACGATCTTCCTCACCAAATGAGGAACAAGTTTTTGAAGAAGCAATGGCAGAATATGGAATGCAAAATAGATCTCTCGACAACTCGAATAGATTAATAGAACAAATGAAGAGCGTTGGAATCGATGTTGCGTCCATGTTGTCAGAGCAAAGACAAACAATGAAAATGGTTCATGAAAAAGTTTTGGGCATGGCATCCACGTTAGGAATTTCTCAATCTACAATCAGAACGATAGAAAGACGATATTTGAGAGACAAGTATTTAATTTATATAGGAATGTTTTTGATCACACTGTTGTTAATATTTGTATATTACTATATGTTGTAAATTTTTGAAGAATTAATTATTTCATTCGGATTGGTTTTGGCTGCACGTGTCATTCGGAGCTTTTGATACTTCGTTTCTTTAAATTTTCAATAATTTTCATATTATTAGCTTTTGTGCATGGAACAATGTTTTCAAATCGTGCAATGATGTGGTTTCAAGTGAAACTTACGATTCTTAGCTAATGACTGTACAGTGAGAGCACAAACTTTTTTCAAACTTTCATTCTTGGAAGTATTAATGGTATGTAGGATCATTTCTAAACCTCTCAATTTTCCAATTTTGGTGCTATTATCTTCATTCACAGATAGATTTTTGAGACACAAAACTGCCTCTTTCGTCACATTATCATTCTTTGACGTGGTGAGAATTTTCAATAAGGTTGGAACGACCTTGTTCTCATTCCCCAAAGCCTTTACATTGGCTTCTAAATTTGCTAGTGTCAATAATCCACACAATTCAAAGTTACTTACTGGTGAGCGAACAGTTTTTAAATATTACAAGGATGTTTTCCTGAAGAAACTCGTTCTGGCATGTTTCTAAAATATTTGTCAAAGCTGAAAACCCTTCTTTCATGTTATCCCGTATTTCTACATCTGAGGAAAGTATCGATAAAGCTCCAATTGTGTTTTCCAAAATATTCTCAGAGGGGTCAGCAAGAAGTGACAGCAACACCTCAACACCGGCATTACTTCTAAATTCGATTTTCACTTCATCAAGACGAAGACAGTTCAAAATGGTTGCGGCTGCATATTCTCTCATTGACGCTGTCTCTGAAGCTAGAAGCTCGATCAATTTAGGAATAGCATTGGCTTCCCTTATTTCATGAATACTCTCAACTTGTTATCATTATACCAGTTTACCACGTTAATTTTGGTTCCAAAAACTTACCATTCGACGAACAATTTCGGAGAGCTCCAAGCGTTTTCTCGACAATAGAAATGGAGGAGTTATTTAAAAGGCTCACTAGAATTTGGATTCCTCCACAGTCTTGAATAAGTTTCTTATTTAAATTCTCTATACTACATATCCACAGAGTGCTTATTATTTTCTCTACAATTGAGGATTTTGTTTCCTCTCCAAGAGCAACAAATAATTCTCTAATACCTCCCATCTCTCCTAATGCTTGCTTGTTCTGATCATTAATTACACAATTCCTGAGTGCTCCTACTGCATTTTCTCTAATATTTTCATTTTCCAACTTCATGCACTCAAGCAGTGGTTTCATTCCATTGGCTTTTCTGATAGTAATCTTAACGTCAGCTAATGCTGCACAGTTCCATAGTGTCCCTGTCACATTTTCCAATACAGCATCGTTTTGCTGAGTAGTCAGTAACTGTATTAGTTTTGGTATTCCTCCCATTTCAAATATTTCCTTCTTGTTATCATTGTCTACAGCTAAATTCCATAGACATCCAGTGACATTTTCTAAAACGCTGGTATTATTGGAGTCTAAAAGGTCGATAAGCTTGGGTATCGCATGTATCTCTCTAAGATATATTTTGTTTTCATTGTTAGATGCACAATTCCATAGAGCTCCTGCTGCTTTGCTTCGCAAACCGTCATTGTTAATTTGCAGAACGTCCAATAGAAACTTAAGACCTTCTGATTCTCTAACACAAGATTTGTTATCGTCATCTCGAGTTAAATAGCCAAGCGCAATAGTTGTGTTTTCAAGAATGCCAATATTTGAGCTTTTTAGAAGTGAGCAAATGGATGGAATTCCGTTGCAACTGCGCACTAAGACTTTGTTTCCGTCATCGATGACCAAATGCCATAATGCAGTAATCGCTTTTTCGATAGATTCTTCATTTTGAGTCCTCCATATTAGATCTAACAGGTTTTGAATTACACCAATCTCTCCCAAATATCTTCTGTGTTCAGGAGACAGAGAAAATGACGTGATACAGGCACAAGCTATTTCAATGTAAAAAGAAAATGTGGTGGAAAAAATCTTACCTTCTCCATTAACTAACTCATTGATAGACTTCAATAACTTTGAAACGAATTCAAATCCTTGCATTTCTCTCACAATAACAGAATATTCTTCTTTTCTGCATATTTCAGAAATTATTCCTAGTTGTAGGTGTTGAATATCAGGCCTAGACGTTTTCACTTGTTCCATTAGTGATTGAGTTATCAATTTCCAATAATTTTCGTACATCGATAATTCATCGTCCAAATTTATGCACAATTTATAGAATTCCGTTAATGCAGTCTTCGTTACTGAGTCTGAAGTTGAATTTGGATTTGTTGTATTTTGTAAAAACCAAAGAAAACTTTCAAGCTTTTTTTCTAAGGAAGGATCGGAAAGTGATGCCAATTTGTGACCAGAAATATTTTCAAAGAGGTAGCTATGGGCTGCTTTAACACATTTTGACGCAATAGTAATTGACTTCAACTATATCTAGTAAGTATCGATTTTCGCTACTGTATTAGCCTTACCTTTTTCCGAGCCTCCTCTATGGATTGCTCAAGTTTTTGTAGTTCGTTTTGCAATAATCTTTTAGCGTGTTCTCTGACTTCCACTGTGTGGCCAAACCATTTTTGAACAGTAATTGTTTTTTACATAGTTCAAAGTTAAAACTGCAGTTATATTGAAATCAGCTTACCGATTTCTAAAGCCTCTTTCTCTTCTTTTTTTAGTCGTTCCATCTGATCTTCAAAGAATGCTTTGATATGTCTTCCATTCGATGTGCATTCTTCGTTCAGTTTAGTGAACAGACTGGTTTAAAGCATCATGATGTGTCGAAGTCAAGAAATTCCGACGATAGTATTCCGAATAAGAAATTCTACTACTTACTCTGATGCTGCTCCCATTGTGTCATCGACTCCAGAAATAACGTTCAAAACATTGAAGAATGAAAATACTGATATGAGTGATCGTTCACTTTGATCTATGATGATAAACAATCCTACGTACGTGTAGCATGAATATCATCAAGAGCTGCATTCTCGTTGAATCCATTCACTTCTATCTTTTTCTTCTCCCTTAATTGTACGATTTAGTTTCGTCGATGAAATTCAGTTGAAAATAATGCCGTTATTAAAACAAATAGCTTGAGCCTTAATACATACATTTTTTTCTCTGCAAACACTCTTGGCGGGCCATGACCCGAATCAAAACCTCTTGGTTCTAATACTCATGAGATATATGATACACTCATTGGTATCAACGATCACAATACCCGTTTCATGATCTTTGTAGAGGTTTGGGTCCTTGATACAATTACATTCAGATGGAGTTTGATTAAGGGATCACCTCTCTCTTTCCAATGAAAAAAATGAATCACAGTAACAGAAGCGATCCCTTACTTAAACTGTAGGTTTTCATCATCAGTTGTAAATATCGTGATAATGTTTTTCTTCTCACCATCCAATGATTGATCTATAGGCAAAATATGGCCAAGAATGAAAGTCTTAGGAGACTGCAATCTATGGTAGGTATTGGGAGTAGAATGTTATGTTGTGATTTGAAAACCATCAAATGATGAAACATCTATTAAAAAGCAAATGGTCAAGTCATCCATGGACTCGGCTTTGAGTATGGGCCCAAACTCCATGGGATCATCCTCTCCCAATCAGGACTGTAAGTGTTGTTATTAATTGTTATGCTAAGAAAGTCTCTGTTGAAATGTAAAATGTGCCTTATATAGTTAGTATCAATCCAGCCGTAGAGCAACTTTCAGATTGGAAGAATCGTTTCAATGATAGGCTCCAAGAGGTTCAGGAGGAAATGATTCTCTTCCTTACGAATGGACAGCCTTCAAATGAGGAGATGACGTCCATGATCAAAAACACCTTCTCCGACTTGAAAATTTCAATCTCAGAGCTGTTGAGCACTCTTACCCTTATTTTGAAGAAATTCTTGAAAAAGTCAAAGAAGCTTGTGCAAACAGCTGATGGTCAATGGGAGGTCATTGTCTTAGATTTGAATAATCAATTAGAGCATGTGTCCAGAGCTAGAGCAGTTGAGGAGGAAAAGAGAAGAGAGTTGGAGAAAGAAGTCAAATTGTTGAGACAAAAAGTCAAATCCATGAAAATTGAAATGACAAAACCAAAGGATGATCAGCAATATCAACAGCTAGTGGAAAATATCAAAGCTAATCATGGATCACCAAATGTGAATAAGACAAAACCAACTGTAACAACACCAAAACAATCTCCAAGAACCCCTAGATCACCTAACACAAAGACAACCCCTACAACACCAAAATCAAGCAAACGCAAACCGGTCACACCAAAGTCTGAGGTCAAAACAGAGCCAAGAGTTGAGGAACAAGCAAAGATCGAGGAACCAAAGCCAGAACCTGTTGTTGAAGCAACAAAGGAAGAAGAATCCAAACCATCTGTTGAAGAGCAAGCACCAACGAGCAATGAAGCTCAAGAGGAAGCGTCTCAAGTCGCTAACGCAGGAAACACGGAGCAAATTCAATCAGTTGTTGAAACTCCTAAGGCAGAAGAAGAAGAGAGTAAAGAAGCAAAAAAGAAGAGCGATGACGAAAATTCTGACGAGGAAGACGAAAAAGAGAGTGGCAGGCGTGACAGAAGATCTTCAAGAAGAAAAAAGAAGGACGAGGAAAGTGAAGAAGAGGACGCAGAAGAGAAGAGCTCCAGAAGAGATAGACGCTCTAGAAGAAAAAAGGATCAAGAGGAGGAAGAGGAAGAGCAAGAAGAAAAAGAAGAAAGGTCAAGCAGACGATCTTCGCGACGAGAAGGAAGAAAGAAAAAGGATGACGAAGAGGAAGAGGCTGAAGAGGAGGAAAAATCGGAAAGGAAGAGTTCAAGAAGAGACAGAATGCGTCGCAACAGAAGAGACGAATGAACGCAACTCTGCATGACGACAGCTGTCACTTGAGCTTTAATAAAGAAGAATGTCAACCAATGATTTGATGAATTTTTTGTTATTATTTATTGAGAGAAAATTTACTTGCTTTCAGCTTGCTTGTCCTTTTGAGCCTTGATCTTCTTGACTTGCTTGACAATCTTCTTCTCTTCCATCAAGAAAGCACGGACAATTCTTTCCTTAAGGTGGTTGTGGTTCAAAACACCTCCGTAAGCTCTAGAAACAGTTCTGTCAGACATAGCAGCTCTCTTATTTTCGGAAGGTCTCAATCTCTTCAAACCTCTAACAGCCTCACCACCCAAGTACTTTGGAACTGATGGAGCGTTGACCTTCTTCTTGGTGAATTGGACAACCAATCTTCCAGATGGTGTCTTGACCATCTTCTTGAGGTTGGATCTTGTTCCGTAGGTCTTTTTTCTTCTCAATGTAACTCTCTTATCCAAGGACATTCTGATTATTAGAAGATGATGAATTGATTTAGCAAGAAGAAGGGTTCAAGTAAAATTTGTTGGAACAAACGAGCGGAAAAAATTCGAGCAACATACCTTTGACGTTATTTTTTTTCAACAATTTTTTTTAAAAATTTTGGTCAACCCAATATGCAAGTTTACAATGTGTATTGGCCGCTGGTACCATAAAGTGGTTAAACATTCCAACTATTAATCCAAATCGTTCAAATCCGTTCTCAAAACTTTTCTCATGAGGCTTGCTCGTGATTTTACCAACTTCTCTTGTTGTTTTAGCCACTTCTTATCATCCTTCTTTGAAATGTCAGTAAGAGACAGCAGCTCGTAAATGAAACCTCTTCTAAATTCCTTTTTCACAAATTGGTAAAGGAACAAAATCAAACTCTCCTTCAATTCTTCGTGCTCGTCCAATTTCGCAAGTCTGAGGAAGCATCGTGTTGTTTCAAGTTCAGTAAAGTCCAAAAGTAAATGAAGAATGAGTAATCTGAAAAACACAATCTCCAATTGATCCAGTGAGTTAAAATCAATAGTTTTGAGCATGGCAATAGAAATACACCCCTTTCCAATCAACTCAGACAAAATCTGACTCAGGTTAATAATCTTGCGAATCGAACTCTTACTCAACTCATCAAAGTGTTCATAAAAGGTGTATTGGAAGGCTCGACCTGTTTTTTCGACACTACACAACTTTTCTGCCAATTTACCATAATAAGGATTGTAATTCTTCTCTTGACAACAGCAGTGTAATAGTACTCTTGCAATTTCTCTGTTATTCTTTTGAATACCGAGTTTAACGAGACGTTGGAATGCATCAAGAAAGTCGTCACTTCCCATAATGATGTAGAATACAGCTTTTCTTAAATCGGTGGTCATTCTTTGATCTTTGGCAAGTTTCTCAAGCTTTTGGATGAGTTTAGAATCCATGTCTGTGAGAGCGTTTGCAATAAAGTCCTTACTCTTGATGGATGCAAGAGAGGAGGCTTGAGAAAGATCACTTTCTGTTCCTACTTGATTTCCGACCCAGGCTGATCCAACTAGCCACCATCGTCCTTTTGTTTCTGCATGGATCAAGTCACTGTATGGAATTCTAAGGGTGTTTTCTCCAGTTTTTTTCTCTTGTTTTTGCATATCTTTCACAGTTTGCTTCAATTGTTTGTATTGCTCAGAGATGTCTTCTTGGAATTTTCGCTTTCTGTTGTTTTTCAAATCAACAATCATTTCAACGAGAAATTTCATTCTCTTGGCAACTGGTGATCCTTCATCTTTGAGACTCTCTTCATGTTTCTCAAAAGTAGATTGAACGACTTCAATAATTTCTTTCATGGAGGCTGGGTCATCAATTTTCAATTGGAAGCCACACGTTTGTAACAACTTGAACAAAAATTCTACATTCAATTCGCTAATATTCAGACATAACATTCTAATAATGTCGTAAATGAGGCCACAATAAATTAACTGTTATCATGGATAATGTCATTGACATTCCATCAGTCCATTGGGAAGCAATAAAGAATGCGCTACTTACTCCAAGGTTGTACACATGACAAATCAGAGTCAGTAAGTTTGAGGCTTGATGTCTTTCCGTCATGATGGAGTCAAATTTTTGAATCAGCTTTTCAATGAAATAAGCTCCAATGCTGACATCTCCAATATTGTGTAGAGCAATAATAAAAGCAGCATATACCAAAATAAATTGGCTCTTCAAATCTACAGTATCACAAACGCTTTCAATGATGGTATTTGTAATGATTTCATGAAATTCTATTTGGGCAAAAAAGTGTCAAATCCATCAATGACAACCTGCTTACAATATTGAGAACCTACCATGTTTGCTGCTGCTGTTATATAACGATAGAGATTCCTTTGTGAGAGGAGCTAAATTAGCCAGTGATAATTTGTTCAGCAAATTTCGAATGTTTTTTTGTAGAGCTAAATAGCTTTCACTCTTTTTGCCACCTTCTAAAACTTGCTTCTTCCTTAAATGTGGTGGAATATATTTTGTAGCGGTGGTCGTTTCCTCTTCTGAATTTTCCTCAGCTTCCTCACCGTCTTCATTTTCTTCAGACTCAGATTGTGGATTAACATTTCTCATCTTGCTGGCTAGTGATGGTATTTCTGTTTGCAAAAAGTCAGAGTAAGACATTCCATTTTGTTCAGATTCAATCATGGCATCTATTTCAGCATCGAGATCGATCAAATCTTCTGGATCAATATTTCCAAGCATGGAGTCAAACATTTTGTCATTTTGATTAAAACCTTGTAAATCTTCTTCGTCAATTTCAGGCTCTACATATCCAGGAACAATCTCTTCACCATCTTCATTGTCGTCTTCATCTTGTTGTTTTGAATTTTCTTTCAAGGATTTCTTCTTATTCATTCTTTTTTCATTGACATATTGGTCTAATTCGGATGGCTTGGAAGGATCTAAATCAATTTCATCCAATGATTTCTTTTTCTTATTCATTTTCAATTTCTTCTCAAGAGTTGCAATAATTTTATCATCTGGATCTTCTTCATCTTTGCGAATATCATCCAACATTTCCTTAGTCACAAACACAGCATCTGAGTGGTTCTTTTTGATGGAATCTTCTTCTAAATCGTCAATAATGTCAGATTCATCTGAATTGTAATCAAAGGGTGATAAGGTGATTCATCATCCTCATCTTCTTGCATCAAGTCATCTTCATAAAGCATATCTTGTGTTTCTGGCTCTTTCTGATTTTTCCTCTTTTTGGATTCTTGATTTCGATCGTTTTGTGTTTTTCTCTTTTTTGTGTTTGGTTTTGAATCCATTTGTTGTTGAGATTTTCCAATTGATTTTGTTGGAGCTATGGCATGTGGCTTTTGGTGTTTTGAATTCTTCTTTTGAATGTGTTTCTTCAGCTTTTGTTTACTTTTTCGAAGGATTGATCCCATCATATTGATATGATCATCGGAAGCATCTTTTTTCTGAGCGTCCAAATCGTTTAATGAACCCAATGTATCATTCTTTTTAGGTGTGCTCTGTTTAGATTTTCGTGATGTTGTGGATTGTTGTTTCCGATGGGTGGGCATTACGTTATTGTGGCTACTTTTTTGCGATGGAATTTTGTTCATTTTTTTTGATGAACAGCGTTGAAACCTTCGTTTGACAATCCACAACAAGAGAAACAAAGACAAGTATAATAACAGGGCAACGTTGATGTTGAAAATGTTGTTTAGTTGATGTTCTTTCAATCATTTTCGACTTTAAAATTTTTATCAATAAAAATGTCTGAAAGTAGCAGCACCTCTTCAACAAAAGATGCACTCATGCAGTCGCATCGGAATTGTATCTCGTTTATTAAAAAACAATTAGAAGACCCACTGATAGCATACATGTTGGGAGAAATTGAACGCATTGGCTGCCCACTTCCCAACCCATTTTTCAGATGTGAAAGATGTTTACATACTTCAACTGACAAACCTAAATTCACTGCTGCCTATATTCTTGGATCGTTTGATAATAATAATAATTCATTGGATAAAAATCAACAGAACGATGACGACAATGATATCATTTCGACGGAATATTATTTTGGCAAACCAGGAGTGTTATTATGTGAAGATGTCATGGATAGATATTCCAAAGCAGATGACAAAACTGTAGTTCTTCATGAATTAATACACGCCTTTGATGATTGTCGAGCGATGGTTAATTGGAAAAGTTGTGAGCAAATGGCATGTGCTGAAATTAGAGCTTCTTCACTGAGTGGCGAATGTGGTTTTATGTATGAAACAAAACGAGGTAATATGGGCCTGAGAGGACAATTTATGAATTGTGTCAAGAGAAGAGCTACCCTCTCTCTCAATCATAGCTCAGTGTGTCAGGGGGAGAACAATGCAAAAACCGTGGAGCAAATGTTTCAAAAATGTTTCAACGACACTGAACCTTTCATTAAGAGAATTTAAGAGAGTCTCACACTATTACTACTGACACTAAGCACCACCCCATCGATCATTGTGGGCCTATGCCATAAAAGCATTCTTTGAGTGGTCTATTTCATCAAAGGTATTTCGGTTGATTGAGGAATTGTACCTCTAATGAATGGTAAGTGTCGAATGACGATCATTTTGATTACGAAACTCGAAAAATTGCGCCAAAATAAAACAGAAAAAAAACTGATGACTTCAAGAACCACACATTTCAGTAAGTGAGTCAAATTCAACGATTCGGAATCATGACCACCATTCAATTATGATTCATCATGACGGTCATTGTATTTTGAATCTACTCATCCAAATACGGTCTACAATAGAGGTCAAGGTTGTTGAGGGTCAGAATTGGCCAAAAGCAAAGAACGCCAAAACTCCTTCCAAGTTTCATTTTTCATTCTGTTTCATGAATGGAGAAGTTGAAAAATCAAAAGTTATTACGGATGCCGAAATTACAGCTCTAGGAATTGAGAAAACTTTTTCTGCAAAAGTAGAGGTAAGGAACCCATTTATTAGATTGCATCATGATGATCCGAAACGCACATTTTGATCAACAGGATTTACTCAATCTAGTCATCAACAACATTGCTTCGGATATTTTAGTGATAAAAATGATTAAGGGTGACGATGACAAAAATGCAGTTGAGTTTGGAGTAGTGGACATTGACTTTTCTGGGCTCTTCACGAGCTCTCAAATTGATTCTTTTCATAGCGTCACAATCACTGAGGAAGGAGCAGTTCATGAAGAATCTCCCAGAGTAAGAGTAATTATTGAGCTCTCGGATCCACTTCTTCTGCCTCATGAAAAAGACGGAGGAAATTTATTGACGATCAAATTAGGTCCAATGCAAAATTTACCTCGAACTTGGCTTCCAAGAGATGCACAAAATATTTCTGAAATCCCTCTTGAATTTACAATAATTTGTGCTCTTCCCATAGGAGATGCCACCAAGCATTACTACTTCAGAGGAGGAAGAATGTATTTACAGTCCGAGGACGATGAGTCTGGGAAGACCGAGGCCATTGTAGCATGGCACAAAGACACACAGACATTCTTTTTAGACTCGGAAGCAATGAGGAGATTCGAACTCATGTGTGTCAACGATGAAGTCATACATTTCAAATTCTTGAGATCTATTAATAAGGACATGATGGTTGATGGATGGATAGATCATAATGAAAAGAAATATACTGGAACATTCTGCAAACATGTCAAGGAATTGCTGGAGCCTGGAGCAAAGGCATCTTGTGAGACTTCTGCCCTTAGTCACATGAATGCTGATGACCACTCGTTTCCAACTGATCCTCGGCCCAAGAGTGCAAACAAAAAGAAGAAGAAATCTAAAGATCCAGCTCCTCCACAGCTTCTTCCAGAATCAGATGATTCTAAACCCTATGAAGAAAATGGAACGAAAATTTCTATCGAGTTTACTTTTGAGAACTCTTTAATACCTAAACCTGAGGAAAGAACCCGTACGAATATGAGACCCTCTGACATTATTCCAAAGAGAGAAAAAGTTGAAAAGAAAAAGTAAGTGTTTAACAAACATGAAATTTCATGTCCATCCTAATCACTGTAAAATAGAGATCTCGTGGAACTGTACCATGAAGAAATTCTAAGTGTTGTAGATGTGCTTGTCCGTGAATATAAATCCCTGATCGAAAAAGAGAGCAATTTTGACAAGGATCAGTTTATCTTTGAGTTGAACCACACAGGCAAATACTTTGCTTTTAAAGAGCGATTAAAAGCTTCAGTAGTTCAACTGGTGAAAGAAAAATTTTCGCACGAGCTTAAAACGAAAAAGGAGCATGAAATCAAATCATTTTATAATGACATTTATGTGTACTTGGTTAGGCAAATGCATGTAGCAATCAATAGACTTTTCAATAAGGCAAAGAGTGAAGAGAAGAAAGAAACTCCATTGCATTTGGAGACTCAAAGTCCAGACAAGCTGAAAAAACTTGCTGACGAGGCTGAAGCAGAGTTTAACTTTCCAATGGCGGCACGCTACCATCAAGAACGAATTTCACTTTCCTCTGAAGAACAAACAACAAAGGAATTTTGGTTTGATTATGGTGTCTTTAGCATGAGAGTGAATGACTTGACAAAAGCAGAACAATCATTCAGAGAAACTCTCTCTGTGGACATGTCACATTTGGTGTGCTTGCAAATGTACGGAATTTTGCTGTGCATGAGAAACCAATATAAGGAGGCAGAAGTGTTTTTGCAATCAGCTGTTGACTTGGACAATGACAATTACTTGTCGTGGGGTTTGCTTGCCATGCTCTTTACACTGACCGAAAACGAAAAACAGGCTCACCAAGCATACTTGTACGGTAGTTTGGCGTTAGAGAAACAACATGGCAAATCTCCTCTCAAGCTTGCAGTGGCTTCTTTTCTTCTTGATGTCAATGCTGATAAACTAGCAGAGCAGATGCTCATCGAGGAGATGCAGAACGGAGAAGCTAATGCTGACATCTATTTCGAATTGGCACGGGTGTACAATATTAGAGAAGATTATGAAAGAGCAGAAGACCATCTCAAATCATCTTTAAAGCTTCACTACAAGTCAGCAAAAAGCTGGGAAATGATGGGTATAATTCACACCAAACTTGGCAGAATATCAGACGCCGAACAAGAATTGGAAACTGCTCTCAGCGTTTCAAGCAATCCAAATGCAGTGTTGCTTCTTCGTTTGGCACATATTTATTTAGAGCTACAAAAGTATGACAGAGCCAGAGACACCTATTTGAATGCTGCCAAGATTGTTTCTTCCTGTACAGCATGGCTTGGAGCTGGTATTGCCTACTTTAGACTTGCAGAGTATAATCTTTCTGAACAAGCTCTGAATGAAGCCAACATTCAAAATAATAGAAATGCCACAGTTTGGGGATATCTTACACTATTGGCACTAATCAATAAGAAAGAGAAAGAGGCAGAGAAATGTCTTCGAGAATCGCTTAAACATGGACTTAAATCTTCAGCTCCTAAACTGACTGAAGAAATTAAGCAGACACTTTCTCAATCCAAGCATTTGACCTCCTTAATGACATCGTTTGAATAAATTTCCAAATAAATATTAGCTGATTTGATTTTCATTTAGAATGTCTTCACAAAATATTAATTGATGTACAAGGGGTAAATAGGAATGCTTGATTCCAAGTAGTTCCTGAATCTGACACTCGATTATTCCCTCAGCTACATCATCTCTTCTCAATAGCTTGTATACTCGAATCAGTACATCATCGCCAAGCGCCTCTTCCAAAAACTTTCGAAGGGATTCAATCCTAAAGTGAAGAGAATCGTTGTCTTTGGCGTTGTTTAACTGAAGAGTTTTCCCCATTAGCTTGAATTTTTGGGGAACTGGAGAATTAGCTTGTTGCTCTTCGCTTGTAAATATCTCATCATCATCGTTTGAATTATTCTTCTTAATATCTCCAACCACGTTTTTCATGGATATCAATATTGCATTGTTCATATTTACTTCGTCTAAATGTTGATTAAATTGGTTATGTTGATCGTTAATTAAAATATTTGATCTATACCCACTGTTGTAATTGTCATTATTCACGACATTTCCCCTCAATCTCAATAATCGCTCCTTTCTTCGCTTTTCTTCTGCTAACAATTGTCTTTCAGCGAGAGACAGCTTGTTACCTTCATCAAAAACAGATGGCGCTTCTGATTTTTCTGAATCTGATCCTTCGAGTAGTTGTGACTCGACTCTTTTTCTATTCGCCTCTGCCTGTTTCCTTATATCCCAATATTGTTGTTTTCTAAATTGGGCTAACTTTTCTTCTTCCTTCTTTTTAAGGTCCTCCTCTTTCTTCAGCTTATTTTCTTTTGATGGTATGTCATCTTTTGGAAGGTATTTGTTTAGATACTTGTTATTGTAAACGCTTTCCTCGTCTTGTTTAACCCTCATCTTGTTTCTTAAAGCATTAATTCTAAAATTGAAAACGTGATCATTGATAGATAGGGTCCATGAATCCTACGTACCTTGCTTCTTCATATATTGACCTTCGTTCTCTCTCCAGTTTTTCTTCTACATATTGTTTTTGTTTTAATTCATACTCTCGTCTTCTCTCTGCAATGTCCTTTAACCGTTGGTCTTCTTCCTGCTGTCGTTTTTCTTTCTCTTTTTGCAATTTTAGTAGCCTTTCTTTTTCTTTCTCGCGTTGTTCTAACAATACTTTCCTTCGTTTCTCTTCTAAATTCCTGTGGTCTGCCAAGTTACCAACTTTCGAGGGAGCAGCCGAAGGTAATTTGCTCGATGGAACTCTAATGTCTTTTTCATTATATCTGCGTCACAGTTATTAGATTTGTTAATTTCGAAAAATTTTTCATTAATAAAATTCATTAATAAATACCTCGTTAGAAACCTACTTTGCTAACAGTGGAGGAGGATTATTATTAACAATAATGGGCATTTTGTTGTTATTTGTGTTGCTTGCAAAAACTTTGTTATCTTTAAGGGCTGTGGGTGGAGTTATTGGAGGTTTGGCATTACTGGAATCTGAAATTATAGAGATGGACGGAGAGTCTTTCTTTTCACCACTGCCCGGTAATTAAGAGGTTTGTGACCAATAATTCGTCCAACGCTTTCTAACCACCAAAGACACTTACCTCATTTCTGATTCTCCTTTCGCAAGGAGAAACTCCATTCTTTGTTGAATGAAAGGCACTTTTAACACAGAGTTGATACTAGGTCTGTCTTTAGGATCTTTTTGAAGCATCTTTGCAACAAGATTTCTCAGTTCTGCTGTGTATGTGGCACTAATGGGTGGATATGTTCCTCTTAAAATTTTGCCAACCAATGCCTTCATGTTGTTTGCCTCAAATGCATGTTTGAGCGTTGTTAGCTCATATAATATACATCCCAAAGACCATACATCTGATTTGTTGTTGTAGGGTTTTTCTTGACAGAGCTCTGGGCTTAAATAGTAAGGAGTACCAACTAGGGTTTTTGCACACTCCATGGTTGATTGTAGCACCTTACTATGATCCGTAGGTAGTAAAATAGAAACTTGATGAGATTAAACAGTTATTGAATTTGACATACCTAATTCCAAAATCTCCAAGCTTGACGGTTCCGTCTTCAAGCATACAGCATTTAATTTTCTTTGCACAAACGGTTCTCACTTACCTGCCGCAATAAATATATTTTGTGTCTAGTTAGACTCACAATCATCATGACCAACTTTTCAATGCTGACACTTACTTTCAAATCTCGATGCAAAATCCTTCTATCATGAATGTATTTTACAGCCATACATATCTGTATGAACCAGTCGAGTATTTTCTCTTCAGGAAAAAGTGTTGATTTTTGTAACTTAATTTTCTCGTACAAATCTCCTTGACTGGCATATTCCATTACGATATTTAACTTTCCTCCTTCTGTGAAAGAGTCAACATATTTTACAATATTTGGGTGTTGCAGAGAGCTCAGAACCTTGACTTCGTTCAATGCTTCCTTTCGTTCTTTTTCAGGTATACTAGATATCTCTATTTGTTTTATAATATATAAATTATTATCTATCTTTGATTGTACAAGGACAGCTTGTCCGAAGGTACCTTTCCCAACAACCTATGCATTACAACAATTACATGCCAATAGTATTATTCATTAATTAATCATCGGAGTGAGTATTTCGTTGATTGACCAAATCGTGAGAGATATCCCTTACCTTCACCTTCTTGTAGTTTTGCATTTTTTTCTGTAAGGCACATTTTTAAACTACCGAATTTTAACGTTTGTTGGCGGGAAAATTTTACAGCAGAACCAGTGCAACGTTAAGAGAAAACTTTCACACGACCCGTATCAGTTGAAACAAGTAAAAGCTTGTGAAGAGGAAGATATTTCACGTCAGTATAGTTGCCTACGCTGATAGTAGCACCATTTTCTGAGCCATTTCCACCAACCATATTTCCTGAGAGCGTTCTTTCTGCAATGCTCTCACAATGCAAAACTTCTCTGTTTTCATAGTCAATTGGAACATCTCTCTTTTTCTTGATAGAAAGCTTTTTCTGTTTTGTCACTCTCGAATCGACGGATCCTGCTTGTCTGAATTGAGGAGGAGGTAATTGAGGTCGAGATGAAACAAAACTATAGGCCTTACAGTACAAAATTCGATCAGGCTGAATAGCAAATAATTGATCGCTTTCAGGTCGGCTGTAAAAATCGAAGGAAACAATTGGTGCATTGGAGATTGAAGAAGAGGGCTCAATACTCGCACTACCATTATCTAATTGTTGACTACTGCTATTGCTAACCATAGGAGAAACTTGAAATGCCTTTGTGCATTTGGAGGAATTTGAATTTCGTGTGTCCCATACTCGAAGTAGATCATTCTTGAAGCTGCCATCTAATAATTCATCGCTCACTAATGAGGAGCCACTATTGACTCCTCCACTCACAGAGCTACCATTGCCACCGCTTGTATCAAAAGATACTGCTTTACGGCAGCATGTAATGAAATGTCCAGGTTTTGTCCCATCGTAGGGTAATATTTTAGTGAGCTCTCCATTTTCATGAGATCTAAAGGAATCCAAAATTAAACCGCTATGCTGTTCAAGAAGAAAGACGACACCATTCGCTAATCCCACAACAAGGAAATTATCACGAGGATGACATTTTGAAATACATCGAATATTGTGATCTCCAATAACAGCAGAGGAAGTAGTTGTCATCATATTAATGTTGTGAGATGACTGGTTTGCAATTAATTTCCACTCAAATGCACAGTGCTTGGAAGGTTGTCTCAAATCATAGAATTGTACTGTGGGTATGGAGGAATAACTGCTGGCAACCAGAACATTTGGATTATTTGTCAAAGTCTCAAATGTGATAAAATTCATAGTACCATTCAATTCTGGAGTCAAACTTGGCGCTCCAGCACCCACTGTATAAAGATACTTTGTAGTTTCAACATCAAATAAGTGAATATTACCACCACTGTCCTTGCATAAAAATCTGTTGTCAGAAATAAACTTCACCTTGTCTACCTGAGATCTAAATAGTTGCTTGTTGTTCGTTCCAGTATTTTGATAACAAAGATAAGTACCCTCCAATGAAGATGACTCCAAATTCCACAGTTTGACAATAGGATTAGAGTGATGCCGTAATAATCCACCTCCGGTTAATATTATTCTTTCATCTGAAGGACTAACGTCAATACATCTCAGAGAAAGATCATTAAACTTTGTGTCAAATATTTCGTATTCTAATATTCCTCTGAACTTCACATCTAAAATATCTCTGTCAAAATTGCTTGAAGAGGCATGTCTTTCAAAAAGTCTGCCACTATGGAGCTGGTTCTGAACATACCACGAACTCTTTTCGTTCATAGTTTTCTTTCCTTTCGAATAAACAATCTTGTTTGGAAGTTGTTGCAATAGCTTTGAGGTATCATCAACACTATTTCCACTACCAATGGAATCATTCTCTGGCTGTTGTTGTTCTATTGTGAAATTCAATCGGTCCTTTGTGATGTTATCTTCCAACATTTTACTGTTCAGTACAGCTTCTCTCATGGTTGAATTTCCAAAAATACAACACAATTCTCGATACAAAACGCATCCAATCTTGAAATGATTATCATTTCTGAACCCACATGGAGTTTCTACTTCTTTTTCAGGAATTGGATTTTCACCAGCACGACTGGAAGATGGAGAAATGATTTCCTCTTCTGATGAAGTGATGGCAACTTCGTTGCTGGAGGGTAATTCTGGAGCTTTTTGTTCATCAGAAATTATTTGTGATTCACTTCTCTTAAATCTCTCAAAAAACGATCTAATTCCTTTTTTCTTAGAAGCCTCCGAAGATGGAGTGTTTGTGTGGGCAGCAGACTGCTCTTCCTCCATCGAAGTGTCAGTACTAACAATGGATTGACTGCTAACTATTGGGTTTTTGGATGTATTGACGAACGATGGAGCCACTGCTAGTTGCTGAGAGAAATAACCTTCCAGATAAATAGGTGAGCTCAGTATTTTTCTAAAGACCGATTTACACCCTTGGAATATTAGAATTCTAATCTTCAAGTCACACATATGGAACATTCTACACAAAAAGTGACAAAACTTTTCAAAGATGCCTAAGACTACCGCAAAGTCCAAGCTCACTGTGGTCTCTCTTGAGAGAGTCAAGCTGTAAACTGCATCCATGATATTATTAATCATGAGTTGATTCCCCTGAAGGATTGTGTTCACTACTGAAGTTTGATTAGGTGTTCGTTCTAAAATATTCTCTAGTAAATCTATCATGTTGAAAATATTTGTTTTGAGATTTTCAGCAGATTGAGGAATTCCTGCCTCCGCTGCCTTCATCTCTGAAAGAATGATGGAGAAAAACTTGGGCATTAAATATGTTCCCAATGTACTATATCCCAAATTAAGTCCCAAGCTGTTCAACAAGTGGAAGATCGTTTCATCAAATAAATAACTTCTCATCCTCTTCTTAAGCTTTAAAATTAAAGGATCTAAAATATATTGAATGGTAATGATCACTCCAAAGTCATTACACAATTTTGAGAGAGTGGTACATATCTTTTTCGCGATTTGAGGATTGTTCTTACAATTATTGAATACCCCCTCAATAAAGAAAGGGAGTAATTGTTCGAGGAAGAGACGTTTCTGATCGTTTGAGGTTGGATTAGTAATACCTTCTGAGTAGGTTGTAGATGATGTCTGTGAAGCCTTGTTATATGGTTTTTGAGTAATATCCGATAAAATCACGTTATATACTAACGAAGAGAAGGAATATGAGTATAAATTCAATGGAAGTAATAAGAGGTCTTTTCTCAACTGTTTTTCAACCATGTTGTTTGAAGATGGTAGAGAGGGTAGAGTTTCAGGTGAGTGATGACTGTCTAGTGACTCTTGCTTGTGGGTCTCCTGCTCCTCCTCAACTGATGTATTCAAGAAACTCTCAATTCTTTCATTTTCCATATAGAGTTGATAGAGACGTAATTTGAGAATCTTCTTTGCAGAATCACATTCTTTAAATTTGGATAGAAACTTTTCTCGAGAGTAACGAACCATACTTCTTAAAATCTCAATGCCATAAGACCATGGAAGGACATGAGAGAACATTAGATTTTGTGAACTCTTCTCAATTCGTTTGACAAAAAACATGTGCAGAATATGAGGAAGTAATAAATCGAGAGCATCTGATGGGAGAGTCATGATACTTTCTGAAAACTCTGGTGAACTACTTGGTCGAATTTGTTTCAACACAAAGTTGTATCTCTCTAGATGGCTCTGAAATAAATAGAGGTTGGATAAAATCCAATGGCAGTATTTAAAATATTCTGGAAAATATTTCTTGGATTGATAAATATATAGAGCTTTCTTGCCTTTGGATAAATTCAAGTCGATTAATTTTTCAACAATGGATCGAGCAGGTTGACTTATTCTTTTCAGAGTTGGCAATTCTGATTGTTGGCCAGTAATACTATTTTCACGAATGTATCTTTCAAGAGATCTAGAGTTGAAAAGTGGCTCAAATATATAAAGGCTGGCAAGTAAACATCCCACTGCAAACATGTCATCATTGAAAAGCTCTGCCTTGGAGAGTATCTGTGTTCGATTCATTTTCTCAAGTATTGAAATGACATGATAAGCCGAACTTGTAAAATATCGACTGCTAAATTTCACAGAGCATTCATACATTTGCATTCTTTCCATGATGTTAGCACTGAGAATTTTTCTAGGTGGATGGGGTTCGTGAAAGAGTTGAACAAATCCAAACCGTGATGGATACAGATCATTGTTCTCCTTTCGCAACATTACATTTTTTGCCTCAATCGCATGCTGTCCACTCAGTTTGTAACCAAATATGAGATCAATCCAGTGATGTAAATTTTGGCTCACATATTCGCTCTCAAGAGCTGCTTTGTGTTTTTCAATGAAATCTTCTGGAGATGAGGCCCATGAAGGAATTGCTAAATCCTCCATGTCGTTATGAATGGAGGTAAATATGTTGGGGTCTGTGAAAAATTCTGGAATGCATTCATCAGGTGTCCAATGATACACTCTGGCAAGAGATGTCGGATATTCTTTCGGTTCATAATTTTGTCGAACATGTTTTTTCAAAGCACTGATTGAAACTCGTCTCGCCTTATAGATAAAGTAAGTAATTTCAGAAAGAGGCTCAGTAACATGATGTGGATTGTCGGGTGATTGATAGGTGAAATCTAACATTTCATCGCCTTTGGTTAACCTAAATTTTGTTTTTGTTAAATCTCTCCATTCTACACGAGCATTTGGATCCGTTGGGTCAACATCAAAGTCAATGATCCATGGAAGTACTGGATGATACTGATGATCACCAACTCTTCTCCCAGCCAATGCGTTCAGTTTCATCAAATAATCAAAATTAGAAATTTTTCCCTCTTGCCACAGAATGACAATATCTTTTCGTCTCGAACTCTCTGCAGAAATGTTAATAGTGTGAGGAAGTGAAGTGTGAGGGGATTTTGTAGCTTTTTGATCGTGTGAAGTTGTTGGAATATTATGCGGAGGAGAAGCTATTTCAGTTGGAAATAGAACAGGTGAGTGGAGAAAGTCTTGTCCAATGAGAGAAATCCATAGCATTTCATTGACTAGAATATTATTTGGAATTAATTTCCCATGGGCAAAATTGTTTTTGTGACAATATGAAATAATTTGTAACAATTGATAAAATAAAAATCTTCGCCGAATATCGTCTGTTCATGAATTGTATGTACATCCATAATGTAATAAAAATTTTCCATTCATATGAACAGTGGTTTGTCGTGTGTAAATAATAGAAACGGTGTCACGTACCTGTTTCGAGAAGTACCTTATTAAATTGAATCAATTCCTCCCAAGTGTAATTGTACATTTCCTGAACGACAAACCATGCACTCTTACTTTCATAGACGTCATATAAAAGTGGAATGTTGGCTTGCTAAAATATTTTGCACATTGACAAATAATGAACATTTAGAGCCACAAAATGAATTATTAAAATTCAATTTTACATACCTTTGGAATAAAAGGCCCATCAAATAGTACGCATGTTTCTGTCAAGTCCTCATAATATGAAGCGTCCAATAATTTTTGATTTAAATTATAAAATTGACATAGTGAATAATGTAATGCAATACGAATGGAATGATTGCTCTTTCCATAGTCTCCTATTTGTTTTGGAATTACTCGGACCACTACATTAATTTCATCATTCATGAGTGAAAGCGGTGGTGGCGATGTTGTGGGTGACACATTGGATGCGGAGCTCGGCGATGATGGTATTGTGTGTGGTGATGCTGCTGTTATTGTGGAAATTGATAAATTTGTCATTGCTGACGACACGGATTGATTTAAATTATTAGTACTATTGACTGATGTTGTTTCTGTCGTCGATCTGGAGAGTGTTGATACATCCGACAGCACAATGCTTCCACCAGAACCACTGTTGGTATTTCCATGATTGAAACTATTATTTAAATTAACAGAAATTGATGATCCCAATAAATTGTCGTCGGTGCAGTTAACTGTTGATTGTCCAAAATTGCTACTATTGTTATTATTCCTCATCAATGTTCGGGTTTTGTTAAATAATGCTCTCCCTTCTGTTTTCATTTTGCAACAGGCATATGAACATTTTCGTGAATATTCGGGACTCAACATGTATTGATATTCAATGAGAGAAGGAGAAAGTTCTTCCTCTATGAGCTCTCTCACTTGAGTGGACGAGAGATTTCCCATTTCCAAGTTCAAATAATCACAACGATGATGACGATGAAATAGACAATCCGTAGGGGAAGGCACAAAGGTATTGTGAATTTTTTGAATTTGGTTTCCATTTCAAAATCGTTTGAAGAACAGATTCACACCAAGATCAAGATGGTCAAGGAGTAAAATACCAATCTCCAACACATGAAACACAACAAAACTGTAATTCACCGTAGTCGTACGGGTGTTGTGTCCCACCTCTTTAAATGTATCCTCTCAAATTTCAATATTTATTCAAGAACAGTAAAGGAAGTTTACGTTTTTTGGATCCACTGACATGCTTGGATAAATACAAGTCACTGAAAGCTTTCATCGTTTGGCATTCAAACTACCACTTTAGGTCCCAACCTGGAAATGAATCTACTTCAAGTTCAAATTCGAATCTTGACTTCATTTTCGAAAATGAAGCGTGCGGAAAGCCACCTCACGCCCTGCGCTTACTGAGTGCCAACCTCATCTCCAGCAAAAGGCCCAAAAAAATCTCATTGTAAAATATTACAACTACCAATCACTAGCTTGCTCATCAAGTTTGTTGAGTGTTCGCCTGCGACCAAAAAGCTCGTTTTTCTTCGTTGAAAAAAAAACACCATCCACCAACACTTACAATTTTGAACACACACTTTAAGCTGCGAAAATGGTGAAATTCAGTATTGATGAAATCCGTAACATCATGGACAAGCAACCACAGATTCGTAACATGTCTGTGATTGCTCACGTCGACCACGGTAAATCCACTTTGACCGATTCTCTCGTCGCTGAAGCTGGTATTATTGCTGCTGCCAGTGCTGGTCAACAACGTTTCATGGACACTCGTGAGGACGAACAAGAAAGATGTATTACCATCAAGTCTACTTCTATCTCCCTCTACTATAAGAAGCAACTTGAGTCTGGTGATAGTACTGAATATTTGATTAACTTGATCGATTGTCCAGGTCACGTTGACTTTTCATCTGAAGTCACTGCTGCTTTGCGTGTTACTGACGGTGCTTTGGTCGTTGTCGACTCTGTTGAAGGTGTCTGTGTGCAAACTGAAACTGTGTTGAGACAAGCTTTGCAAGAACGTATTAGACCAGTTTTGATGATGAACAAGTTGGACAGAGCCATGCTCGAACTCCAATTACAACCTGAGGATGCTTATGCTAACTTTAATAAGGCTATTGAGTCTGTGAACGTTGTCATTTCTACTTATAACGATGGTGGTTTTGGTGATCCACAAGTTTATCCAGAAAAGGGAACCGTTGCTTTCGGTTCTGGTTTGCACTGTTGGGGTTTCACTTTGAAGAAGTTTGCCAAGATGTACTCGAAGAAGTTTGGTGTTGCTGAGGAAAAGTTGATGAAGAAATTCTGGGGTGATAACTTTTATGATGTTGCTGGTAAGAAGTGGGTCAAGGATTCCCAAGGTGGTAAATTGCAAAGAGGTTTCTGCCAATTCGTTTTGGATCCAATCTACAAGGTCTTCCACGCCTGTATGAATGATGATAAGCCAGCTTTGGAAAAGGTCTTGCCAGCTTTGGGTATTACCTTGTCTAGTGATGATAAACAACAAAAGGATAAGAAGTTGATGAAGATTGTCATGCAAAAGTGGTTGCCAGCTGCTGATGCCTTGTTAGAAATGATTGTCACTCACTTGCCATCACCAAAGGTTGCTCAAGCTTACAGATATGAACACTTGTACAATGGTCCATTGGATGACAAGTATTGCCAATCTGTCAAGAATTGCGATCCTAACGGTCCATTGATGATGTACGTTTCCAAGATGGTCCCATCCTCTGATAAGGGTAGATTCTTTGCTTTTGGACGTGTCTTTTCTGGTAAGATTAGAACTGGTCAAAAGGCTAGACTTATGGGTCCAAACTTTGAACATGGAAAGAGCACAGACTTGTTCGAAGACAAGACCATTCAAAGAACTGTCGTCATGATGGGTCGTTATACTGAATCTGTGGATGACATTCCTTGCGGTAACGTTGCTGGTTTGGTCGGTGTCGATCAATTCCTCGTCAAGACTGGTACCATTACTGATGCTGACTGTGGAGATGCTTGTCCATTCAAGGATATGAAGTACTCTGTCTCACCAGTCGTCAGAGTTGCCGTCGAACCAAAGAACCAATCTGATTTGCCAAAGGTCATTGAAGGTATGAAGAGATTGGCCAAGTCTGACCCACTTGTCCAATGTACCATCAATGAAGAATCAGGTGAAAAGATTATTGCAGGTGCTGGTGAATTGCACTTGGAAATTTGCTTGAAGGATTTGAGAGATGACTATTGTGGTGGTATTGAATTGAAGATTTCCGACCCAGTCGTTGCTTTCAGAGAAACTGTCACTGAAAAAGGAGCCTTTGATACCTTGACCAAGTCTCCAAACAAGCACAATCGTTTGTACATGCATGCTGAACCATTGCCAGAAGAATTGCAAGAAGATATTGAACAAGGAAAGATTTCTCCACAAGACGACGTCAAGAAGAGATCCAAGATTTTGCAAGATACCTATGGATGGGATCAAGATCAAGCCAGAAAGATTTGGTCTTTTGGTCCAGATCAAAATGGTCCTAACTTGATGGTCGATTGTACTAAGGCTGTCCAATACTTGAACGAAATTAAGGACTCGGTCAACTCGGGATTCCAAATTGCTGCCAAGGAAGGTGCTTTGTGTTCTGAGCCATGCAGAGGTATCAAGTACAACTTGACCGACGTTACCCTCCACACTGACGCTATCCACAGAGGTGCTGGTCAAATTCTCCACACTGCTCGTAGAGGTTGCCAAGCTGCTCAATGCAATGCTGCACCAAAGATTTTGGAACCTATTTTCTTGGTTGAAATTCAATGCCCAGACTCCGTCTTGGGTTCTGTTTACTCGGTCATGAACAAGAGAAGAGGTACCATTGATCAAGCCATCCAAAGACCAGGTACTCCATTGTACAATGTCAAGGCCTTCTTACCTGTCCTTGAATCATTCAACTTTACCACCTTGTTGAGATCTGAAACTGGTGGTAAGGCCTTCCCACAATGTGTGTTCCACCATTGGCAAGTCGTTGGTGGTGACCCATGGGACAAGACTTCCAAGATTAGAGAGTTGGTAGTGGAAACTCGTAAGCGTAAAGGCTTGAAGGATGAGGTTCCAAACTTAGAAGAATTTGCAGACAAGTTGTAATTCTGATCATTTTGCATTCATTCCCTTCATTAAAATCATTATTCTTTGAAATTTGATCCTTTATTTTCACACATTTCAAAAAAATATTCTAGACGGCCAAAAGTGTACAAAAAAATATTCATTCTAGACATCTAGACCGTAACAAGACAACAGACAAGAAAATTTATTACTGCTCATCATCATCACTGTCCGTAATCAAAGTCTTCCTTCTCTTCTTTTTATCCTGTTCCAATCTCACCACAGTGTTACCCCTCTTGCTTGGATTGGACTTTTCATGATTTCCTTTCAAGATCGGATTTCTTGAGGGTAGATACGAAGAATGAACATTCTTGTTGGAGGAAGATAGACTCTTTTCAGAAGAATTGGCGATCTTGCTCGAAGAGGAAGACAAACCAGTATCTTGCTTGACAGCACGATCACGCTTACTTGAAGAGGTCAATGGAGTCACATTCTTGTTCTTCTTGCTGGAGGAAGATTGTGCCACAGAAGAACTTGTATTCTTTCCAAAACGACTCTCCTTATTAGAAGAAGAAGATGACGCAGTAGTCACAATCACATCGTCATCACTATCCGTAATCAAAGTCTTCTTCTTCTTTTTATCCTGTTCCAATCTCACCACAGTGTTTCCTCTCTTGCTTGGATTGGATGAAGATGACGCAGTAGTCACAATCACATCTTCATCACTGTCGGTAATCAATGTCTTCTTCTTCTTCTTCTTGCTGGAAGAGGAGAAAGAGAGAGCCACCTTCTTCTCAATGTTTGGTTGAATATTGTCTGGAAGTTTCTGTGGAGAATCGTCACCACCACCACTCTTTTTCGATGACGGTGTTGTAATGACAATCTTTGGCGATTCAGTCGTCTCTGCTCTTCCTTTCAAATAATCCACAGCGTGAATTACTTTTTGAATGGACTCTGGTAATACTTGCAAATAATCATTTTCACATGAAGAATAACTCAAAACATGATGATCACCAACATTCAGTGACTGGTAAAAATTCTGACCAAGAACCAAGACGAGGCCTTTCAAGTTTTTTACAGTCCAATTGGGGATATGAGTACACGAGTACACACATGTTTTCATTCAAGTGTGGGGTCATATAAGTACACACAATGTAAAGAACATTCCACTTGATCATGAAACAATTAGAACCACCTACCATTGGCAGTGTGAATGGTATCCACTTGATCTTTTAAAAATGTGAAATGATACAATTCCTGTGGTTCCTCAACCTCTGCAATTAGTTCCACTCTTGCTCTCACACTTTGAGGTGGTGTTTTCCCCTGTGGATACTGTTTCTTTTCCAATTCTGGGGCACCAAATCCTAAAATTGCATATCCTGTAAAATAGGACTCGTTGTAAATGACCTCCTCATCCTCATACCATTTGGGAACTCCAGAGACATGATAACCACAAATCATTCCCAAAAACATGACAGCATTCATGATGATTTGATCTACTTGTGTAAAGGACATTCTTCTCTGGTGACTTGGACTCATATGACCATCAGAATATATTGCACCATTCAACAAGGGAGATGCATATTTCATGGGCAATTCGTACACAAAGGATGGAATGGTTTTGATTAACTTTCCTTTCGTTTGATCATGCACATAGAATCCCAATTCTTTCATCAAATTGTTGAATAATGTATGGGGAAAGTGAATATCAAAACAAGCAGGTGCAAATCCTTCTTGAATCCACTGATTAATGAGCTTTTCTTTTTCCTCTTCAGAATATTGAACCTTTCCACCTCCATAATTCATCTTTCGATATTCCCATTCTCCATTCTCCAGTTTTTTAGAATACTTGACAGAGTACCATTGACAATCCTTCTTTTTTGCAATACTTTCCATGAACAATATAATTTCATCTCTCAATTGTGATTCCGTGTAATGGAGTGTGAGTGCACAATTGTCTTTCCATCCATCCCCTAACAAGGCACCAATGATCATGAATACTTTTCTTAACACGGTATCTTGAATGTTTGAAGTGTTGAGAAAGGAGGATATAATTTGAAGAGCATCCACTACTGCTGGTGAGAGAGGAAAATTGATTGGAATGGAAGTACGTCGTAATTCATTGATAGAAGTCAAAGAAGGAACAAATGTGAGGTAAGTGTTTTTTATTGTTTCCTTCACTTGTTCCAAATCATTTGGAAATAGCTTCTCCAGCGTGTTCAAATATCTCTTGACACTACCATTAGGCAAGTTCATTCGTATTTCATCCTTCTTCCATGTTTCAAGGACCCTCTCTTGTGCAGCAATTTTGGTGCAGTCAGAAAAGTATCCATCACCAATGTCGTCACATCCTGCGAGGGGTGGAAGAAATCGCCCATCCTAGCACACAGCTAATAATTTGATTGCATCTGGATAGTAATTTCCAGAGCTTTTTGGAAATGAGGATATCTTGGGCGGGCTGGACTCGCTGAAGCGGCTGATTGCTAATAAAAAAATTTTTATTTTAAAAAAATGAAAAGCATACACCAACAACAACATGGCCACTAACACTCGTGGCGATAGTAAACATGCTGCACGGCATTTCATTACCTCACACAAGTCGAAGAACTGTTCATATCAATTTGATTAATTTTCGAAATGTGATTAATTTTTGGATTTGAAACTCAGGTGAAGGTCGATGATGTCAAAGATTGGACCAAGTTTTGGACTGCTGTGAAGAGTTGAGAGTTGGTTTGGACGACGATTGGGAGAAAATATTTTCGGTGATGGCCCGTCTAATTCCCCCTCCATCCTGCCGACAATTTGACCAGATTTTTTGTTCTCAATTCCTTATTCAGAGTTACTGGCACCCATTTGGCCACCAATTCCTTCTTGTCATTCACAATTTGAGAAGGAATGAAAAAGGGATTATCATTACCAAACTCTTCATAGATTCTAACAAGAGACATTTCCTCGAGGTGAGACATTTCACATCTTCGAATCCACATTTTAAGAGAGCCATTCAGTGAACATTCTCGACCATAAATTAAGGAAAAACACAGAGAGTGGAATTGTGTAATGAATTGGTTATCGATGTCAAAAAAAGCAATAACCCTCTTCAGCTTGTCAAAATCCAAGTCTGATTCTGAGCACGTGATTAATTGTGGAAATTTCATACATGCCAAACCATGTAATTGACAAAAATTAATCAATTCCTTGGCCAACCCGAATTGTTCAGCATATTGGAGAGAGGTCAAGTTTGGTATATGGTTATTGGAAATGTATCTTAATACAAATTTTTGGACAAGTTGTCTGATCTTGTCTGAAGATTGAATCCAAAATTTGGAAAAGAATTCCTTCTCTCCAAGAAAGGCATAAGCGAGTTCAGGGGTAATGTACTTCTTCACTTCATTCAAGACATCTTGATCTTCATGAGAACACTTCCCCAATAATTCATTGAGATAAGGATTTTCCTTGAGTTGATATTTGTTTTTCAATTGAGCCTTGTATTGTGCAACGTTTGGCAAAAACTTGTCCCTAATTCAAGAGTAACGAATTTTCAAACCATGGCGGTACATAATTCGGCGAGAGTCCAAAATAGTCTCAGCTTTAATTTTTACAACCATCATACCTACCAAAACATGCATTCATTTGAAAAACGAGAAACATGATTCAAAGAGACAAATTCACACATCGTAGCGTGGATATGGGTCACAATATGAGTCAATGTTAGGGCTGACTTGGAAGAGATTTGTTGTTGGGTGTGTTGGAATTTGCAAGCCACGCAATTGAAATACATTGGATGTGTTGATTTTTTATTTGATGATATTCTTGCCTATAACACACTCCACGTATTTAAGGCTTTTAATGACTCTCTTCATATTGTAGTAATTAAGCGGTAAGAACAATGTTGTTCTTCTAGGAATGTAATAAATTCAGGCGGCAAAATAAATGCAAGCCTTGCTTTAATGACACTGGTGATGAAAGGTTGTAAATTGATAAAAAATAAATGGTTGATGGAGAAGATCATGAGAAACGACAACTTACGAGAAAGAGGATGACTACTTTGATGACATGGAATAACTTTGGCTTCTTGATGATGTGTCAAACAGAGTGGTCAAAGAGGTTCTTGTGGCGGTCAATGTTGTATGAGGTTGTGTTGTGTTGGAAGACGTAACGGTGGTTGTAGCAGTCACAACAGATGAGCCTTTGTTCTTGTTGTCTAACAACTCCATTCATCAATTATTCACCACGGAACTCTTTTTTTCTCCCGAGCCAACGACAACTGTTCTCGCATCATTCGAATTTGATTACTTTCAGTTTGTTTTCCACACTTTAGCATCGAACTCCATTAGCTATAGTACCTACAGCATTAACGTAATCTTAGCAACGAGATGAATAGCTCTTCCATTGGAGTATCAACTTCATTCGTTCTCAGCACTTGCCTGTTTATTTATTTATTTTAATATTAATTCGGAATGGTTGAACGAACGTTATAGCATTCTCAACATGAACTGACCAAGCCATGATATTATCTAATCTCTTCACAGAAATATCGTTATCCTATTCAGATATTATGAAGAAAGTGTTGAACGATTGAACTAGTTTGCTGGATCTTGAGACGTAAATTTTGTGGAAAGAACTACATTAGATTGGATTTCTAACGATATGTCAACACCATTCCAGTTTTTTCCTCAGAGTGAAACAATATCAAAACGATAAGAAGAGCAGTGGACAATATCAAGTTGCAACAAGAGTGTACAAGTAATCCACAACATTGGTCAACATGTAATCCTTCATCACGACACAAGTTGTTGTAGTGATTTTGAAGTGATTGAACAATATTCTTTGGCATCTAGTTTAAAAAAGGACTGTATGGATGAGACAAGATTTCATCATAGTTTGTTTGTTTCGTTGTGACAACAATTATCACTTGACGAACTTAATTGGGAATACTAATTAATCATTAATGCTTTTGATAATGAGGAGCTTGGCGTCATCATAGTACTATGAGTCCTTGACACAACCTTGAACAATAATTTTCCTCTTGCAATTGCCACTGATGCCTTAAATGTCAAACGAGGACTTCTTGTCATACTCTACTGATAGCCACCCAGATGATAGCCACCAACCCAATCTTGTAATTGTTATCACTAAGACTCACGATTCGACCAATTCAAATATCAAAAAATCGTAGCACAGCCTAGTAGTGTCCCTATTCATCACTCATTATTTTTCACACAACTAACTCAAAACAAAGGTGATGAAAACTATTGATGCATTTTTCAGTTGGAAAATCAAGTACTGGATTTCTATGAATTTTTTAGAAGTCAGTTGTAGAAAGTAACAACTGGAGCATTCTATATGGTCGTTACAAATGCGGGTTTATCGAGACCATCATTTCGATTCATCCTGGATTTTCGAATGGTGGAATATAAGTTTTTCTCTCATATTAGACACGTTGCTCACTACTTGAAACTTTTTAAGAAAGATGTTCGAATTTCGCTTCCTCCTATTAAGTCTCGTTCCAAGGCCAGTCTCTCTCCCAAGTATATTCTAGGACAAATTTAATTTGGAATGTTGGTTTACATTTACACTTGCATGGTTGATGTGTTGACGTTAGCTTTCTCTCATTGTGACTATAATTATGGATTTCCTTAATGTTTCCTAGGTGGACCATTTGTATTAGAAAAATGCAGCCTCATTTTGCTCAAACCGTAGAACTCTATAATACATCTCTCGTATTCGTTTTACAACAATGTGAATCCCAACCGGTTAAATCGAGAGTCCAACAGAAAATCGAGAAAATTTAAGTTACCATTTCGAAGGCAAGTTTAATAGAGACTGGATTTCTTGACGTAGTCAACTCTGGTATTACACCATTCCTACACCGTTAAGATGTACAACTCGTCAATGATGAATGTAAGATTGAAACACATCAATGATGATCTACAGATATGCCAATAAGGATCTCAAAACTCTCCAGAAAATTGAACAAGAGAATATTGGAAGCTCTCTCGGTTTAGACACACCAGCCCCAATCATCGTCAACCCAAATACTTCTCGTCAATGTTTATGGAATGCATGTTAGCTCTAACGTCCTAGTCAGCAAATTCAATCATAACTGTGAAACAGGTCTCATATTAGTTAGAAGTTGCGATTTTCTCTTCCCAGTCTACAACGCAACACAGATATACCTTTACAACCCCAACATCGAGTTCAGATGAGGCATTACAGCACTCAGTTCTTTAAGGACAGATGATGGAATATTTGATCATCTAATTACAATTTCAACTCTTTGATCTGTCAAACAGATGTAAAGAATGCTAAAGATCCGACAAGTTTACAAAATCTGAAATGTTGATTTGGTACGAAAATGAATTATGATGGACATTTTGGATTTGGAGGAAATAGCGAAGGTGTTGAATAGGTTTAACTTCGATTCTCCTTCGAAATTACTCAAACAGTAGGCGATTTGAGCAATCCTACTCAGGAGACAATTGATCGAATTTTAAGGTTATATATATTCCACCCCTACGAAGTGTCGAAGACTGGTTGATTAGCCTTGAAGATGGATATCCCTCAGTATTTCCTCTCAGTCTCGTCCTGCTAGTATTATCATATGGTAAACAAATTTGCGACTATAGGTTCAGCTGTCACAATTCACTCCACAGTTCATTAGAACAATCATTGCAGTTTCGGACGATGTGAGAAACAACTCAATCAGCTGTTGTGTCTTTATATTGAAGCTGATCCCAACCAATAATTGACATTATTTTGTCGTAAGCTTGAGGGATATTACTACCTCCCGATTAGCCCTCCTCTCACTGGTTCTCAATACGGCTCAGAGTAACTGGTATTCATGTTCCAAGAAGTTTATTTATATGCGAGCCTTAGACACAATTATTCAACTAGTTCCGATTATTTGGAGATGATTGTCTTCAAAGTGTAAGCAATCTGCTTCACCTTTGTACAGTTTTAAGTGTAATTGTTTCTCCACGTCCTTCAGCCCGCAAGGATTTCGATATCTTATGATCTCTACTCGTGATTGGTCGTGGTATTCAGTTTCAAATGGTGGTCGACTCAATCCAAATACCTTGCTAGACTAGTAGAAACCGTATTGTTCAGAACCATTCAGTTCTTTTCGCTGAGATGGAAAGAGGGTGGCTAAATTAACAAGTTGATTTGGAGGAATAGTTTAAAGTTTCTACAAAGATCTGATCTTTTGTATACAGCAAGTAGCGACCTCATTAGCTCCTCTCGCATCTTTAATTTGATCACCACACGTAATCCACAACAATCTCCTCAAATATCCGAATTAATTTGCAACACGATGAGATAGGATGCATTTGAAATTGCAACCATCCTTCTCGAAAAATTATAATGATCACTTGTCCACGCACCCTAGAAAGAGCAATGACAATTCTTCCCATGCTTCATATCCACTCCACATCATTGACGGTACAGGAGGACTTGGAGGAAACACCATTGGATTTCTGAGAGCTCTTTGGAAATTATATCCTTCTCAAGTTTTAAATCAAACCCGAATGACTATGATAGAATTAGATGCTAAACGCTACGAATGTGGAAAACATAATGTTGAACTCTTTGTCAACGATTTCAATGAAAAGAATCGAGCTGTCTCTTCACAGTAGGCTTATGCTAGCGTAACGTAGTGGTTTCCTTCCCAATTTCTGCTTCACTCGATTACCCTGGAAAACACCGTCTTTTGATTAGTGTCACCTGTCACTGTGTAGCGAAGGTGCGTCCACAACCAAAAAACAGTTGTTTGCTCGACCACCTCTTTCTCTTTCATAGTGGACACGTATTTTGATTATGGTTTTTAAAAAAAAATTATCTGATTGTATTGTTTATCGCCAACTGAGCGAACAGCTGTTGGTTTGCTTTCTTACCACTCCGTTTTGGTGCAGCGTCGTCGTTTCTCACCACTCCGTTTTGATGTTGTGTTTGGGTGTGAGTATTATATGGATGTGTTAAACGTTGAGAATTAAATATCACATTTGATTGCATTGATTGAAGAAAATCCATCACCGGTTGGGATGACCTTCCGATTGTGCCAATTGTGTGTTCCGATGATTGAAAAACTTGATCAACAGCGCCTTCCATTAAAATTTCGGATGAATTTCCACAGGGTGAAGAAGAGTTAAATTGCGAGGGTTGATCCTGAGTTGCATTTTGTGAAACACTTGGTTGCCTGTAATGCAAATAGTTGCTGTAACTCGGAGCTCGTTGTGGTTGACTTGTTGTGATCATATTTATCACAGAGGGAATAGTAATTGGTATGACAGGAGGAGATTGCATTGCAACGCTTACATTTTGAGAGTTTCCGAGAAAAGGAAGATTGGTTGATTGCTTTGCCTTTTTCCTTCCACAAGTATTGACATCATCCGTTCGGCTTTGTTTCTTGGAACTTTTTGATATCTGTTGTCTCTCATCACTTTCAAGCAATTCTGGGTAATGTTGTTGAAGACACTCCAGTGCTGTTCGGTCGTCTGTGACAACCTTAACGATTTTCTCTATTTTCGTCTTATTTGATGGTGTTTTCTTTGATCTGATAGACTTCCATGCCTCAATGTTAATTTTTGCTAGAATAGTAGTAAGCATTCGACCTGCTAACTTTTTGAGATTTTACTTTAGCACCTTGAATCTAGGATCGACATTGGATTTTGAATGGTGCACAATATTAATTTCATTGGTGCCTAAATTTTTTAACTGTTGGAGCGTGATTGTGGAATAGACATCGTTGCGTAATTCACTGAGATACATGTAATCCAAATTTTCAGAGGGAGATTTGGTCACCATTTTAAACTCCAAACATTCATCCGATTTCAGTATTACGATTTCTTGCTTTTCAGTGAGAGCATGAATTATTGGGATGTTCTCCATAGTTCCTTATAATCATCACAAAGAAAGCATGCTTGATTCCCTCCTTGCTTGTTATTCAGAACTTTTTGTAAGAACGGAGCATCTCCTTTGATTTTTGTAATCCTGACATTAAATAGATACTTTTCCCCCTTATATTCAGCTTGAATGGTGTTTGTTCCAAGTTTAAAAAAGCTCTCTCCCACTTTTTGGAGTACCTTAGTAAAGTGCTTACTGGAATCTTTGAAATATCCCATCATAGAAATATGTTGTTGATTTACAAATTGTTGGATTTTACGATCTTGTTTAAAAGTAGCGCTCAATCCATGCAGCAATCCAATGCTTCCACAAAACATTGAATTATTGTGCCCCATGTTTCCAGTTGAGTCTCCCCACCAAGCGGCACAACAGTCAACAGGTTCTTTTTTCGCTTTTTCTAAAGTTTCACCCGTAAAACAATCATGATCAAGGCAGCTTATTAAAATATATTTAAAATGCTCAAGAATATCTAATTCTGCTCCTAATATTTTCCCATTATCTTCGACGATTGTTTTTGGGGTAGGGATTTGTTGTAAATTTTCCTTTCTCATATTTGTGACATCGAAAGCCAAGTTTGCTCTTATTCCGTTACATGAATGTTTTTTCCCTCTCATCCTTGTTGGCGTTATTGAATTAAACCCGTATTTGTGAAATAACGCTCTGACGTTGTAAGCAATAGATCCTTTTGATATCGTGATATTAAATTGCTTCAATAACGCTTCTCCAATTCGCCCCCAAATTGATTCAAAATTCACGAGATGTTTTTCAATAATTTCTTTTCGCTCAGTATAAAATAACATGTTCCCTCCACTTATATCATAAAAATTTGATGCATCTGAAATGGCCTTATGAATGTCATTTGTAGATTTGTTTAAAGTGTTCATATAGAAAGCAAGAAGATTCAAAATAACCTTGTCTGAAATTGGTTCAAGTTTGGAGTTTAACTTTTTCATTGTGCGATCGATTTTTTTTCTTGATTCAATATCTTCATTATTTTCCTCAAACAATACTCGTTGAAGCATCTTAATTTGATTTGAGGATAAATTAGTGCCTTCTAATTGTGAATTTCGGTCCTTAATTTTTTTTTTTAATTTCGCAACTATTCCTTTAACACCAGCTCGGACTCCTCTTTGATAATTTGTTGATCGTAAATCTCTGAAATATGATCGCATTTGGGAGTGAGTTAATAAATGAGAGACATTTCCTCCTACTTTGAAAAATTGGTCTAAAACTTGTTGAGCGGTTTCATTGGCGTCATTAGAGGTCATATCTGAAATAGGTTTCTCTAATTTTGCAAATGGAGTCCCTATTCCATTTTGTTCTGCAATAAAAGTGACATGTTCCGAACTGATATTTTGAATATCAATGTTAGAAGTATTGGAAATCAAAATCCTGCTTTCGAACCGACATTTATGCTTTGAGATGTTGGTGAGTGATACTGATTTAAGACAAAGTGGACAATCTCCGAATAACCTTGATTTACAATTAGGAGTTGGACATTTAGAAGGTCTTGTTTGAAAAGTAGAAGAACACTCTTTGCAGTGGATGTGTGTGGTTTGATTAAAGTCAACAAGGCCAAGCTTGCCCATTTTTTCTTGTGTTTAATGGAATCTAAACACCCAGGTTCGTCACTTTTCAACCAGCTATTTTCGTGTGGCCAGATTTTCGCTGGACTAATTCTAGTCCACCCCTCCAGCGAAACTTGGCTCAGGCCAGCGAAAAAACCCGTTACTATCGCATAAGCATATTGTGTTGTGATAGATAATTTTTTAACATGGTGGAATGAATGGAAAAATTCCATAACAAAAAATTCATCCCACCATGCCAAAAGTATCCAATCAGAGAGTATTGGAAGATCAGCAACCTCTGTGGACTCCTCTCAGCTCCCTCTCAGCAAAACTTTTATCTTTTTTGATATTCCTTGGGGTAATGAAGATTTTTGTCAACATTCAGTCATTGAAGATTTGTATTTTCTAAAGCCTACAACAACCATAGATCCTGCAACAACATCCAACTCTCATACCAATGTGGGTGGCACTAGCGCGACTTCCCAAAGTACTAATCCATCTGAATGTTCCTCCTCCTCGAACACACTTCAGATTAGCCAGTGTGAAACAAATCACTCGTGCACTGTTGAATGACGACAGGGTTCAAGGAGTGGCTTTCAAAGTGCCTTTCAACTTTTCCGAGTCGAGTGATGATTTTGCCAAGCATTGCCATGTTGAATATGTGGTCATGAAGAAAGTGAAATACCTGTTGGTCCTATGAGCGAGCACATTGGAGCATGCTAAAGATTGTTGCCCGATCTTGTATGATTTGCTTTTTGATCGATCATGATTGAGTAAAAATTGTTTTGCTTCGCAGCCTTGTCGTTTTTTGATTTCATTTCCAGAGAATGTTTCGTTTTATGATGAAATCAATGTGTATTCAAGGTTTTAAAAATTGTTGAATGAAATCAATGCCTTCCCATAACAGCCAGGCCACACACATCAAGCAGCTAAAAATACCTTGAAAAAAAAATTTACAAATACTCAACAATGTCCGAACCGCTATCATCGCCTTCACCGGAATCATCATCTTCACCAGAATCATCATCGTCAGCATTATCACCAACATCACCTTCAGCATCATCTTCATCCCCAAAAAAACGAAAAAAGAATGAGAATTCTACCTCACACAAACTAAAGAAAATGAAATATCAACTATTGCTGGAGAAAGAAAAAACAAAACAGGAGGAAGAAAAAACAAAACGCGAAATAGAAACAGAAAAAGAAAAAACAAAGCAGGAGGTAGAAAAAACAAAACGTGAACAAGAAAAAACTAAACAATTACAATTAACTCACAAATCTACATCCAACCTATCAACTCACTCATATGCTAGTATTTATAATTCAAAAAAAAACCAACACCACATTACGGTTGTCGATGAAATGGAACTCAAGAACTGGATTACCCATAGCCAGGTTAATGATGATATATTAAACCTTTTCACACCTATAAACAGTTCAGCGGAGAGTGAGGTCCATAACACAATGACATGATCGCTTCATCATCAAATAAAAGACTTTAGAACAAGCAATGCTTCTTCAAAAATACGAATTACTGAATTGATGTCTGATGGTGTGAATTTTATATCGGTAAGATAGTCATAGAGAAGATGAAGATCAGAATTCGTTTCGTGGATGTATGTTGATGTGGTTGTTTAGCTCCACATTTGAATTCATTTCGGTCAAGGATAACATGCCAAAGCTGTTCGGAATTGTTGTTGTTTTGCATTTTTATTGTTAAAAATTTTATTCGTTTTGAAGCCAAAAACAACCGCCAAAATCCATAAACATCCGGATTCTGGAGGATTCTGGATTTCCACAAAGTTTGGGAAGTCAGCAGGAGCTGGCAGCCGTCCTTTTCGGCTGTTTGCTGCGGCTGCAGGTTTGAAAGGGCCCTCCATCCTTCCTTTCGGATGGCTACACTTCTTTGGTTTTTGAAGTACCTGATGGAAGGGTTGCTAAAATATGTAAAACGCCCGTTTATACTAATTTGTTTGAGAACGAATATCAAACGTTGAATACTCTCAAAAGCTATAATATTGATGTCCCTCAAGTAGAAAAACTATGTGAAGGAGTTTTACAAATGGAAAAATTTAATTGCATAGAAGATACAGATACCCCAACCAAACAAGAATGTTTGGACTTAATAGACTTATTGCAAAAGGTTCATTCAAGGGGAATTTGCCACAGAGATATTAGACCTGATAACATTATGAAGAATGGAAATGATGGAAAATTAATATTTATTGATTGGGGCTTTGCATGTAAAGCTGACGAAATGACACAGTTTGCCGGAACAGTTTCATTTTGCGCAGATGAATATTTAGAATGTATTGTTCATCCTCATGGTTTCAAATCTTACAAAACAAAATATGATTGTGAATCGTTATTGAAGACATTTTGTTATTGGGCTTCTAGCAAAAAATTTCATTCCGTTTCTAGAAATGAATTTGACAAAGCAAGAGAAGCAAGAAATTTTTGGCGGCAGTTCGATGAACTTAATTTCAAGACCATTGTTTATCAGATAAGGAATGGCACTGACCCGTACGCTGCACTAAAGTCATTCTGGCAAAACAACACTAATCCTTCCTTCTGACATTTGAAACACCTATCTTAGTTTTTTGAAATGGAAATGGCAATAGATTGGAGAAAATTGTGACCTTTAATACAATACACTGGCACTTAAGATAAAAAATTTGATGTTTATTAAACTTTGCGCCAGTGGCAACTTAAGATAAAAAATGATTATTAAAACCATACGCAGACAACATTTAATGTCAAAGTGAACACTGGGAGACGAATAGTTCCTCCATCCATTCAAATGTCTTCGTAGTCTTCGTCATCATTGGACAATACTTCATCCATTCCTTCTTCGTCAGATTCCAAATTTGAAGTGCCACCTTGTTGTGGAGAGAGAGTCGAATTCGTTTGAAGCGATTGAAGACCCTCTTCATCATGAAAATAAATCAATAACAACTTCTCTCAGATTTGAAGTGTGGTTTGGACTTGAAGTGTTAATGCCTTTCACACCTGGCATTGTAAAGCATTGACTTTTCGTGAAAGGACACACATGCTTCTTATCCACATAGTCAGCATATTTGTTTTCCTTACTTTAATGATAGATTGACCCAATGGCAGTCAATGAAATGTAGGATCCTGTAAGGAATGGATGAATAACCTTCGATACCTTTGTTGTATCGCAGTGCATGGCCGTCAAATTATGAGCGACTTTGGTAAGTGATAGTCGCAACGTCTTTGTAAAGCATTTTTCTGAGTTGCAACATTTTGAATCACTAAATTCTCATCCAAAAAGCTATATTCATTCAAACTAATCATTCGAACTCAAGATATAATGTAGTTCAGTGTTCATGTTTCTTTGAAAATAGGTACCATCATTATCTGTGGTGTTTCCAAAGAGGGTAATAATCGTTCCAATTTCATTAATGTTTTGGAACCAGTTTCTATGGGATGTTTTCTTTCAAAGGGCCTAGTGTTCATGCGACCGAACTGCCAGACGTCAATGGACCTTGTCCGAACTCTCCAACTTTTTCTCAACTGAAGATTCAAAGAATAAAATGCACAGTTTATTTTTTCCATGTTTTTGTTGTTCATTTCTGAACGGGTTGAAATTTGAATACCAAGTTGGGCGCAGGCGAAACACGGTTGGATTTTAACACAATGCGGAACGGAATGTTGGCTGAGTATTTCAACGCATTAATTAACTATTCTCAACATCGTCCAAACTCTCGGTTTGGCTGTTTCTTGAATGGTGTAAGACATTCTCTCTCAAACCAAAGTCGAAACTGCTTTTGCTAATCCAAATGTCTCATATTCTTTTAACTTTCAGAAATATTACTAGTCTTTCATGATTTCACTGTTACGATTGCTTGATGTTTATGAAATGCATTCTTTTCTTGAAGGAATAGAATGTCTTTTGATGAAACCATCACGTTCTGCGTTGTTTTTTATTTCTTTCTTTCAAGAGGACTGTTCAAGAGATTCATTAAAGAGGATGTAGAGAGGTTGAGAAAGTTTAGCCTGTTGAATTGTGAAGAAAGAGTGGGAAGCGGAAACTGATTGGTAACCAAATATTTTTTGAAACGGAAAAACTGTGTGGCATCAACAACTTGTTCTCATTACGAACTCTTTTTCTGAAACAACAAGTTTAAAAATCAAGAAACAAACCTAAGAGTGCTTCTCTTCCTTTCAACCAAGCTTCTGGAGTGATTCAAACCACTTGCCAATGAATAACATCGAATCCAATAACCACTCAATGAAACAAGCTCTTCACTTGGATGACACCACTGAGGAAGAGACACACCAAGGACTTTTGAGAAGAGTCCGAAAGCATTTTCAACACAATCATTCAAATTTGTCCCTTCTCTCCCTAACATGCATCTGTATATTGGTTCTATTCGAAGTCATGTGTCTTCTCAGTGCCATGATCTTCCTCACCAATCGTAACATGTTCTTTTTAACAAAACAACATAATAATATTGAGCAACCCAAACAAGAGTCATCCAACGCACAATCCTATCAACCACCTCCATTACCTCTCTATCAAGAAATACCTCAACACCAATCTCCCTCCACTCAACCATTTCCAGTAGCACCTCCAAAACCATTAAGTCATGTTCAGATCGAAGAATGTGTCAGGATGGAACAAGCAGAAATGTTATATCTCTTTATTAATTATTCCGATCATCCACCAGTACTTGGACAACGATATCTAGAGATGGAAACTGCATGGCCAAAGTTTTATCCTTCGACGGTGAATGTCAATGTCAATAACGCATCGAATTTCAGAACAGTGCAGTCTCCACACGAACAGGACAGTGGTTCTTCTTCCTATTCTTTCCTCCCATCTTCAACTTCCTTGTCCACTCCAAATATACCCTCAAAAGAATATGAAACAATGAGTGAGAGTAAGAACTCTGTTCCATCGAATCAGGTAAAGGAAACAGAATTTCGAACGTATTTTGAACAACACAAAATAATTTTCCAATTCATGAGTTTTCAATCTCCTCTGAATGAAGATCTGGATGCATGGAAGAATTCCATGAATGAACTCAATTTTGTCATGAATGCAGACAAATATGACGAACGGAACATGAAGAATGAACATCACTTACCCATTTGGCTTCGAGTATTTCAAAGAACACAACCATTACATCAAGTACTGCAGGCCATTTGTCACGTTCACAACATTAACGAATCCATTCTCATTGTTACCATCGACGGTAATGGTTTTTTTGATGTCCTTCAAGAATTAACGAAAGTACAATGTGTGAAAATGAGAATTTACTTTCATGCCTTTCATACCAATTTGAAAACTCTCCTCAACAGTTATGAACCCAACTTGTTTGATGTTGGAATGTTGTTCAAGAAATCTGTCAAATTATTAACACATGCCATGTATGGTCTGTATTTGGCCTTTGTCAAATACCAATATCCATATGTCATTACTTTGGAAGATGATATCCAACCATTACCTGATTTTTACAATTATCATCGATCCTTATATACTCTCACGTTAGAGGATTCACCTCAAAATCCTTACTATACTGTGTCTGCGTATGCTCATGGTCGGTATCATCACTGTCGATACATTTCAGGATCTCTCTTCTCTGAAAAGCTCTTTTCCAAACACGAAGAACAAGAGTTTGAAAACCAACAACGACAAATCAAAGAATCTACCAAAACCATTCAATGTCGAATGCAAGACACTGATCAATTAGTATTGGAACAATACCACGCCATATGGGGAAGTGGAATTCCACGAAGAGTTTTCCAGAGACTTTGGCAAGTATGGATCTCTGCCACTGTGTTAAAGAAACATTCACAATACTTTTTAGGAGTTTTATTAAGGGATTTGAGACAACCTCATGAAAGAACCATTACACCATGTTCGAATCGAATTACACGATTAGCCAATACGGGTGAAAATGGAGAGGATGATAACAATGAGAGACGATATTGGACGCTTTCGGCTGCACCTTGTACCAAGTATCAAAATGAATCAAGTGTGAAATTTTGGAAATACTCTCAACGAAAGTATCAAATTCTGAATGAATAAACACTAACTTGTACCGACCTTGCTTTTCTTTTGAAAATTTTTGAATAGGATCATTAGGAATGTTTTATGCGCATGTTTCTGTATGAACTCTGCAAATCGAAAAGCAAAGTTTCCGAATTAAAAAAAATGAAAACAACGAATCACAAAGGCTACGATACACAGTCAAATGCTCATCTGGCCGTTGATCCGATCACACCAAGCAAGAAGAAGGAGAGTCGTAAGATATTGCAAGCATATTATGGTGAAATAAATTGGGCTCTAGAGATGGTCGAACCGACCAAGAAGGAGGAGGAGAAAGAGGATTCAACATCGTCCAAGAAGAAGAAGGAGAAGAAGGACGATTCAACGGTTCCCAAGAAGAAGGAAAATCGTAAGATATTGCAAGCATATTATGGTGAGATAAATTGGGCACTAGATGAAGATCCGATCGAACCGACCAAGAAGGAAGATTCAACAGTGTGCCCAACAACTAAACCACCAAGACCATCTTCTAAACCTATTAATATTCACAAGATGAAAAAGGAATCATCACAAGAATCTTCATCATCAATTCACCCATCTTCACTTCCAAACACGAGCAGTTTGAAAGGTCATCACAAAGTCGCAAGTCACGAACAACAAATGAATTCCGATCATCATACAACAACCGGAGTCAACACGGAAAAGAACCATCGATCAACCACTACCTCTACTACTAACAAGAACATCAAGCATGAAAAGTCAAATACCTACAGTGGGGATAGTAACCCACAACCTGTAGATTCTAGATCAAGGGCCAAATCATTTCAGCAATCAACCCAAAAGGCCACACCCCTCACTAACGAATCGTCGAAACGTAGTAAGCCACTACCAACCATGACTGACGAAAAGGAACTGCTGGACTCATATCTTAGAAGAAATTCAAAAATTGAAGAAGACAACAAACAGAGTCCAGTCACACCCACTTTGTCAAGCACACCACCCACCTCATCTCCAAAAGATCAAAAGATCACCTCACCTCGTCAGAAAAAACTCCAACAACAGCTTAAAAACACTCAACTTAGTACAAGCGCACCAAGCTCATGTTTACATCCTAGCATTTCCAAAGAGCAAGAGACACTTGACGAAGTATTGGATGAACTATGCATGAGATTTATTATTAACTGTCCTTATATGCATGACTATGGAACTTCAGGTTTTGAGAGATTATTTTTTCAACTCGAAGAAGCATTTTGGTTTTATAGTGACTTCTTCAGACAACAGTCGCTGCCGAAGTTTAAATTTGTTGAATTTTGTGAAAAAATGTTAGCCAGACATCCTCACCTACTAATTGATCTACAACGTTTTACTCGTGACGTATTCCCAAATGCTGACAACTCTATAGATTTGAACGTTGATACACTTGTACAGAAATTCTTGGATTACAAAACATCAGTTCCAGTATACGGTTGCGTCTTACTGAACGAAGCTATGGACAAGGTTTTGCTTGTTCAAGGATATAATACCAAGTCCTGGTCTTTTCCTAAAGGAAAGATCAATCAGTTTGAACGAGAATCTCACTGTGCAGCTCGAGAAGTATATGAAGAATGCGGATACGACCTCCGTGACAAAATTTGCGAGTCTGACTATATCGAGTTAGAACAAAACTATGAAAATAGTTTACCAAAGCACAAAGATCAGTACAAGCACTCAAATCCCTATACAAAACTATTTATTGTTTCAGGCATTCCTGAATCTACCAATTTTGTGACGAGAACCAGAAAAGAGATTTTAAAAATTCAGTGGTTTTCGATCGATTATTTAGTTGGCACATGTAACGCAAAGCAAAGTACTTTAAGAACTTGGTTGGTTAAACCATTTTTATCCAAGATTAAAGAATGGATCAAGAAAAAGAAAGTAACACCCTCTGGTAGCAATACGCCAACTAAAAATCAAGCAAGACAACGTAGTTTAACTGCTCCAGCTATCTCTATACCAACAGAGAACATGAAAAAAGGTACTGAAACGAATGGAGCTTCTCCATTACTTTCTTTTGTGTTCAACACTGAAGAGATTGTAGAAAACTGTCAACAGTAAATTTATCTACTCCTTCTTTTTGTCTGTTCCTCTTTTCGGCTTGTTGTCTTCATTACTTTCGTCACTTTTGAACAAGGATTTGCTTGCAGAGGCAGTGTCCCACGACTTTTCAAAAGTATTGGTATCCACCTTGTCTCTAGTGAGCTCTAGTTTCATTTCATCTTCGGCTGACAAATTTTTGAAATTCCATTTGTATGTGGTTCTTTGCTGATGAGAAAGATCACTACTATGTACACCAGAAGGAGCATAGTATTTGCTACTCAATTCCCCCCTATTCCATTTCTAGAATATCAAAACGATTAAATTGCAGATCACAAACATTCCTTCATATTATTAAAATTACCTTAATAAACTTTTTAAAATATTTCATAATTTCTTCTGTATTTTGCAAATCATCTTCCACTCTCTTTTTTTTGTGATTCAACAGCCACAACTTAAATTCTTGATGTTTCTTGTAATAATCGTCCATAGTTAATTTTTCACGAGGTAATTGTTTAAAATTTGATTCTTCGTCTCCCTTCAACGACGTTGTATTATAATTTCCGCTAGCTGCTGTGCTACTACTACTTGATGATGGCTGACTCACCAACAATTCATTGTTTTTCTGTTTTTTTGTAAATTGTTCATTACGCTCCGATCGTTCAATTACATCCTCCTTTTCTTTAGGATTGTGTTTAGTATCATTCGATAGAATTGATGGTGCTTTTTGTTGTTTATCTGAATGATCATCAAATTTACGTTTCTTATCGTGTGATTGATTGTTTTTGGACATTTTTTTTGTAATTTATTAATTTAAAATTCCACTCAATCGATGGACTTTGAACATCTTTGACTTCTTCTTGGTGCTTGATCATGGCATGTTATGAAACTACAAATTTTGAATGAACCAGCACAAAGATGGGAATTCTCAAAATAACTTTAAAAAAAATAGAACAATGGCCCTCCCATTGAAACGAGCAATCGATCACGTCAAGAATGGTCAAGTGGAACACCTTCAACCATTCATGAATGAACTATCTTCTTTTATCAATGACTGTACACAAGCAACTGGCTATGAAACGTTACTCTACAAGGCATGTGACAGGGAACAAGTGCAAGTGTTAAAATTATTATTGCAAGTGAAAGGAATAGATGTCAACAAGGGATCTGTAGGTTTATTCATTAGGAATTGAACGGTTGAAAGGATCATGTTTTGATATTTATTTCGGAATGTATTGAATTCAATGAACAATTTTTACAAGGATGTATGTTTTTTAAATAATAATAATATTATTTTGTAATAATTTTTAACTATTGATGAAAATTAAAAAAGGATGTATGTAATTGAAATTTAAATTAGAAATTGAATAATTATAATATTTCACACCCCAATAGGGAGTAAGTCACGATTTAAATCATTTTCAAAATGGTTATTGAGCTCGCCTTTGGATTTTCAGCTTGTAGGTATTTTTAGTATATATGTGAATATTCATAACAACATCTCCCAAGATCGTATGTATTCATTCGTAAAAACATGGTTGATTCAAGATTGACACTCGCTCCGTTACAGGTTGTACGTAAAGTTACCAAATACTTTTTCATTGTTCTCACATCTCTTTTCACACATTCCTTAATTTAGTATTCTCCTCTCTATATTGCTTGTAAACATAATCATTTAGAAATTATTCAATTATTACTTTCTCACCCGAATATAAGGATTGATCATAGGGCAACAAACATTGCCATGAAAGAGCATTGTATTGATTTGAATTTACTTTCTTTTTCTATTAAGAGTTCATCCAGTGATGCATTGAATGATACATCTCAACGATCATTTATTTATGCCAAGTTTTATAGTTATCAACATTTACAGCACGTGTCACTGGTCAACAAGTATGATCGTGACACATTATTTGAAAATTCAAATATTATTGTATTTAAACCTCTCATTAAGCTGATGGCTCCTTCCTTCTATAAGAAAGTTTTGAAAAATAAGGAATTGATACTCTCACTTGATCACTCTGAAGAACAAATTGTACAACATATGATTAATTCATTTATTTATGGAGGTCCAAGTGATTTACTCTCCATCATGAATGTGACAGACCAGTCGAAGAGTTCTCTCACACTTCTCGAAACACTCAAATTGTGTATCCAAGTTGTTTTTATTGTAAATCAAGTGGTAAATGGTGAATGTACGAATTGGAAAGTACAAGCCGTAAGAGCAGTCGTTTCAGTTGTGAAATTTGAAAATATTTTGGATACACTTGATTTGATTCAAACATTATTGGAACGAGAACACAAATACTTTAAATCTCGTCACGAATTTGAGAATTCCAACACTTCTACATGTACTTTAAGAAAAATCAAAGAATATTGCCTTGACTATATTGGAACCAATGCTTGGAAAGATGAAGGATATGATTTGTATGTGGAAAAAGATCCACGAATGCAGCAATATGCCATGTCTGTCATCAAGCGAAGAGAAATGAAACCTCAGAATATTTACGAAACACCTTGCTTGGTCTCAAACACTCTATTTTTTGATCTCTATCATGGTGGAAAGAAGACTGATTTTGAAATGAAGTTGATGAGTGGAAAAGTTGTCAAATGCCACAAGACCATGCTGAGTTCAAAAAACAGCTTTTTTGAAGGTCTATTTTCTGGAAATTGGTCTCTCGATCTTGAAGAAAAATATGGAGACGAGATGGAATATATTGTTCAATATTGTTATGGATTTGTAGAACAAGTGCCTCAACATTTGATCGTACCTCTCATTAAGAAAGCTCACGAACATGAAATGAATGATCTCGTAGAAGTACTCGTCAGAAAAGAGTTAATTCTGACTCTGGATAACTTTGCTCAAGCGGTTGAGGATTTGTATGACTACATGGAAGAGCCTATCATTTCGAATACAATTTTCAAGTTTGCCTCTCAAAACAGAATATCGTTATGGGACAAAGTGGATCCGAATTTACTTCATCCGAAACTACAATTGTGTTTGGCCACAGGTTCCTTCTGAGCTTATATGACTGTGAGTGTCAATATTCTTCCACAAACAACTTACTGGACCAAAAATAAAATAATTGTCAATTCAGTTTATTATAAAGATTTACCAGAATGCACACCAACCAATGTACATTTGGCATAAATTAGAATTAGATGTTGCTTGCTCAATCAACAACTCAACTTGCTCAGAACAGTTGAGAGTGACTGGTTCCTCATCTGTTGGTTCTTCTTCATCTTCATCAACAAAGTCCCTACCAATGAGTTTGCTTTCAATTCTGTGACTAACTGTAAGGGCTCTTTGATTAAGTGCTTCAGGTTGTTTAAGAGACTCTTCTTCAGATTCGTCACTTTGCAAAGTTCTACGAAGATTCTTCTCACGAACAGATCGAGAAGGATAATGTAAACTGTCATGTTCAGTGTAGGAAGAAACAGTTTGAGGTGAACCATTATCTTGAGAGTCACCATTGTTCATATCTTGTGGAATATTGTGTGACATGTTTTGCATGGATTGATTCTGTACATGATTAATTTCATCTTCATTTTCGGTTTGAGTCTCTAACAAACGCCAATTAATCAAAGGATCATGAACGAATGCTTCTAACATGGCCATAACAGAATCTTTGTTGTCTCTCAATACTCTCATGACACTTTCACAGGTCGACTTGAAGGTACCTTCAATTCCACACACTTCCATGGCATTAATGAGCATTCTTGTGAGTCTGAATGGAACTTTTTCTGGGAATTTATCTCTATGCATGGCAACTTCGAAACAATCACCAAAATCAATATGTACAATTTTACCTGTGGATTTCTCCAACATCAAATTACTGGGGTGTCTGTCACCAAGACCCAAAATATAACCAACAATAGACATGACAGCCAATGATCGAGTATAGTTGGTTCTTCTTTCAAGCCACACTTCAGAGTTTCTACTCTTCAACCAAAGTACCTTGTACAGGTCTTGTCCAGTGGTATTTTCGAGGGCATATTCAAATACTTCGATCTTTTGCATGAGAGTTAAATTGTCGTAATCAACAGCCATTTGTTGCATAAGTCTATGCTCAATGTTCAGTAAGACATTTCTGCTATCTCTGAACTCCTTAATGAGTGCATGTAACGTGTCACAATTGTCAACCCATCCAATCAAACCAGCATTTGAGCTTAAAGGAATGACAGAGTATCTCTTAATACTCAAGTCTCGAGTTGAAGTTTCTGGATCATTTTTCAGTAATGTATTTACAAGACCAAACAATTGCATAACTCTTTCGTCTTGACGCAAATCTTCATGTCCCTTCAACAAGAACTGATACTCATTACCATCACTACCAAAGATTTTAAGCTTTCTTGGTCTTTGTTTGGAAGAAATAACTCTAAGTTGACGTGCAAAGCTTGCAATTCTGATCACTTGCTGACCACTCTTATAAGTTCCAGGAATAGCCAACTCAAGATCGCTAGCTTCAAGGAGCTTGGGTGATACAATTTGTAACTCCAGCTTCATCATGTGTGGTAATTGTTTGTTAATTCTTCTAAAGACATGATAATACAGATCCCAAGCTTGAGAGAGTTCTTTTTCTTTTCTTGTCTTTTGATACTTTTTACAGTACTCCCACGCATCTTGAAGATCTCTTCCAAAACCTTGAGTGAAAGCAATCTCACTCAGAGTCTCTGGGTTTTGAATCATTTCATGGAGCGGCTTGAGAGTGTTGAGCATACCTGGAGTGTCATGCTCTCCAAAGTAGAGTCTTGAGGCTTCTTCAAGTCCCTCGTGCCACAACTCATTCCACAAGATGGCTACTCTAATCAGTTCGTGACTCACCATGAGGGCTTGTTCAACAAGAACTGGATTGTTTTGTCTCATAGAGTTCAACAATGATTCTGCGGCTTTCTTTCTTGAAGTTGATTGTGAGTAAGAGCAGACAGTTAATGGATATACCAATGCTTGAGGATGTACTTTTCCAACCTTTGAAAGGAGCTTGTGAATCAATTTTCGTACAGGACCAACATGTGAGTTGACACGAGCAATGATTTGTGGAATTACTTCAAGCCATGTGTCAATACTGACAGTATTGAATCCATCAACCAAGGTCTTTTCAATTTCTTTCATGGCACCATGCTTGAACCACAATGTTAACAAACGTAAAATGTCTTGTAAGCTTGAATTTCTATCTGGACTGAGATTAATTGAGTTAAAGAATCCAGTCAAAGCAGAAATCAAATAAATAGTCATGGATTCCATACTTCTGGTAGCACTTTGTTTCTTCTCCACATGTGAAACGACTTCAGAGTTCAACAATGCCCATTCGTGCCAAGCCTTGTACCATTCCTTATCAAAATCGGTCGCAGCCTTGAAATGAGATAAAATTTGAGGTAGTTTGTTCTCATCCAAACCTCCATGTTGCCTATATAAAACCTTTTGCCATTGACCCAATGTTAGACATGCTCTGGCCTTCAATTGATTGTCACATTGGATATTATATACAAATTGATTCATCAATTCGAATGCCTTCATTTGTTTACCTTCTGACCACATGTGTTTAAAGTATTCATAGGAAATCTTTGGATGAACGTCAGGTGATACCAAAAGCTTCTCAGGCTCTTCGCTCAACACAATTCCATCAACCAATTTTTGAAGAATTTTCTCACTCATTTTGATCTTATTCGATTTTCTACAAATTGATGCAAATTTGAGCCATGTAGAGAGATCTTGTCTTTCAGGTATTACTAATTTTCGAACAGACAGAATATTCTGCCAATGTTCAACATTTCTCTTACAACCTGCCAATCTGTCAATCCAAATTTGATGGATAATTGATTTGGATTCTTCATCTTCTGCTCTTTGATATCGAATGATTTCTTCCATTTCAGACAATTGTTGTACAGTAACAATAATATCATAGGCTCTATTGTAACTTTCACCAACCAAAGCTGCCAATTCTGTGTCGAGTACTTTGCGTGTATTGTCAATCAGTATTTGTGCATTATTGTGATCCTTTTGGTGAATGGCTAAAATAGCTCTGAAGAATGCACCTTCACTGGTATCCTCACTGAGAATGTTCACATAATTTCTCATGCTTTCCCATTCTCCCAAATTCCATGCTGCAGCAGCTGCCATTGGTGCCATTTCTTCCTTTATACTATCGCTCACAGTATTCCATGAATCTTGACATAACTTAAACAACTTTTCCCATTCTCCAATAGCTTTGAGACATCGCATTTTGCCCAATGTCAAGCTTTGATCATATGGATTTTGTTTTTGTTTGATACTGTACGCATCATAGGCTTCTTTCCATCTTTGAAGCTTTTCATACCATGACTCTTTCAACTCAATGCTGTGGTTCTTTTGAGCGTATTTCAAGATACCCATAGCTGCTTCGTGTTGTTGAAGTTGATTGTTGATGCTGATCAAATCTTCAATAAGAGCGCTTGGATTTTGTTGGAATTCAATTTCCTTGTAATGCAATGCTTTTGCGAAACATTGACACTTTTCAGCAAGTGCACCTAAGGCACTAATAGCAATTGGAAGAGGATTTTCGTCATGTTCCATAAATTCTGCCAAATTGAGCAATGTTTGAAGAACTTCAGGAGGTAAATCAGGTGATGAGAAAGCCATTTCCAGAGCACGCACCACCTCGTTTTGTGCCTTATCATCCAATTCAGACCAACAACTCACAAATCCTGCATTGAAAAGCTCTCTAGTTAGAGGGTGATAGACTTGAGCGAGTGCAGAGCAAGAACGTAATGCAGGAGATGGTGATTCCTTCAATAACTCTACAGAGAAACCTCTATTCCATTCAATCCAATCGTCTTTTGTTGCTCTTTGAGAAGCTTCCCATGCTTTTCTCAAACTATTTTGATTGATAGCCATTTTCTTGATCTCTGTTGAACTATCTTCACCTGCTAGAGAGTGGCCGATTTCATCTTCATCTTCTGGCATGTTTGGAAGTGGTAAACCTTTGAGTAAGTGGAAAATGAGTTCATTATATCTTTGATGAGTAATGTTATATTGAGTTAAAACTTTGGTCACCATTGGAATAAATATTGAGAAATCACTTCCTAATTGATGAATAATATTACACAAGGTATCCATGGCCTCTTGTCGAATCTCTGTATTTTGTACCTTCAAGACTCGAGAAAGTGGATGAATAATTCTCGAAGAATATTCTGAAAAATTCAAAATTCTACTCAATTTTCCAATACATCGAATGGCTTCTTTCTTTAACACAGGTGTAGCTGTTGGTGCTTCAAAAAGTTTGACAACTATTGGAACTACTAAATACAAATATTCTTCTAAATGTCGTCCAAAAACGATGAGCGCATGTAAAGCTTTCTTTGCTGATTTAGGTTGTGGAGGTGTTTGCAGCACACTCAAAAGTTGAGGAATAACATCAGGTAAATATGGTTTGAATTGCTCATTAAGTGCTGTACATATTTCTTCTTCGAGAGAAATAATTTGTTCCTTAAAATCTGTATCAGATGAAGAGCTATTCCAAAAGTCATGAATGAGCACAAAAATTTCGTCCAAGTAATTTCGAATGTGCTGTTTCACAATTGAGACTAGCAAGCTCAGTTGTTGGAAAACTGTGTTCCGAATATTTGGCTCACAATTTCTTATTAGGTTCAAGAATGGAGGCATTACTTGAGGTAAAAATGGAACACATTTCATATTCAAACTTGTGAAAATATACATGACTGCTTGAATCGCAGAAAGATGGTGCAATGATAATGAGGGATCAGTTAAAATTCTAATGAGAGCGTTGAAAGCAACTGTAGGATAATATTCTTCTGAAGAGGGACTCAAACCTGGAATAATGTCACTACTTGTGTCCATATTCTCTTTGGAAGATTCGAGTTGAACTTTGTGTTGATATGGATCAATGGCTCCAATAATACCCAAAACTTTGATAATCTCTCTTCTTGTTGACCAATCTTCCTCTGATTTTAGAATTGCAAGCAACAATGTCAATAAATTAGGATATTTGATGTAAGGCGTGATCACATAACCAGTACTGGCAACTATTTGTCCGAGAGTCTTCACCGCCATTGCTCGCTTGACTGATGAGCTTTGATCTTGCAATGTTTCGATCACAGATGGTAATAAATCATCAATAAAATCTACAATATCCATGCCACCAACTTCAGCGAGCTTTCCAGTGGTATCCAACACACACGAAGAGACGTTTGGGTTATTATCCTTAATTCGTTCCATGAGAACTTTAAGAACACTAGAAACATAGGGCTTAATTAATCGAGGTGCCGCAACAATTAAATGTCCTAGCATTCGGGCACTCTCTTCCTTACTTCGAGAATCTTGACTATACTCTAATTCTGTTAACAACTGAAGGAGTGCTTTTCTCAATGATGGTAACACAAATGCAGGATTTCGTATGCTCAATCTTCCAATGATAGAAATTGCAACTTCTCGAATTTCGAACACTTCATCATTTAAAGCAATAAATAATGATCTTAAATTGTCTGATAATGCTAAATAGTGGTCGAATTTTGGCTCCAATGACGATAATACTGCATATCGAATGGTAAAATCGGTATCAGTAATACCAACAATTAACAACTTGGCAAGCACATCTCCAACTACAGAACCAAAGTGACCTTTCACTGGTGGTTTTCCTTGACTCACTAAAAGTCTACAACATGTTTTTGCTGCCTCCTTTCTAATTGCCGGTATGTCATCGTCAAGATATTTCACCACACAATCGTGAACGAAATCTATTAAATTGTGGCCCTTGACATTGAAACTTCCCAAAGTTTTGAGAGCAAAAACAATGGTTGGCGTGCTATAGAGTGAAGCTTCAATATGTGGAGCAAATTGTGTTGGTGGAGTCACAGGATTGAGAGTATTGAAAGGTTGTCTTGCCAGAATTTGAGAAATGGTATCCAAGACACGTTTTTGAATGGGTTGAAGCAAGGCTGGAATTTCCTTAGAAATAATTGTGAGAGATTGAATTAATGCTGTTGATAAACCTCCAGCAAACATGGAAGGAAGTAAATGTAAAATACGAACTGATACAGTTTCTCCCACGGCTTTTGAAATGTCACTAATGCAAGTCAAAGCCTCTTCACAAAAGTTTTTCTTCTTAATTTTCAATCCATACTCTGTGATAACATTAAAAATGTCATCTACATATTTTTTGATTGGTTGGCCAACACGGGTGGTCAACTCACCCAATGCGAGGAATGATGGTTGTCTTTCGAATCCATTCTTGATTGCTTCCAGTATGAGATTGATTGACTTGTGAAGATACTTTTCATTAAATCGTTCTCCATAGAATTTTGCTAAAACCGGAATCAGTTCAATGACAGTTCTTCTCACCATTCTGTCTCTATGTTGTTGAAAATCTAGAATGGTTTTGCAAATACTGTCAAATTCATCTTTGAGAACGTTTCCTGCAAATCCCAATAACTCTCCAATTGCAAGCAGAGCTCCGTGCACAACTTCTGTTTTTGTATTCTTGAAATTGCTGTTTGTTTGATTATAAATATCTTGATACCAAATGTTACGAAAGTTAGTTGGACGTTCGGAGATGAGACCTAAAACAGCGTGCAGAGCCTGTACAGAACCAGTTCTGACACCAATGTTTGCGTCAGTGAGACCATTCCATATGACACTCAGAAAACTTTGAACATGTCCATAGAAAAGTGTTGGTGCATTTTCTGCCAATTCTTTCAGAACAAAAACTGCAGCATATCGCTTTCCGTCATCATTCTTCTTATTGTTGTTATCGTCACCTTTTAGCCACTCCAATGCTCTTTTAATTTCGAATTCAACCCATTCAGCAGTAAGTGTTTTTGATGTTGATGAATCACTTGCTCTTGCTAGTTTACCAAAGGTCTTGGCAACCATGAGCACGATTTGAGACTCGTTTGATTGATTGGCAAGAATATTTCTTAGGTATTGGGAAAATCGTGTTCTATTGATTTTTCTCTGATCATCATACCGGATGTCGATTAGGACGTCTATCAGTATGATGGCAGCTGTGCGGTCATTTAACTCTCTAGAACTCAATAACTCTCCAATCCATTTGTAAATGTCATCTATTAACTTGCTAAAGTTTTCTGCTGAATATTCACGATATAATTTTTCCACCTGATGATAACGATAAATTCATATCAGAGAGTAAATTGTTGTTGTTGTTGGTTATTGTTGGTTTGATTAAATTAAATGATGATGGTTTCAAGGATATCGAAATAACGAAAGTAAACATACCTGTGATTTGAAAAGCTCCACTCCCACGTTTCTTTGTTCCTCATTCTTGCTAGTAATATTTGTGTGTATCTCCTGAAATTCGGGACTACCCATCGACGAAGTCGTGCTCATTCCTATGCAGTGATTATAAATGATTGAATGATGATTCGGTCAAAGATCATGTACAGAATTTAAAGTCGTACAAAGAGAACCAGTACGGAAATATAATTCCTGCAAATAAATTAAAATTGTGTGAGGAGATGGAAAGGAACTGATGATGGCCTGCTTTTTGATTTTCAACGTTTGGTAGTCCACTCCGAGAGGGAGAGCGAGGCTTTTTTTATGAATGTTGTAAAGTGTCAAATGGAGATTTTCTGCTGTTCATTCGAAAATAATATTAATATTGCATTCGTTGTACAGTTGTGCAGCTTCAAATGTTCATTGAGACTTGAGGTGCATATCATCTCCTTGTTCTCATCTTTTGAACACCGCTCTTAAAAAGCTTGTCAGCCTCACAACATTCATCTGTCAAGCTTGATAAAAAGCAGTTCACATAGGTCGAAAAAACATATCTTCTTCCAGCACCAGATCACCTCTTTCCAAAACACACGTTCAAGACACCCGTGATGAACAGCATCAACATTGCGGATTCTGCAAATGTTGTTGATACAGCACCCTTCGAAAATTCAAATCTCAGCAAACGAGAGAATGAATTGTTGAATATAAACAGAGCGGGTGATACAGGTCATCAACATTCCCAAGACTGGCCCGACAACAGGAAAAAAAACGAATTCGGCTCTGCAACTCGCTGTACAGGTCATCACGCCAATTGTCAATCCATCATCATCACAGCTGAAAGTAGTACTACTGCTCCTAGGAGTTGTGTACCCAACGTTGGCACCGTCATACAAGACCCAAAAACGTCCAACGTTCGCGAATTGAACTCAGTTCCTAACAACGAGGAAGCTCTCGTTCATGAACCATCCGAAACAATTGTTTCATTACCCACTACTACAACATCCACTTCGGTTTCATCCGAAATCATGCTAAAAGCCTTGTTCAATACCAAAACCAAGAAGAATTCATCATCCAATACAAATTCATCGAATAATAACTTGACAACAACAACAACCACGTCAGCTGCCATGTATGATACAACAACATCTTCCAAACGATTGGCATCCGGACTCGGACTCACTAAAAAAGAGACCTCTCAAGAAAATGTCGAATTTGATTTGTTATATGCAACAAAATTATCTTCAATATCCAACAAGAAAAGCTCACGAAGACATAAGAAATCAACTTGGAGTTCATCTAGACCATCTCGAGAGAAAATGAATCAATTTTGTAAATATTGTAAAATATCCGAGAGACATTTAGAAAAGAAAAACTTGTCCACATTGACACAATTGAAAACGTGTAGTTTGTGTCGTGAAGTGAGATATTGCTGTAAGGAACATCAAGTAGAGGATTGGCCTAATCATAAAATTGATTGCAACAGTGCCGTACGAGCTCGTAATAATGGTATTTATTGCAAGACATTGAAAAAAGGTCATTCCAAATATAGACCTTGTGAAGGAGATGTGGTATCCATTCACTACGTGGCTCGATTATTGAATGGAACCATTGTGGATAAAACTTACAAATCCATTGAGACAAACAAATATTGTAGTGTTTCTTATGACACGAGTGATGATGAAGATACTGAAAATGCTTTTGATGACGACAATGATCCATATATTGTTAAGCCTCCATCCAATGTGTATAATGATTTTGAGGGATGGCTTTCACATGCTAATATTCAACAACGGAAAAGTTTTGCTCAACACGATGACATTAATGCTGAGGATGATGATGAACATACCTCTCATTCTTCACAAAGTGATTTAACAGCAGCAACCATTGATTTTTCGACAGGAACAAGTGTGACGTCTTCATTCTATTCTGAAGCTGGTCAATCCTTCTTGGATGAAGATCAAAATTCACAAAGATCCACAATATCATCATCGAGTATGATTTCAAATCCAGAAAGAACTCTTGAACAAAGCATAGAATTCGAAAATGAAGCTCAAGATAATTGGTCGGACAGCTCATCAGGCAGAGCAGGTGGTGGAACCTCTTCATCCACTTCGAATGCTACGATCATTTTTGATTCGCTCCAGAAAGATGTGGAGGTTGTTCCAGATCCTCTTCAATTCAAAATTGGAAAAGGTCAAGTACCATCAGGAGTGGAAAAGGCAGTCAAACAAATGTCACTTGGAGAGAGATGTTATCTAGTTGTGGCTCCATCCAAAGAATCGTCGAAACGAGATGTTATTTCCAAGAGAATGAAAAATGCCAATGGATATACTATTATCTATGAAATAATGCTTGTGCATATCCTTAGAAAGAGACAATATAATGAATTTGATTTTGAAAATATTCAGAATATGGACTCTATGAATGACCATGCATTGATTCGATTGGAGGAATTCACAAAAGATGATGACTCGTATCAGAGCTGCTATTACGAACCTTTTAGACCCTTTTTGGCCAATGTGTCATCTTTATCTGCACAATTGTATTAATAGTAGGTTACCTACAAATGCTATTTTATTGTAATCATCAATAAATATTGGTAAGAAGGAAAGTCAAAAGAAACCATCGTTTAACCAAGTCATCGAACAAGTCAAAAAACCCGCCAACGCCAACTGTCACAAAAAAATGTCTTTTCGTCAAATCACCAACACTGATTCTCTCTTTTTTCATTTCCGTCATCTCAACAACACCTCTTCGAGTCACAACAGACACGAAGATTCTTCCCTTCTCGACCAATTGGAACGTTTTCAATATTCTCTCTTTTCCAATATTCGCACCGAAGGTCTTCGAGAACGTGATCCTCTCGTTCGAGAATATGAACTAACGCTCGAAAGAAGATTTCAACAACAACAACAACAATTAAATTCCATGTATCGATCATCGGCAACATTGAGTCCATCTCTTTCCTCGAGTGCACATGTTGAAGAACGTGCTGATGATGACAATGACGATGTCATGCTCTCAGAGCCAGAATTGGAAGAGACCACAGTGAGTCGAGGATTAAATTTTGATTTAAATGAAGGATATATTAATGATGAGGAAATGATGGCTGCTGGTGTGTTTTATGGAGATGAAGATGATGAACAAGTGTATGAAGATATTTAAAAACATGAAGATCTTTAAAAACATCAACATGGCTGAATGAGTAGCGAACAGTTTTGATTGATCTTGTTTTTTTGGAATAATAGGCTCATGAATGGATTTGATGTATTGATTGATTGCATGTTCTGGAATGAGGAAACGATTCAAAGATATGTGATTTCTTTTAAATTTCGAAAGAGTGGTCAGGTGAATGAATTTGAGTGCTGTTTTGATCTTTATGCAAGAACAATTTTCAAAAAGAACAATTTATTGAACCATGTTCAGTATTTGAACAAGAAACACCGTTGCATGTCAATGAGTTGTTATTGCATTCCAAAGTTGAGTTCCATCACAAACCAGAAAATCAACAATAAAAAATATTTGCTTAACGTCTCGCTCAGAATATTAAAAGGTGGCTCTCTCATAATTATTATTTCGGAATTAAAAAAAATTATTGAACTATTTGATGATGATGAACAAGGATCAACAACAAGTATTAAAAGGAGAAACTATTATGAAATGTAATAATCCTTTTTGTGTGAGAGTTATGAAATATTCACCCAAATTGATCGTTGCAGATGCCTCCAACAGCATTGTTACCTTGTATGATCTCACAAATCACAGTGTACGGGAAACGTTTACAGTAACTACCGGTAGTATCAAGGGTAGGTGTTTTGTTGTTTATTATTTTCTCAATGGATTGATGATGATTATGATAACTTGATAAATCGCCAAAATTTTGTGCATTTTCCAATGAATTTAAATGCATCTAATACTGAACTTGCTCATTGCTCTTGAATTTGATTTTAACACATATTCATAGGCGTTGGTGTGGATCCATCGGATGATAGCTTTTACATTGTGACTGGAAAATTACTTGTAAAATATGACTCTGAAGGAGTGTATCTTGGAAAATATGGAAAGAATCTAGATCTTAAGAGCCCTATTGGAGTAGCTGTGGATGAGGTTGGCAATTGTTATATTACTGATCTTGATGGAAGAATTGTGGTCATGTCCAGTGAAGGACTTCTTGTGAGAACCATTGAGATGGAAAAACCTTATGACATTTATTTTGAACCTAAATTCAAATATATGGTGGTGTCAGATCAGAAAAAGGATGTCATTCGATTACTGACAAAGAGTGGAGAAAAGGTGAAAAAATTAGGATATAAGGGAAATGCAAAAGGGCAATTCAGTTCTCCAAGTGGTGTCTTTGTGGACTCTTTTGGACATATTTTTGTGGCAGATTTGGGGAATCATAGAATTCAAATGTTTGACGAAACTGGAAAGTTTATGGCTGTCATTGGGGGAAGTAGAGGAAAAAACGATGATGAGATGGAATTTCCACGGTCTGTGTGTGTTGACCCGTGGGGAGTGATGTATGTGGCAGATAGTTCAATCGTTCAATAGCACACAACAGCAATGAATGTAGTTTATTAAGGCTAGTTGAATTTTGCCAAGTCAAAGTTGTGTATACTCGTGCTTTAGAAAAGTAAACATGGAGCAAAATAAAGGCCTTTTTTATGAAAGATATTCAAAAAGAGACTATTCCAACTTGGAAAGAAAACTCTGCAATGGTGTGTATCCTGATCCAAGCTTTAATGCTCTTCCTCCATTCTCCTGTGAAATTGTTTTTTTTTCGCTCTCTTGTTCTGGTGTGGTGACGCCACAAAAAGCAGCCAACTCCTGTAGCATTTTGGCCATGGCTGTGCTTGGTGTAACCTCCTCCTCCTTCCGGGCAGTGGAACGAGCTCGATCATTGGGATAAATAGCCTGTTGCATAAAATCAAGAATAAGATCATTTCCAGAGTGGGCCTTGACTTGAATTTGGGACCATTTCGTGTCATACTCTTCACTATCTCTACGCTCATCTGTAACAGTACAATAATACTTTCCTTTTTGGTTGGGCTGTTCAAATGAAAGGGCCATCACAGATTTAAGGAAATCGTTGAAGCCACGAATGGTTTTAAGGGCTCCCATTTTATGTCCTGTTGGTCATGTGAAAAAATTGAATGTCATTGGCACGAATAGGCATCATGATAATACTAACCTCCAATTTCTCCATCCCAATTATAAAGAGAGCCCTTCTTGAGAGATGGTTTTTTGTTTGCCTCAAATACTAAATTCCATTTCAGAATAAATTGGTCACTATTACCTCCAGGATATCGACTTTTCCAGTAGTTCAACATTCATAACACGGCTCAGTTCATGAAATAATTTCGTCAGTTTTCACTTACTTTAAAGCTTTAAAGAAAATTTCAAAACTCAAACTCTGGCGACCCTTTTTGTACGTTTTTACAAAATTACTATTGTTCAAAGCCTCACCATGATCATCGAGTTGTAACAAATACATGGAAATTCTTGGATCAACTCTCTTGGCCCGCATCAATTCCTCAAACTCACCATAATCCACCATTCGGTTCAAACAATCAGCGAACATGCCTTGCACGTGTTTACTAATGAGAGGGAGTGTTCGGAATGAAGAGGCATCCATGAATTGAACCATGGAATAGAACTCATCATGATTTAATTTTTCAAACCAAGAGAGATCCTTGCTTGTTTGTTTCTCTTCATCATCGTTCATTTGGTTTTTGACTTTTTTCGTGTTGGAGCTTGTGGTACTCTTTTCCGGTGCTTGTTTTCTCTTTGGAGCCATGTGATGATTCAGCAGCGAAACGATGATGCAATCCAACTAATGATTTTTTAAATTGTTTATTTTCCAACAATACCTTGAATCGCGCTCCCTGTTGTTCCTTGGTGTTCATTCGGAACCAGATTCCTCTAGGGACAGAATTTCATCACACTTTTGATCTAGCTTTTTGCATTCTTAGGGTGTTGTTGAAGAGTGGAGTGACCCCATTCGTCTTTGTAAATTATATCCAAGTCTATTTGGTTCAAAAATAGTAAAAAATGTTTAAACCATTGGTAATGGGCTCCCATCACAGCCTTCCTCTCATCCGAACCATGACTCGGATGGGGAGAATTTTCAACACTCAATCATCATCAGCCACAACAGTATCATCAGCTTGGCATATGGGAGGGATAATCACACTCAATAACAAAATTTCTAATGTTGGTGTAATTTCCATGATGATTATGAATCATGAACAGATGAGAGGAATGAAAACAAATCCGAATGCTGGTAAGACTCAAAAGGGTCAATCGATAAAAACTCGCCAAAAACCTAGTGTTACACATTTGGAAGGAATTGGAGAGCCTTACGTTCCTGAACTCTATAAAACTCAAAACCCTCCATCAGGAATGAAAGAATCCCTGGCTACGATATGGTTTCAATTCAGAAAGTATTTAAGTAAGCTGAGATGCTTTTTCCGTATTTACAGAAGATTAGGAAAACAATTCGGTGTGAATGGAAATGCTAATTTCCAACAACAAGTAACGGAATATTTCCACGAATATAAGAAGGCAATAGTCAATAATGACCTCAGAAAATTGAACAAGGTTTGCACAACACGAGTTTTGTCACAACAAAAGAAGGATTCTAAGCATCATAGTGAAGAGAAGCACCACATTGAAATTTCAAATATCGAGAACCCCAAAGTTGTCCACTCATACATTTTGGACTTGCCTGGAAATAAGGAAATAGCGCAAGTAATTGTGAAAATGAAGGTCAACGAAAAGTTATATAGCAAGCAAGATCTTCCTGGTGGTAAACATCAATTGAATCTTGAACAAGATCAAGATAATACCTATTATGTGGTTTTTGAAAAGCCTTTAGATGACTTCTCTAAACAATGGATGCTTGCAGGATTTATCGATTCATCTTCCAAATATTTCGAGCCAACTGTTAAAGAGATCATGTATGGAACTACAATGATGGGTAGTAATGAATAGTATAGACATAAATGATCACCAATGACGAAGAAATAGTTTCGTTTAAATTAAAACCCTTAGGGCGTTTTACAATGCTTGATATTAAAGAAATAAATTCCATAAGTGGGATGTTGAGAATGAGTTGACAATTGTCCTGAAAAACTTGTTGGTGTTCATAGTGTGCTGGCAGTCACAGTAAAATATATTATTGTTCAATTCCATACTTTTCCATTTCTTCAAGTCTTTTTTCACGGAGCTCCTTTGCTTTCTCTTTTTGGCCAGGGGTTAAAGCAACCAATGTAGCAGGATGCATCGCAAGGGTTGGTTGGAAGAGATGTCTATAGGCAGCCCACAAAGCAAGTGCCCAACCAACAAGGTAAATAGTGCTCAAAAGAACATCTTTTGTTGATAATGTTGGGTAAGTATCTTTATAGGCCCATTGCTTTTGTCCAGCACCATCATCCCACCAAACATCATATGTATCATCAAATCCAGAAGTGTTGATATTGTATTGTTGTGGGCCATCGTATGGCAATTCGTATTCGGGTTGCTTTCTACTCAAATCAACAGTTGTACGTTTCACATGTCCCGGAGCAGTTTCAAGAGGAGAACGATCGGAACCGCTTGAAACAAAACGTTTTTGAATTGTTGTTGTTAATAGAGATGAATGTGATGAAACCTTCTTGTTCTGCAAGAGAGCCAGCAAGATTCGTCTTTGATTCATTTTTAAAATATTTTATTTATTAATTACAAAAGCAAATATCAAGCTTTGGCTTTCTAGTCATTGCTGACAATTGAATTAACGAATCAATGAAGCCAATTGATGAGGTAGTAAAGCCCTCTAACAACAAAGATTTTGTTCTTTCGGTGAACGATATTTGCGTTGAACAAAAAAATGAGTGGTTTGCTTGCTGCCTTGCTTTCATACCTTTGGTATGGCTTTATGTGGTATGTACCGATGATGATGAAATTATGTTTCGAAACAAGGCTCATGTTTCACGTGAATTCATCCTTTGAAAATTCAAATTGGATATATCCAAATTCGGAACAATGAAACTCGTCTTCCTTCTTAAATTTTATTGTTGAACTCTATCATCTCTGTATTTCACATCATTTTAGGGTTACTGGTGTAATCATTGCCGCCATGATCTTCTTCAAGATTGTCTTTATCCTTTACTGCAAATACTTCCCCAATGTAAATCTCAAGAAGAGATATCATACTGAATGGGCTTTAGTCACTGGTGGCTCTTCGGGAATTGGTGCTGCTTTGGTTGAAAAGCTGTTGAAGGACCAACAAATGAACGTTGTTATTGTTGCATTGGAAGACAAGTTGTTAGTTGATTTCACTAAACGAATGCAAGAAACTTATAAAGATAGACAAGTTGTTGCTATTGGTGTAGACTTGAGTAATGACAATCCAGAAACTGGATACATGAAGACAATCATTGAAAAGACAAAGGATATTGATATTGGTTGCGTTTTCTGTAATGCTGGATTCTTTAGATTGGCAGGCTTTGATAAGGTCAGAATTGAAGATCACATGAAGCAAATTGAATGGTAAGTGTTAATAGACAACATTGTACGAGCATTCCATACGAATATCTCATGGATTTTTGATTTCATTCGAACAGTAATACTCTTTCATATGTCAAGATTACACATCACTTCTTCTGCAAGTTCAAGCAACAAAAGAACAAGAAGCTCATCGCTATGACATGCAGCTCAGTTTCCTACTTCCCAGCTCCATTCTCTGTCATGTATGGTGCCACTAAGTCATTCTTGAATAGTTTTGCAAGCTCATTGGCTATTGAGGGTCTTGCCAACAATATTGACATTTTGGCTTTCAATCCTCAATATACTCGTTCTAACTTGTATGCCAATTCTCCAAAGCTCAGTGTTTTAGATTTCATGGCTTTGATTGGATCTGACTGTGATGATGTTGCTCAAGAAATGCTGAACAGTGTCGGTAAGGTCAATTACAGAGATCAAGGATTGTACTCCATCTTTATGAAAATTTTCGGTGGTATTGTTTTTGACATGAACTGGCTTTTCCCAATGATGGCTATGGGTGTTTCTATGGCTCCTGAATTCAAGAAATTGAACTAAATTATTAGACCTTTTTGAAAGGTGTTGGTTGTTGAATTGTTAAAAAAATAGAGTGGTAATGGTTGGGAAATGAACACGCCCATCATCATTCCTGTCATTTCCAACATTTTCAACTTTTATCAATCGCTTCATGACGCTCTAGAACGTTCTGATCTAAAAATCTCAATTCAGTTTTTATCTTGGCCTCCGAATGAATGTCCCTCTAAATTGTTGTCCTCATTCGAGTCTTTGCCACAATATTATCCAATCATCATTTCGGACGCTTACTTGTTGACAGAAGAGTTTTTCAAGGCTCTTTACGAACAATTAAAAGATGAATCCAATCATCGACATGTGAAATGGATTATGTGTACATTTGCTGGTGTTAATTTAATCTTTGATACCATTCGAAAATTGGAGTGTGGAGAACATTTATTGGAATTATTGGAAAAACGAAATGTAAAATTAACAAAAATTGGTACTTTTGGGTTATTAATGTACGAATATTTACTCCAACATATGCTCAATGATTTACGTTTCTATGATAAGGTATTGGAACATCAATCTCAAAAATTATGGATTGGGAAAACAGCGTTTCTTCACAAAACATTAAATCAAGTGAAAATTGGACTCATGGGTTTTGGCAATATTGGAAAATATGTGACTCATCAATTGAAACAATCCTTTCCAAAGATTACTATTCATGTCTACAGAAATCAGAAAAGTTATTGTAACACTCTACAACAAGAGAATCATGACAACCATAGGACACTCATGCCAGACAAATTCTTTTATGGACCTGAAGAACTACAGAATTTTCTCTCATCGACTGATTTCGATTTCATTATTAGCATTTTACCTTCTACTCCACAAACTCGAAAATTACTGGACAATGAAATGTTGAAACATTTGACCTCTCGATCTCACACTTGTTTCATTAATGTAGGAAGAGGTGATTTAATTTCTGAATCTTCTGTTATTGCGGCCCTTGATGACCAATACATTCGAAAGGCCATCTTGGACGTTTTTGAAGTAGAACCATTGCCAAACACGAGTTTATTTTGGAATCGAAAGGATGTTTTAGTGACTCCTCATATCTCAGCACTTTCCATTCCAAGCGTATTGGTCGAATCATTTGTTGAGAATTTTAATCTCATTGCAGGTCATGCTGTTGAGTGTGTAGAGGATCTCGATTTTAATTTGTTAAAGTATGGTTGTGATTGGAAGAAGGGTTATTGAAACGTTATGAAATGCTACACACAGATTCAATATTTCAAATTGGTAATGTTGATGGTGTGTTTGTTCCAAACTTTAATAATCCAATGTTCGAATAAATTTCAAAGTTCGCAAATATTCATTCTAGGACACAAATTGACTTCTCGTTTGAATGCACGCGCATTAAAATTGAGCACAAAAAAAATATCTGTCGCAACCGTCAGTCGACTTCGGTTCCTCTTCTCTCTGTATCTCTTCATCACGGGTAATTGAACCTTTGAACAATTTGTATTTGTATCATTTTTCAGAGTTTTGATTGCATCAATTCATATTGAAGAATTCGGAACACGTTGATTGGAATTATTTTGACAATATTCTCGTGTAAATATGATCCCGATTGATTTGTTGGTATTTAGACCTCCTAACCCACCATCCTATTCTCCTCCCGAAAATTCTATAGAGAACCAGATCAATACAGATCTGAAATCAACATTTTACATCACGCCATCGTTCCTTGACACCACCAAACCCTTCAAGTACTTTCTCAACGATGGAAATGAAGAATCACAGAAATTAAGTGCATTCTTTTGTGAATATCCAGGAGCTCGATCGACAATATTATACTCTCATGGTAATGCAGAAGATATAGGTCAGTTAAGAAAATGGATGACCTATCTGAGCAAAATGTTAAAATGTAATACCATGGCATATGATTATCAAGGATATGGTTGTTCGAATAACACACCCACAGAAAAGCATTTCTTTTCAGGTGAGTAGAATCGATCGGATTTTAGGAATAATTTTCTCACACTTTTTCTGTTCTTCATTATTTTTTAGACATTCGACTGGCATTCAAGTTCCTAACAGATGTTTTAAACATACCTTCTGAAGAAATAATAATATATGGACGATCGATTGGATCAGGACCTACGACCGATTTACTGAAAGAGTGTGTTGAAAATAATATCCAACTTAAGGGCGCAATATTTCAATCCCCTTTGTTAAGTGCAGTGAAAACGAGATTTAATTTATTTACCGTCCCAGATTTTTTCATAAGTGAGTAGCCAATTACGAACGTGATTGATGTGTTAACACTGTTCACAACTTGCAAAGCTGACATGATGAAAAATGAAGACAAGATGACCTCAATTAATCATTTGAGTTTTTTAAAGAAAATACCCGTCCTCATATTCCATGGAAAGAAAGATGTTGTGGTTCCTTATGACCACGGATTAACACTATTTCGGATTGCTGTAAGCAAATTTCAGGCAAATGAAAAATCATGTGCTCGTTTTGTATCATTACCTGACGCAGGTCACAATAACTGTGAAAACCTCTATTTGGAAGACATGATTTATGAAATTAAGAAATTTATTTTGCACAGAAATGAGGAAGTATTATCCTCAGAAGGAGCATATTTTGAAAAGAAGTCGATCATGATTCAGGAGGATTCCACTACTAAATAGAATCCTGATGTAAAACCAATTTTCACGATAAAGAGTCTAAAGAAATTGATATATTCGTACAAATACTTATTGCTCCTTTGGAGAAGCTGGGATTGTTAAATTTTTGAGGGCCAGATCAATGGCCATACTTTCTGCTTCTTCTTTGGAATTTCGTGAACAGCTTTTTGCTAGCTCGATCATTTGATTTTCACCTGGAACTTGAATGGAGCATGTAAACAATTTCATGCCATCAATTTCCACTGTGTTGGCAGAATAGGTTGGAGGAACCTTATAAATAAGCTGAATTCGGTGTTGAAGGTCACTCTTTTTGGGAACTTGAATGTTGTAGGGAGAAAGACCATATTCCTCAACAACCTCAATCACAGTCCTCTCAAAAAATTTGTCAACGCTAATATCATGCCTTGAAAGAAAATGTACGGATGCCAAATCAGTACTCTTTTCCAGCTCTTCCCAATGCTGTTGTGACAATCTATCCTTATTTAAATCATGTTTAAAAAGCTGATAATTGTTGTCAATGTACATTGCTCCAAGAATACAAAGAAATACTTCATAGGCGAGTTCTGAAGCGTCTTCAATGGGTGCGCGTCTGACACTGAATCGATCAAGCCGAAATCTCGTAAAAATCTTTTGAAAAACAACGTCGTTTTTGCCCACCATTCTATGCAGCACGAGTGTCAAAGATTTTGGTTGAGCTTCTGTGAATCGCTTGTAAACATATTCTGCTGCAAGGAACTTTAACAAGGTTGTTCCTAACAATTTCATTTGCTCACTGTTGTACAAATGTGGAACAGCCACATTTGTGTTATTTTTCATGCCTCGTTTTCTCATGAAATCTGACACCTTCTGTTTTGGACAACTCGAAAGCACAATGCATGTTTCATTGAACGAATAGTGAAGGAGAGCTTCTTGTAATAATTCAATATTCTTAAATTTGTATCCAATAATATTCTGAACTTGTTGCAAAAAATTCAAATCCACCAAATTCGAGTACGGTTTGTCTCTTGTCCATGCCTTTCCATTTTCACACACGTCTGGTATCCATGACTCAAAGGTTCTTAAAATTTTCTCATTTTCAAAATTTGTCGGAATAAGCATTTGCTCAGCAAAATGTCTTGCTTTTTCCAGACCATGGGACAGAAAGTATCCACCAATAATGGCTTCAAAAACATCTGAAAGAGTCTTTTTGCCCACTCCCTCAGAGTTTTTTAACAATAACGGTGGAATATTGAGTGTTTCAGTGGCAACTCGAGTAATATTATCATTTCCAATCAAGATCATGTTCGCAGCTACCCAGTCGCCTGCTTTTGAAGAGTCGTTTCGAAAAGTTCGGATGAGATAGGTCATGCATGCAAGATTGACGACTGCATCTCCCATAAATTCAAGTCTTTCATTACTATTTCTCTTTAAAGTGTAAGCATGTGCATAGGATGAGAGAGTAAAGGCCATTCTTAATAGAACAGGATCTTGTGAAAATGAAATGTTGAGTGCATGTTCGATACTTGTATGCAGTTGGTCATAGTGATCCAAGTGGCTCTCTAATTTTTCAAGAATCTTCTCTTGTGCAACAAGTTGAGTTTGTAAATTAAGATTCGATTCTTTGGTGACAATTTCTCGGACTGTTTCCACATTGAGTATGGTCTTAAATAATGATGCTTGTGACGTGTTTTTAAACCCTCCTTTCGATTTCTTCATTGAAATGAATGGATAGAGCATTAAATCATTTCTCTTTAAATTTGGTGTCACTCGTCCACTGGCCAAACATGATTTGATTTCTTGCAATTGACACCATGCTTCAAAATCCATCTCAAAAACCCCTAATTTGTTAAGACGACATGACACGTGAAAGGAACAAAACGATGCTGCAATAAACTCTGGAATTTTTCTCGATAGCATTTGATGGGCTGTGGGTTTTTCATTTGTGAAATGCAACAATAGGAATTTCTCCAATGTGTACTCATCATGAGATGAACTTGCCAACAAACGAACTTTCTCTGAACGACTTTGAAGAAATCCACTGGTTTGTTTCGAATATTCCAACCATCCATGTGTGGATTTCTGTTGATATATATAATCCTTAGTGGTTTCATTCATCGATGAATTCGTAACTGTCGTGAATATATTCTCTCTGAATATAAATTCATACACAGTGACAAACATTGAAAAGGACGAATAAGGATTTGTTAACGAGTTTGGAACAGTAATGGTGGTCGATTGTAATGATTTTGCTTGATGATGATCAGAACAATGAAGTGACGGATCATTGTTGCCAGAGATTCCAAACGATGATCGAGATTCGTTGATAGCTCCATGATCATGATAAACAGAGTGATTCACCATTCGATCGTGATTCTTCTCAAGGTTTTCCGAGAGGGAAGGACGTGTTGGATTGAACATTTTTTTTGATTGTTTGTAAGAAGAAGCCTTTCCTTCTTTCGAAATTTTATGTAACAAGAATTCCCAAGTCCAAAAATTTCAAAAACGTGGATCCAAGGTTACATGACAACGTGATTGGGTGGGGCGACGTTGAAATGATAATAAAATTACAATATATTTATTTGCTCGTAATATTAGAACTTTTATTCATCAATGCGAAACAATTTGAAAAAATGTCTGAACACAACAAGCACAGTCCATCATCATCATCACAATTTTTTGGAGATATTGATGATGCCTTTGATAAAATCATTCATATGGAACAAAATTTTTATGAGAATGGAAAGGAATTAGGAATGCAACATGCTGCATTGGTCGGAAAGGAAGAAGGATTTAATTTTGGAGTGGCCTATGGAAGAAAAGTCGGAAAGGAAATTGGAGAATTGATTGGATTATGTATCTTTTTAAAAAATTATTTGAAGAATGATCATGAAGAACGAGTTTTATCGGCCACAAGAGAAAAAATTATTTCCACAATTTTACAAATTGAGAGTTTGGTGAAGGATTTCCCATGGGATAATCCTGCTAATGGTTCAGTCAATTTAGAAGAATTTGTTGAAAATTTGAGAAATAAGAAGAAGCTTTTAGAAATTAGGTCTAAACAAATTCTTGGAAAAGTGACTAGTGTACAAAAACAACAAGATTATTCATTCTAATCATCTTCTTCACCTGCTTGCATAAGAGGCACGTCGTTGGGAGTGTTGTAGTCCGTATACGGAGCATTGCTTTCTCCAGGCTCTTTTGTCAACAAATGGTATTCATAATCAATTGTACCAATCTTGACAAGTTTCTTCAAAGTGGATACTTGATAGGCAGAACAGGTCAAGAAAGGAACACAACAAAAGAATGTGGCCAAACTTGATAAAACAATGCTAATGATATAGGCATACTTTTTGACACTATCATTCTTTGTTTCTTTTGGAGTGTTGATTGTTGGATTAACATTGAGAGATCCAATAGTGAGGCCTATTTTGATGAATAGTTAATTGAGATCATGACGATCATCATTGTCACACATTACTACCAGTCCTATCTGTTTGATACATACCAATTCTTTACATTTTTCATGTTGATAAAATTATTTGGTTTCAGTGGTGCACATGTGGCATATTCAAAATAATTCCGTTCATGTGTGATTGTGTGTTGTTGATTCATATGGTAGAGTAGATCCGAGAAGGTTTTGATGATCATTTTAAAAATAAATTCAATCAATACAAATGTTGATTCAACCATCATTTCATATTTGTGTTTCCAATAATTTAATATTAATATTATTATTATTATTACATATTGAAAATACTATTATTATCAACAATCAACACAACAAATACCAACCTCAAAATAGCCATCAAAATACTCAACGACACAAAAACCACCCATGCGATCGACAAGTGATATCTCCGCTTTACATTGGCCAACATGACACTACTCATCACTGCCAAAATTCCAGCAATTACCAACAAAGATCCAATGACATAATCAAGAGCGATGGCTGGTATTGAAAAACTTCCTTCCAAAATTGTTGCAAAATAACCTGTATGAGTATGGGTGATGAGAAGAGAGCTTGCAAAAACAATACAAGAAATTCCGAACATAATCATGATTATTCCACCAAACAAGCTCAAGTTTCTCGAGAGATGGACTCGTTGCGAGAGTTGAGCTGTTGATTGAGAGGATTTCATTTTTTGTTGTTTTTTGAAATGTTATGATTTGTGACAGAAATACAGTTTGAAAAAGCAAATGGACTAAATGGAGGGAATTTATCAGTAGATGGTCGGCCTCTAGTACCTTTGTTCAAACATCTTTCCTGAAATAACCAACAGGAACAGGTATTTTCATCACATGGAACGTTCCATGTTAATTCAAAAAAAATTGAAGATTGAAAATCATAAATAATTTTAAATTCTCTGCAACATCATCTTGTATTTGTTCGTTCTTTATGAAGAATTCAAAAACAAATATTGTGGAGCGGAATTTAAAGACGAAAGAATTGTCATTGATGAGCGATGATGATGCTTACACCATTACAATTGATGATCTAGTTGATATTTCCTTTAGCATTTGTAAATAAGACCATCCATGAGAAGATTTTAAATAACAGGTATTTATGGAATGATGACATCATCCTTGACCTATCTGCTTTTACCAATTCGGATCGATTATTCAAATATTTAAACAAGATTAATGATTGGAATCTCTACTTGTCGGTTGAAAATTTAATGGTCTGTGCAGAAGACTCGTGCAGAACGAGAAAAACTGAAAATCGCTCTTGATTTTTTGGAAGGACTCGGTCTAGCAGAACACATTAAAAAGCTCAAAGTGAGCTGTATGATGAAAGATATAGCGAAAAGCTCATGGACTAATGTCTGTATCAAGACATTTCCTTCTGTCTCCTATCTAGTATATTACAGCAGTTTCAATAAGGGTGACAGATATGAACCTTTAACGCTTTCTAACGAAGTTATTTGGGAAAATCTAGAGAATGTTAGTGTGTATTTCGATACAAGCGCACTGATTTCGCTTATCCAAACTCACAACACCATTTCGTCATTTTCATTTTCTCCAAAATTTTCAGATTCCATGTTTATAGAACACTTTCACAAAATCTATCCTTGTTGAATAACGTACAAGCAATTGATATTGATTTTAAATTCGATTTTACACAGATTGAAAAGTCACCTCTTTTACCCAAATTTCAGTCGTTAATTATTGACCCACCTGGAAAAATGGACGATAAATTTATAGGAACAGCGCTTACTCATTTGACGAAACTTGCTTTAGACAATAGTGAACCCCTTCCTCTAACTCTGAGGAACATTACCTTTCAAATCATGAAGGAGCTTACTATTTCGTATCCTTCAAACACGAATATCATGGTGAACATTGAAAATGTGACCATTCCAAATTTAGAGAAATTATCGATGCAATGTGCATGCATTAATACGGCTGGAAAGAACCAATTCCCAAACTTACAATCTCTCAATTTCCATCATTGCAAATTTGATAGCTCATTTTGGATCGATAGCCACCGAACCATTTCTACCATTGCCCTTTCTGAGATTGAACTTGGCTCCCTATCATCAAGTATTAGACAAGTAGTGATTGACAGCCATCCATCTATTGAAATAGTTTTTGTCAGTTGCTTTGATGATATTTCTATATTAAATTGCCCTTCTCTCAAAAAAGCTTACATTGAAAGATGTAAGTCGTGTTCCCTACATAACAAATACTTCCATACTATTTCTATTCCAATATGTGAAAGTGGCGCTCAAATTTCCATTGTTGGCGATTATTGTGGAAAATTAATGTTACCAAAAGAGAGTGGAGTCACAATATGATTCTTGATTGGCTTTATATCTACTGCCAAGGTAAAAAGCCTGAGAAGTTGCAAGACATTATCTCGTCCTTCAAAAAGATTCACAATTTAAAATGCACCGTTAGTGAAGAGCATTCCTATATCATAGAACAACTTAAAGATCAACCGTCTACCAAGTACGACAACGTTTCAAAGCTTTCTAGTTTGGCTACAAAAATTGTAACTCATTCACAAGAGTTTGATGTTGGCTCTACACTGAAAAATTGCCAACGTTTGCAATCTTTGACTTCGTCCTCTCAATTGAACTTTAACAATAGGAGTTATTCAAGCCATTCACAAATGCATTATATATTTAAGGCGTTCCACAAGGAAAAAGTATTTATGAGGGCATCAAAAGTCATCACGACGATTCTATTGGATCCTATCTCTCTGAATAGTTGTAGTCATCTCTAGAGTTTCTACAACTGTTCAGAGAGATGAGAAATGAGCGGTAAGAGGCTGCATGGGCTGGACTATCATTATTCTCCATCAAATAAACATCATTGGGCATCAGTAGACACTGATACATGTATGTCCATTCGTTTACAGGCCATCAACCAAACAAAAAGCCAGTATTGAGGGAGCAAGAAGGAAGAACATCCACAGTTCTCGCCAAAGATTTCAAAACAAAACATATTTCTCTTGAAAACAAATGGGTGCAATTGTTAGCAAACCCTCACACCAACAACAACCGCATCAGGATTCGAAAAACTCTTCATCAAAAGCCTCCACTCACCACAACGATGTAAGGGCTAGCTCCAAGATTAACGATAAGGGTGCGCCTAATAGTAGTAACAATAACAGCAATATGAAATCATCTTCGGCTGGAAGCGAAACTGTAAAGCCGATAGCGAAGCATTCTCTCACTGTAGATACAACAAATCTCTCTCAAAAACAACAGATACCTCTATCATCAAGTGTTTCGCCCTTGACAACATCTTCCGATGTTTCATTCAACGCCAATAATCAAGCTCAAATAACCACAACACCCAATGTAGAGTTCAAAGACGAATACGAGGATAAAGAGTATGAAATGGTTGAGGAATATGATGACGGAGAAAATGTAGAACCAGCCTTCCAAATGGATGAACATATTGCCGCTTGTATGTGTCCAGTGATTGTAGTCGATACCAAGACCAATATCCATTCCATGAACAGTTTTGGTGAGGAGTTGTTTGGAAAGACAGTGAAAGATCTTGATGGAAAGAATGTTTGCGTGTTGCTGAGCGAAAATAGTGCAGGAGAACTGCAAAAGCGAATCAGAGACTATTTACAGCTACGAACGAAATCGTTGCTAGTAGAGAAGATCATTTATGATATTAAGGAACCAAAAACTCCAATTAGAAAGATTGGAATTAGAATTACAGGTAAGAGCTTGAAAACATGAAACAAATTTGTTCACCGTTTGCGGGATGACAATGTTGACCTCACATTTATTCTATGACAGAAATGATCAAGAGCGGCGTACCTTATTTTATTTGTTATTTGCAACCAGAAGGTTTGCAGAAAGGCAGCAACTTTGAAGACGTTCTTAAGAATCAAAATACGGCTGTGCAAGATGTTGATTCAGATGACGACGGCGAAGGAAGTGTTGCTAGCTTAGACAAAAAAAGCAGGCCTGGGGATGAAAATCCCATGGATGATGGCAATGAAGGCGAGGGTGGAGAAGTGCAACAACAATCATTCCAGTTTCATAGCGCTGTGACACAGCTTTCGACCATACCTATTGTTGCAATTGATTGTGTATCAATTGTGCAGACATGGAACCCAGCTGCTGAGCATGTGTTTGGTATTAAGGCTAGTGAAATTCTTGGAAGCTCGCTAACCATTATTATGCCAGACGAAATTGCTGTAAATCACAACAGTTATGTTGAGAGATATGTACGGACTGGTATTAAGAGGGTAGTTGACAAGACCAGAGTAGTCAATGGAAAGAGAAAAACTGGTGAAATTTTCCCTGTAGAGCTTAAAATAACTGAAATTAAGGATGATAAGGATCAGCGAGTATTCTTAGGATTTGCAAGAGATATGACAGCCGTCATTACTAAAACAGAACAATACAAACATCTGGCAGAACAAATTTTCCCTGCATCCATAGCAACACGAGTAGTTAACGGAGATTTAATTCATGACTTCCATGAAAATGTGACGATCATGTTTAGCGATATTGAAAACTTTAACCAGTTATCGCTCGAGATTTCTCCTAAAAATTTGATCAGCTTTTTAGATTCCATCTTTGAGAAATTCGATCAAATTATCCAAAAGTATTCTCTGGAGAAAATCAAAACGATTGGAGATAATTGTAAGTTTTCCCATTGAATGTATTAGTTGTAAAATTTTAAAACCTCATAGACATGTTAGCAAGCGGCCTGCCTGAAAAGAATGACAAGTTTGCGGAAAATGCTGTTCGTGGAGCATTTGAAATGGCAAAAATTGTTGCAGAGATGAATGCAACCTCGAAATTTAAGGTCAACATAAGAGTTGGGTTGAGCACTGGAGAGGTGGTTGCTGGTATTGTTGGTAAAAAGAAACCAGCTTATGACGTTTGGGGAGCAACTGTTAACTTTGCAAGTAGAATGCAGTCTACCAGTTATACCAACCACATTCAAATCTGCACAAAGACCTATCAGCTTCTGCCAATAGATTTGGCTCAACAATTTGTTCCAAGGAGTGGTGTAAAGGTAAAAGGAATTGGAAGTTGTGACACGTTTATTTCTGAAAAGTAAGTAGTGAAAAACGTACATGTTGTTTTTACAGACGATCTTGAAAGACCTGTAGTGTAATTTTTGTACATAATCAAATGCGATTGGCAGGTTGTTTTCAAATAATAAAAAATGTCTCAACAACCTCTTCTAATGACAACAGCCACTTCAATTAGTGCTAGCACAAAGATCGACACAACAACGGATCACAACAATATCAACAACACTAATAATTCAACTCCAACACCTATCGAACCTTCTCTTGACTCTGTCATTATTCCATCGACGTTTACATCATCATCAGCTCCACCAAATCCGATCGGAAGAGATGAAATTCTCATTCCTCCCATCAACTTTTGCATGGTTATGCCTGGAGTCTATAGATCAGGGTATCCCAACAAAAAGAATTTTCCGTTCTTGAAGAAGATTGGACTCAAATCAATTTGCTATCTATGTCCCGAGCAATATGCTCACAATAATATGGAATTTTGTAGAAAGAATGGAATTCGAATATTTCAATTTGGTATTGAAGGCAACAAAGAGCCTTTTGTACACATTCCAGAAGAAGCGATCCGAAAAGCCATCAAAGAACTACTCAACCCGAAGAATCATCCCATTATGATCCACTGCAACAAGGGAAAGCACAGAACTGGAGTGTTGGTTGGCTGTTTGAGAAAGACACAAAACTGGTCGTTGACAAGCATTTTCGATGAATACCGAAGATTTGCCGGCAGCAAGGTGCGAATGTTGGATCAACAATTTATTGAATTGTACAGCAACGTGAGCCAAATTTAATGTATTAACGATGAGAGGTTTATAGACTCTATCACAACCTCTTGTGTGAACATTAACACTCGAGCCTCTGGAGGCTTGTATTCCCAAGCAAGCATGATTATGCAGAATACAAAAAAATAAATCGAGAATACAAGAAAGCGAATTTATCATCCGCACACCACCCAAACCGTTGTTGATAATAACATTCGCTGTGATTAGTTCCCTCAAATACATCCTATTAAATCCAATAATCATCCTTTGTGTTCCCCATTACTTCTAGAATTGCGTAAACCGTTATTGATTTTTGGATCGTAATAGGCAATCATCATCGGCCATACTACTACACTTTTGTGCGTACTCACTCTACCCAAGAAACCACACTAAACATTCATCATCATCACAATTACATCTAGGAACTTTGAGGAAAACAACATCATGATGAATCCTCAACTGACTAATCAAACAAGTTTAGCATCATCATCGGCTGATTCCACTTCTGATAACAACGACATTCAAGAACAATCATCACATTCCGGTAAAACTACTGATGAAGGAACTATACCGATCGATGTTGCATCCAACAGCGCTGATATTGATGGTGCAAATTCACAACCATGGATGAATATACCTCAGCAATATCTTGGTAATGCGTACAACCTTCCACCTAACATGACACCACAACAATATTATTATATGACGCTGTGGTTAATGCAACAACAACAACAAAATGGAAACAAAACTGATAATGATCCACAAAAGAAGTCCAACGATCAGCTTCTTGGATCGTCATCGGGCTCCAGCAATGAACAAGACAAATCAACAAGTGATCCATCCAATGTATTTCCTGTAATGTATCCTCCATACTTTCCATTCGGTACTAATAATGGCTCTTCACAAATTCCTTCTCTCAACGTTGCAACAACTCCAACAGAGGATAATTCCAGTGCAATACCCGAACCTGCAACTCAAGAAAAGAAAACTAGAAGAAGAGGAAAGAACGCTTCCTCTTCTACAACTACAGCAAAATCAACAAAAAAACGAAAAAACGCATCTAAGGAGTCTAGTTCATCTGCTGCTGCTGAAGAAAATGCTAATCCTACAACAGCACCTGACACACCAAAGAAAAAGAAGAAAAAAGAAACTACATCCAGTGGTACATCTGGAAGAGGAGCTCGTGGACTTCGTCACTTTAGTATGAAGGTGTGTGAACTCGTTCAAAGAAAAAAAACAACAACTATTAATGACGTAGCAGATGAGCTAGTACAAGCCGAACTTCAGGGAGACGATAGCAAATCTGATGATAAGAATATTAGACGACGTGTGTATGATGCTTTGAACGTGTTGATGGCCCTCAATATTATTTCTAAGGATAAAAAAGAGATTAAATGGAAGGGGTTGCCTGTTGATTCACAAAAAGAATGTGAAGCATTGAATCAAATCAAATTACAACGTATGGATATAATAGCAAAGAAAACACAGCAATTGCAAGAACTTGAAAAACAACACCGATCACTGTCTAATTTATGCCAACGAAACTCAAGCTCAACTTATTTGGAATCAAAGCGGATTGAATTACCTTTTATTATTGTTCATACATCAAAATCAACACAAATAGAGTGTGAAATGGATGAAAACAGATCAGAGGTGTTTTTCAACTTTGACAAGCCATTTGAAATTCACGATGACAATGAGATTTTATATCGACTAGGTTTAGACCAGTCTTCAAATTCAATGATGACTGAGTCAGGAGCTGCAATAGCAGCTGCATCTTCATCGGCAGCTGCTGATGATGACTTTTTTTCAGAACCTCAACCATCCAACAACAATACGTCCCCTTCCAAACCTCTCCCTTCTTCATCCAGCACAACAACAGACACCAAAGAAATGGATACTCAATAACTTGATTTATTCTTTCTAATAAATGTAACCACCTTTCAACCATTGAATTTAATCTACGTTTTTCAAAATTTGCGAAATGTTTTGTAGTAATTGCTGTTGCTGGAGGAAAATGGTGTGAGCTGCTTGTTCTTGCTCAACGGAAGCTTCTTTCGTTTTAATCTCTTGCTCTAAACGCTCAATAATTTTTCTTTGATATTCTAACTTGTTCCTCAACTCCAAGTTCAGTTTCTTTTCGTCACCAAAGTTTGTAGGAGGTGTAAGAGATTGGAAATCCTTGCAGTCCTGTTCATCCTCAACTATACTGAATCTTTTAAAGATGTTATTGTCATTCCTTATAAAGAACGAGCAGTGAATAGGTTCCTCCTTAAATATTAACCACTGATTCAGAAATTCACTTAAGCCAATTCCAGTTACAACCAAAAAACTGGCACCATGAAGAATACCGCTTGTTGTTTTGGTTGAAGGATCGAAAATTACATGGATTACATCCTCCATTTCATGTTCTATAACAGAAAAAATTGTGATCGCCACTTCGTTTTGCTGTAAAATAGTAAGGACATTCTTTTTTCTTTTCTGTTGAATTTTTTCTATTACAAGTATTGTTTTCTCCACCTCGTTAGTATTTAAAGTTACGGAATAACATTCTGTCATTGCTCTCTTAAACCTTTGATTCAGTTGAAGGTGTTTTTCTGTCCCTAAAAAACCTTGTTGAGGATCTTGCAGCGATCCAATCTTTAAAACTTCATCAATTACTGACGAAGACATTTTCTTTAAAGACATGACATCAATAACTTTGTGTAGCAATTGAATTCCCATTTCCAGACAAATAGATAAAGCCGAAGTTTTCATTCCAAACGTCAAGTAATCTTTCTCTGAAGCAACAATTATACACCGATCAATGAATTTGGCATTTCTATTCATTGCCGAAAATTCTAGTCTTTTAAAAGCAATGGGTGACTTGTTCGAAATAGATTCTTCTTGCATTTTGTTGTTTTCTACAGGTTTCAGCACAGTTTTGTTTCTCTCATACATTGCTTGACGTGAAAATGGAGGTGAAGGAGTTGTTGGAGATTGTAAGTTTGATTTTGAAGATCGAACAGTACTAGTTTTGTAAATACCACTCGAACTGTTCAAAGACGGTGTTGAGGATTGACTTTTTGAAGCGTATTTTTCAATATGAGGGGGTGATGACAAATAATTGACATTTGTTTTCGTTAAGGACGATCGAACTGGAGAGGACGTTGAGTTGGAAGAATAATGGAAATTATAGTTTGGAGAAGATCGGGAGGAAGATGAGTTGTCCCCATAATTATTAACAGGCGATGTTCGTGAGGATCGGGAATAAAACATGGCACTGGGTTTGTCTATTACAGACGAACTCGAATCCTTTGAATATTTGGAACGATCTACACCTCCTGATGTATATATTGGAGTGTTGGTACTCCCCCTTACGTTTCGTTCATTCATTTTTAATTTCTGATTTGTAAATCGTTTTGGAGGGAGATGAGTACAACCTCCGATTTATTATTTTGGCAATGTTTTCTTAACAGCGAAAGTGTTAAAGGAGCAATTACTCATTCACCTCTTTCTTTGGCTCTCCAAGATCAATTTCACTTTCTTCAGTAAAGCTTTCGTTTTCCTTATTGTCTTGTTCTTTGGTCTCTGGTGGTAAGGTTTGCTCTTGCACTTTGGGCTTATTTTCTTTGGTCTCTTGGGTTTTGGTGGATTCATTGGTTGTTTCTTTAACCTGCTCTTCTTCTTTCTGTTTGGTTGACACAATTTCGTTTTGTTTGCTGGATTCGTCTTTGGCGCTTTCATCTCGTTCTTGCTTTTCTTGGTTGTTTGTCTCTTGTTTAGATTCTTTGTCACGATTGTTTTGCTCGGTTTTCTGATCCTGTGGAGGGGCATCATGTTCTGCCTTATTGGCGTCTTCCTTATTTTCTTCCTTTTTCTCCTCTTCAACAAGCTTATTTTGTGAATTGGATCGAGAAGCAGCGTTGGCCGATCTTGGAGACACGTCTGACGCTCTTTTTCCAAATAATTTAACAATGGTTTTAACCTTTGTTTGAACCCTGTTCTTGGTTTCAGCTGTCTTTTGTGCTGCTTGAGTTCTTTTTTCTGCCTCCTCTTGAATTTTTTTCTTGGCTTCAGGAAATCTAGACAGCACATTGTCAAAGTCGTCTTTGTGCAAAATAAACACTTCACAAATCTCTTTGGTTCTCACAGAGGCCATACGCTTTGAATTGAGGATTAAAGCAACTTCTCCAAAAAATGATCCTGAAGGCAACGAAGCCCAAATTTGACCTTGTGGACCGACGATTTCAACACTCCCTTTGCCGAGGAAAAACATCTCTCTTCCCACTTCTCCAAACTGCATGACATAGTAATTTTCAAGAATAATTGTATGCTCAAGGTACAGGCAAATCTCTTGAATGAAAAGCTCTTCCATATCCTTCATAAAAGGCACCTTCTTTACCAAATCTTTGTGTAAATACTGAGACACCTTTCGCTTTGTTTCTAATTCCAAGTCCTCCAAAATGTCATCATCTGATTTGAGCTCTCGGTTTGCTCTCTGGATAATTCCCAAAAAGTTTCGAGAATCAGATATTAATTTTGTATTGACTTTTCTGAATTTAAGGTAGCCGGTAATATCATCAAGCTTTCTGTTGAACTTTGAGCTCTTTTGGTTCATTTGGTTGACAAGATTAGACACGACTCCGACCACCGAGGCAATAAACATCACTCCAAAAACAGCATTCATAATGGAGTACAAAGCTCCCAATTCATCTTGAGGAACGTCAGTACCAAATCCGACAAGGAACAATGTTGCGAAATACATGCTACCAATATATTGTCGAATTCTTGTTAAAAAATTATAAGACCCTAGATCTCCTGACAGATTCATAAATACCAGATATTTGAGGTTGTCTGTTGCGTCTGTTTGAATCAGAATATTTCCATATTCATGATACTGATTAAGGTTTAAAAAGTATAAACAAGAGAACCAGTGAATGATAATTGACAAGTAAATTACAGACTTGACTATACGTAAATAAATAGGATTGACTCCACTCTTTTGTTCCACTGTTTTGTAGTAATCACCGAATCTTAAGGTCAAAATTGGAATAATTCGAAACAGTCTAAAGTAAGGATAATTCAGCAAAAACCAATCATACAGAGTACAGTATGAAACAATGTCAATTAATAATAATTTCCAATATGATAGGAGTCGTCCAATTCTAGATCTCTCAGGATCTGCTCCCACCATCTTAACCTCAAGTAGGTGAGCAAATATATTCAAAATGCCCAAGAGGTCCATCAAAATATTTACAATTAAAAATCCGTAGTGAATGTATTCCTCAAAGCATGCCAAATAGGCAGCCGTTACAGCGTTGTAGAGAATAACAAATGACATTATAAAGTCCATCACTATCCTTGGGGTGCTATCGGGAAATATATAAAAAGAAAATACTTTGTCTTTCATTTTCTTCCATAGAGGAATCTTTTCTTTCTGGATTTCTGGGTCATCCACGACCTTGATGGCAATTTGACTTGCCCCAGCATCAATGGAGGTGGTTGCTCGGTTTCGTAGTCGTATCGAGCTATTCAGTAAACGTTTCATTGGTGTTGATTTTTTTTTGTAGACGCAATAATTTTAGATGGCGCCAAAGTTTAATTGCGTTCTTTTGACGCTTTTTTTCCCTACGTGCTGATATTAGTAATTCACATGTTGTTGGCAAGGTATTAATCGTTCATCCACTCCAGCTTGGCTAAAAGAGACAGGTGTCCTTTGACATGAACGTTTTTTGCGTGACTATGTAACCCTCAAAAAATGTCAAAACTCTGTCGTTCGGAACGATGGTTTCATATCCTTCTCTTTTTTTCATTCCTGGTCTTGTTCACACAGACAACATCATCAACAACCTCGAAATTGCAAGTATTCTCACATGAACATTTCTCGAGTCATCACTCCGAATCACCTTCCTATTCTATTACCACGTCAGACTCCAGCGATATCCAATCCTTGGATCCAATCCTTGACACCTTGTCATCCGTTCATACATCATCAGAAGTCTCCGTAACGAATTCCGTTCGGTACTATTACGATCGTGTCATACCTACAGTGATACCTTTCTCTAATCATTTTCGTTGGTGTGGAAACTATTCTGAACACATGGTTCCAAAGTCCAGAATATTCTATGATTCACTAACCATGCAATCCATTCCCAATCAATTTTCATGCCAAAACATATACTTAGCTAACAGTTTTTCAATCATGGTAGGAGCAGCATCAAAACTAATGTATGGAAGTCATAAAAAAGAGCTCATCTTCTCTCGACTGCAACCAAACAGAGCAGTTTCAGATTTATGCTCTCGAGTCCAGGAGTGGGAAGAAAAGCTCACTTTGAGTTGCGAAAAATTGTTTTGTGATACAAATAGCACGAACTTGAATCGATATATAACTCTACAAACACAGAGCGCAACAAATATTTTAGATTGGATCAATTATTGCAGATACTGTTCGACCAATTGGTCTGGGCCCAGATTTGAATTGAATAGTGGTAAATGCAAAAATCAAACTTTTGATTTTGGGATAAGAAAAGTACTTGAACAATTTCCAACACATCTCAAGTATTGTGGATATTCAGAGTTTGGAATTCCATTGATCACCCCAAATATTGGTCGATATTATTCCGATTATTCGGGTTCATTAGACTATATTTATGTCTGCTATTGCCCTGAAGGTGATTACTTTGGATTTTATTGTTCTTTTGGAAATCAAGACTTTATTCTATCGAACTCTATGGTGTATATTGCTTTTACAGCTCACATAATAACATTTATTGGAGTGTTATTGGTTGTTTGTTTACCAAAAACAGTAGTGAGTTGCAAACAGAGAAAATTTAAAAAGTCTTTCACAATTTCATGTGTGACCACAAGTGAGTTAACTTCAGTAATTGCGTATGTGGTTCTCCTTTGTGGCATGTCTCCTATTTTTATTATTTTAGAAAACTTTGCATTATTTTGCGCTTTTTCAAGTTTGTTTTTTTGGATGAAATATTGGTTTCACTTGATTCAATATTTGAGAACCAAACAGGTTAAATCTACAAAATGGAGTTACATCATCATGTGGGCTGTTATTATCATTCTCCTCTCCGGTCAAGTGGTTGTACTAATGCTTATTTTTACAATCACACAATATTTAAGCTACCAAGAATTCAATTACTTTGCATCCGGATTGGGGTTAGTCGCTGTACCTTGTAAGTTTACTAACTGAAAAATTTGTTGTCATTCAACATCATGATTTAGTATTTATTGCAATTGCAATTTGGATGTACATTGTAATTTCTCGAATGTCAGACATTAATGTTCTACAAACCTCAGTAAGTAATTTTTTACACGCACACTCGTCTTTGTAGTAAGCAATCAATACTTTATATTCACCATGTTCTCGATTATTAATTGATTGGATGAAATTCAAATAACCACTCACTAGAATGTTCGATTTATTATATTTGCCTCGATTTTGAGCACTTTTATATCTTTGACATTCACAGTGAGTGCACTCTTGGACTCACCAGTGAGCGATCCTACCAACGGAGTGTTTATATTCGTGACGCATCTATTGCTTGTTGCTCTTATGCAAGGATTAGCTTTAATGGAGTTTGATAAGAGTGAATTTGGAGATTTCTACAAGTGTTTCAAAAAAATCAAACTTCCAAAACTTAAAAGAAAGAATGCGTTGTCAGTCGATGAGTCCCTGTCCGTTGAGCAACAGCACCATGCCATGCTATTAAGCACCACACTTGTTGAGGAGCAGCAGAATGAAAAGATGACATCCACACTTGATGACAGTACAATTCTCTCCATCACCGACCACAGCAATCCTTCCACTCACTACGTTTCTTTTTCTCGTGATCATGATGATTAAACCTTACTCGATTCTTGTGAACTTGCGTTCCAAATCATGTCCGAATTTCGCTCGCTGAGAATTGCGCAGCGAGAATATTTTTGGATTCTCATCAAGAGAAAAATAATGAACAACAAACACATCCAAGCCGCAAGTCATTACAATTTCAACTATGGGGAGACAACAACCGACCTGCCTGCTGGGGATTTTTCATTGGGATTATTTGATGATTTTCTATCATCGTTACCTGATTCTCCTTTGAATACGGGTGCTGATGTTTCGGATACAAACGTTAATCATCATCAGCACGTGGATTTATTGGCTGACCCAGCAGGCACCGCAAACATGTTGTTGTTGGAAAATCCGTTAATACCATCAACCGTAACAGCACCAATCCAAGACCAAGGAACAATCCATAATACATCTAATTTAATTGTAACTCGTGTTTCGCTTGCTACAAATAATCAGAAATATCCATCAGGAATAATTCAAGACAACGTTTACATGTTTTTTGGGTCTCATGGTGCCTCTGACACTTATAAATTAGAAGTTCAAGTCACGCCAATTGTTGATCAACTCATACAATCAAAACAAACTAAACTCAACATTCAGGTGAAGCGAGAAACAAGCGGTGAAATTTTGAAAAAAGCTAAATGGACACTTAGCTCAGAGAATAGAAAAGAAGAGTGTGTATATGTTGTTTCAAACAACAACTTTCCAAAGACAAGACGAGGAAAAGGTACCAATGAAGCATGCCTCTTCTGTTTCGAGCTAGAAGGCTATTCACAAATTCCAGAACAACAATTCTCAGAATTTCGATTTCAATTTTTCTCCAAACTACCCGTCTCAGCCTCATCAGAGTCATACACAATACCTTCAACAGCAACACAATCTATTTCTCAAGCCCCTCAGCTTTCAAATAACCATGGTAACATTACTAACTTAGCCCAAGGATTGAATTCTTCAAACACTGCTTTACCAACATTATCTTCTACCTCTTCCATGATGCCTCCTCCCCTTCTTATCCACCACAAGAACAATATGAGCTCATTACCAACCGACAATCAGTCATCAATCCTCTTGCTACAGCCAACCAACGGTAGCACCACTAGCCACACAACTCAACATCAATCCTCTCTCAAACTCAACACACCAAGCTCAAGTAGACCCATACATCATGATGGAGACTATCAATCTTCAGGAAAGAAGAGAAAGAAGATTGAAATTTTCGAGCCCAAGTTGCACTCTGTCAATCCAATGTATGGAACTGTTGGAACAACGGTTGTACTATTAGGCCAATTCAACGTATTGAGTGAAAAGTCTGTCAAAGTTTTATTTGACTCAGTCGTTGTTGACCATCCTCATTCCATTACACCAAATTGTATAGTATGTATGGCTCCAGATCATGAAGAGGGAAACTCTTATGTGCATGTTGTCGAAGAGTTTGAAGATTTCCAAATGAGAACAGAGCCAAAAATCTTTAGATACATTTCAGAGGGCTTCCAACAGGGCATCAATCAACTTGTGTTTAACAGCGGCCCCTATCTCTCTCCTTCTTCATATTCTCCAGGAAATACAGCCCATACAGACTCATCCTCGTCATCTTCATACAGCTCTGGCCAAACTTACTCCTATGACAGTCTTAGACAAAACAATCTTCATAGAGCTGCCTACAATGGTGATATTAGGACTGTAGTTTCTCTTTTGGAAGATCCTAGCTGTGACCCTCTCGAGCTCGACAACTTTAAAAGAAATGCTTTCCATTTGGCTTGTGCTAAAGGTCATCTATCAATTGTCCAGGCTTTATGGAACCATATTGTTGATCTTCTCTATGATGATGATGAAGAAGAAGAGGTTTTGGCTTCAACCTTGCTTTACCAAAAGGATAGCTTCGGTATGACAGCTTTAGATATTGCTACTAAGTTATTGAATTTCTCTGAGCATCCTGTCATTTTCTTCCTGAAAGACAAAATGGTCAGCTATAGGGATTTACTGAAACGACCAAGCTTTGGAGATTTAGTATCAGTAGAAAAGGAAATTCAGGAAAAGAAGATGAATCAACTCTTAGAATTTTTCCCAACTCTTTCTGAAAATGTTGTTCTTGAAACTCTTGAACGATGTGATTGGAATGAGACAGATGCAGCTGCTGTGATTCTTTGTGAACAATTTGAGAATAATATTTATTCCAAATCCTCAATGTCATCCAAAGAGGTGTTTATGGTCATTGAAAAACAGAAGGCTGTCAACCAGATCATACAATTCATGAGTGTTTCGCCTTTTTCATCAGGATTGGGATTGCTGGCAAATAGATTATTTAATCGATTCAAATTCTTTAACCCAGAAGAATACTTTAGCGATTTTGAAAATGAAATCAAACGAAAATGCTCTCGAAAGATTCACAAGATTGAAAATTGTGTTCAACCTGAGCTACAACTTCGATTCAGCCAATATATCAACCAAGAAGAAAACCCATTAATTTTCATGACATTCCATGGCACCAGTGAGCATAATATTAATAGCATCAAGAAGCATGGCTTGTTAGTGCCTGGTAAGGGAAATGACATTAGGCCTGTCAACGGTAGTGAATATGGTCTAGGTATTTATTTATCATTTTCTGGAACTGCGTCCATTGAATACTGTTATGGTGGATCTAAGATGTTTGTTTGTGCTGTGTGTGTGAGAGACAAGATTGTCATTAGTGAAGATGGATCTGTGTTGGTAGTTTTTGATGAAAGATGTGTTTTACCTTGCTGGCTGATCACTTTTGAAAATCGTGCTGAGAATGTTTATTCTCCTGTTAATTTGAATGTAAACAACAACCTCCTTAAACAAATATAAATTATTTCAGTTTTATGACACGATCAATTCATCAATGGGAGCGAGGCACAGAGCTTACAAAGACCATTGTTGTGCACCCGCCAATCAGCTGCGATATCGCCACATCAACCTCGGCCAATTTCGGAAATTTTCCTGATTTTTTCCAAGACCAAACAAGTTCCGAAACATCACACAACAAAACAAAAACGCCATCATCATTACCAACACATCATCATGAACACTCCCATAACTAAAGCAAGCCAAGCAAGCTCACACCACTACCGAATGGAATATAACCCATGTCTGGGCCTTGATGAACGAGTATTCGACGAAACACGCCCAAGAACAAACAGCAATGCGAATCAAAACGTAGCACATAACAGCTTTTTGAAAAACTTGCTGTGGAAGGTGAATCAATGGTAAATTATTGCGCACTCTCAAATTGATTTATTCATTGTGGGTTGAATCGAGCACGAGTGCTCATTCTTTCAGCCTTCAACCTCCTTGTACTGATCGTTTACATACAATTGTACTTTTATCATCGGACTCACCGAGAGGTGGTAAACAGAACTGCTTCTCTTTTGTAATTTATCTTGATCAAGAAGACCAATGATCATCTTCCTTGTTCTGTAAATATTCAAGCTTGCTGTAATAATAAACATGTACAAATAATCTCCCAAAGCTCAACAAATTAAACTTTCAAATTATCGATCAGGGTCAAATTGAAAAAATGATGCAAAATAGTGCTCATCAAGAACAACACAAATTTGAAGTCTCCACGGACTACCACAAGGAAAGACTTGACGTGTTCCTTTTCAACAAATTCTTTAAAGAAAGACAAGTATCAAAGAATGCTGTTTCAAAGCTCATCCAAAATTCTTCTTTGAATTCAACCACTGGCTCTGACAGCATCTTGCCAAGATATAAATTTCTATGCAATGAGGAAGCAGTAAACAAGCCAGCACTCAAACTCCGAAATGGTGATTATGTGTTAGTAATGGTTGAAGGCAATCCAGTTGCTTCGGAGCAATCATCTGGTAACAACAAGTCATTAACAAACGAACGAAATAATCATACAAATGACACAGAAAGTAATTTATTAGATATTCAACCTGAAAATATTCCTCTCAACATTCTGTATGAAGATGAATATTTAATAGTATTGGACAAGTCTAAATTTATGACGGTTCATCCTTCGTTAAAACCAAAACCAAGAAATACTACAGGAACACTTGTCAATGCTTTGTTATTTCATTGCCAAGGAAAACTATCAAGTTGTGGATCTTGTGATGAACATTACAGACCTGGAATTGTTCACAGGCTAGATAGAGACACCAGCGGAATAATGGTCATTGCAAAAGATGATGACACTCATTTAGCTCTTAAAAAGTTATTTGAAAATAAGAACAGTCCTTTAGAAGTAAATGGAAATGACTCTAATATCACAAGATATTATCAGGCACTTGTAGAGAATGAATTGAAGCCAGTAGAAGGGAAAATTGAAGTTTACATCAAGAGGCACCACTCAATACCTTCCAAGAGAGAAGTAACTAAAAACCCTTTAGATACTGGGGCTAAATTGGCAATTACCGAGTACAAGGAGCTTGAAACAATTCCTGTGAAAAATTTAAACGGTTGTAATATTTTGAGTCTTGTTCAATGCAAACTTTTGACTGGAAGTAAGTAACTTTAGTATTGAACGACCAATTTACTCAATTAATTTCATGTCACATTTACAATGTAATACATGTATTAAGGAACTCATCAAATTCGAGTGTCCTTTGCTCACTTGAATAGACCTCTGGTGGGAGACGTCTTGTACAATCCTCGCTTTAAATCTGGTCACAAAACCAAGAAGAAAAAACAATCCAAGTACGAAGAAGAGTTTGAAAAATTCGCTCTTGAGAAAGGACAGTTCCTACACGCTTCATATTTAAAATTTGTTCATCCTCGTACTGGAAAACTGCTAGAATTCAGTTCTAAAACACCATCCTATTTCAGAGAGGCAATCAAATTATTGAATCACTCAATAGAGGAATAGGTTTAGTCATAATCATTGGGATATCCTATTTTATGAAGCCTTACATGCTCCAATCTTTCTCCTGTACAGAAGTCATAGAGATGAGCGGCATCACTTTCATGGATGGTGTGTATATATTGGTCTTTTAGACTCCTCCTTGCCAGTAAGCGAGCTTTATCTTTGTTAGCTTCAACTTCGTCACTCTCACGAGCTTTATCTTCTACAGATTGAAAAACTTGACGCTTTCTCTCAACATTATTCTTCGCAATTGTTAGAGTTTTGCTTCTCAGGTCCGAATACACATCCTTTTGGAATGTCAGATGATCATTTAGTTTTCTCACCAATCGATAATTATTTGTTGCATATTGTGGAGTATTTTCATCAGGCACAACATCGCTGGTAGTATCATATGTGACAGTTCTTCCATATCTAAGCTTGGGCTCAAAAGGAAAGTATTGCTTTAAGCTCTCATTAATTTTGATCTCCGTTTTTGTGGTTTTGGGACCTTCATTATAGGGTATGTAGTGTTGATGTACCAAACTATCTCGTAATTGTTGTACTTTTTTCACTTCATCACTTTTATCTGGAGAGGTTGTGAATTTATCAATCTTAATCAATCGCTGGGGACCCAAATCGCCATGTGGATCTTTGGGCTTATCACCAACCGGAATTGGTTTGATATAGAACGTGTTTTCGAGTCGTTTTTCTGCTAAGCATTCGTTTCTATTGGCCACCCGTGTTGATTCCAAGTCTCGATTCGTCTTTTCGTGCAAATTCCATGTAGTTCCAATATTTGTATGGAATATAGTTTCGTGGTTCTTCGAGTAAGGATTGAGGTCGGGATGATAAGCGAAGGAAAAGCTTGGCCTGGTATGGAGAAAATGGCTGAACTTTTCAGAGACGAGCTTTTTATATTCTAAATCTGTTGATGATGGTTCTGCTGACTGTACGCGCTTTTCTCTTCGGGTACGGAGAGTTAGCTTGTTGATCTTCTCTGCTGAGAAGTCACTCTTTCGTAAATTAGGGTTTGTGGTGTACAAAGAATGGAAGTTTTCTGCGTCCACGCTTCTGCCCTTTCCCGAGCGTTTTAACGAATTATTGCCACCATGATCATCGTCATGTGTTCCATAATATTTTCGACTCACACCCAATACAGTCGCGCTTCGGTTACCAACAGGGTATGTAACGCTCTTCTTATTGAGAGACATTTTTTAAATAAAAAACTGTAGATTTGAAACGGACAGAAATTAACGTATCTCTTGGGAGGGAACTGTTTTGGGGTGTCCAAATGGTTCGATACAGAGACATAATAGACTTCCCAGAGAGGAAGGCTGAGCTCCATTCGCCAAGTAACATAGATCATAGGTCATTCAAAATTGGTGCTGTAACAAAGTAATTTTATAACAATGGTCGTACTTTGTTGTTCCATTCATCATCCCATCTATGGGTTTGGAAATTCTGTTTTAAATGTTCTCTCATAGATTTAAGTGTTGTGCTACCTTCTGGTGATAACAACAACTCTTCTAAATATTCTGTCAATTCGTTCTTGTTTTTGAAAATATAACCATTTTGACCATGTTTAACAAGTTCAGGTAATGCATCATATGCAATCGCACATACGGGCAAATTACTGCCAAACATATCCACAACTTTCATTGGAAGATCGAGTTTAGAGCTAGAGTAGTGAAGACAAACCCCAACGTCACTCGAGGCAAGTAATTTCGTGTAGTCTGAATATGAAAGATATCCTGTTTGGATTTTGCAATAGTTAAGGTTAAGTGAGGCAATTTTCTGTAGATAGTATTCTTTCTGAGGACCTTTTCCTGTAATTACAAACTCTAAATAAAGTGGTGAAGACATGTTCTTAAGCTTGTTTTCAAGATCAATAATTGCTGACAATAACACTGAAAAATCTTCATCTTCAGTCCAGCTTGTGCTGCTGACAATTAATTTAAAGTTTCTGTGAGTATCAATTTTTAACACGTTTTCTAAGAGGCCATTTCTTTCACTCGATGATAGATTCTTTCCAAACATTTCAGGTGGTCGGTCATACATGACTGTCACCGTAGTAGGGTCTATTTTCAATCTTGTAACAAGATCTTCCTTTAACTTTTCTGATACACATAGGTGATGCGTAGCACAGCCTTTTACAAAGTTAAACTCCAAGTACTGTGCAAATTTTATCAAGTACTTGTTTTTTCTTGATAGAGCCAAAATGGAAAATCCATAATTATGCCAATCAATAATATATTCGTCGAGCTTAATGAGATTAATTTTCTGTAACATCCAAAACAGAAATAAAGTAGGAATTGCAGGAGGATTTTGAGTCAATAATATTTTCTTTGGAGTAGAGTGTGCTCCAAAAGGATTTCTGTTGAAAATATACGATAATTGAATGGACATTACAAGAAATTGCAAAATTACTTTTAAAGGAGCAAACACCAAGAAAAATAAAAAGTGAATTCTCATTACATAATTAACCCAATTCCACCATTGAGAAGCCAATCGATTGATTTTCAAATTTTTTTGATTAAGAACTTGTTCATGAGGATCCGAGTCATATAATCCAACAAAATCTACATGATGATTCGACTCGTTCAATTTTGCTATGGATAATGAATGATATTGCATTCTCGGGCTATGTCCAATATCACCCAATACAAAAACAATAAAGTGTTTTTTGATCTGTTGAGAGGAATTGTTAAAGTCATCATCACGGTTGCTTGATTCCGACGATGAAATAGTTTTTGATGATCGTTTACTCATTTTTTAATATTTGTTTACAACATGGTCAAAAATTTTCAACAGCAACAGTAACTGTTGGAAGCTGCCAACATTATCGGTATCTAGCAGGAGTCTCATCTTCTCATTAGGATTTAATCCATCAGTGAAGCCGAAAGAAACAACAAAAAAAATGAAAAAAGTCTTTTCAATTTCTCGGGTTTCATCATCGAGCCATGTGACTCCTATCGGAGCTTCACAACAAAATAACAGTAGTGGGACTGCTGCTACTGCTGTTGTAAATAACAATGCCACTACCAGTGCTACCACATTGGATAATGTTGCTATAAATAATAATATTGAAATAATAGCGTCGTCATCGGGATCTAAAAGAAATAGCGGATCGTATCATTCCAACTCGGTGATCAATACATCAATGGAGAGTGGAGGAAGTGATACTGCATCAAATCATTCAAATATTCGGAAAAATTATTCTATGGGAGCCCTAGAAGATGCTAAAAGCACCACAACGGATAACACCAGTAATATGAGCTCTCCTTCAACTTCACCATCAAGTAAAAGACTTACGCCTTCGTTGAGTCAAACATTTGGAGAGGGAGGAATTGAAGGTTCCTCAAATCATGGTAGACGTGTCAGACGAGGATCACTAACTTCTAGCTTGGAAAACGAAGTGCATCCTGTGGCAATGACGAGAACAATGGATCAAAAAGTACATCTCATGGAATTTCTTGTACAGAAAAGAGTTGAAAATTTGGACTATTTGAGAAGGTTTCACGAAGGAAAAATTATGTGGTTGAATGTTGTAAAGGTATCACCTAGCGAAATTGAGAATGCTTATCAACCAAAAGAATTACAGAAACGATTGGAACAATGGCTATGTTTAGGTGTGTCATTAGCACCCCTTATTAATTACAATGATGGTTATCATTTTGTACGTGCCTGTTCCCAACTAATGGAAGAATATGAATATCATTATTCCAGCATGGCAATGCAAGGAATGAAAATATTGAAAGCTTTTACAAATACTTTTGTAGATGAAGAGACTCCCATTATTCCATCTCAAAAAACCATCAAGCCCGTGATTCACAAATCAAATGGATCAGTAATTTATGAATTCTTACAGACGCCACATATTGTAAGTATTTCATTAACTTGTACCTCTAACATTCCTTTAGCCTTGCTCGTTGGATTATTGTCAAATTGTTTTTTCAATGTGTGACATTTTAACATTTGTGTACAGAAAGTTTCTTGATGAAACCAATATCAATAGCTCTTTGCATGAAAGCATTATCAAATTAGATGAAAAAATTAAGGTAAGGTTATGGTTTTGCTTGCAATTCAAATTTAAACAAATTCATCAAACAACAAGAATAACTTTATTGGACTACTCTCTAAGGACATTACCAACCTCGCAATGCAAATTGTAAAAACAAAATTAGCAACTGTTCAAAACATATTCTCAATATCACTTAACAACCAAACTCCCAACACTCAACCATCTTCAACCAAGCGTAAAGAGACATCTGACCAAGTCGACGAATGGTTTGAGATTTAAATAAATAAGAACAATTTACAACACAAAACAGATTGGCATTGGATTCCATTTAGTACTAGATTCCAATATTCATGAAAACAAAGTGACACTTAGTTTTTGAATTATTTACATGCAGTTTATTGCCAATTATTGGCAAGGGCATCAAAAGAAGTATCAATTTCTTGATCTTCTCCTAAGAATTCCATCAAATATTTCATAAATTCATCTGTTTTGGCAAACACTCTCAAATCCGCCATGTCATCATAATCTGTTTTTTGTAAATTTACAATACACATCTTTCCTCCCTTGTTGACACATTTAAGAGGTAATTTGTTTGCTGGAGAGACAGACATGGATGTACCTAACACAATTGCCAAATCAGCTTGTTTGGAGTGAGCATAGGATAAGGTCAAATCCTTCTCTGGTAAATTCTCACCAAAATGAATGATTGTATCTTTTAAATCTCCACCGCATGAACATTTTCTTCCTGTAATATGAGTTCTATAATTCTTCACTGTTTGGTACGTGTCAAATCCTCTCAAGTATTCCTTTCCACACGTTGCGCAAGTTTCTTTATATGAATTTCCGTGCAATTCAGCCAACTTGTCTTCAGGAAGGCCACTTCTTCGATGTAATCCATCCATATTCGTCGATACAACAAATTTGACTAAGTCTTTCTTCACTAAATGAGTAATGGCATAATGACAGTACGTTGGCAATGCTTGTTCAATTTTAATCGAGGCAATTTCATCAGAACGACCTTGATCTCTTAATGTCCAACATCCTTTAGGTCCTCTGAAATCTGGAATTTTTGCAGATGTGGATACACCAGCTCCAGTGTAAATCACCACATGATTTGATTCTGAAATTTGCTTTGCCAATTGTTGTGCTTTGGCCTTAATGACTGAATCTTTTTCAAAATACTCCTTGACATGGTCAGGAATGATATTCTTCTTGTTATTCTTTGACGGCATGCTTTACGTAATTGTTTTTGTGTTGAATTTTGAAACAATTCAACGTTTTATAAAAAAGGGTCCTGTGAGTAGCAGGGTTCACCACAGTGTTCCAAGTTCAAAAATTTTTGGTCGTGTTCATTCTGGGTTCGAAGGGCAGCTTATTTTTGAACATGACTACTCGAGATGTGCCACCACGTTTGAAAAGGAAATTGACCTGTAATGCGAGTGCATATCTTTATTTGCCATCTCTTTGGCAATGAAATGACAACCCTTAAACGAGCACAATAAATTACAATGTGAATTCACACGTTCTCTCAAGTTGTTGGATTTGAATGAGTGCAACGCCTTCTCAAAATCTCATTCGCTCTCAACCCACAGGATCCTGCATTGAAGCCAAACGGTCTTCTCTCATAGTATTTACACATAACTCCTTATTCATTTAGAATGACTGTTTGAATGTAAAATTCAAGATCGACCATGTGATTTGATCGATTTGGCGAGCATCAATATCTTCTCCGTTCAACAAAAACGATAATTTAACCTTCTCTTCAGGAGAGGTCTCTGTTGCCTTTTCGATTTCTTTTGTATCATTGGCAATTTGACCTGGCCATCGACCAATTCCCAATTCGTAATATCGTCTTTTTAACTGGATGATAATTCAAATGTTATAGTGGAATCGTCTACATTAGGTCATTAAATACTTACAGTACTCAGAGAAACACCCAATACTTGAGCAGCAGAGGTTTGAGGAAGTGCCATGACTCTAATCAATTCGAACACTGGTATGTTAATTTTTGACTTTTTCTTTGACTTTTGACAAGCGTATTTAGAAATTCGAGTTGGAGGAGAGGAGCTTGTGACAGTCAAACGACTCGATGGCTTGGGACTCGATTTACTCTTGGAAGCTCTGCTTGTCTTTTGATTTCTGTGAGATTTATGAGACGAGTTGGAAGAAGAAGATGTTGACTTGGCACACAAAATTTGAGAATCAGCTTGAGAAACGGGAGAAGAAGAGGAATCAAAAGACGACGAAGAAGCACCAGAAGACGCACTCGAATGATGATCTTCGTCACTCGAAGCAAACACTCGAATAGCCACAGGTGTCATGGTCGTTGCATGGTCTTTGGAAAATGTTACGTGAGAGATGGCAGCAGGTCTTTGAGAAACTCCTGAGAATGAGCTTTTGTGGAGGTGGTTATAATGAGGATGATTCATTTCTGATGGATGGTATGGAGTAACGAATGATTTGGTCGTTGGAAAGTAGGATTGAATGCTTTGAATTGGAGTTGTGGTATTCGTGATAGTTGTGGTGGTAGGATGTAAAGCTGCTGGGGCTGACATGGTTATTAGGCTAGCCAGAGAAATGATGAACTTCTCTCAGCAGTAATACTGTGGTTCGGAGGGTGGTGGGTTAGGGTCAATGAATTAACCTCAAAGTTCCCAATAGTCGCACTGGAATGGTTTATATGGGAGAAACAATACAAGAAGTAACACTTGAAAGCTCGTGCTCTCTCTTGAGAATGGTTTTCGTTGGTTGGTTGAAGAGAGAAGAATCGTGTGATTTGGTTTTTTTATGAGTTTTAAAAGTCCATTCTAGTGGTGTTGCTGCAGTTGTTGCGATCGCCTATTAGAACGCAGGAAAATGCTGAGCATCGGATTAGAGCGGTTCACACGGCGAGGACATGCAAAAGGTCCGCTTCCCTTGGATGAGCTGTGTGTAGCTGCGATCGATGAGCGTGTTGTTAAAATTCCATCTCTTCTAGTTGAGTTCAAGAGAGGAGGATGTTCGAATTTGGTACAAGTGAGAAGCAAATGTTGTAGTAGTAGTAGCAGCATCAGTTTTCTACTACTCGAGTAGTGAGAAAAAGGGTATGAGGAATGCAACGATTAC